TTGTTTCCTGTATTTAACCAGAGAAGTGTATTTATCTTGTGAATAACTAAATACACTGCAGGGCCGCAATTAGGTTGGTAAAAGTTTCAGAGGACCTATCTTTCGATTTGCAATATGGACCCTTTTAATGAAGTGCAAGATGATGCATACGCATCAGTAGCAAGATTAGAGACTTTAATTGGGAAATCTGGAAACATTAATGATGTAAAGAAGATTGATTTTGACAATAATTTCCAGGAGTTGAGTGAGATATTTAAAGACCTAGAGCAAGCTCTCAAAGCTAGTGAAGCAGACCCAGAGTCATTTCTGCTAACCTCGATCGATATTGATGATAGAAGGAAGAGACTAAAAGATTTAGATACGAAAATTCATCAGATAAAGGAGAATTGGGACGCTAAAATGCGAAATACCAACAGAGATGTGACCTCAATGTCAAACAGGATTAGTCAAGATGAGCAGGATGAGAACCCGTTCGATGATGATAATAATTATAGATCTATGGATCAATTTCAACAGCAACAAATAATACAGGAGCAAGATGTGCATCTTGATTCTATTCACGAAACCATGAGATCCTTAAATCAACAAGCACAACTTATGGGTGGAGAATTAGAGAATCAGGCTGGCATGCTTGAAGATTTAGATACAGAATTAGATAACGTAGGTGATAGGGTTCAAAGAGGATTGAAGCGAATTGGATATGTAATCGAAAAAAATCGGGAAAAGGCAAGTGATTGGTGCATAGGTATTTTGGTTGTCGCATTGTGCATTCTATTGATTCTTGTCATTGCGATATAGTTAAGCTTCACCAAGTCTATGGTTTCCCACACAAAGACTGCTACTAGAAGGCTCTTCAAAAATGAAGGTGTTATATCATAGTTATCGCGACCCACCCAAACTTTGCTGATTTAAGATATAGTAATATTGAATTCGAATTCGTTTTGGAGATTAATCCAAAAAACTTCAAATTATATCATCTTAGAAATGTGAATAGAAGATCGAGATCCTGCTAGCAGTGAGTTGCTGCGGAATTAGAGTTTTACTGATGCAGGCCTAATTAAATATCATCACGAACTAAATATAGCCCCATAATCTATATTGGAACATAGGAAAAGTAGCTGAATTGAATGTTAGTACATGTACTTTGAAAAATTATGGAAATCATCGATCAAATATTTCAGACAAAAAAAAGTAAGGTAGCGTGTGTTTTTCCACATCGACAAAAAGTCTCGAGCCAAATGCACTCATAGTCATCATTAGTCTGAGATGATTATCTCATTCATAACATACCTATTAATCAGTATATGTAGATAATGAAATTACATGTTCATTTAAGAATGAAAATTTTTGCTGTAATTTTTTTTTTCTTTCACTCGCTCTCGACTCTCGAGCACAATGTTACCCGGACATTCCTTTATCCTATATCTATTGATTTCGAGTTTACTTTTACTGCAAGTAGTAGTATATTTCTTATCATGTCTGGGCTGGATAAATATAAATATCGCGTGGAAATACAACAGATGATGTTTGTCTCTGGAGAGACTAACGATCCTTCAGTAGAGACAACTTCAATAATCGAGGATATAGTTCGTGGACAAGTCATTGAAATTCTTTTGCAGGCAACGAAAACGGCAGCTGCGAGGGGGACCAAGTCAATTGCTCCGGAGGATGTGATATTTATGATAAGACATGATAAGGCAAAGGTAAATAGATTGCGGACGTATCTTTCATGGAAAGACGTACGTAAGAATGCAAAAGACCAAGAAGGTGGTGGTACAGAATCCCTTATAGAAAACGATGCTGCTACTGCTGCGCCAACTGCGTCCCAGAATAATGAGTCCAAGATGGTAACAAGATACAAGAAGTCTAAGATACGGCTTCCATGGGAAGTGCAATTTATGTTCAGTGAACAGCACCTTGAAACTGCGGAGGAGTCCGAGCAAGTAGACGACGAGGAGAAAGCGGCAACAATTGCCTCATTGAAGAGATTAAAGCAGGCGGATGATAGAACCAGAAGCATGACAAAAGAGGAGTATGTCCATTGGTCTGAATGCCGTCAAGCCTCATTCACATTTAGAAAAGCAAAACGCTTTAGAGAATGGGCCCAAATTGCTCAGTTGTGCGATTCGAGACCGAATGATGACGTTGTTGATATTTTGGGCTTCTTAACATTTGAGATTGTGTGCTCTTTAACTGAAGAGGCTATGGCAATCAAAAATGCCGAAGAAAAATTACTCCAACATCAAATCATTAACAAACAGCAGCAAGAACAAAAGCGTAAAAAGTATCTCTTCGATAAGCCTGACGAGCTAGCCAAGCCTATAATGCCATATCATATTGAGGAAGCTTGGAGACGGCTTCAATCTATCGATTTTAAGCATAAGGCGCTCAGATCATTCGGAGGAGGTGTTATTAAGACAAGAACGCGGTTAATTTAGATTCTGTACATGTACGACTTTACGAGGCGTTATCAGGGGGTTGATAATATTTATATATACTCATTATTTTGTCTCTATTCAACATTATATCAAGTAATAGTTAATAGTATCGATCAAATTTCCCGGTAAAATTTGGAAATCTCTATAATTCAAAAATTTCTTTATGCTAATGCCACTTTTACTCTGACTTTCCTGCTCCATTTGGTTCAAAAGTATTTGAAAACTAAACCAGTTTCTGAAAAACGGTAAAAGATCTATTATGAAGGTAATTTGTGATAAATTGTTGATGAGTGAGGACTCAGGTATTCCCGTGGAAGAATTAATACTTCTATTTATTATTTGATTCTCTGACCTAGAAGATCTCGTTACTCTTCCGTAAAAATTAAGATCCAACATATATTTGGGCAATTTTTTAGCTCTAGAACCAATAAATCTTTCGCATACTTCCCTGGTTTGATTAAAAGATAGCTTATTAGCAGGCTCTTTATCACCTATATTTAAAACATCTAATATATAATCCCCAACGTTCAATTCATGTTCCAACGTTGGTTCTCTAAGCATGGATGCCTGGCTTATTTGGTATGTCCCCAACAATTCGCTGAAATAGGAATCGTGAGTGAGTGACGAGTTTGTATTTGTCGAAATTATATCAGCTTCAGAGAGACATTCCAATCTATCAGCACAGACTTCAAGTGTTCCATAAGGTCCACCGGAAGTATCAACTGAATAAGCTGAATGAAAAGACAAATTCTTCACTTGGGAATCATTCTTTTCCATGTCGCTTTGACAAAGTAATTGGCAGTTCATTAAGGATCTCCGCACGTCATAGCTAGTCCCATTGTAGCTCTCATCTAGAATTTCGCGTATCACCAAAGATTCTAAATTATAACCTTGACTAATGCAACAGAGCCAAAGGTAGTTCTGGAGCAAATCAATGTTCGGAGGTTCATCGTCAAGCTTTATCAAAGAATTTGATTTTTTCGAAACGTCCAACAAATTTTGTGGAATATTGTCAACACTCTGACAGGTCAAAACGATAGGGCGACGTGTAATATTTAAGATTTCTTGAACAACAGCCCAAAAGTTCTTATCTTGATCGAATTGGATATCAACATCTTCAAATAAAACCAACCCTTTCTGGAACTGTCGGGATTCACTCCGCTTATGTACCAACTGAGTGGTGGAAAACTCTTTGAGATTATGAAATATATCTTTTTTTCCTCGAGGCTGCCCAGAATTCACTTCAAAAACATATCCGTCAATTTCATTCACAGAAGCATAAACTGCTGATGATTTGCAAGACCCTATCGAGCCTTGAATGATCAATAACGGAACATATGTTTCCTCTTGCTCTTCTTCAAAAATTATTGGACTGTTATCATCAACCATAAAATCCATGGAGTCTATTTTCTGCTTTTGTTTTTTTAGTTGTACATTCCGGGAAGATGCAAAGGACTTGGATTCTAATTTCTTAAAGCAATTTCTGATCCAGTCCCTGATTTTTTCCCGAAACTTTGGCGAAATCAAGACATCGTTTAATTTGCGGGGCTGAAATAAATTTATCCATAGTTCTGAGTTGTTGTTATTTGAAGTGTTAAATATAAACTCTTCAGTTATGAACTCTAATGCAGAATTTTTTGTTAAGCTTGGTAATGCTTTCGAAACTAGGTTGTTAATGCTTTGAGTTGATGGCTCTATTATAAGTTTGGGAAAGTTAGGGAATTCTTTTTCAAAAAGAAAAGTAGACTTGTCCGTGATTTGGGTGTCATTAAGAACTGGAAGCACTTTCAGAGGAAGACAGAGTAATGCTGTGTTCCTGTGAAGAAGCCGTGAAGTATCAACAATGTGGAATTCATTTTTTTTGAGAATCGGAGGATCTAGTCGTTTTGTATTTTGAGATATGGTCTTATGTAGTGACTTGCCGATGTCTTTTTCTTTTTCTTTTGTTCTCAGACCTTTCTGATCAAAAAAATCTGTTAAATCGATTACCTCAGTAGAAGAACTCAAAAGGTCGTAATTTCCTTTCGTTTTGAATGAACTATTAAGCTTCACGTTAGATAATAATTTTGGACTTAACTTTAGAGTAATTAAATGTTGGCTGTCTCTTCTTATCGGCTTCAAGGACTTGAAAATATCCTTCGGTGAAGTCTTTCTCTTAGTTTCTCCACATATCTTCGACTCTAACAACTTGTTATAAATATCAGGTGTCATTGAATCACTTAGTTTTGGTTCATTGATTTGAGCATCCTTTTTATAACTCAAAGGTACCAAAGAGCCTTGCATATACATCGACATTTCCTTCGTATCTTTAGAGTTCACTGGAAATAAATTTGACGATTTGTAAGTTTGCTTCGATTGCCCAAAAAAGTCACTTGCAGGCTGACTCCTGGAAATATTCTTGAACATTTTTTTCTCCAATTCTAAAACATCTAGGTCCCTCTTCAGGCTCGTAGCATTGCAACCATGAGAAATGATAAGTTGGGTTTTTTCTGCCCCATGATCTTTTACGGCTTCTACTTTTCCCGCTTTAATTTCAGACTTTTTAGAAAGTTGCTTACCTGACAAAAGATCCGCCAAACTTTTGGTCCCTAGAATCTTAATCCGATTAGAGCTTCCATCATTGCCTGATACATCTTCACATCTGCGTCCATCCTCCACTTGGGTATCTTTAATGTCGGATTGAGAACATGATGAATCTATGTCTGTGATTTCACTATCGTCAATCGGGTAAAAACTATAATTTGAGTCAGCATTGGAATTCATCGAATCCTCTTCCACCGATTGTAGTTCCCTACTAGATTTAATCTGAAAGCCAGGATAGTCATTTAAAGACATGTCAAATGTCTAGCATCAAAATTCTAGGTTTCTCTCACCAATGCTCAAGATATTAGTTGTTGTTGTACGCGTAAATCTTAATCTTGCGGGTGTAACGTGAGCGAGAACAAAGTTTGAGTAAATTACACCGAGATGAGCCCCAAAAACTTTAGTTTTATTCAAATGATGGCATCTTAATGGCTGGCTTTCAAATTAAGTTGAAAGCGGATGGTGTAACAAAACCGCTGCATAAACCTAAAAAAACTAACGGTATCCACATTAGTGCTACTCCTAAACGTAAGTCGTACCATCATAAGAATGCTTTGGATGGCCAATCAACAGATAGCGATGAAGACATCATAAACCCAATAGATTCATTTGAACAAATTTCTGAAGAAAAAGAGCAGCTTTTAATCATAAAACCTGATAAGCTAAACAAAACTTTAATAAATTACAATTCCTCATCAGCCCCAAGCATATCTGAACTTCAAAATCCACAAATAGAAAAGTTGAATTATGGCTTGAATAGATTTGAAAACCCCCATTCACTGGTTGAGAATTCCACAGAAAAGATCAATCCTCAAGAGACAAAGACTGATGATAAGGCTGCTAGACTTCTGTTACAATCAGAAGACTCATTGATAGATAGGGGTTTAACAATCCAGGGACCAATTACTTCTGAAAAAAATTCCTTGTCATACGGTACAGAGGAGGATACTATTGAGTACGAGAAAGTTCCCGTGGATCAATTCGGTGCAGCTCTCTTGAGAGGCATGGGTTGGCTGCCAGGTGCCAAAGACTCAAAGGCTGCAAAGGGTTCATTAATGGCTAATAGAAAGAAAGGAACTCTACTTGGAATTGGGGCTAAGACGGTTGAACCAGAGTTAATGGAAGATTTACTTGCTAGAAAGGGCGCAAAATTTCTGATCCCTGTTATTAAAAGAAAAAAAGAGTCATGAGCTTAATATTTCAACGTGCATTTCATAATCATAAGTTACATAGAATAGACTCGGTTATATGAGCTTTTATCTTCTCTCAAGTCTAGGCGATGGCACCTAAACCAAGTAATAAAATTTGACTTGCAATAGAATGTGACCACATAGAAGATTTCGTATTAAGAATTCGTTCTTCGTCCATTTTGGCCATCTTCTGCAATTCGTCATAAATGTCACTCACAATCGAGTCAAACATTTTTGTTTGAACAACATTATCAAACTTATGCAAATCAAACAATTTTTCAATCACTGTTGTCTTAATTGTAATCGGTTGCTTGTTATGCATTCTGTAATCATTAATGAAAGCGATTAATGCCCTCAAGTTGTACAAGGATACATATGGAATTCCACTAGATTGAGCAGTAGGAAGTTCCTTTGGTAACAGCGCTTTCAAGTTGGAAAGTCGAACTTTTACATCTACGATAGCGTATTCCTGCAGAGGTTTATGAATGTCAAAGTCAAGCCCTTTGCTAGGATTGGTGAATGTCTCATAAATTGCTGCTAGCGCACTTTTTAAGAGGCTGTTACTTTTATCAGGGATTTGATTATCTGCATTTTTATTCTGTTCACTTGATGTCATCTTGAAAAACTCATTAAACAAGTTTGAGCATACCTTAGTCAACCTTTTATATTCATCCTTCAATCTATAGTCAGATTCCTCAAACACTCCAAAGTCAGGAAGAGTAATATCAGCAGTTATTTCTGCTTTTCCGTCAATGATCCAATTAAATCTCAGATGGGGACCATTGATGGATGCCATGTTTATGCCATCTAGCTTGAATCTGATTCTTTTATTGCGGTCCATGTCTATGTTACTAACATTTTGGCGTTTATGAATAGTGAACATAGAATCGTTTATGGCACCAGTAACGTTACTGGCATTCAACACATCGCCTAGAAGATAACCCCCTCTTAACTTTGGTAGCTCGCAATTAAATATTGAAATCTTCAATGGATATTTATGAACGTCATCCTGAACCTCAAGATAGGAATCTAGAATTTTTATATTTCCAAATTCATAGTCAGGATTAATAAATTTGTTCTGCTTCGTTCTTTTCACTTCCATGAGTTCTAACTCTTCCCTATGATGATCCTCCATGTCATATTGAAAGTGAATATTATCATTGTGTCTACCATAAGGAAGAGGTAATACATCATGATAATCTGTAGTTATAGACTCAACTTTCGAACTTTTTATCATTTTAACATTCATTCCGTTGATTTCTAATTTTGAGATTAAGCCTTTTCCGTCATACCACTTACTGAAAGACAAGGAAAGACGCATACTTTCAATGTGAGCACTAAAGTTGAAACTTGTATCCGCTGATTCTACTGAGCTAATGCAAAGATTATTGAAAGTAAGTAAGCCTTCTTTTAGTGAGGGTAATGCGTTTCCCTTTTTGAATTCAATATTAATTCCTAAGCCATGAGAAAGAATCGAATTCGTCATTTTTCCAAGGATTCCATCTTCAATTTTGGGTTTCGTCCCTTCACTTGAAAGATTCTTGAAATAACTTTTAAAAGCATCCTTGATATTATCGTATGTATACAACGAATACATTGCAACTAGCCCGAAAGTAGTAGTGCCTAATCCCACCCATAGTAAATTACCCATTACAAGCCAAGATACAAATGCCGAAATATCGTCAAGTGATAGCGGTCTATTATCTCTCATCAAGGGCCATTTTAAATGAACCCAAAGCCGTGATATAGGATTATTAGCCTTCTCTAGAAGTGCCCTTTTAGTAATAGGTTCCCACGGTCTCTGTCTATTATCTATTCGTAAAATAGACTTGGAGCTGAAAAATTTATAAAGCTGAAGTCTGCTGCATTTATTGCACTTCTGTGGATTGGTCAGCCAAGTGGTGATAAGTCGGATACTCTTCGACCCAAGCGCCTTCCCAGTAATCAGAAACATGTTGCACAACAGATATTGCCTTTGAGGCGTTGAAAAAAATTCAAAATGAATAGCCTGATATTAGCTCTATAGTATGTTTAGTATACTGTAACTTTGAAAATAATCACTCGTTGATGCCTTTGTTAAATGTATTTGCTGTAGCTTGCTATGATCTATACCTATGAATATCTCTAATGTGCAATAAAAAACCTCAGAAAAATTTCGGTCGCGATTGATTCTAACTTGCAACGCAACCAGCAAAAGCTTAAATCGATAATACAAGGGTCGGCCAAAACAATGAAGTTAAAAAAGTAGATATCTGTACTCCTACTTATTAGACATGTCAGATTCTCACTTTAGCAATATGTCTTAGTATCCGTCTGCAAAGCGAATATAACTTTTATTTCATCACGTGCACGTCGAGATGAGTTTTATTTTTCTTTTTTTTTTTTTTTTGATTTTTCATTTTGAACTTAAAGTCTTACAGTCAGCTTAAATATCCTAGAACTTTCTACTCTTACTCACGATATGGTAGCACCAACAGCAGTTAAAAACTTGAGTAAGATCGAATTGGAGAATGCACCCTTAGATGTTGAAGAAGATGAAATATTAGTGGACACTACACAAGTGCCTCTTGGTGATGCCATCGATGGTAATCAAGGATTAGAAGGGGAACCAGTAGATGTTGCTGGAATAGCTTTAAATGATTCGGGAAAGCCAAAATTTTCTTCAGCAGGAAAATCTTCAATGAAGGTCAAATTGGAAAGCCGAAAGGTGCCTGTACCACCACATAGAATGGCCCCTTTGAAAAACAATTGGACTAAAATATATCCCCCGTTAGTCGATCATCTAAAGCTTCAGATCAGGATGAATTTAAAAAGTAAGACTGTAGAGATGAAGACTAATAAAAACACTACTGATGTTGGCGCATTACAGAAAGGTTGTGACTTTGTGAAAGCGTTTACTCTTGGGTTTGACGTGGACGATGCAATTGCTTTATTGAGATTAGATGATTTATATATTGAAACTTTTGAGATTAAGGACGTGAAGACCTTGAACGGAGACCATTTATCTAGAGCTATTGGTAGGATAGCCGGTAAAGATGGAAGGACAAAATTTGCTATTGAAAACGCTACAAGAACTAGAATTGTTCTTGCAGATTCCAAAATTCATATTTTAGGTGGTTTCACACATATTAGAATGGCCAGGGAAGCAGTTGTATCTCTAATCCTCGGTTCTCCACCTGGAAAGGTGTATGGTAATTTACGTACAGTTGCATCAAGAATGAAAGAACGTTTTTAATATTGTCTTGCATTTACTCACATATAGTTCTCTCACTTCACAATATTGCTTGATTGACGAATTTAAAATTCTATAACGATTTATATTTACATAATTCTTGCTAACTTTTAACACCCAATTCTACAAATTTTCTAATAGATCTTTCGATAAGTCGTCCTCCTCGCCATCTTGAGCAGTCGATGGTAGTAGCTCCTCAATTTTCAAATCTAATCTCATGGCATATGCATCTTCTCCATCTTGATAATATGATTTTTCTATAGAAGTAACTTCGAACTTGAGTGAATCTCTGTATAAATGCAATGCCGCTCTGTTAGATTTTCTAACATGCAATGAGACGTACTTAGCGTCAAAAGACTCGCACATAGCATATAAAGATTGTCTCATTAGCTTCTCTGCTATCCCCAATCTTCGGTAAGATCTCATGACGGATAGAGAAGTTATGTGGCCATGAGGTGTCTTGTCCTCAGCCTCTGGGTCATCCTCCATTTTTCCTAGAACATAACCGATGACCTTTTCGTTTTTATTAACATATGTACTGTCTCCTTTTGGATCGGTAATTTCTCCATGATTACCACTGTCTTCTCCATTTTCTTGAACCCCATATGAAATTGCTACGTAACTTGCCTGTGGCCACGATAGAATATGATACATATAGTATTTCAATTGATAATTCTCAGGTAAATTATGCAAATTAGCATTCTGCATCGCCTGGATATCATTAATAGTAGCTTGCCTAATGGATATACCCATACTACACTTCCTTTCTAGATACTTTTCGACCCTTCTTCGAGCTATATCTTGAAAATCAAAATCTTTGTAATTCTTCAAAAAAAAGTAATCGACATTCAAGCAGTTCTATGCAGGTGTGTTTGGCATTTGATATATGATATCATGGAATAGCAACTTAAGGCTACTCGTCGCTTCTCTAGAAGCTTCAAAGTATAGTTTTTGTTCAAAGGTGACTGTTTAAGAAAGTGATTTTTTTATGTGATACTTAATTATATACAACTCCCAAAAAACATTTACTCAAACCTTATTTCTTCTCTCATTAACAACAGCTCATCAAAATTGATCAAAAACACTGTGCGGAGAGGGTGACCCTCAATGGGGACGGAGTGGGCTGTAACTGTAGCTTGAAAAGATGATGAATCCAATGCTCCCTCAATGATACCGGCAATAAAAGCTGAGCAATTCAAGTTTCCATAATCCTTAGGAATACTTATATATTTTGATATCAACGGCACGTTATCAATTATCATATACTCATTATCCACATCTTGAGATTTTTCTAGTTCATTAGCTGTCTTTCCGAATATTGACTTCCATACGGAGCTATGGATAAATTGTAATATTTCAATAATCCTTATTTCTCTTTTACTATACTTCAAGCCTTCTCTCAATTTGATTAATTCAAGAAACCGCTGACCAATTTGATATCCAAGCCCATTAAGCCTTGTCTCTAAGTCTTGGACTCCTTTCGAGTTTCTATGTGAAAAACTAACAATTTCACAAAATAAGAAAGATAATGAGGATAGGTTTATTTCCACCGCCTTCTTTGTGCTTATATTTCTATCGTAGATGGAATTGAAAGATGTCGGAGTTAAAGTGATCGTTTTTTTACTCATTAAGATACTAGAACTCTCTGATGTGATGTTGTTTGAAGACGTCCCAAAAGAAGGGTTATAGCCAAACCCTGCTACCGTGGCCTGGGATAGAGAAAGACCAGATATTCCCGCTACTGCTGGGGATATTATATTATCATCAGACATGTACTCCTTTCACTTTTTACTTTGATGTATTAGTAGTTTTTAACAAGAGGCTGTAAAGGTAAACTCATATAATGTCGTTGAATGTCGTCTCTTGATATATTGTAGTCATGTTCATGTCACGTTGGTAAGAAATGTTGCAAAAATCATACAAAACAACAACAGCTTAAGAATTAAATACTTACTGAAACAAGAAATGACAAAAATTGAAATCTTTAAAGATGCGAGTGGTAAGATTTACTTCGACAAAAATTTCACCTCTGGTATTTCGACGTCCATTCAATACTAATGAGAAATTAAGAAAATTCGAAACCTTTACAGGTACGACCGAAAGCAAGATATGTAAGCGCTGCCTCGTCACCTCTTAAGGACATTTCAAACTCTAATACCTATGTTGGCCGTAAAACAAAAGTTAGACTTTCCTTGAAACAAAATGTTAAGAAAAGTCTCGAATCCATATTTGATGAAAACGGCTCAAAACTTTATTCAAATGAATGGATCGATTTCAAGGCAACTTCAACACCCCATACTTCATTATTAGCAGCTCATGATCTGGTAGAAATACGGAATGCTGATTTTGTCTCTGCAACTGGAATCTATAATGGCAATCCAAGTAAAATGAATCCAAAAAAACTAGGTGATGACACGGCCGGCAAACTGGTTAGTGATGGTCCAAATAGGTGTGCTCAGACGGAGAAAATAATAAATACCGTCAATGATGAGGTGAATACCTTAAAGAACACAATTTTGGAAACGAATGCAGAGCCAGAAATACGTAATGAAAGCTCTGTAAGTTTGGCGCTTGACCAGCCTAAATACAAAAAGTCCCTCAGACTAAAATTAGAGGAGTTGCCACTCAGTCAGATACCATATATTGAAAAGAAGATAAGAGAAAAACATAAGGACTCGCTTACTGATAATCAAGGCTTCGCCGTTCATCAAAACGTAGAACCTACTTCTTCAAACTTAATGACAGCTTTGAAGGGTAAGATGGGATGTAAAAAGCAATCACGAGTCACTTTTGATCCCTTACAATCAGAAAGTATAGAAAATGAACAAAGCATAGAGTGTCCTACAAAGAAATCTGATTATGACGTCCTGTTAAAGAAATCAATAAAAACTGCAAAATTTGGAACAAAAAAACCAAAAGCACAAAAAAGCACAATTTCTCAAAACCGAACGAAAGAAAATAAATCTTTCAATTCCGATATCAACATAGTAGTGGATGAGCTAAGAGATGAATTTTTTCTGAAGTTCCCATCAAAGAACAAGTCCTCAAAACCAGAGCCAACTAAGACTATAGCGTCACGATGTAAAGTAATCGCTTCACAAGAGAATGCCAAGAAAGTTTCTGACCGTCTGAAACAGAAGACAATTTCTTCTTTCAGGTCAAAATCCAAAAAGGCAAAAATAGAAAATCGTAGTGTGAAGTTTCTGAAAATAACTGAAAAAGTCAGGAGAAATAATTGTGGGGGTTCTCTTACAGGAAAAGAATTGTTGGCCTTGTGTGGAAAAGGGCCAGATCCTTTAAATTTATTAGGTATATAAAAGCAAGGAAAAACGATGGAATCTTGAGGCCATGAAAAAGAAAATTCCTTTCTAAAAACTTATCTTCTAGTGAGTATGATTATGATTCGTAGTCTGAAACTATGAATCAATCTGCTAACTCTTCTACAGCTGCAAATGAGTTTGATCACTCGACTTTAAAATTTGCCGTCAAAAATATATACAGTCCCGCATGTAAACAAATCCTCTTTTTTTAATGATTAGGAATATCACAAAAGATCATGGTATCTGAACAAAAGACAGTTCATATTAGTCAATATCAGTATGAGCAGCGGCGAATCTAAACTGCCCGAAATTAATGCTTACGATAAAGATAGAAATTCCTCGAGAGAGGTAGAGGATTCTGTCGGCGAAGAAGCAAGTCAAAACCTGGAACCTTCAAGTGATAATGTAATAGTCGACAAAGACACTTTGAGAGAAAGATTACAACTGGTGCCAGCGGAAAAGCTACGCAATATTATAACAGATCAAATAGATTTAGAGGTTCGCTTAAAGCATCGAGAGCTAAGGTTGACGGAAGAAGAACTTGGAAAATGTGAATCCCAAATGCTTACATTAAGGAAATTTCTCGAGGTTCCTTCAAATTCTAAACTTGAAAATGAGCCCGATGCATTCACTTTGAAGTATCACAATGTATTGAATAAGTCTTTGTCTATTAACTATTCACACTTGAAAAATTTAGATCTGAACACACAGTCTCTGCAATTAGGAATAGGCTATGGAAGAAGCAGATCTTCAGAAGACGTAAGTCAGGCGCCCATACACTCTTATAGGACAAGATCAACAACTTCGTCTTTGAGACCCTCGATAACAGCTGTTCAAAAGCAGAGCTTTGGATGTCTTTACAGAAGAACTGATGGTGTAATAGTAAAGTTGACATGCCCAGACTGCCAGAGAAGTAATTTTTCATCAGCTCAAGGTTTTCTTAATCATAGCAGGATTGCGCACTCCAAAGAGTACACAAGTCAAGATGCTGCTGCACTTGCATGTGGTGAGATATTGCCCGACGTCAAACAGGATGAAGAAGGTTTAGCGAGTATCGAGAACTTAAAAGAGAAGACGTTGGATCCAAATAAAAATTTAAACGTTAGTGAGATTTATTTCGATGGACTAAGCCACACACTTAATACGGTCCATAGCAACCCCAATACATCAGCGGGACAAACAAGTATCAGGGATAAGAGCATATCGCCTTTAGATGTTGAAGAGAAACTGTTGAACTCTCAAAGTGAAAGCGAGTTGATGAAAAAAATTATAAAGAGTGGATGCGAGAGGGCAGAATATGAAGAAATGATTGATGATGCAAGGAATCATATTTCAAATTCTCACTTATTTGAGGACGAGGAAGAGGAGGAAGTGGAGGAGGAGGAGGAGAAAGATGGGTCGTCTTTCTTAGGTACGCTGAATTCCCACCTGGATGTGGTCCCCGGAAAAGCGCAAGAGCGAAGTGTCAAGCATCATAAAAGAAGAATATCTAGAAGTGGAATTAATATCCCTTCTACTGCAGAACAGGTAAGTAATCCTGGGGATAAAGCAGTCTCTGCATCCTCAAGTTCGACTCCGGAGCAACCACCATGTAATTCATCTCTGACGAACTCTCTCCCAAAGCTAAAATTAAAACTTCGACAACCACATCTAGAAGACATTAAAAGACGCAAGAAGGAGAGGTAATTTAATTACTGTTTACAAAATCAATCGCTGTTGTCCACGAGCTTTCATCCCCCCTTCATGGACACCATAAATTTCTATTTTGAGACGAGACGTTCTGCATATGGGCTCGGAAATAGAGACATCTTTCTACCCATGGGCAAATGCATATCGCACATATGTGTCATGACGAAACAATTGAATCTCCTATAGTTCTTTAGATACATTACGTAGCCATTTCCATGAGGACCGGAATACACAAGATTAGAATCGTGGAGCCATTCTAGACTTAAATAATGTTAGTTTTACATACAAAGGACAAGCGCAACTTAAGCATCCACCCGCTACATTTAAATAGTAACTAACGAGTACATCTGAGGGTGGGTGCGCGTTTGATTCTAGGCAAAGTAACCAAGCAAGTTGAGGGCGAAGCTCTTTTTTTTTATTTTTCGCTAAGTCATCACCCACGATAACGGTCAGTGTTTTCCGACTTTTACTTCTCATATTCAAATACTTAAAATTGGTTAAAAGGGCATAAAGGGTCAAAAATTGTATTTAAGAAGGTTAGAAATTATTATAATATTCAGGGTACTTTAGGCTTAAAAGTTCAAAAATTAAAGATTACTACTCTCTGACTTCAATAAATATATATACATAAAAAGGGAACTAGCATATCATATTCAGGGAATGAGTTCTTCCCCTACTGTGTGTGTTTCTCCAGGCTTCACATTTCCATCAACGAACATGGGGAGTCCTGCGGAAGACTATTTCAGTGTAAAGGAGAGTAAGAAAGATGATAAAAGGATGGAAGGTGGCCTGAGACTTAGGAGGCATCATTTGGGAATGGCAGCGCACAAGAATTCAAATAGTTCAGACTTGACGTTTTGTGACGAAAGTTTTCTGATGCAGCAAATAGATAGAACTGACTCTACCATCTCAACTGATACGTTGGTAGATGATACTAATTTGAACAAAAGGAACACGCTAAATTTGAAGCTTAGCTTTGCCCAAAATTCACAGGGGCTGATTCTCTCAGGAAAAGATCTAAAGAGCCTTTCATTCAAAGAAGATGAAGATGAGATACCAAAAGCAGCTTCAGCAATTGAGCCCACCTTTAATTTCCACACAAAGAATTTATCAACTTCATCAGCCGCCTCGTTTAGAAGTGTTGATCTTAATAACACTTCTCTGAGTGAAAGACAATCGAGTTTCAGTGGTATCACTCCCCTAGAGGCTATGAAATATAAAAATTCTTTGAGTACTCCTACTGATATCAATTCTACCAACTTTAATCAGCGAACTTTGAAGAGGTTAGGATCAGCCCCGAACATAAATTTGAGGGAATCCATTCTTAATTTGCCATTAGAAACACGATATCTTTCTCTCTCTGAAGCTGAAGTTTTAATCAATAATGCAGATATTCTATCAGATGCCCGGGATTTGTTGATCATCGATATCAGGCCATTTGCAGATTATATGAAATCTCACATAAGGAGCTCGATAAATGCCTGTTTACCTCTGACGTTGTTGAAGAGATCAACCTACGACTTAACAAAATGCATTAATTCATTACCAATTCGTGAAAGAGAAATACTATCGAGTTTTTTTAAATTTAACGAAGTACAATCCTCTTTTAATGAGAATCTGTCAGTGAGTGAACACACACGCAGAGTTTTGATTTATGATACCCTTAGCAGCTCTTCGAATATCTATTATTTTTGCAAAAAGTTTTTGAATACTAATTTGTGGGATCTGAAAGCTCCAATTTACGTTTTGAGCTCAAGTTTGGAAGCACTTCTGGACTCCTCTCCTAAACTTTTTGAAAGCGGAACTGAAGTGTTTCTGAATATTAAAGATAAATCTTCTCAATATAACTTCATGAACTTGAAGCGTCCTCCACCTTCTTATAAATCAGATATATGGTGTAAATCAGCTTCGGCTACGCCGACTTTGTCAAACTTCAAATTACCAGATACTCCAAGGATGGGATTCAAAATTCGACATAACGAGGAACTAATTGAAAGCTCCAGCGTTGATAAGATAAGTACTTTTAAGTTGAATAATTTAAATTCTTCGTCCATCCTTCCTAATTGGATCAATTCTGTTTTGAGTGATCCCATGAAGTTGAATGAAGATTTCAAACTCCTTGAAAAGTCTGAGAAGGAAAGATTAAACAATGCTCTATCTATCGACAATATTTCTAAGATAAGTGATGTTCCTCTTATTAGTTCTGGCATAGAGTATGGTTACAAAAATAGATACAAAGATGTCCTTCTCTATGAGCATTCAAGGGTGAAATTAAATGATGCCAATAAAAAGCAACTTTGTGATTACATTCATGCATCCTATATTGATCCAATTGAATCGTTGCCCCAATTGACCGAGCACTCACAGACTATATCTGGATTTTTGAAGTATATCGCTACTCAGGGTCCTCTCGAACAAACTATGGGTGATTTTTGGAAGTGCGTTATCAACCATATGAGCCCAATTATAGTCTCATTAGCCGATGAGTTTGAAAATGGAATTAAAAAGTGCTCACCTTTTTGGAGGTCTGGAAGCTATGTCTCTAACAACAATTTAATCAAAGTCACCTTAGTGATAGAAGAAAAAGTAAACCCTCAGATGGTTTTTAGGGTTTTTGACATATCAATGGATAATATTGTTTTCCATACGGTATTTCAAATGCACGTAGTCGCTTGGCCAGATCAAGGAATTTTAGATTGCGACGACTTGTTAAGAATAATAATTTTAAAAAAATATGTTCTCCTGGAGATTAAGAATCTGACTTTGCATTATCCTACAATTATTCACTGTTCTGCTGGATGCGGTAGAACAGGTACATTCTGCGCGATTGATTCGATTGTGAATATTTTGATGGCCAACGACTCTATAGAGTTGACGTTTGACCCTGTATGTGAGACTGTTAACCACTTCAGAAAGCAAAGGATTTCAATGGTTGAAAATTTGCGCCAGTATTATTTGATTTATGATATGTTATTAAAATATTTGAATGAAAAGGATAATAACATCTGGAATGGGTTATGCAAATCAAGCATCGTACAAAAGTTCATAGAAAGGCTTTTAGATTATAGTCGTTATAATCTAGCCTGACCGATTCCTTTTTTTGGTTTAGGTTTTTATATAAATAAAATATTGCATTTTAATACATCAAGTATTTTGAACTAGAAAGTTTTAGCTTTTCACCTTTTGCATTGAAATTTCTAAATGAAAGAAATAACTTTGCAAAAATGAAGCTTAAGTAGAAAAACTCCAATGGTGTTTTCGAAATGCTTTGCAACTATCTGTTCTGTGATTCCGAGTAAAGGGTTTGTTTATTAGACTTTTTTATCATAAAATAATGACTTTAAGTCAAAATAAGCCCAATTTTAGCTAGTGTTTAACAGTCAAACTATAGAGCGAAGAGTGTTTTGTAGACATTACAATTATGAGTCAAGAGAGAAATGTTAAGATTCTTAGCCGTTCACGATCTACAAGTCAATACTCGAACTATTTTTCTTTTTAACAGTCATTTATCAATACATATATTATTTATGAAAAATACTAACATAATAATTTAAATCCATTAAATAGTCTAAGCATTAGATGCAATGACCTCCTTCAATGCAGCAGGATTAGCTCCAATAATTTTGTTGATAAGCTTTCCACCTTTGAAGAAAAGAACCGTTGGCATTGCAGTAATCTCATACTCTTGTGCAATATCACCAAATTCGTCGACGTCCACTTTAATAAACTTAGCCTGAGTGTACTCCTTTGAAAATTTGTCTAACAATGGAGCAATTATTTTACAAGAACCACACCAAGTAGCAAAGAAATCAACAACAACTAATCCATCATGGGATAATGTATCAGCGAATTCCTGCTTTGAAGTAATAGGTGCAACCATTATAAGATTCAAGAATTGATATTATTATTAATTATTGAATAAAGATTTTATTCAATACTATAGTACTAAGTGACGCAATTATATCGTGCTTTGGTGGAATTCTCACTATTTAAATATACTTTTTCGACGGTACCATTTGTTCTGGAAACTACTATCGATTACAAATACTGCACATCATGCCCACATCTAATTGCGAAAATAGGGCCCTTGATGACTTACTTCAAAAACTTTTGCCTAGGAAAGCTTGATTTGCCACTCTAGTGGAAATATGATTCACTCTGAATTTGTTTCATTAAAAGGTAGCTATTGGTTCCATCGCGGTAAGGAATCGATAGTACCGCAATTGATGATTCTGGCTCTACCACACTTATGCATAAATATCAATTAGCTCTGTAAATGAACTTTCGTCCTTTTAATTCCTTGGCTTCCCAACCTTTCGGTAAATAATTAAACGTGCTAAACTGAATTAATCGAACTAGCATAATAATATATGAGATGTCATGAGTAAGCTAGGTTCTGAGATTTATGACAGTAAAACGTGTTACCGAAACACGGAATCAAACCTAAGTGATTTTTCTTTTAAGCAAGAAATACACTTTAGATTTTTAAGTTCCTCAGAAATATTTATTGACTGAGCGAATCAAGTAATGAAGTAACGTCAACTTCCCTTGGTAAGGTTCTAAAATCTTGCCACTCACTTTTCGCAAGCTGCACTGGGAGGTCCAAAGTCTTCTTATCACTTTCTAAAAGTCTGTTCATTAATTTAGACTTATATGACAAATAAGCTCTCGCTAAATCAACAAAGGATGACTTAGCTTCACTCTGTATTTTATCCATCCTCTGCAGCTCTGCTTCAACCAAGACAAGGTCAATACACTTACATTTGAGATCATCAAGCAAATTGTGATTTTCATCGCTCCATATTCCGAACGTTTCGACTCGAAACGGCTCCTTTTTATAATACACCCCAATTGTACCAACACCATTGATGGTATCACATTCTTCTTCTTGGTATTTAAAATAGTCCATAATTATATCGCGATTTTCGTCTTCAACTTGAGTGTCATATAGTCGTTCGAACTCATCGATAGCTATGTTTTGCCAATTGCTATTATAGCTCAAGCCCTTAATGAAAAGTAATGGTAAAGGATTGTTGAAAAAATCCAAATAAGTGGCTTTAGAGTTAAGTACAATTTGAACCTGTGGTAAAATTCTTAGCCATTTACATATTTTATTGGCATTGGGTAATTCTTTCATGCTATTTGTGAGATTAAGATTAAGCTCAAACAACTGAAAATCGTAATCGCTAAGTTGTGGAATGAAGCCATATGTATCAACGAAATGTTGAATGCTCTCGATCTCCGAGTATGAAATTGTCACTTCGAGTTTTCCTATGATGTTTGTTGGCTTTAACTTCAACAAGATGTCACCAGAATATATATCAACATCAAAATATGCATTACTATGATGGCTATGATTTGCAAAATCTAATACTGGTACCAATGTAACATTGACAAAATAATCATCTTCATTGTCATCAACGTCTTCACTTTTACTGGGTATTTCTAGCGTGCGAGATTTGACTGCTGATTCAATTTGGTAGAACATATCAAAAGAGACTAATTCTGAAAACTTTAAAGCATTTAGGGTATCTGATACGTTTGAATACTTTATTTTCAGTTTTTTTGCGTTTTTAACAAGCTTCTGAAGAAACTTATCTGATGAATAGAAGTTAGTGGGAGGGTATGCTGTTGTTTGTGTCAAGCACAATATTTCAAGATACTTGTCAAATATTCGAAGAGGTGAGTCGACGAAATATGTAGTATTTTTCTTTTTAAACTCGTAAAGAAATCTAAAGCCCCAAAAATAACATATCAAAATTTCGGTCTCATTAGCAGGTTCACAGGCTTTCAAGAGCTCTACTAAAACTGCAGACTCCCTCATCTCCGAATCATCCTTATGAGCATCGTATTTCTTGAGGTTGTCCAATATCTCCAATAGACTGTGATAATCGAAAGTGAACTTCTTTGGAACTCTTAAAATTTCCAAGTCATTTTCCAAGTGTTGATTTATATCAAAAAATAATCCAATTCCTTTCTCAGGAGTTTTTTCAATAGACAAACAGCTATGATATTTGAAAGCACTTTTATTTGTCCATTTTACAAATTCTGAAAGTTCCGATATAGCAGATACTGCCTCTCCGTCTTCTGCGGGCATTTAAAGGCTTCCAAGAAATTAATTGACGATTAGAAGAAAAGGAGTCAGGATATTGCTTGAGAAGTTAATCATAAATTTAGTGCGTTAAGTTATTTTCAGTGTTCAACATATATTTAGTTACTTCTTCTCTAGTGCATTCTAAAGTATGCGACAAAGGAAAAGCAAAAAAAAAAAAAATTTAAAAAATTACACCTTTAAAAGATAATCTTAATATTATTTTCTTAAAATAGCTAATTAAAAGTCGAACAAGACGCTCAACATGTCCTGGGACGATGATGAATTTGATGTAACTGCTAACAACAATGGCGCCGCGGCTTCTTGGGAGGATGAAGAAAACGACGATCCATTGTTGGAGTCATGGGATATCGACGAGGAAGAAGTAGCCAAAAAGAAGAAAGAAGAAGAAGAAAAAAAGAAAGCAGAAAAGGAAGCTTTGAGAAAAAAACAAGAGGAGCAGAAAGCTAAAAAGTTGGCAAAGAAGAAGGGAGACATTCCACTTATGGAAATTGACACGCTTGATGAAAAAACCAGACAAGAAATATTGAAGAAAGCCCAACTTGAAGCAGATTTGAACAATGCAGCAGACTTGTTTGGAGGACTAGGCGTCGCCGATGATGTGGATATTAATGAGCATCCGAGAGAAAGGGCAGCCAAGGCAGCAGCAGCAGCAGCAGCACAAAGACCTCAACTCGTTTTGACCCAAGATACGCCGCTTGAAACACATCCCTTATTCCAGCCTACTAGTAAAGCAGAGTATGAAAAGCTTAGAAAAATCCTTGCTCCAACTCTTACAAACTTAGCTAAGGATTCTCCTTTGAACTACAGTTCTGGGTTAGCAGTTGATTTAATTAGAGATCTTTCACAGCCTTTATCTCTCGAGAGCCTTAGAAAGGTTGTGTCTACTTTAAATGTTGTCATGAAGGAAAAAGAAAAGTTGGAAAGGCAAGCCAGATTAAAGAAGGCTGGGGGAACTGCCACAGGTGGTGCTGGTAAGAAGAAGGCAAAGCCTGCGGTTCAGACTAACGTAGATACTTACAAAAAGGATTTCGACTATGATGATAAGTACGATGATTTCGATGATGATGACTTCATGTGATCATATTTGACTTGCACAGTCTTTTGCGATTTAGTGGCTAATAATATTAATAGAGATGTTGGCTATTAATTAATAATATATATAAACTACATATTACTCCACCTGTGAAATCATATGTAATTCTTCCTAAAGATGACGACATACCGGCCATTTGTATTCGTAATATATCTTTATTTCAAATAGGCAATATGTCACGTCGGATCTTCTAGATAACAGATGCGCCGCGTAACATGAAAAGGTATTTGGAATTGTGCGAATAATTTTATAGTTTTATGTGATATCCGTAGGCTTGTGCTATTCAATTGGAATGTATAAATCTCAATGTCTAAAATCTTCAATGAGTCCAATATCCTATGTCCATGTCACTGCAAAACTGGTGAGGATCTTAATCCTCATTTCCTGAAACATTTATCATATTTATACTTTTGTCCATCTTGTCAAGCAGTGAAATGTGAGGAATGTTGTGCCATACATGTAGAAAGCAAATTCTGTCCATCATGCCTATCCGTTTATTCCTCGAATGAATCCCATTGCATGAAAAGCTGCTTCAATTGCCCAAAATGTTCTTCTAAGCTTTCCGTCACTGTCCTTCCTCATATGCTTAACCAAAGGGAAGCGAAATTCTTTAACTTCAATTGCGTCTACTGCAAATACAATTACTCATCCGAACCAGTATTGAAACCGAGACCGGTATTTACCATAGTCAAAGAGGACAAGCAAAAAAACGATAGTTCAACGAATATGTTTAATGATATTTATAACAATATGATCAATAGAGAAAAATTAAATGTGATAAACCAAAATGACTACGCTTTATCACCAGATATAATTAACAAGCTAGAGATCATGGGTATCAAGAAAGTGTCAAAATTTAACCCGACGACACATCTTCAAGATAGTGTTAACAAGAATGAACTGGTTGCTATAAATCCTACGGAGGATTTCAGTAAGGCATCTCAAGTGGCCATTAAGGACAAAATGAGCGATTTCATGAATGTTAAACAAAGATGCAAAAACGGCAACATCAGCAATGATTCATCAATTCTATATCCGATAGCAACAACTTTAATTCCCAAGAAATCGTTGAAATGTTTGATGTGTAATAACAATATATTAACACCCAATGTAGATACAATAAAATATGATGTCAAATGGAATGCTGTTGATTTCTTACCTACTTTGCATTTGTCAAATCCTGATGATGAAGAACCTGATAGGATGTTAGAGCCTGGGGTTTCTTATACATTTCTTATTAGCTTGACTAACCCCTTAAGCGAAAAGGCTGATATAAAACTTTCATATATCTCGAAACTAGGAAAATCTTTCATATCTTCCGCAGATATTCAAGCTGACATTTATATTCTGGCAACTGAAGTTTCGTTGGGTCCGTCACATAATCTCAAAGACCTTATAAAGTCTATTCCTACTTCGTTTCTAACTAAAAAAACAATGATATCTCGTTCAGAGATTTCGTTGAGAAGGGAAGCAGCTATAAAGTCTGGGGTCAATGATTGGTGTCTGATCCCGTTAAACTTTACTGCTACTTTCTCAAAAAATATAAAAGCACAAAATGTGGATATATATGTACCATTGTACATAACAGTTACATCAGAACTTCCGGATAAAGTGAGAGAAATGGAAACATCAAAAGAACAGCTCAAATTTGGTTACTGGAACATAATAAAATTGGGAGTCTTTTCAATAGGTTGAAGATCTATTGAATAATTGCTTATAATTTAAAAATCTAGAATTAATATTCCTGCTACCTTTGCTAAGTGTCTAGAATCCAAGGTATCATTATCTAAAGGAAGATCAGAATCATATGCCATTCTTGTCTGCGTGTCTTGCTCAGATATATCATCAGGATCAAAATGTTCAGTTTGTTCAACATCTTCTTCGGTTTTATTACTTCTGCTCCCATCGTATATGTTATCTATACCGTCGACTTTATGAAGTGAATCTCCTTCGGCAATTCGTTCTTCGTTAGCTCTCACTATGGCCTCTTTTACGAACAATTGGATGTAAGCCGATGAAAGTTCTAAAGTCTTTTGGGTTATTTTCGTATCATCGTTTTTAAATGACAACTCTCTGAATATCCTCACAACTGTTTCCAGCATGTTTAAATTATTAGACAGATCGCTCATCTTTGATAAGTCTTAAATATTTTATTTATTTACTTTTAGAAAACCTGTATTTAAGTTTCATAAGCTCAGATATAATTTTATGTACACGGCAAGATACATAAGTAGATTGAAACTTGAGTTGCAAAAATTACATACGAAATGACATCTTCGACTCACCTATCATTGAAGTTCCAGAAAGTACTGAATTTATTGTTGGAGAGCACTTCGCTTTATTGACTCATAAGCCTTCAGATTGCTAGTCGTCACGCACATATATAACACAACTCACTTCAACTATCGTTCCCTCGGACCTAGATTAGATAACAGAAGACGATGTTAGAATCCTAATGTATCCGACTATGTCACCACCTTTCAGATTTAGTTCAGCAGTACTTTAAAGTTTCACATTCTCCTCCGTTATCTGATATAAGTAAAATCCTGTATAAATGCAGTTTTGTATGGTAAAAAATTTTTAGCCTACATACATCTCATCTCTAGAGGGCCGCTGTGGATAATTTCTCCTAATTCTTGTTAAAGATCATAATAAGCGTTACATATTGGCACTAGAATGAATTCATCTGATTCTATACTATGCTCAAGATTTGATGGCTCTAAAAGTTTCTTGGCATACGGAAGTATCTCATTAGATATTCATGAAGTGAGAGTCGTATCGATATCGTCATCTCAGTCTTCACTTGATGCATTACTAAAACTTGACAAGTCCAGTAAACTCACCAACCTTAATTGGATTCGCTATGAAGATAATGATCTTTTAGCAGTGTGCTTAACAAAAGGTTCTATAATATTGTATTCTCCATTGAGTAATGAGATCATATCGGAACTCTTTTCTTCAGAACAGACATCAATGTTGGATTTTCACTACTCAGAACTTACCAAAACAGGTTGGTCTTGCGATATAGGGGGGAACATTTACGAATGGGACATGTTGAGCTTCAAATTAATGCAAAAATTTAAGGTCGTTGATTTACAAGATTCTGCTTCTTATTTCGAAAGATTGACAGTAATAAAATACAGAGATGCGCCACATCTCTTGGGTGGTTCATTTTCATTGCAACTTATTAATCTTGATACGAAAGAAAGAGTAAAATCATTCCCTGGTCATATTGAACCGATTAATACGTTGGTTCCTGTTCCTAGTGACCCTGACTTATTTTTAACCAGTGCGAAGAATGATAGATTTATTAACATGTATTCGATAGAAAAGAATGCAACAAAATCTATCTACACATCTCAAGCGTGCGTCCAAAGTTATGCATTAGGATCTAAGGATGGAAGATCAATCTTAGTAGCCATTGATGAAGAAGGTAGTATGGAAATTTTTAACAATCCATTGGAGTCTAAAGTATCGGAATCAGCCAAAACTGGAGTTAAGAAGAAAAGAAAGCAGATGGTTGACGTCCAGTCTCGAATTCCAGAGTGTAATATTCGACTTACTAGACCAGCAGACCAGATCAAAAATCCTTCTGATTCAAATTTAAGAATTATTTCCGTATCTATCAAAGATGACAGTATACTTTTTTCGTGGATGGAGGGACCTGACATGCCGTATTTTGATAGTATGACATGGATAGACCATTACGGACACTGTTCACTTACTGAGGATATAATTATGGAGAAGAAGAGACCAAACACCAAAATAACCAAAAATTCTTTATATGGACATGATATTTCTGCGACAAAACATTATAATGAAGGTAATGCCATAATCACGGAGGGAGGCTCTCTTAGGGATATCGATGACGATGATCAAGACGAAACGTTAGCTGAGAAGTTAGAAAAATTAAATGCAGGGCAAAAGAGTCAGTCTTTGAAGCGACAAAAGAAGAAAGGTGGGAGCATAATTACTTCTTTAGCTGTGGTTCTCTCGCAGTCTCTAAAAAACGACGATAATACATTATTAGAAAGCGTTTTGAGTAATAGGGACTCGCAAGTAATTTGCGAGACTATAACCCGACTTGACCCTTCTTTGGTTGTTATCTTATTAGATAGATTATCTGAGAAAATTATAAGGCAGAGCTCAAAATTCGACCAATTGAATTACTGGTTGAAATGGATCATAATTATACATGGAGGGTATCTTGCAACGGTTCCTCGCCTAAGCAGTCAGCTTGTTAATTTACATGCAATACTAAATAAAAAAGCTACCACTTTGCCTAGATTACTTGAGCTCCAAGGTAGACTAGGCATGCTTTATAAGCAAAAGGAATTAGAACATGAAATATTGAGTCCTCGATTCGAATCTCTGGGCGATGAGTTTGATAGTGATGTAGAATACATTGAAGAAATGGAAGACGAGCAGCTCTTTGAGAATGATAATACTTCTGGTCACTCAAGTATAGAGATTGAGGATAGATTCAATAGTCTGGATGATGGCGAAGAGGCGTCTGATAATCTTTAATTAGGTCAATTGTCAGCCAGATGCATGTCTGTAAATTTGGCTGTGCTCATTACATTTTAATATTATATACCGGTCCATTTTATATATCATTAGAATACTCTCACAATTTAATATAGATGTTTATCTTGAAGCCCAATGTACATTTATAATGCTTGAGGTCCCTTGGCGTTTGGTATACTTAGCAACTATACCATTGAAGGTAGTCTTTGCATTATCAAACTCATATATTCATCCTGACGAGCATTTTCAAAATTTCGAAGTATTGACAAATAAAATATTAAACTATAATACAATCGTACCATGGGAATTTTCACAAGAGGCAGCTTCAAGAAGTTTTGCACCATTATACTTATTTTATAGTCCAATGCTATATCTTATTAAATTTCTGGGAATTGATTTATCACCAATTCAGATTTGGTATATAATCAGACTTCAGTTTGCTATCATAGGCACTCTAATATGCGATTCATGTCTATGGTATCTTCTACCAAATAAGCCCGAGAGAATAAAGGCCCTCTTTTTTACGCTGACTTCATATATTACTTTAGTATTCCAATCGCACTGCTTCTCCAATACTATCGAAACTTGGTTGGTTTTATTGAGCTTGGTTATTCTCGATGATTTAAGGCAAATTACTGAACTGAAAGAAATCAGACTGCGTTCCCGAAAGAATCATTTTTTTTTTGGCGTGCTTTTGTCAATTGGTATCTTTAACAGAATCACTTTTCCTGCCTTCATTATTTTTCCGTCTTACTTCCTATTGGTGAACCTATGGTCAAATATGTTTGATGCGGTCTGGTGTGTTCTTGGCTTTCTTTCAGTATCCTATATCTTTGTGTTGATCGATACAGTGTCATATGGAATCAAATTAACTAGCGTTATACTGAATCCTTTCAGCTTTCAATCTTATATTTTGACACCGCTTAACAATTTTATATATAACTCCAAGATTGAGAATTTGTCTACTCATGGTTTGCATCCTCGATATCAACATGTGCTAATTAATGTACCTCAGATTTTGGGTCCCGGATTATTCTTGCTATTTTATAGGTTTCGGAATAGATATTGGAAGACCATACCTTTCTTGAGTGCTCTAGGTGGATGTCTATCTTTATCGATTTTTCCGCACCAAGAACTCAGATTTTTAATGCCTATTTTACCTTTATTGTGTTCTTGCTTTGATTTAAGAAGCTTCCAATCAGATTCAAATGAAAGCGATATAAAATCATCATCCATCTTCAAATTCATCTTGAATGCGTGGTATGTTTTCAATATCATATTAGCGATTCTCATGGGCACATATCATCAAGGAGGTGTTATACCTGCTCTTGATTACTTTCATCAATCATTGATCAAACTGCATGAGGTTAAAACGGCTCAAATCTGGTGGAGAACATATTCACCACCAGCTTGGATTTTGGGAGATCTCTACAACACTGTTGAGGTTAAATCTTTGTCAAATTTATCTTTTGATTCTGTACTGTCAGAGAATCAAAAAAATGAGTTGATTGATGGAATGGGAATGGAAAAAGGACTGCTTCTCAAATTGATCTCAAACAGTAGAAAGGCGGGCTTTCGTCGTGTGTTTTTGGTGACTCCTACATCGTCATTCAATTTAGAATTAAAGCATCAATTAAATGCGAATGAGATTTGGCACTATGCGTACCATTTAGATTTAGATCATATTAATATAGCCATAGCTGAGACATTTAAACCAGGTCTAAGTATTTATGAGCTCCTTTGATCAAATATGTTGATGAAGGGGGGGGCTTGACTCTATGTATTATTATACAATGAATATTTGTATTTATAAGGACCTTCTTATTTATAAAATTCGAACTTATCTTGCTCACTACCTGTCTTTACTTGTGCAGTGTATGCCTCTTCCAAATCGCTTTGAAGAATCATGTATCTATTCTTTCGAACAGCCCTGAGACCAGCCTCTTGCATTATTGCTGCAATTACTGCACCTGACAATGGTGCATTCCTTAAAATCAATGAATCTAAGTCAACTTCCGGAGCTAATGCCATCTTAGAAGCAATAGTCGAAAAGATCAATCTTCTTTCTCTCCTATCTTTCAAAGAAGGAAACTCAATCTTTCTATCTAATCTACCGGGCCGTAATAATGCAGGATCTAAAGTATCTGCCCTATTCGTTGCCATTATTACTTTCACAGTCGACGTCTGGTCAAACCCATCCATTTGGTTAAGTAATTCTAACAAAATTCTTTGAACTTCTCTATCAGCACCCGTTTGAGCATCAAATCTTTTAGTGGCAATAGCATCGATTTCATCAATAAATATTATGGCAGGTGAATTTTCCCTCGCAAGTCTAAACACATCTCTCACCATTCTAGGTCCTTCTCCTAGATATTTCTGAACAAATTCTGAGCCATTGATTCTTATAAAAGATGCAGTAGTTGAATTTGCAACTGCTTTGACTAGCATTGTCTTTCCTGTTCCTGGTGGACCATACAATAATACCCCTCTTGGAGGGTCTATACCAATTTGAGAGTACAAATCCCCTTGAGTCAAAGGTAGCTCCACAGCCTCCCTGATTTCCTGCTTCTGCATATCCAAACCACCGACATCAGCATATGTTACATCAGGTTTTTTGTCATCACTAACAATAGATATAGATGAATCTGCTTCAGGAGGTAATATATCAACTAACGCATTGGAATGACGGTGTAAGGCAACTGACGAAGATGGTTTCAATAATTCGCGATCCAAAGTTGACAAGATACGAACAACATAGTTAGAGCCAGTTGTAGATGATACAATACCAGTACTTTCATCAATGGGTTCCAAGAATTGGCCAATGACTAATGGTACGGACTTGATTCTTTTCACTTCTTCTTGAGCACGTATGAGTTCCCTTTTCAAGTGGCGCTGTTCATCCTTGATATAATCTTCTTGTAATCGCAATAATTTTAGCTCCTTCTGTAATTTTTTAAGCTTTAGATAGACATCTGATCCTTCGTCTTGATGACCCGTAAATTTAGTAGTCTTGCCGTAAATTGATGACGTCTGAACTGACGCTGGACTTTCTATGCCAAGTTCCTCCATTATTATTCCTATAATATGAAATGACTTAAATGTATTGTCTTTTGATTCAATGGAAATATGCTAATCTTGTTACTACGGAAAAGATTATAGTAAGTCTTTGTGTATCTATATGATCGTATTGAGTGGCAACTAAACAGATCGATGAAATTACGTCTGAAGCACGACTACTTTGAGACCTGCATATCAATGAATTATAGAGTATTCACCAGTCAACTACTTTAAGTATAATGATACTGCGGCACCAAGGCCATACGAAATTATGGATATTATCGTTGACATAAGAGCGAAGTCAAGTTTTGTAAATTCTACTGTATCCCCAGCATTTAATGCAAACGAGTTGTAGGCTGCAAGTAGAGAGTTTCGCAACCTTTGCCAATCTAATGGAAAGTTAACAATGCGAGCCGAGTCTTGTAAATTTGAATGCTCCACTTTAGGCACGACTGGGTTTTGAGTATTTAAAATTCGTTCTTTCTCCTTGGATGACATATTCGTTAACGCTTCTTTCACTTTCTCTTCAAATGATCCGACAAGCTTATGGCGCTTCCACGGTTCTACAAGAAATGTAGCAGCAATAAATAGCAATACATTGATACCCATGAGAACCCAAGTACCCCAGGTAGAAGCCCTTCGAATTTTGTCTGACCATACCTGCTCTTCGTGATACCTTGATAATATCATATGAATCAATTTCAGTTGAACATTCTCAACTTTTGCCTCTGCTTTGTTTAAATCTTGCTGCGCTGAAAGCTCATTTTGCTCATTCAGATGATCATTCTTGTAGAGCTCCGTAAATCTTTCTAAATCTTGGGACGTCCAAGAGTTTCTTCTCGTCAATAGCTCATTGATCTCTTTTTGCGACTGTGACCTTTTTTGAATTGCATCCATATAAAGCTTCTTACTTTCTTTCACCGAAACCTTAGATAATTTCAATTCATCTTCCATTGACTCTATGTCTTTTTTCAAAATTTCAATAGCTGAATAGCCCGTAATTTCGTTTATACTCTTGGTTGCGAGATTTAACTTATTATATACAATTTTCAAATGAGAGCTCAACCAATTTAATGCCATGGATTCATCTCTTAATTGGATGCCTTTTAAATTTTTAGTGGCTTCATTTTTAGTCGACGATGTTATCAGTGTTCCTGGAGTAATCCCCTTTCTCCCTCGTGCTTTATTTTTTCTCATAACGTAAGTTTCGCTAGAGTCAGGCTTTAGAGACAATTGCTCCTCAGAGACAGGAAGCTTTTCTTTAGAGGAATCTATAATCTCTTGAAGCTTCCTTTCTTTCTCTTTGTCAAAGTCAGGGTAGGTTGAAATTTTAGTCGGTTGATTTGGAAGTAGTCGATCAGAGTCATTCGTGGAATATAATCGAGGCATACAACGAAACCTCAAATACTCTAAATACTTCTTTCCACAATGGCTGACTCCGAGCTGACCTATTCTCTGCATGACATTTGCCTTTAATATATGGAAATCTAAAATAAAAGGTCAATTATAGTTCGTACGTAAATTTCCGTCGCTCGGATAATCGATATCATGCACAAGCAGGAATGTATATATTGCGAAATTTACTCAAATTTAAAGCGGATCCATAAAGTATATAAAACTATTTAAAATTTTTGTCGACCAAATCTTTAGACAATTTCCAGTCATTTTTTTCAATGTAATCCAAAACTATTATACCGACTCCTTTAGCGTAAACGTCTTCGATTCCACCTTTTGACATAGCCTCCGCAACCTTCTCTGGCCAGCATTCGTGGTCAAAAAAGTTGGATCCCGAAGTGAAGTTTATATATAACTTGTCGTCATGGTTCTTCAGATAGTTCTCTGCTTTCTTCGCTAAATCTTTTACGTACTTGACTTTTTTCTTTATATCGTCACCACTTTGAATCTCACAGAAATCTTGTACAACAAAGCTACCACGATCATCTTCGGTGGTATTGTATTTCCAAGATGCCGCATCGAAACCAAATTGTTTTCTCTTGTTTTCGTCGTTGACACCAAATCTACGGAAAAGTATAGCCTTCCCTCTTGTGTCCTTCAATTTCGGAAGTTGTGGGTTCAAGTACCAATTATTTTTATGATTGTTGATATACTTATCCCATATCAAGTTCCCAAACTCATCCTTGTTATTGTTCCAATCATTAGAGCCCTCCTGCTTAAGAGAAACAATAACAGTTTCTGACTTATTGTGTTCCAAAAACTCGTAGACTTCTTTTAAAGCATCAGTTAACTTCAAGGGAAATGGTATCTTGACAGGGAATTTACCATGAATAACCTGTAAGTCCTTCGCTTCATCACCCTCCTTCAAAAATAACTTACCCACCCTTATATCCAAAAATCTCACACCATGGTTCAATTGATCAGTGATTGACTTTCCTTGGCACTGAACTGAAGGCAAAGCAGTATGGCAGGCCGCTGAGTTATGGGTTCCTGGAATTGACAATTTTGTGATTTTAGTATTGTCATCAACCTCTTTCATCCATCTCTTGTAGTCGACCATGTTTTAGATTTACTCAATTACTTATTTTAGTTAAGGGGAAATTATGAAGAACGATATATATAAATCGAAATTTATTACTGAAGATATTGTGTTAGCTGGAAATATGAGATTTCATTTAGTTTATAACTCCTCGTGTACCCTAAAGGACATTTAACCTGAAATTTCATTATCCGCCATTATGCACTCTATAAATTGTATTTTGGCATTCTATACAGTATTCCAGACGTCATTATAGCCATTCAGACCCTTGGTTTCAGGCACGCAAACCCATATTAGCAAGAAATACATGGCCGATATAGCAAAAAAAATAAAAAAAACACTGCCACCAATCAATGATTGCAAAATTGGGAACAAAAATGCTATAAGAATACTCGAGAACCAGTTTATGGTAGTTCCGACGGATTGGGCAACTGCAATTGCCTCATGGTGAGCTAGCTCAGATACCATCATAAAAGGAATTGGACCAAAACCTACGGAGTATCCGAAAATAAATAAAAAGCATGCAAATGCAACCAAATAATCAAAGTCGAAATTTAAGCCTACCGCGATTATGAATGCACTAAACCCCATCACAAAGGCTGACAAAAGAAGAAGGGGTCTTCTACCTAACTTGTCTATAGCTGGTGATATTGCTAGAAGACTGATAACATTACATAACGAGAATGAACAAGTCAACAGTATGACATTAGTGCCTGGTGGTGTGACACTTTCCATAATTTTTACACCATAGAAAGTTATGGCATTCATTCCAGCTAACTGTTGAGCAGACATAATAATGATTACTGCGAAAAGTTCTTTGCGGTATAAAGATTTCAAGAAAAAGTCTAAAGTTGAAACCGTCGAAGGGTCAATTGAACCTCTTCTTGAAATAGTTGTTGTCAATGGTTCCGAAAATATGCTATCTTCTGACTCTAATAAAGCAGTGGTCTCACCTACTTTAGCCTCATACTTGGAATTTGCTGACAATCTTTGCCAATGATTTATTTCATGAGATATGCTTGAGCGATTTGATCTCAAGTCATTCATTATATCTCTAGCAGTGTTTATATCTCCATGTTTAACAATCAACCATTTTGGCGATTCCACCGTAGTAAAAAGTGCAAAGAATTGGAAAAGTGCTAGCGAAGCAGAAAATACAAAAATGTATCTCCATTGTTGGTTGTTGGACCAAAAATAAGATACAAATTGTGCCAAAAAGATACCTATGGCAACTGCTAATTGCAATAAAGAACCTAAAAACCCCCGCTGGCTAGTGGGTGTAATCTCATTTACTAATATTGGGGTAATGAACATTGCTGCACCACCTGCAAAACCATTCAAAAGTCTACCCAAGCAAAAGAGCCAGTAAGAATTTGCGAGTGCCATCATCATTGATCCTAACAAAAACAAAGCGGCATTCGCAAAACATATCACTTTTCTCCCGAACTCATTTGATATGTTCTTCGATCCTATAATGATAGATGATAAAAGTCCACCCACTGCGAACAAAGTTGTAATTATTGCTATACTACTAGAACCATCCATAGGAATACATTCCTGAAATTTATATTGACCCCAAAAAGTATCTGTATAATTCTCTAGCGGTCCTTTTTTAAACGATTTGCAAGATAAGATTTCTCCTGGTCCATTTAATTCAGCTAAGTGAAATCCAAATTGCAACGTACCTAGACTCGCAATTGCAGTCGCCCAGCCCAATTTGGGTGTTATCTTATGAGGAAGATTGAGATAATCAACTTCCACCATCTTTCTTTCAAGCTCTTCTATGTAATATTAGAAAATGTCACTTTGCAACACTCTGTGTATTTATAATTTAAAGAGAGTGAAACCGGTGCACCTGAGAAATTCGGATGCGCGATAAGCTCTTTCTGTGTGATTTGCCTATCTCAGATCACAGAACTGGTGATTCCTGTGTTGTTGACGCGTGTAAGATCAATCAAGCACTTCAAAATGTGTAAGTAAATAAATAAGACAGATTGTTATAACTTTATAGCTTTATTTAAGTGGTTTGAACACTCAGGAACATATGACATTAATCTGAAGCAACTTAATGTGGTCTGCACTTAACACATGAACAGGCAATGACATCAATAGTTTGCCAGTGGAACTCCTTGAGGACAAATCGACAGTGATCTAGCAAGCTACCCTGAATGTCCCCCTCAGCCAACTTGAAGAGCTCAGATACTTTGTAACTGGTTTCGAGCTTGGGCAATTTTTGAGTCAAAATATGTGTACTAAGGGTATAGGCTGCTACATTTGAACACATCTTAGTCTCAATCAGAGGACAGCGCCTAGTTACACTTAGCAATATTAGGAACACTACATGTATAGTTCTTAATTGGGGTGCGACGCGGAGAACACCGATATGAAACACAAGATCAACCATCGGTGATGATCATGGGTTGCTTTGAGTAACAAAAATTGAAATCCTGTGTACAGTGTCACATTTACATCGACGGCTACAATTAACGGCACGCCGATTAGCTACATATTCAATACCATGGTTCTGATCTCAAAGCATGAACTATTAATTTACACAAATTTAAAATCGTTAACATCAACCAAAGTTTCAAACTTAATAGATGCATCTATAAAACCCTCTAGCACTATCCCAGTCGTTTCGGGATCTACGTCATTGAATTCTAGTTCTTGTGCAAAGAAGATAGAAATTTCATTGACCCTTGTGACAATATCCTCTCGTAAGTCCGCACTTGTATATGTAAATTGGGGGACGACAACAAATGTGCAGCTTTTGAGATTCTGTGTGATTTTACCTCCAAATCTCTCTATCTTTTCTTTCAAATATTTGGCCGCAGATTTGTCGGCATTCAACAGAACCACAAAAAATTCAATAGAATCAAATAAAAACCTTAAGGGCACCTTTATATTATACTTCACAAAATCACTTTTCGCCTCTTGTTTAGCTTCGTAGATCTCTCTATACCCCAAGGAATTAGAAAAATGCAAATTGTTTAGGTTATTGGTATGCACTATCCAACTGTCTCCGTATTTATCGATTCGCGAATTGTCAAAATACCCTAAAGTTTTGGATTTAAAGAGAAGTACTGGTTCTAGCTCAACTATAGCGTTTCTTCTTATGCACTCGAAAATCCAGTCTGGCATTACGAGGTCGTATCCATTTTTAAGGTAGACTTCCGCCACAGGCAAGAAAAATTGACAAATAATCACGATTTGCTTCCCAGTGTCCTCAGATGGATACCTAATAACCTCACCTTGAAAACTTTTTACAAGCTTTTTTAGTTCAGCTATAGGAATCCTTTCTCCATCTTTCGTAACTTTATCTGTCAAGATAACAAAACTAAAGCTTGAAAACAAGTCTGACTCGACTTTGAGTGAAGTAGATGTCATGGACACATTCTCATCAAATGAGGCTTGGAGTCTTCTTCTTTTATTTATAGTCTGAGACTTCGTCACATTTTTAGAATACTTCGCTCTCATATTGTTATATTCCTCAAAAGTTATGCAATCATCTGGTGATTTATCTTCTCTAATACTCCTACAATAAATATTATGCAAACTTGATCCAACGGCGTAAGTCGTATCATAACTTGAGTCAATTGATCTTGCCTTAATCTCAAGGACGAACGACTCATGTGGATGAATCCAATACGAGGGTCTCTTCGTGCCAAATTTTAGCGTGGGTGGAAGCTTAAATTCCTTGAAGCTACGCCATTTATTATGGGTCATTCTCTCAATTTTATCATAGTCGTACTCTGTAAATCCGTTCGCGACCATGCTAAAGCTACGAAATACCCCATTGCTATCTTTCAAAGCTACCATGTAGGAATTCTTAATACCAGGTTCTTTGCCAATTACAGTGAGATCTAAGTTTTCGCCAAATTGTTCTAAATATTCTGGTTTTATCTTGATCCAATTGTGGCTTCGATTGTTTATATGGTACTTCAGTTGAATATGTTTGACCATAATTCCTTCGCATCTCAGACTGACTATTTTCTTGATGGCTGCCCTTATATCACTGGGTGTAGATGCATAATAAACATCCAATATTTCAAGACGATGGGGAACTGGATTAATTAATCTCTTGAGTAATTCCTTCCTATAAAATAAAGGCATAGATGTCAAATTTTTACCATTTAAATGGATTATATCAAATACAATAAAAAAGGGATACGATGACTGCTCAAAGTACTGATCAGAAGTATTAAAACTCTTTACCGCCTCTTGAATCGCTGCAGCCCTTAAGGTACCAAAGGGTAATATGACGTTCCTCTTAAAGTCCCAAGTAACCATTTCACCATCTAATATTATACTTCGCACTCCAGGTTCGAAGGCGTTGGATAAATATTTAGTTAACGATCCAATGTGGAAGTTTTCTCCGTACAATAAAGTGTAATCCTTGAGCCTTCTAGAAAAAAACTTGAATTTATTGTTCTTCATATGTAATAGAATTCTATCACCGTCCATTTTTTCTTCTATAATAAATTTGTTTTCTAGATCAAGTGCGTTATATTCCTTCATTAGCAGATTATTCATGGGAAATCTAGTCTTCATTTTCTTAGAGAGTTGGTCATAGCTTATGAAGAGTTTATGCGAAAGCTGCGGCAAAAATGGTAAGAATGGATGCACTACCAATTGGTCTTCATTCAATCTTCTATTGGGGTCAGAAAGATATCTAAACGTCTTTTCTAAACTATTGCAAACTCTGAATAATCTCGCTCCGTCGGGATGCCAGGAATCGAAAAAAATAGGCTCAAAAATGTTTAATATTGAGACCTTAAGAATAATTGCAAGGAGCCATCGGATATCTTCCACTGTCATTGACTTTAATAGCGGACCCAATAAGATAATTTGCTCAGAACTTTTTGAGGCGTTTGTGAGCTTGTCCAACATCTCATTCAATTCCTTGACAGTTACTTTCCTTTCGGATCGATTGACATCTAAACGGCGATTAGATATAATGCGTGCAATGATTAAAGGTAAATTCCTCAAATATCTTTTATTGCTATTGAAACCTTTAGCTGTATGATAACTTCGTTTCCAGTTGAATAACACATTGTAGTCTTCAGAGTTTCGAGGAATATTAAATATTTTAATAATTAGTCTTGCCAACGTCACATCTCTGATAAAATATAGCCTCTTATCCTTGTTCGGGAATATTAACCTTGAACTGGGAAATACATCGTCACCAATATGAGTTTTAAAGTTATCCACAAATGATTTTACAATGTGTACCTTCTTGGAAGTGATGTTCCTAAATTGTCCTAGATTATCCTTACGTACGCCATCTAGTCTGGAAAACAAGGAATCAACTAAAAAGTCGAATTTAGGTTCTTGCAAATTTTTAGGAACTGCGAGGTTATCAAGGAAGGACATCTCAATGCTCTGCCGCGTAGGATTAGCTGTCTATATTCTGCAGACCTGGAGAGAGACTCGAGTCGAGTCACCCCATGAGCCATCGGATCCGTATTATAAATTATATGTCGGATTGCAGTTGGTCGCCAATAGTGACATAGAAGGCCGTGAGCTCAGAATCTCCCACGCAGGGGGTCCGTTCCGCAACTAAGATTAATCTCAGGAACCGTCACAAAAGGATCTTAAAGCTCTATTCTTGATGGGCGCTTTAAGTTACTAATGAGGCGCAGGTCCCTAGAAATTATTGAACGCTTGCTGGCGGCTCATACTAATTGTCACCTTGTTGCACTAAAAGTACGAAAGCTGTCATGGCTATGTTAGTATCTATTTCACCGATCGCGGAAACAATAGGCTCGGTTCTGACAGCGTAGAGAAAATCGGATACGACAGATTATCGCGCGACTAAGCCGGCTACAATCCGTTCAACGAGTAAAACGTTCTCAAGCCTCTGGCTACAGAGCATACTATTCGGTGTTAACGTTGGAGCAGTTGGAGATGCTTCATCTAGTTGCCTTAAAAGTCTAAGCAGATAAATGCTTCTTCGTTCAGTATCGTACAGGAAACTGCGAACACAACTCATGTACCTTTGAAGCGATTTTTGTGCCATTATTATGTTAGAGCCCGCAAAGGCTTGTTACGGGTATCTAATCCACAGTACGAACACTACAATATAGGCTTCATCACACACCTCTATTTTCCAAAGCACTGCCATTAAATGTGTTCCTGAAATATGGTAGCATCAATATGTTGCTTCGCAGCATTGAGATGCTCGCTCATTCCTTCCATCGTAGATTGCGGTTGCTTAGGTTGCTAAGTTTTTTTTTCTCGCTCTTAGCTCTGCCAAATTACAAATACGATACGGCATCTAAGCCTAACAAGAAATATCCGTTGAAACCTATCAGTCACTTGGCAGTAGGTTTTAAATAAAAGAATAAGCTTCTTCCTATATAATATTTTTGCTGTTTCTAACACACAAACGTACTTCAAGGGTCTGCTATGCCACTTGCGCTACTCTCACCCAAGAAAAGGAGGTCGGCCCAGACAATTGGCACGTCGCCTGCCGAGCTCCCCAAGAAGCTTAGCTTGTCGCCACCACCAGCGTACAAACTGACAGAACAACTAACTCCGCCTCAAACTATGGGTTCAAGGACGAGCGGGGCGAAGAACTCTTCGGAAGACAGCTCAAACTACTCAGAGAGCGTGCCAAGTTCTCCGAATGCTTATCGGTCAATGTCTTTAAAATTGGAAACTTCTTCGACACATTCTTCTATTCACAAGAGAACATTATCGGATAAAGTAAAGGCAACCCCATCATCCTTGGTTAGACGGCTGAGGTTATATTCATCCCCATCAGGCTCTGATCCGAACATCAATAACATTAACATGAAGTCGTTACTCTTGCAAAACAAGGAAATAACTGACAGTCTACCTAAAGAGTTGGCACCCGTTGTGAATTTGATATTAGCTCATAAACTTACTACTTATGCAGTTGGATCCCTTGAAGTCCCGGCTTTCGATGAAGCTAATCAAAGAATCTGGTTGACTGTTGACGCTAAATTGACTGGAAATGAATTAGCAATTTGGAGATCTTCCAAAGAGGATTATACAATCTTAGGAGGCAATGATGAGTATAAACCTAATTATATCAACTTGATAGACTCCAACATTGAATTGTTGAGTGAAAGAAAGATCAAAATATTTCAAGATTTCAAAGACGAAAACGCTTTACTTATACACTTTCCTACTGATGAAGAATACATAAGATGGATAGCAGCAATTCAGCTAGCAAGTTTTGAATATGTATCGCTAAATGAAGCATTTACTGCCGTTATGTTATCCTTAAAGGGCCCAAAATTATCAGATATTCATATTTTACTTCTTCCAAAGAAGAGATTCCCTAAATTTGAATGGTGTAATCTAAGATTGCCCCAAGTTTCTTCTAAGTGGTTAAAAGTTTATGTGGCTATCATTCCTTCAGAATCTAAAAAGAAGGGTCGGATAGAAATATACACGAGTGATAAAATCAACAAAAAGAACTTGATCATATACATACCAGATGCTTCCAGTGTATTCAATGTATACCCAGAAACTGCAAGCATGATTGATTTCAATTCAATTCTCAAATTGAATGGCGAAATTTATATCAATAAGCAATATGAACATCTTTTTATTCATAATGATACCCACAACCAAGGCTCTTCAAGATCATTTTCCTTTAAAATGCATTCTAAGGAGGAATCTTTTACCTCTTTGACCTCTTTGGATAGATCACAATCCACTGGAGGAAGAACAAGAAGTACATCTTCAAGTTCTACTTCATCTTTTTTCAGCACGGCATCTTCACCAGCACCGTCATCAAAAGAGTCAGCGAAGGGAGTAACGTCGTATATCAAGAAAAATTTGAATCATTTCGTTGTTACTAATTACGTATATTTAATGCCTATTCCTCATCCTGGGGTCTCTGCGATTGAAATCATGATAAGAAATTTCATTCATATTATTGATTCTTTTAAACTTTATGGCAGACCAGATCAACTCGTTAGTGATAAGACGAACGAGAATTCAATGCTCTTTGGCATGCCTTCACTTCCACATCATAAATATTTATCAATGGATGAGGCTATGAAAGTGGTAAGAGATAACTTGAAAACGGCTCAATATGATAATTGGAATAAGTTTCAATGGCGTACTGCATTGAAGTCTGAAATATCTAAGTTATACTCGCTAGGAGCTTACAAAGGAAGAGGTGATATAACTACGTTGTATAGTCAATTAGACTTGAACTTTGGTGAAATATCAAGCCCTTCTATCAATTTTCCATCAGGTGGACAATCTCCCCTTCCTAGTCCATTACCTCCAAATGGTTATGAATTTGAAAATTTTAGTGACTCGGCTATGAGTCCACTGAATAGTTTATACAATTTTCAAGTACCAGGTCTTGGGGAACCTATAGATTTGGGACGCGGTGAGAAAAAGTTGCCCCGATCTTTTGATTCTAAATTTAATTCTTTGAACACAGACAAACCATTGCCATCGATTGATCGGACTCTGACGTTAGATCACAACCATCCGTACTCTACATTTGTTAACTTGACGCTAAATGAGGATGAATGAGTAGTTCGCTCCGCTTTGTCTTCTCTCAGAACTACTTTAGCGTCACTTTTTTATTTTTATTAGGTAAGTTTATAGACTGGCACTTAGCTCATGTCTTGACTAAAATGTCACAATGTATTACTACTCGTGTTTTATGTATGAATTTAGTAGATTCTTTATAATTTCAAACGTGGTTAAGATATATATCTAACTGAATTTGATTCCTACAGGGGTACGAACCCCGACCTTTATGGCTTTTGATAAACTATTGTGGCTAAAGAAAACCTTGTCTGATGCAGTCCGTCTTCACGTCTACGAATTACACGTCTAATGTATTTTCACGTACACGTCTGGAATTTCACGTTTCTGCACGCGTACTCCCTTTATAGACAAGAGTAAACACGAATTAATAATTCAGTGCCAGGTTAGTGAGTTGCAGTATTCGTAAGTAGGGTAGTATGATCATTACAAGCTTTAGGATCATAGGCTTTTATGGGAAAAAGATATATGCTTGAATACCCTGATCTCAGAGCTTATATACTTACCTTCTAAGTCTAAGTAATTCTAACAATCAGGAAGCTCGGTGTGCATATGATCTATTTGGTGGAGCAACTAAAAAAAAATCGCGTTTGGAACGCTCTCAACAAGAAATCCTCTTGCCGTTGCAACAACATTAGGTAGTATAAACAAACATACTAATATCCGTCATCGGGAGCTCTTTCTTTTTTCGAGAGCGTATAAATAGAGAAGGATCCTCTGTCCATAGATAGCATATACTCTTTAAGCATTAGCTTTTGAAGAAAATAGAGATCCAACACTGACCTCAACACATCAATAGCATCAATGTCAATTCAACAAACACCAACTAACGGATTAACCGGTAAAATATCAGATTTAGATATGGCTAACGCTAAGGGTAAATCTTTAACTGATAAATTGGCCGCAGAGGCTAAAGAGAAGGATGATTCTCAAACAGTAGCTGTTGGTAAAAATGCCTTGGTGGATCCTGTTTTCGACGCCAAAAAGATCGCAGAAGAGAATGAAGAAATCAATAGAAAGCACAAAGCTTTTTTGACTCAACATAAGGCCCACCGCCATGAGTTACATTCTTTAGAGAAAGAAGAGCCTTTATTGATCGAGAATACTCGCCGCTTCGTCTTGTTCCCTATCAAATATCATGAAATTTGGCAAATGTATAAGAAAGCTGAAGCATCTTTCTGGACAGCAGAAGAAATTGACTTAGGCAAAGATCTTCACGACTGGAAAAATAGATTGAACGACAATGAGAGGTATTTCATCTCGAGAATCTTAGCTTTTTTTGCTGCTTCTGATGGTATTGTTAATGAGAATTTAGTTGAAAACTTCTCTGCTGAAGTTCAAATACCTGAAGCGAAATGTTTCTATGGTTTTCAAATCATGATGGAAAACATTCACTCCGAGACTTATTCTCTATTGATTGATACATACATTAAGGATCCTAAAGAAGCTGACTTTTTGTTCAATGCTATTGAAAACATTCCATGCATCAAAAAGAAAGCTGATTGGGCATTGAGATGGATTAACGATGATGATGCTTTGTTTGCAGAGCGTCTTGTCGCATTTGCTGCCGTTGAGGGAATTTTCTTCAGTGGTTCTTTCGCTTCTATATTCTGGTTGAAGAAAAGAGGTTTAATGCCAGGTCTTACGTTTTCTAATGAATTAATCTGTAGAGATGAGGGCTTACATACGGATTTTGCTTGCATGTTATTCTCACATTTGCAGCACAGGCCGGACCCAAAAATTGTTGAGAAGATTATCACTGAAGCTGTGAAGATTGAAAAGGAGTTCTTTACAGATGCATTACCCATTTCTTTATTAGGTATGAACTGTAACTTGATGTGTCAGTATGTTGAATTCGTCGCTGATAGGTTGTTGATTGCCTTGGGTAATAAGAAGGTTTATAATGTTACCAATCCATTTGACTTTATGGAGAATATTTCTTTGGCAGGAAAGACCAATTTCTTTGAGAAGAGAGTCAGTGATTATCAAAAAGCTGGTGTCATGGCTAAGTCTGGTGAGTCTAAGTCTGATGACGCATTTGCCTTTGATGAAGAATTTTAAGTTTGAATCCAACTTGGAATTAGAGAAGCATAGTCCTTTGCTATCGGTTTTATCATAAGATCACATGAGCAGTGCATCGAAACGCCTAATTATTAAAAGCTCGTACAAATTTATTTCTCAATTTTTTAGCTCAACTGTATATTAAAATATAAATTTAAATACTATTAAATTCTATACTCATCGTAATAGATAGTCACCAAAAAAGATTAATGTTTTAGATATTCAAGAATGGGAAAAGGTAAAAATAAAGTATCAGATGAAAGAGCTACTAAGTCTCGAATCTCAAATGGCCACAAGTCGAAACAACACCATCATAAGAGAGGAAGACAAGAGATAGGTGTGAAAAGTTCCAAGGTCGCTAACTTCCCAGTGAAATTGGCCATGTGGGATTTCGACCATTGTGACCCTAAGAGATGTAGTGGGAAAAAATTAGAAAAGTTGGGTTTCATAACTAATTTAAGAGTCGGTCAAAAGTTTTCTGGTATAATTGTTTCGCCAAACGGAAAGTCCGTAGTTTCTCCAGCTGATCGTGAAATAGTAGAAAATTTTGGCAGCGCAGTTGTGGAATGTTCTTGGGCAAGATTAGAAGAAATACCGTTTGAAAAAATCGGAGGAAAGCACGAAAGGTTGTTGCCGTATTTGGTAGCTGCTAATCCAGTGAATTACGGTCGACCCTGGAAGCTTAATTGTGCTGAGGCTTTAGCTGCATGTTTTGCGATAGTAGGGCACATTGAGTGGGCCGAAACTTTACTCGATAACTTTTCATGGGGTCCTGCTTTCTTGAAAATTAACAAAGAAATTCTTGAATTATACTCCTCGTGTACTAGTTCTGAATCGGTCCTGAAAACCCAAGAAGAATGGTTGCAAAAGATTGAAGAGGAAGCAGCGGAAAGAAAGCGGACTAATCAAAACGGCGATGTCTGGATGACAGGGAATGTCAATAAGCTTTGTAATAATGCACTTGATAGTGATATATATGACAGCTCAAGCGAAGAAGAAAAAGACGAGAAATATAATAATGCTGATGATGATAGAAAAGTCCATCGTGAGCCAAGGAAGGTTTTCGAAAAAGGGACGCTGTCTTGTTCCGATCTGGAAGGAGAAGATGGATCAATAATTGAGCTTTCCAAGACTATGTCAAAAAAATCTGGTTCAAGTTCGCAAGAAGAAAAAGTATATGACAAACTAGGTAATTTAGTTATTTAGAGAGAAACGACTGTAAAATTTAGACCCTATAACTTCTTCTTCCTCTAATAATTTTTGAAAACACTGTATACGTATAATTGAACATTGTGAAAAATAACGGTAATTTTTTTCAGTGTTCGGGTATAAAAGAGGGGGGAATATAAAACTGGGAACAATACATAGTTTTTTTTGAATTGTGAACGAAATGACAAAAGTCAATGGTATTCAAATTGCTATCGATAGAGGGGGTACATTCTGTGATGTTATAGCGAAGGTCCCTAATCAAGTTGATATTACATTCAAATTATTATCAGTAGACCCAAAGAACTATCGAGATGCCCCTACCGAAGGTATTAGAAGAGTTTTGGAGCAAGTTTTTGGCACCACAATCGGGAAAGATGAAAAGTTGAGTTTAGAGTCAATCGACAGCATAAGAATGGGAACCACAGTGGCTACCAATGCTTTGTTAGAGAGAAAAGGAGCGAAAGTTTTGTTGGTGACTACCAAAGGGTTTAAAGATGTTCTTACAATAGGTAATCAGACAAGACCAAGCATCTTCGATCTTACGGCCAAAAAATTAGATCATTTATATAACGAAGTCCTTGAAATTGATGAAAGAGTAACTATTGAAAGCTTTAGTGAAGGTGGAGGTGATAAGTTACAGAATGGGGCTGGTAACGACTTCGTCATATCAGATGCAGGAGATATCGTAAGAATTATAAAAGAGCCTGATTTTGCGGTCGTTGAATCTCAACTTCAAAAGATATATGATGAAGGTACTATTAAAGCGGTGGCCTTGTCCCTTTTGCATTCATATACTTATCCCAATCACGAATCAAAAATTGCGGAAATAGCTAAAAATATTGGATTTCTGGTATCAATTTCTCATCAATTACAGCCTATGATAGGATTTGTTAATAGGACTTCATCAACAGTTGCTGATGCTTACTTATCACCTATTATCAATGATTATATTCACAGCTTCGGGTCTGGCTTTCAAGGTGGCTTAAGTGCTTTTGGCAATAAATTATTATTTATGCAATCAAATGGTGGTTTATGCCCTTGGTATAAGTTTACGGGGTTAAAAGCTATTCTTTCAGGTCCAGCTGGAGGAGTTGTGGGATATGGAGAGACTTGCTACGATGCAGAAACGGGACAAGCAACCATTGGCTTTGACGCTGGTGGTACTTCCACTGACGTTTCTAGATACTGTGGCAGCCTAGAGCATATTTACGAAACAGTCGTCAACCAAATTAGTTTGCAAACACCACAGTTGGATATATCTACCGTGGCAGCAGGAGGGGGCTCCATGTTATTTTGGAAAAATAATATGTTTGTTGTAGGACCAGAATCTGCCGGTTCGAACCCTGGACCTGCTTGCTATAGAAAAGGTGGTCCATTGACTGTGACAGATGCTAATCTTTTTTTGGGAAGATTGGATCCAGACAATTTCCCTAAAATATTTGGTCCGAATCAGGATCAGCCACTTGACTATGACTTGACCTCAAAAATGTTTCAAGATTTGGCTGTCAAAGTGAATAAAGACAAGAAATCAGAGAATATTGAATTTACGGCGGAGGAAATTGCTTTAGGCTTTTTGAAGGTTGCCGTAGAATCTATGGCTCGACCTATTCGAAATTTAACTCAATCTAAGGGAGTACATACTGGAGATCACAATCTTGCTTGCTTCGGAGGCTCTGGGGGTCAATTTTCTGTTGCATTAGCAAAGAACTTAAATATTCCCCATGTTGCAATATATAAGTACTCTTCCTTACTCTCAGCTTATGGAATTTACTTGGCAGATATCGTCATAGAGAAGCAAGCTCCAGTTTCGTTTTCTTATGCCGAAGAAATCTTCTCATCTATTGAACAGAAGGTAGATTTGTTGACTAAGAGTGCCTACGAAGATTACGAGCGTCAACATTTGACGAATTATACTACTAAAGTTAAAGTATTTTTAAATATGAGATATTCCGGGTCTGATACACATCTTTTAATACCTTATGAAAGGAATAAGAACACAGCAGACTCATTATTCATTGATAGGCACGAAAGGGAGTTTGGTTTCACCTTGGAGAGACCTGTTATGGTTGACGACATTCAACTACTTTTAGTAGTTGATAACGGCAGTAAAGAGCCTCAAAATCCATTTCAAGAGTTTCGTGAAATAAGTAATCTCAGAAAGGCTCCTGAATCAGCGATATTTAAGAAAACGTATTTCGAAGGCATTGGATGGACAGAAACTCCAATATATGTCTTGTCGGACTTGAAGAAAGGGACGTCAATAAATGGCCCAGCCATTATTCTCGATGATACTCAGACAATTTTAATAGAGCCTGCCTCACGAGCAGTCTCTCTTGCTAACCATATTTTAATAGTAGTAGAGAACTCTAGGCCGCCTGAGTTGTCTGAGAATGTGGTCGATCCTATTCAGTTGTCAGTATTTGGCCATAGGTTTATGTCGATTGCCGAGCAAATGGGAAAAACTTTGCAGCAGACCGCAATCTCAACTAATATCAAGGAAAGGTTAGACTTCTCGTGCGCTTTATTCGATCATAACGGAGACTTAGTTGCAAATGCACCACACGTTCCAATACATTTAGGCGCAATGTCATTTGCTGTAAAGGCGCAAATGGAATTATGGAAGGGAAAGTTATATCCGGGAGACGTTCTAGTTTCAAATCATCCTAAAGCAGGTGGCTCTCATTTGCCTGATATCACGGTTATAACTCCTGTTTTGAATGACAAAAATGAACCAATATTCTGGACAGCTTCCAGGGGCCATCATGCAGATATTGGTTCAATTTCTGCTGGTTCAATGCCTCCGAATTCAAAAACGATTTTTGAAGAAGGCGCTGCTATTGTAACTCATAAATTATGTTCAAAAGGTGAATTCGACGAAGCAGGAATTACTAGGATTTTGCTTGACGAGCCTGCAAAGTATCCTGGAGGCTCAGGAACTAGAACTTTGAAGGATAATATTTCAGATTTAAAGGCTCAAGTATCAGCAAATTACAAAGGTGCAACTCTACTAGGAGCTTTGATCAAAGAATTTAGCTATCCTGTAATAAGCTTGTATATGAGTGGAATTCAAAGTACAGCTGAGCTAGCTGTAAGAAATTTGTTGAAGTTTGCATATCTGAAATTTGGTGGAAAGCATTTGCAGGCTACGGATTATTTGGATGATGGTACTCCAATATCCTTGCAGATTAGTATCAATCCTGAAACTGGTGACGCAATTTTTGATTTCACTGACTCGGGTGACCAGATGTATGGTAATTTGAATGCACCTCGTGCCATTTTATATTCGGCTGTTTTGTATGTATTGAGATCTTTGATTAGTTCTGACATTCCTTTAAATAATGGCTGTTTACGCCCTGTTCAGTTCAAAACTCGAGAAGGTTCAATTGTCAATCCATCTTACGAAGCGGCTGTTGTTGGAGGTAATGTTGAAACTACCCAGAGAATAGTTGACGTCATGCTTAAAGCTTTTGAAGCTGCTGCTGCTTCTCAAGGAACATGTAACAATTTCACATTTGGCATTAATGACAAGGATAATGGTATATCTTTTGGCTACTATGAGACAATATGTGGTGGTTCTGGTGCTGGCCCAACTTGGGATGGTCAATCTGTCGTTCAATGCCACACAACAAACACTAGAATTACAGATACAGAATTGTTTGAGAAACGATATCCAGTAATTGTTAGGGAGTATTCTGTCAGAGTTGGATCTGGAGGGAAGGGAAAACACAGAGGTGGTGATGGAGTGGTTAGAGATGTTGAATTCACATATCCTAACCTAGAAGTTTCATGTTTAACGGAGAGAAGAGCTCTAGCTCCGTTTGGATTACTGGAAGGTGCAGATGGACTCAGAGGAAAGAATATATGGTATCGGAGATCAGAAACAGACCCATCCAAGTTTCTAAGAATTTCTTTAGGCGGCAAATGTTCTGTAAAAGTCAGCAAAGGTGATCGAGTTGTTATATTGACACCTGGTGGTGGTGGTTTCGGTTCTTTAAATGATAGTGAAGAAGCACCTGATAACTACGGTATACAAAGCACTAAACCCTCTATTCTTACGGGCTCTGTTGCTCTAAGATCTTTGAAACAAGAGACAAATTAATCTCATTACTCTATTTAGCAAATATCTTAATAATTGTTGCAAAAATTTAAAAAAAATGTACGCTAAGAGCGACTCTCTTTCTGCAAATCTTTCTCTTCGCTTCAATTTAATTTGGTTTCTTAACTAACTGCCACCATCTTAAAAAGGGTAAATCACCTTCATTGTCTCTTGAAGCTTATGCCATGTTTAAAATCAAGGAAGCCCAAAATAGTGACTTGTGGCGATAGAAATAAAATAGTCACACAAAACCTCTTGTAGTACTAGTTTCGCAGACTGACTACGAATGCATAATTTAACTAGTAAGAAAGTAAATGATGTACCAGCATGCTGATATCATCGACATCGCTTACACATCTTCCATTGCTATTTAATCCGCTTTTAAATTGCCTTTTCAACAATCCTCATCACACGAAAACACCATTCAAGCAAACAATACAAGATTTGGCGACAAACCATAATGATTTTACTATTTTAGTACCGCCATCGTTCGTACTTCAAGAAGGGTACGATCCACTTTCTTTACATTCAGGGAGTAAAGCACTACTTAGGGATCTTTGTTACACGAATGAAGAATTCATTCGATCTCACATTTTGAAGACCAGCAGCCCATGCTCTACTATAATAGCCCCAGTGTCTAAGATTCAGCTGGTTATTTATAACACTATGAGCGGAAACCAAATTTTAATTAAAAATGGCATGGTTTTTACTGGGAAAGGCTTTACTAGAAGCTTGAAATTGAAGATTTTACTGATCAACTATTTCAACTCATTTTGTGACTATTTTCCCAAAGATTGCAAATTCATGTTGATATTCATTGAAGATTCGCTATATGGTAGCAGTTACATATCTAAGGGTCTAAATCCTACTGTGAAGGAGACAGGTTTGGTACTAGAGAAAGGAAAGAAGCAGAAACGAAATGAGGTCAATATCACATTTGAAAATCTTTTGAGGAGTTATCCGCTATTATCTAAAGCTGTTTCTGGAAAGTTTTATAAGCTCTTTCACCATAACGGCCACCTGTTTCAATCGCTTAAAGGTCAGACGAAAAAGCCATTGAGTTTGATTAAACTGAGATTTCAAAACATGCTAGAAGATGCATACAAAATCGTTCTGGACAGCGTGCGAGTAGAAGCACCAGAGAGTCAACAAACTTATAACATAATAAGTAATGTTTTAAGGGAAAACCCAGGACTAGATTTGAATAGGATAGTCCATGAATATCTTGAAATGAATGTTTATGACAAATTATGGCCCCAAGTGGTTTTACAGTTCAACTTTGCAATGACAGATGAAGAAGGAACAAGTTACGATGCGAAAAAGCTTCTAACTAATTATACTTATGATAGACTATCCAATGTGTCCCTTAATCAACTAGATATTCCAATAACTAAGCCTTGGCAGATTAATGTGCTTCTCAAAAGAGTCAAGGATGCTATTATAGAGCTCAAGAAGTTAGATGATCCTACAATCGTGAACCTGGAGAGTAAAATAGATGTGCTAAGACGAACATTTAGCATTCTAACCGCTAATGAAAGAACTCACGTCCAACACCCAGAAAAACATGAATCTGATGACTGTCTTGTAGTTGATGCTGATACCTTGATTGGCCTACTAGTAATGGTTATTATTCACTCGAAAATACTAAATTTGGAAGCCCACTTGTTTTATATAAAGAATTTCAGCTATAATGACCATACCCACGACGGATATTTGAGCTACATTTTGAGCAATATAGATGCAGTTTTACTTCATTTATCCTCGACGGCCAGTGATAAATCTCAGTTTGAAGAGCTTTCAATTGCATCCAGCTTAAATTTCAATCTATGGAAATCAATAAGGGAAAAAGATGAACCCGCTTTGGAAAGAATCTTGACAAATATTCAGGTTGAATTTGGAAACTCACAACTCCCCAATAATCACTTTTTGAAAAGTAGAAACTTGGACGGAGAAAGTTGTCTAGCGATAGCTATCAAATCACAAAATCATTTGGCATTAGATAAACTAATGAACTTTAATACTAACTGGATTTTAGTAGATGACATTCTTTTCGATAGAAATACCACCAATAAGCAAAATTTACTTACTCTTTCTTTACTGGAAGAGAATAAAACCATCACCTATCAATTAATCGATATTTTAAGTTCAAGTTGCACTTTAGAGGAGCAAGAGGCATACTACAATTCCATTGATGATTTGGGGAGATCAGTTGGACATTATTTATTTCATGACTACAAACTAATAGACTCAATTGGGAGATTGATTGATTGGGAAAAAAAGGACCTCAATTTTCATACGCCTTTATTTACTCTATGTCGTTGTTATGATCATTCCCAATATTCCGAATTAATTGCAAAAGGCTTTGAATGTGTTTACGCCAAATATGGCAAGCAAATTGATTTTGATAAGCACATTGATAAAATGGGAAACACATTGTTGCATGTTATACTGAAGAACTTGGAACAAACTGGACTATTGGATTCTGGATCGAGAAATGTCGATGTAAATAGATTCAATAATAGGTTTATGACTCCTTTAACACTATACGTGAAATATAATCGATTGGAAAATTTAGAGCGAATTCTTGCTGATAACAGATTGATATTTGATCTTGAAGATCCTAAAAATTTCTGCAAAGTTTTCGATTATCTTGGAGTTCTGTCTAATAAGATTGGTGTACAAAACAGAATCTCTCAAGAAATTGACAGGAAAGTTTGTGATTACTTTGTTAATAACTATTGGGCTGACGTGAATAGTACGAGAAGTGAAATGGTTTGTCTAAATGCTAAATATGATCCAAACACTAAGGGATGGTTCATCTTGCTCAAGGATGTTGATGGAAGTTATAAGTATAGAAGTTTAGAAAAAGTGAAACAAGCTTTGTATTTGATGAAATTAGAAAATCCTTTATCAATTTTACCAGAAGAAGAAGTATTTTGGCTTAATTTTCCATTCGACACATCTACGGCACCTTTTTTCAACAAGTTCAGAGCCAATAGAATGGTAGAAAAGTTGAATGTTCTTTTCATCAGTTTAAAATTTCACACCTTGATTGATTCGAGCTCCTTTTATTCCAGAATTGGGGATAAGCTATTTGATGAAGAAGGACCACTGATGTTCGAAAAAATACACGAAATCAATAGAAATTTCGAACGTTCAAGAGAAAACTTGGGTGAAATAAATTTAACAGCACTTCAAATTCAAGAAATTGAATATTTTTTAAGGTACTCTTTCAATGATTTGAAAAAATACGAAACAGCTGTCACAAGGTTTAACAAAATTGTATCTGTATGCGAAGTTAAACATTCCGATTTGGAAGTAATTTATAACAGAATACTAGAATCTTTGGCTTATCAAGGTCTGTATGAATATCTGGAGGGATTATCATCTTTGGAGAATGACTCTGGGTTTAATACGGCGTATCGGAGTCTTTTGTTGCATACAAGCTGGCTAGAAGTATCTGTACTTGAGCTTTTGAAAAACATTAACAAGATACTCGAAAAGACGAGCTTATGGAAGGAAATTCATGGCTTCATAAATAGCATCAATAACGACCTCAAGCGATACGAAGAAAACGCTCTCTCAGCTACCATTTCAGGGAGTCTGATTGCCAAAGACAGCTTGCTGAATATTAATTCAAACCAGGATCTCGAGCATGAATATAACAAGTCTCAGAATTTTTTTAGCTTCTCGAATCTTTTGGAGAATAAGAAGGCTAGGTATAAAAAGCTTTTGATTGCCAAGTCAGAGAAAGTAAATCAGATGTTGAAATTAAATCAGACCATCAAGATAGATCATGAAACCATTGCTGCAGAAATCTCCAACTTTCTTCAGTTTCGGTCCACTTTTTTAAAGTTTGGTATTAAACGTCTCGCATATACTAACTTAAGACTCATGAGACGAAGAAACTACCAGCTTTATAGACAGTTGAACCTAACAGCTACGTCCAGGAAAGATCTCACATAATTTCGTGTACAAACCAATATATGATAGGAATCTTCGAGAAAATCAAAGGCGAGATACAGCCGGCGACTGTATTATAATCACGACAATTGATCACTGTTTGGATAATATCTTCGTATAGTGAAATCTATATACTAAATATGTCACTTACGAATAAAGATGTTGCATTGGCAATAATAAATTTCTTGAAAGGATCTGTATCCTCAAAGCAAGTTTCGGAAGACTTTGCTGATTCTATGGATGTCGCTATTGACTGCGTGGCAGATGCGTTTGAAGTTGATAAGAATGACGATCAAAAGGTCATGGATTCAAAATTTGGAAGCAAGTCTTTATTGGAACTTCTTGAACATTCATCAGTTAGCAAACTGTCCTCGTCGAAGGAAGTAAGTCATGATGTTAAAGATAAGGCAGAAAGCTTGAAAGTGGAAGGTAATCGAGCTATGTCCGCCAGAAAATTTGACGAGGCAATAGCCAAGTATACGGAAGCAATTAATTTGGATCCTTCGAATGTAGTATTTTTGTCTAATCGTGCAGCTGCCTATTCTTCCTGTTCTCAACATCAAAAGGCTGTGGAAGACTCTGAGGCGGCTATACAAAAGGATCCTAATTTTTCGAAAGCGTACTCTAGGCTAGGATTAGCACAGTACGCCTTAGGAAATGCAAAAGCTTCAATGGAAGCTTACAAGAAAGGCTTGGATGTTGAAGGTGATAAAAAGTCAGATGCCATGACCAGAGGTTACGAGACTGCAAAACGTAGAGTTGAGGAAGAATTAGAGAAGTCGATCTCTTCAAATTCTAATGACACTTCTGAGCCAGACGGTAGTCAGGAAAGGTCCGGCTCTAATCCGCCAAACGGTATGCCTGATTTCTCCAGTATGTTTGGGGGAAATGGTGGAGGTATGCCTTCATTTAGCGAATTGATGAATAATCCCCAAATCATGCAAGCTGCTCAGCTGATGATGTCAAATCCATCGGCCTTGCAGGGATTAATGAACAATCCTTCTATTCGTCAAATGGCTGAAAATATGGGCTTAGGTGGTGAGAATGGCGCAAATCCAAATTTGTCAGACATAATGAATAATCCTATGTTACAAAATTTAGCTAGTCAGTTTGGTGGTGGTGCGAACAACAGTGATAACAGCAGCAGCAATAATAACAGCGAGAGCTCCAATTAGATTGGCGGTCCTAAATATTAGCATTAAATCTTGCTTTGATAATAATTGATGACGATATGCTTCCATTTGATCATGTAGAGCGATAATGTATAATGTATGTGAGTCGAAAAATCTACTACAGTGCGAAGATTCTCCAGCGTTAGTCATGATATTAAATAGTTGCGCATACATATTAATGAGATAGTTCTCAATATAAATACACAATAATAAATACGCAAATAAATAGGCCATATGTTTGACTAAGAATTGTTTTCAAAGAGCACACTTTGAAATAGTTAGTAAATATTTCAGCTTCCAACTATTCTTGCCTCATTATCAATAAGAAATTTTCTGATTTGGGATAAACTTCCTGCTAACTTTTTGAAGATGCTCACTTTCATGTTCGATTCATACATATAAGACAAAGTCAATTCACCAACTTTAAGAATATATAGTACTTTTTCCAACGAGAATACATTTGAAGATGACGAATATAGACACATATTGGTAAATTCATTGTCCAACTTAACGTTTGTATTGGCACCCTTGTACTTAACCTTCAAGAACTCCTCTATTTTATTCAAGAGCTCCATAGTAACCTTGAATCTCTGATTCAATTCGAATGACAAATTCTGAAAATCTTGCATCATTTCTTCACTATTATTTCTCTTAACCATGTATATTGCGAAAACGGAAAGGATCATGAAAACATGGAACAACATTTGTGAATGAATTGAATTCTTTGAATTATCAAATTCATCAAAAACCTTCAAGTTGAGCATCTTCTCAAAATTGGTTGATGTGTTTTCACAATGAGAATCAGACATCAGAGGGTTAAAATCATTACTACTAGCAGCTTTAAACAAGGAGTTATTGTCACTATTGTATAAGTTCAGGAAGTCAAAGTCATTGTTGAATAATCCATTCTCGTGTTCATCCCCTTTGATTGCATCATCGGTCTTAAACAAAATCAATTTTATAATCATAACGCTGCAATCAACAATCTTCAAAAAGTCGAATTCACTTACTAAATTTAGGCTGTCAAGCATTGATTTATTATAGTTTTTCGTCAATTCATCAAAGTTCTTTAACCAACTTTGTTCTTTTGCTAATTTAAAATCAACCAAAGAACTAATTTTCGTAAAGTTAACCAATAAAGCATAGTCTAGCTTCTCGAAGTCCTGCTGCATCTTGCTATATTCATTTACAGTAGGTTTTGACTTCATGCACCTGGTTAAATTGTCTAGAACTGAAAACATGTCTACATCTTTCATTTCTTGGTATTGCTTGACTTCAAACAAACCATGAACTAAAGTAGTAAAGCCAAATTTACTTAAATTCAGTAACTCATGCACCAATGCTGAATTCTCCGCAATATTGGGATCTACCAATTTCAAAATATCCTTAAAAACAAATTTATTTTCATCACTCAAGTAGGATTCTAAAGTCCTCTCTAAATGATTCAGCTGATGGTATTCTTGAAAATTATGATAGCTTTTAAAGCTCCACAAAGTTTCATCATCCGAGCTTGGACAAGTCAACTTCCCCAAATCATTAATTGATAAACTTAGTGGTACATTATACATCATCAAGAGAAAGTTTGTCAACCTGTAGATCATGAATACAATTCTTACTTGCGACTGCAAAACAATGCTATTCTTGAATTTTATTTCATCATTGATGCTAAAATTTGGAAATAAAGAATTATTTTGCTTTTGTCTATCGATATTTAAGTTCTCCTCGTCCTCGCCATTAACAGCAAACAAAATATGTCTGTTGGATCTAACAGAAGCCTTAACCAAAGAATTAAGAGCATTCAATTGTCTTATGACTATGTAGACATTATTCTCATTATCAGAGAATAATCCAAATATAACAGAAAGTGTCAATGACTGGATTAACCATAAAGGATTGGAAGGTTGATTAGACAGGGTCGAATTATCAGCTTGACTTTTTCTACTTTCCAAATAAATGTGAATCGTTCTTCTTGACGCCTCATATAGGTGCTCGGCGTGGCTTTTATTATTTGCTAATAGTGCTCCAATAGTAGCAATTAGCAAAGGTAAGCAAACTCTTGCACTTTCATTCGTTTCATCTTCGTTCACAGTCATACTCATTATTTCGTATTCGTTGAGCTTAGATACGTGAATGAAAGGGAAATGAGCCAAGAATATGTTGATAAAAGTGGTAAGATAATACTCCAAACGTTCATTGGAAGGAATACTTGGAGTCATAATTCCACTGATCGGGTACTTGCTCAATGCCTTATTAATTAAATATCTAAGTTTATTAGTAAATAGTTTGTTCCTGGAGAAGTGATTCAGTCTTTGGATGCTCTTCTTTTTCAAATCGTTTTCAATATTGAGTAGTTGAGTTTGACTTAACGTACCATCATGATGATCGTTATTAGACATTGGAAAATTCATTCCACCAGAAGGTGGTGTCACAACATGGGGGGAATTAGAACCTATACCCGACGAAGAAGCAGATTGACTATCACCATAAAAGGAGTAACCATTGGGCATAAACTTGTAATTCACGTCATATTCGTGTGTTAAATCTTCAATGTCATTCAAAAAATTCAAATCAAAATTATTGGATACGGTATTAGAATTCGAATTTGTCTCGTGTTGAGAAGCATCGTCTTCCTCTTGCCGTATCGGTGTTAATGATGAGTGGGGATTGTAATGTTGTTTGGAAGGATCTTGTTTCGCAGAGAGCATTGACTCAGGAATATCATAAAAGGAGTACCCATAATCTTTAAACGATCTTTCATTCTTGAAATTTGATAGTTCCTGATTAGATATCGTTGCTGTTGGTACCATATACTGCATGTTTCCCATACTATCTAACGTATTGAATGAGCTAGTGCTAGCCAAAGAGTCTGATCTATGATTCCCTGGAGTATTGAGATTGCTCGAAAAAGACCCATGATGAGATACATCCATTGGAAATGGATTTTCATTTCCATGGGAGGTAATTGAGGGTTGTCTCAAGCCTCCAGAGGATAAATTATTACTGATTTTATATTCATGACTATCTTTGTTTACCATACCAGGAATCGCATTTAAATTATTCAACCAGCTCAGCTCTTCGCTGGACGTCGAAGGTAACAATTGTGGTGTTGAGAATTCTATATTATCGGTACCTGGGTAAATATCGTGGAAGTCAGACCCACCAACAGCATAGTTTGCTCCCGATTGCGCCGAAAATGAAGCACCTCTTCTCAAGTGCCTTTGTTCGAATACTTTTCTTTGCAAGTTTATACCTCCCTGGTCTTTTGCTGAGTTTCGTTTCGATGTGACAGGAGGTGGAGAAGCCCCTGAATTGAATAAATTAAGATTGAACTGAACGTCTTCTCCTGAATTATGAGGGGACATACTGTTTCCAGATTCTTGCTTGATGGCACCCTCGTCATCCTCTAAATCGTTGGAACCGACAGATTTTCTTTTGAGCGATTTTCTTCTTAATCTTGTAATAGCATCGGCACATCCAGCATGCAACTTTTGGGCATGCCTCAATAATAAGTCTCTTCTAGAAAATTTCCTTTGACAGACACCGCAGCTAAATGGCTTCTCCTTCGTGTGGGATCTCTCATGTCTACGAAGATGTTCTAGCCTTGCAAAAGCTCTCGTACAAGTTTGACAGACAAACAATCGAGGTTTTCCCGATGGTGTAGTACCGTACGCAGTCAACTCAAATGGAACATTTCTTTGCTTCTTTGAGCCTCCATTACTGCTATTGCCAATGTTACCTTTTTCATTTCCTGGGGACACTTTATTGCTGTTGCCATTACCGTTGGAAATAACAGCACGATTGTTCTCGTTGTCAGGCTTCGCCATATTTTGCAGCTTCGATGTATGACTAATATTACTAGCTGACTTGTATTCCATAGGAACTGATTGCAATTTGATTTGACTTAGCATCAAAATAGAAGAGCAGCTGAATAATCTCGGTTCGGATCTTTAAAGAGTGTTTCGAAAGACGCTTGATAAAGCACTAGAGCTTTCTGTGTTGCACTTCACCCAAAGAATTGGTCCTTCTTGTATACTAATAAGATATTTATATTCTGTAGTTTTTGAGTGGTGGCTTAAGCAGCGTTCTGCGCTAAGTGTTTCTCGTTTGAACTTCAAGAGGTAGGTGTTAGGTAAACCTTGTTCTGCTTCAGACTCTTCTATTATCACTTGTTGGCGTGTTTCTTACTCTAATACCAGCCAAGTGTGATTTTTGCATTTGTTGGTTAGACCAATTAGCTGTTTATCACTGATTAGTCTATTATAGTACTTGTTTCGTATCTTAAACGGACTTGAAGAGTTTGGCAATACAATACAATAGCATAAAACTGTAAATTAGCCTCCGTTGTATCAAATTCTGGAGGTTTTGATCTTCTCTTCGCTTCTGTTTCGTCTGTCTACAAGGTGAAAATCGAAAATCTGGGGTTTTTTTTGGGTGCTTTGGGTACGACAACACTTTGCCCAGTAAGAGCCGCGTTACATCAGCGCTTACGTGGTTTTGTGGGGAGTGACTATATGTTTTAAAGACCAATGCAGCTAATAAGTTAAAGCGGGGCTACGGACTTGTCGGGTTGAGCGTTGATTTCTATTAATGGCCAGAGACAACAATTTGAATTATGCCCAATAACCCGGATAAGTATGACATAGGTATATGGAATGACTGAAATGACCCCACATTAAATGCACAACAACCGCATTTGCTGCTCTTAGAAACCCGACAAATTTCGGGCCGCATGCTCGCCACTATGACACACTGGACACCTGAAGGAACCGTTCGCGACATACTGCGACATACTGCGACAATCTCAGAAGATGAATCACGTGATAATATATGATCACTATTACAAAATTACGGCATCGCATCCCACTATAACAATCAATAGGATAAGAGTATAGAGCGGCGACATTATAGAACTGAAGTAATAATAATATTAAGGGCTCGATTAAAGATATGGCTATAATTGATATCGAATCTGAAGAGCAGTTCAACCAGTTGATCAAATCTGATCCGAAACAGTTGTTAGCGGTATACTTTCACACTCCATGGGCTGGTCCATGTCAAACCATGAATTCAGTGATAAAGACGTTGGCCGAAGCCCACCCTTCAGTGCTTTTTCTCTCAGTGAATGCAGATGATCAAGCTGAGATCAGCGAGATGCTAGAAGTATCGGCCGTTCCATATTTCATCTTAATTAGAGACCTGACAACTTTGAAAGAAGTATCTGGTGCGGATCCAAGGGAATTTGTCAAAGCCTTGGATGAGTTCTCTGATGATAGGTCTAGTAACTCGAGCCTGAATACTAATACTGCTTTATCTACTGTATCTGAACCAAAAGAGGAATCACCTGCTGAATTGAATGAAAGATTAAAAAAGTTGACATCAGCAGCCGCCGTCATGCTCTTTATGAAGGGTTCTCCTTCAGCTCCACAGTGTGGCTTCTCTCGTCAATTAGTTGCTATATTGAGGGAGCATCAAGTTAGGTTTGGTTTTTTTGATATCCTAAAGGACGATTCTGTGAGGCAGGGACTAAAAACCTTTTCGGATTGGCCCACATTTCCTCAACTTTATATCAATGGAGAATTTCAAGGTGGCTTGGATATAGTTAAGGAGTCGATCGACGAAGATCCAAACTTTTTTGATAATGTTGTAGAAGCGAGTTGAATAATTTCATATATTTGTAACAATATACATTATCATAGTAATATTTACAATTAAAGTTTTCCTTGGGATATTAAATTTTCTAACTCCGAGTCAGACAGAAAATCGTCCAGTTCATTATGGACTTGCATTTTCTTGACAGCTTCAGAGTGACCTATTAAATTATTCAATTGTTCATTTATGGAATCATCAAAAAGATCCAAATCTGAATCATTGTCTGAGTCAACTACTGGATCGCTTAAGCTCTCCTCAGTATCAGACATTTCGTTCTCTAGCTTATGGTTTACGTCTAACTGAAACTGGTCTCTCATATAATTATCAGATTCAGTAATGTCTTCATAGATATCTACGATCGGTAATGCTTCATCAGCATATACTTGCTTGAATCTCCCACCTAGTCTGCCATACAAGAGTTTGCTCTTAGTTTCAGAAGCATTTTGATATCTCCTAGAGTTATATATTCTGGGAAGAAGACAACCATCAATTAAATTTAGGTTGTCGAATGAATTTTTAAATCCAATGTATCTTTGATAAAGTCTTATTTCCTCTTTCGTCTTATTATACTCTCTTACCATTTTAAAATTCCGTGGGAACTTAATATTCGGCAGTTTTTTACCAGTCAAAGTAACTTTCCTAAGTTCATGCCTCGTCGACCTAATACCAATATCTGGTCCTTCCTTAATACGACATAAGACATCGCTGATACTGAGATTGTCAAGAATTGCTCCAGCCGTCTTCAAAGGAAATTCCAGTGCACTATAAATATTGTAATTCTCCATGAGAGCAAGGTTCAATATCAGAGCCTCAGAATTGACATAACTATCTATGACAGCTTGAACAGATAAGTAATCTGACTCATCGGGATCTCTATCTCTAAATTTGGAGCTGGAGAATATTATTTTTCCAATCGCATGGAATAAATTAAACTTATGTTCTCTTGCGAAATCAAATTCCAAATCCTTTCCTTCGCTTCGTGATTTAAAGCTAGACCATATTTGTAAATTTGCTATTATCGCTCTGATATCTCCAGTTTCCAATAATAAGCTAAGAAAAGTATTAATTTCGGCTTTAGTTATGCCAGAGAATGTCGAACTTTCCTTAGCAATTATTTGACCCAAAGTCTTCTTCACAAAGCTGGCCGCAATAGGGTTAAATTTTAAGTGCTTAACATCTGGAAGTGATAAAATTAGCTTACCTAGAAGTGTTTCAGCGGTCAAGTTATTATTAATATTGAAAGATTCCGAATTTGAGGTCTCATTTGCAGCTTCAACTTCTGTAATGCAGAGAACTAAAAGAGGGAAGTTCCTTCTATTTTCACTTAAAATCCATTCTTTCAAAGATCTTCTGAATACCTCTAAAGTATGTGGGTTGAATACGTTGGGCAATTCTTCAATAATTACCAATGAATCCGAAACAACTTTCGCATCTTGCAAGAATTCCTCGAAATGAGCCGATTGATTAGTTCCTATTACGGCAGAATCAATATATTCTATCCAACTTTGGTCTCTTGGATTAGTGTAATGATTATTTCGAAAGGTACCAGTGAATATTTCATTCGCCACAACTTTGACTGTAGTAGACTTAGATGACCCTGCGGGGCCTGAGAGAACTAATAGCCTTGTATTATCTTTTCCCTCGACTATGTCTGAGATCGTTTCTTTCACCTCCTTTAATTTTCTGGGATTAATACATATATCTCTAGATATTTTTGGACGATACTTCTCAACCCATTGATCGCTTCCTATTTTTGGTAATTTTGCCTTCTTATGTGCTTGAATATATTGATCAGTCACCTCTTCATCACTGATATCTTCGTCCGAATCTTCGTTATCTTGTTTCTTATTAATTTCATGTTTCATTAGGTACAAGATATCTATGAAAGAAAACCACGTCTCATTGAAACGAATATCGCGACTAATCTATACACAACCACGATACAGGATATTTACACTCTCGCCTACAAACTTTAGTTTGACTTGATCCCTGTTTATGTCATACAGTGTGTCATTAGTATTTACATTATATATCTTGAATTTAGTGCGATGCTGAATGATGCAAGTGTGTTTGAAAAGTATTGTGCCATTCTGCTCCCACATGATTGTAGAACACATTAGAAGAAATATGGATTGGACTCGTTTGTTTCCAAGGAACGACATTAGTTTGTACGAGAGACTTATCATTAAGTACTGTGCCGCCAGCCGTCTTTTTCTTAGGCAGAGGCTGATAAGCATCACTGCCATCTAATGGCCTCTTGAACAAACCTAATGGAGGGTAATGCTTAATCAATAGGGAGTTCGAGAAAGTAGTTGGCCTTTCGGCTAGTACATTTTCATAAGGGACTTCAATCACTTCGTTAGAATTTGGGTACATGAGCACATGAAATGTATTCTCGTAGAGGTTATTTTCAACTGTATACCCACAAAACATCTGCTTCGAATTATTAAATGAAAACTGAATTAAAGAGTCACATGAAGTTTGGGCTAATAGTTCATTCTTATTTTTTACAGTTTTCCTACTTCGATGATATTTGCATCGACAATCAAAGCGACCATTTCGAATACCGTAATGAACACCGTCAGCCAAACCACAAGTTGCGTGAAAAGCCCTGACGCATTTTGAGTAGCTACATTGAAAACAAGCACCATGCTTTTCTTTATTCAAAGATTTCGAACAAACTGAGCATTTCAAATTCCTTTGTGCCTTCGATATAGTCGAAATACCATGTACGATATTGTCCTCAATATTTAATTGGTCTGGAAACATTTCGGCGCATATTCGATGGACTTTATAATGGCCCTCGTCGCATGGAGAATCCGTTAAGAGTAGCTCAAAACCCCTGGTTTTGAGGACCCGAGCCGATAGGTTATTCGGGCATAAAAAGCACTGATAGGCTTTTCTTTGTAATTTATCTACTTTTATCCTCGTCTTTGAATGTTTCGCTTCAAAGTTATTATCTGGTATTTTTTTATTTTTCAGAACAGGCAAAGCAAGATCACTACTCAGTTCTAAAGAATCTTTTTGCTCCTCAACTTCATTTGTTGCTGGTTCGTATGGCACACCGTGGTATTCGCAGTATAGTTGCTTTACATTGAGGCCAACAGAGTCACTGATACATTCACACTTCTTGGTGAGCTCCCCAATTGGAAACCAATCATCAAGAGCAAAGTTCACGGATTCTGCAACGTTATAACCATAGTTGAATCCAGCATGATAACCATATGGATATGTTATTATAAATTCGCCCTCATTGTGAACGATTTTATTGAATTTCACACCATGTCTCTCCAAGAAAGCTGGTGAGACTAAAAAAGTCTTATGCCTCAAAAACTCAGGGCATGCTCTATATTCTTCACTAAAAGTATCCTTCATTAACTCAAAAAATTTTCCAGATTCTTCTTGGGGAATTGAATACCACTGCTTCGGGGCACCGAAATGATTATAATTTATAGAATACAAGTCTTGGTCCTCCAAGTGCCACGCAAATGTAGCTTTCCACAATCCAGCATACAAATAAGCCTCATTTACTCCAGGAAGTTTGGTATCCATCAAGTCAAGTATATTCGGCAAATTCGCAACATTCCATGTTTTGTCTTCCTTTGAGAATAAAGAGCCTAGTGAGTCAGCGCCATACATTGGTTCCGAAAAGGTTAGCGATTTCCAATAAACTTTCTCTAATTGCTCGCATCTCTCAGGCGTGAACTGAGAAGTGTCTATATTGTAGAAAGAATTACTGTCTTTCGTGTCTTTTGTACCTCTGGGGTCCGCAACATGTGTAAGAGATCCCCTTATTTTGCCCTTAGGCGCCGGAGGTTGGTAATTTGATCTATCTGACAACTCCTTCCATTGAAAGATATTGTATGACCTTGACCTTTCTACATTCTGCTGGAAGAATACTCCGGATCCCGAGCTGTTAATATGTTGTATTATCGGATTTTTGATCTTAACTGATTCCAATTTTTCCTTCGAATAGTTATTTGATATGGAATGCAGCCATTCATTGGGAGGTACCACCTTGACAATACCAGACTTCATTCCAAATTTATTGATTGCCTTATTAAATTTGTAGAAGTCACTAAATTCGTTCATATTAGGCTTGAAAACTGGTATGCCTCCGCAATACATTGCGGGCTCCAACTCTAGTTCAGAGTTACGCTCAAACATGGTCTTCTTAGATTCTTAAACTTAACTTGGTTCCAGTGATGTCAGAAAAATCAGTCAGTGCATCCCTCTGGTCTTGCTTCAATCATATAGTATCTCAACCGGATGTAAATTCAAATCCGACCACACCCGAAATACGGTAATGAATTAAATGTAGGACGTTAATGAGTTGCCTCAATCTTATAGAAGTAATACGATAGGAATAACGAATTATTGGGAATGCCAACTATTAAACCTAAGAGAAGATTAAACGAAGACAGACCTTCGAAGCAGAGGGCTTTAAATGCTTTTATTCTTACATTGACTTCACTTTTTGTCGTGATATTATTAGTTTATCATGCATTTTGGGCCGTGAAAGTTGTCTATTATAACCAGTATGGGAGACTATTTAGTAGCCTTGTATATGGGCCTGGAACACTAGTGGCAAATGCTGGTTTGTCTACAAGATTTTTAAAGTTTCTTAATAGAAAGTTACTAGAGGACACTTTAGATACAGATCATAAAAAGTACATTTAGAATCATTATAAAAATACATACATAATTTTCAGACGTGATGCTTCTTTTTAAAGTAACTGATTCCGCTCTCATCAAGAAAGCTTTCCAAGCAAGACATTTCGATTTTAATATTCGAACGCTGTAACCGAGACATAAGCTCTTCCACAGGAAATGGTTCAAAGCTGAGTATTCTATCTAGCCAATATCGATCTTGCTTTAACAATGTTATGAGTATTGCATGTGTTTCCATAGATAGGAACGTATTTGAATTGTCACAATCTAATTTTTGACTTTCAGATGAAATCATATTATATTTAGATAATGGCGATAATGGCAGGTTTTGGCTCTCTATAGATCTACTTTGTGATGGCGAGACAAAAGTATCATCATTGATTAAGTTTTCTTCAGCAGGAAGTGAGAAGTTCAAGTCTTCCTTCAGCTTCGTATCAGGACTCGAGCATACTTGTAAGATTGACTTATCAATAGCTGTATTTTCAGCTGATTTTAAATTATAATTAACATCATCCTCGCTACTTATGCAAATGAGATCATTCGTAACATCTTCCTCTCTTGTTATTTCAATGACGCTAATGCTATTGTCCTGAATAGGATCATCTTCTGAATCTTGGATTTCATTATCAGAGTCAATCAAAACAGGGCGAGAATACAAGTAAGTAAGACTTATCTTTTTGTCATGATCTTTAAATTCCCTTACATTGAAAACACTTGGAACTTCAACTCTCGATGTATGTAAAGGTTTTTTTCCCTTAAGATTAGTTGTACCACTTGGCAGTGAGTATGACTGAATCTGCGAGCGAGCTGTTGAATAGATTGAAGATAGAACTTGAGAGTTTTGTTTCGAACTGAAAGCCTCGTCATGGTAGATGGTCAATACATCTCTTGGCTTCTCTTCGTTCCCGGGAGATGAGCCAATCTCAATTATTTCATTCGTTCCCATAGATGGTTCCGCTGCCTCTTTAAGTTCACTTCCATATGTGTGCAACCTATTATCTGAAATAATATCATTTCCCATTCCTACCTCAATATCAAAATTGTCGAGTAACTTCACTGGTGGATCCAAGAGAGGACTTGGCTCCCACTCAGAATTCAGTATCTCAGTCATATCATGGAGCTCATCAAGATGATCGCTCCTATCATTAAAAATTTGGGAAAGGGTTGAAACATAAGGTACTGTTTCTGGTCTTTCTTCAACATTCTCACCTTCGCCATCACAAATCTCACAACTCGAACCTACCTGGTTATCGTTTAGGTCATATAGCCATTTCAAGTCAGAGTCACTAAGTTTAGATTCTGGATGAGAGGATGCATGGGTCCAAAGGCCATGATATTTTGCTTCTTCTTTCTCGATCATAGCGATCTCACCCAAAATACCGTTTAGATTTCTTTTATATTTATCTGAAAGATTTGGGAATTTCATTTTAATGCTCTTCATTATTGATATCCACTCCTCTTTGGAATATAAATAAGTATCCTTCTTCGTTAGACCTTCCAAATCATTCACTCGCGTGATTGATTTAAGAAATTGATCTATTTTAGACTGCGATCCTGACATTTCTTCTGATATATTCCCAAATGTATCTCTTACCAAATCATTCATAGACATTTTCTTTTTTCTTCGTGACTTCTTCATTTGCGTTTTAGTTCGTCTCATATCTAGATTTCTAACATCATTTATATTTTCATTTTTATATTTCTGTAGCATCGATAACGATTTTCTCTTGCTTAAAACATCCTGTTCATGATTTATTACCTCTTCATGCCTTGCTTGCATCTGTGTGGAAATGAAGTACGCACCTCCTGCACTTTTTGACCCTGATCTTTCATTATGGTGTTCCCCTTCTGAGGCTCTCTCCATGGTTTGATACAATATTTTGTTATCTTACAGCGCGATATTTTTAATAGTGAGTGTATATTTATAAGTAGAGAAAATAAAGAGACCAATCCGCATAAAAGTTCCCATTTAAAGTATGCTTCGATTATCAGCTTTCATTTGAAACATATATCAGCTTCACTTGTGGTTTCACTTCCCAGCAATACTTTTTTTTATTGTAGCTAGCAATATCTTGGATTGTTTGCTTCAATAATGATTTAGTGAAAGATTTGAACTCTTTCTTCGACAACTCAACTAATGTTCCTATTGTAAAATCATTATTCGCTTCAATAAAAGCTATGAGGTCACTTATTGTGCTTTTATCTTCAATGATTTTCTTCAGATTACCGTTGATCAAATTTTGTTTATCTGGATCTACTCTTAACGAGTTATCGGTACCGGTGCCCATTATGTGTTCTTTCCTCGAAACCAGCCAGTAATCATGGTAAGGGTTTATCGCAAACTTTATATTGGAACTTATGAGCTCATATTTCATATCGTCAAATATGCCATGCGAATTATTATTCCATTCACTAACTGCAACCAACGGACCGATCATCTTTCTTGAAACCTGATCGTTCCCTTTCTCAACAAAGTCGTTCATTTCATCATCACCCGCTACGTAGTAACCAAGTTCTTCTTCGTCATCTTCATCTTCATCTTCTTCCTCCTCATTATCAATATCCTCTCCTTCGCCTTCCTCATCTCCATTCCAGTCAATATCCGAGTCGTATGAGTAATCTAAGCCAGTGGATGTATTAAAAGGATCAACAATCGGAACACTAGTCAGGAGGTGTTTATCAGAACACCAAGTACCAATGTAGGGTGGCCTAGAATTTTCATAAAAATATAAGTACTTGATTGGTGGCATATGCTTACACATATTATGTACCTCGAACTCCGTTGTGCTAGACGAGTTCAATGAATTAATTATACGTTCAGTGGAGGTATAGCGTGTCTCGGCCCTCCGAATCTTATGATTATGAAAGAATTTTGATAAAAGATCTTTTGAATTTTCTGATGCCTTCAAGAGAGATTCAAATCGAAGTTTTGAGCTTTCCAAATCCTGTTCAGAAAATTGAGTGGAGGAAGCCATTTTGACATTCTTCTTGACAAAGAACGGTAGAAAATACTCATTATAAACTGAGACAGATGTCTTTTCTGGCGCGTTGCATTTATCTTCATTTGCTTCTGTTCTTGGTGACGATTTAATTTTTTGACCGACGCCAAAAAAGCTTGAAATCTTCATTTGATTTTTCTCTTTTTCTTCTAAGATACGCCTCTTTTCTTCTTCCTTTTTTTCTTTTTCTGCCTCTCTTCTTTGCTTATCCTCCTCCAAGCGCTTTTTCTTTTCGAATCTTATTTTTTCCCTTTCTTCTTTCTCTTTTTCTTTCTTTAATTTCTCTGCTTCTTTTCGAAGCCTTTCGGCTTCCCTTTTGCGCTCTCTCTCAGTTTTCTCTTCTTCAGCCTCTTTCCGTTTTCGTTCTTTCTCTTGAACTTTCTTCAACTTTTCATCTTCTTTAGCTCTCTTCTCCTGAATTTTCTGTTCTTGTCTTCTTAATCTTTCTTCTTCCCTCAATTTTTTCTCTTGTTGCTTCTTGTTTTGTTCTTCTTCCTTCTTTCTTAGCTTTTCTGTTTTTTGGATCTCTTTCATATTCTGCTTTCTTGGTTTTTCTTCATGCTTTTCTTGTTTTTGCAATTCTTCTTGATTATCTGATCCACTTATGTCTTGAGAAGCATCTTCTTGAGAAAGAGATGTTTGATATGCAATGACGGTTTGCATAACCTCTTCGGCTTTTCCTTCTTTTTTAATAGAGCTTACCAGGTTTTGGTTGGGCAACTTACTTATCTTGGACATGTTACTTCCTTCCGTCCCTTCGTCTTCGCACTTCCTTTTTCTCTCATATGGCGAACTAGAGGAGTCCGAAACCTGACTCAAGACCATCATCAGCTGTTCTGTCTCTTGGAAACCTGACAGCATTTTTGATATTGATTCAAGGGATGAGCCATCCATTTATACCTTCATATGACAAAGATTTCGTACTTCATAATCCTATAATTTTCGATATGAACACTACGCGCGCGTTTCTTGACCTACATATGTAGCGCGTTCTAAAACATCTACAGATACTTTTGCAATAATTTCATTTAATTAGTCTATTATCGGTCTAACTCCGTAATTTAATACTACTAAGAATAATTCGGAATGTCTAAGTGAAAGAAAGGTGTACCAGTAGCTACTGCAGCAGAGTACTCAGAAGTGCCAGCATTATTTTCCAAGTCATCTGAAGTAGCTATGTTGACGTAAACTGTATCGCTCACCAATTTCTCCGTACCATAGGTTCCAAATCCAGCGTTAAGTAAACCTCTTCTGATCCAAGGACTTAAAATACCGGAAAAATGGAATTCGACTTCTCTGTCAGCATATACATTAAGGGCTTTCCTCAAATCCACTAATGCCTGAATACTTGTAACATCGATAGATGCAACAGTTGAGAAATCGAAATGTACTATTCTGAGAAGTGGCTTCTCTTGTTCTATTTGAGATGTGGTAACTTCATCATTTTCTCCCTTCTTTGAGATAAAAGGAATTTTAAATCTCAATGGACCTGGATCGTTCCAAGGTCTAGAACCAGCATCAGTGTAATTATATGGGCGACCTCTTCTTGTAAGTCTCTTAGCTTCATCTGTTATCCTATCTATCTGCGTAGATGCATTGGGATAGGTAAATGACTCAGTTGGCTTAAAGATTATAACTCCAGGAGGTGGCGGAGAGACTTTTAAATCGCTGTTTATATTTTCCTTCGTCAAAGGCACCCATCTCGTATGGAACTTGACCTGAGGATTATTCTTTAAAAGAGCTTGTGTGTCTGTTACAGTTAAATCTTGTCCCTTGAATTTCTGCTTGTCATTATAGTGATTAGAACCATCAGTTAAAACTTGCTGAACTTCAATTTCATTTGAAGTAGAAGAATGGTCACTGCAATCATCAGAATATTTTATCACTGGATTAATTACTTCAGCAACTTGTACCTTTCCTAAGAAATAAGATTTAGGAATTGCAATTCTGAAGAGTAAAACCGCAGCTGAGGCACAAATGGCGAAATAAACACCATTCTCAATAGATGAAAACACTGTAATTAAAACTGCAATAAGGAAAATTCCTGCATCGAGCGGAGATATTCTCCAAAAATTCCACGTTACCTTGTAGCTTGCAATTAAATCGGAAACTGCATGAATGATAATAGCACTCAATGCAGCCTTCGGAATATAGTAAAATGATGAAGTTAAACAATATAATGCCAATAAAACAACACCACCAGTGAAAATACCGGCCAAAGGTGTCCTGACACCACACTTCGCCTTCAAAGCTGACCGAGAGAAAGAGCCAGTTGAAGGGTATGCATTAAAGAAAGTCCCAATCAAGTTGTTGACTCCAATAGCCACCACTTCTTGATTTGGGTTAATCTTGTAGTCATTAACTCTTCCAAACGATTTTGAAATTGCGATATGCTCCAATAGCAAAATGATAGTCGAGACTGGAATTTTTGATCCTATTTCTCCGATAAGGCCCTTTGGGATTGTCATCACACCCACATGTTTCAATCCTTTTGGTACAACTCCAATGGTTGATATTGGAGGAGTAAAATCAGCTTCTGGGCCATTGAATGCGATCTTCTTAGGATGAACAATACCCCATGATATACATGTAGCCACAATAATTACGACAGCATTTCTTAATTGCTGAGCATAGAAAAACCATAATTTTTGTCTTGGCCATCTTTTCTGTGCATACTCAGTTAAAAACTTCCACGAATATAACACGAATAAGCATATTAAACCAAAAGCAGCGTCTGATTTCGTGTGTTTCAAGTTTTTTAATGTATCTATCACAACTTGACAGCTTGAACCCCTTGTGTCTACAAGTTTATTATAACCCATCAATCCCGGCACTTGACCGACGATTATACTGAAGGCAGATCCTGACATAAAACCCATAACTGCAGGAATTGAAATAAATTCTAAGATAAAACCCAACCTAAGCAAGCCCAATCCAGCTGCAATTCCTCCACATATCAACGACAAAAAGGTTGCAATTTCTGGAGCAGAATATTTATCACCAGATGTACTCTGGACATGTGCTATAACTTTAGCCACTTCAGCAGACATGACTGCCACTGGACCAATTGAAACGTCTTTTGATGTTGCAAAGATAGAATAGATAAAGACACCAACAAAAGAGGAATAAAGCCCATACTGAGCATCCAAGCCAGCCAATTGTGCATATGACATAGATTGTGGAACTAAAACAATTCCAACGGTGATACCAGCAATCAAATCGCCCGATAACCACTTCAAATTATAGTGTAAAATCCACTTGAGTATGGGGAATAAAGAAGACAAATAGCGTAATAACTTTCCCAATGGATCATTAAACACATCCTTACCCCAATCTATTACTGTTACCTCATGTTCATTGAATTCAGGCACAACAACTCTATCTCCCGTATATTGTTCGTCGTTAAGTGTTTCATAAAATTCATGTGACCTTCTGGTATGATTTGTATTGCCTGAAAACAAAGAAGTCACATCATGGTTGCTGAAACCATCATGTTCTTGCAACTCAGGCACTATTGACTCTGGAGGACCACTCATCTCTTAAAATATGTTGCCTCTAGATCAACTGGATATCTAAATGAAAATCTTGGAGGTCTGGTAAAAACCTCTGAATATATACAAAAGAAAATGGAAAGATGATCAAAGATATTATTTAGCCTCTTATACCCCAATGTAAACCGTAAATCCTTTTAATGCTATCTCAAGGTGTGAAGAGTATGAAAAATCCACTGTATTGTAGGAATGAGCGACGAAGCTGTGGATCCGATGAATCGATGGCTGCAACATCCACAGTTTTCATATTCACGTGACATTCGCTCATCGCTGCTAGTTGCTCTTAGAATTTAGGAAAAATTGATATTGAGCGCTTGGTGAAGCATTCAACCTTAGCATAATGTTTGGTTGAGAGTTCTGAGTATAATCGCTTGTTTCTCTTTCGCTCAGGCTTTACTGACCTTCAATATTATGTGTGGAATATGATTGCAACTGATAGAGCCACATCGTTAGGCACTATCACGTGCTTAGTTGCAATCGAGTAACTCTGAAAAGACATTTGAAATTCAGAGATCTTGTGCAGGATATTATATTTCGCCTTGGATAGAGCAAGGACGGATACAGTTGGCGAGTGAAACTGTTAGTAGAATCGATCTTTTAAAGCTATTTCGACTATATTTTACCTAAATCATAGGTACATATACGAATATGATGAAAAATAAGCTCTCACAATAACGGTCTAAGGTAGATTACATTTCGCCGAGTCATCGATGTTGTTCTGTACGAAAGTAGAGCAAACTAGCAATATGTAAGACGACACACTATACTATTATATACAGCACCACGAAGAGTTCCCCAAAAAGTCTTTATGCCAAGCGCTATAAATGACGACTGCTGAACGGAATTGATCTAATTCTACACAATTGCGACTCAGAATGAAATGGCACTCTAAGGTCTGACAGAACAAAAAATTTAATATCTAAAGAACAGTATATATGGCTGAAATCAGTCGATCCTCAATCCTTTCAAATTCTCATCCTCAACTAGGTCAATAGCCTCCCTATAATCTTGTTGTTTGAAGCATTGCTCCAAAAACACCTTATATTTTGCATTCAAAAGTCTTCTATCAGGGTCATTTTCCTTGCAAGGGAACACCACCCTTCCAGGGCCTGTCATCTTTTGCATTGTTCTCCATAATTTCTCCCCTGGCTGCAAATCCGAACTCTTTTTGACCGAAGACAATGGCTTCAATCCCATCTTATTCAACTTCTTCGATAATCCTTCCTGGACATTCTGTTTAGAACCGAATGATAAGGTTTGCTCTTCTTCAGAATCATCGTCATCAGACGTAATCTTACTCTTTTGAGGGTTCGTTTGTTCTTGAGCTGTTTGATTGAAATAATCCGCTTCTTCATTCATCGGTGTCATACTTTGAATACGATGTTGACTTCCATAATGCGTACTAGCATAACCTAAGGATTGAACATTAGTAGTGGAAACAGTTGCAGTAGGTGCTGTATAAGGCGATGATGGTTCATTAGAGTTATGCAAACTCGTTTGAGATTTCTGATTTGAAAGTATAGATGACCTTCTTGATTTACTTCTATTTCTCAAATACTCAGCAACAGCTTCCTCAGAAGCAACTGCTCCCAAAAGTGCGGAACCAAAAACCACTGCAGCGTCAATGTACCGAGGAATAATGATAGGGAGTCCCGTACAGTCTGCTAGAAGCCTCATCAATAACCCATTCCTACACTGGCCACCACTCATGAATACACAGCTGATGCGATGGCCTCCCTTTTCCATCTCCTCGATAATTTGCCTTGTTTGTTGAGCAATAAATTCACAGGCACCAAAATACAAAATAGCCAAATCATTGACTGAAGTATCCATAGACTGACCAATTATGTTTGCCCTCATTCTTGGATCTGCTATAGGTGATCTATTTCCATGAAAATCTCCATAGAAGAACATATGCTTTGCTAAGCTTACAACTGAGCGCAGGTTAGTCTCGTTAACTAAATTCTCCAAGGTTAAGTTCAAGTAATCGAATTTTGATAAGTTCGATGTCTCAGCCAAATGTGAGAGCTGGGCGGAAGCGGGATGTGTAGATAAAACGTGAGCCAAAAGAGCACCTGTGGCAGATTGACCACCTTCTGCTAACCAATATCCAGGAGCCATAACATCTTTATAAGGTCCCCAGACACCTTTTACAAAACAAGGGTCTTTTGTCATCGCAAGGTGACAGGTAGACGTCCCTGCAACAGCAGCGAGTCTTCCACAAGCAGTATCAAATGCAGAGTCGGCTTTTTCTTGCAACTCTGGTATTTCAGCTTTGGCAGCAACAGTTCCAACCCAGCCAGCGTAAGCATCGATAACACCACTGCCCACAATACATTCGGAAGTTAGACCCAATGATTCTGCCGCTTCGGAACTCAACTTGCCAACAATGTCACCGGCACTGAGGTAATTTCCATTGATTCCTGGAATACCACCTAAGCGTCTAAAGTTATCTTCAACCAATTCAGGTAAGTCAACGGACTCCAAAAACTCCTTTGACCACCCATGCTCAGAATGATCAACGCCTAATGGAACGAACCCTTGTTTGCACACTACTGAACAGAAACTTCTTGACTCAGATCCCGTCGCCTTGTGTGTTAAATAATCTGCAAGGTCGTAAAACTTACAATTGTTAATACCACCAGGTAAGTTATGCTTCAACCACTTTATCTTTGGCAATTCCATCTCGATTGACATTTGTCCTCCTACATATTTCAAGCACTTATCATTAGTGGCATTGATAGCCTGAGTCTCATCTTCTGCTCTGTGGTCCATCCATAAAATAATGTTCTCTTTGTCATCAGAGAAATCAGGACCAACTCCGACTGGTTGATCAGTCTTTTCAGAAATAGCAACTAGTGAGCAGGTCGCATCAAAACCAATACCAAACACAGCTGATGGATCAATTCCCGAATCCCTTACTGAGGTCTTGACACAGAAACATATAGCATTCCAAATTTCCGTTGAAGACTGAGTAATGTAATTGGGCTTCAATTCGTGTCTTGTAATGGGTCTTTCACTCAATCCCAAAATAACACCATTGGTATCGATTACACAAGCCCTTGCCGATCCGGTTCCAACATCCACACCAACATAATAGATATCAGGATGTGGCGGTGGTTGATTAACATTGAAAAATGAAGACTTGCGTGACGCAAGGCTAGTGTGTGATTTTCCCATGTTTTCTTCCTAATCTAACTTCAAAAATCAATATGAAATATGATATAGTCCAATTTCTTTGTATTGGTTAGGTGTATATTAAATGTCGTTATAAATGTGTATATATCTTTAGCAATTAAGGGTGCATACAATTACTTCGTGGCCAATCAATATAATGCTTGCTTTGTTCACCGCAATTATATACGGGGAAATAGCGAAATGACAAAACGTTAGTATTCTGTATCCTGCATGTAGATGAAATCTCCCATAGATTTTTCCACTCAGAACAGAATGTGCACTCCGAACTAGAGCAACTCCTCTAAAGAGAGCAAGTGATGCATTGGAAGATTGTTCGCAAATACCTTTGAACGTGACCGACTCCTAAGACCTGGATTAATACTATCTCCTAAAAGCACTGCAGCCTCTTGCATCTTCAGTTCTTCGAGGAAGGGTACTTTGCAACTGCTTCTACCAAAAAATCAAATTGCTCGGTGTTCTCAACCGCTGATCTTATATGAGAAGCGCCAATTCTTCTGACCCCCTGCTTTTCAGCCTCGACTATAGAAGCTTCTACTAGATTGGCCATGAATATTTCAAGGGCCCGTCCTATTATAACTGGCGTTGCTTGTGCTACCTTTCCTATCTCCTCATCACTTTGCATTATCTTTTTAATTCTGGCAGCAGGGAAATGGGTCTTAATGCGCTCAAAGCTATTCAAGATCGTATCCTGTGGTACCTTGTGATCTGATACAGCAGGTTCTTCTGGATTTATAAGATTACTAAGATCTGACATCTGTAGTAAGATTGATATTCTCTAGTAGTATTGTACTATTAAAAGCGTGTGCAGTTCCGTTTTGTGATAGATCGGTGTTTGTGCTGTGACTTTTTTCGAGCGATGAGCAGGAGAAAATCGTTGTTTAAATACACAAATTGTATTTATGCGCGATAGTGTGATGGCAAAATCTGCCAAAAAAATAACAACATTTGGAACACGTATACAAATCATTCTTTTTAAGTAGCTAATCTCGAGTTTTACTTGGAACCCATCTGCGAAGAACAATTTCCGTTACTTTGAATTGTTTCAATAAGCTATCAAGCCATCCCTTTTCACTATCGTTAGATACTTTTTGAAGTAGAGAATAAAATCTCGCCTCAGCTGGAACATCGACAAATACGAGAACTAAATTCTTCTTAACAGTACCCATAACTCTTAGAACAGCGCTCATATTATACCAATTAATTTTGTCACTCCCATCACAAGGCATGACAACCACTGAATGATCGGCATGACTGAATGGTGGTCCTCTTCTATAAAGTAGCATGTCACATCCAAATTTGACTCCTGACCTTACGCACCAACCTAAAGATCGAAAATGATGATAAACAACATATCTCAATATAAAAGGACTGCTGGGGCGAGGATAGCCATCACAGAGTTCTTCAAGCAAGTGATACAAAGAACAAAGTTGATTTGCCCAGTAAATATCTATGACATTCAACGCTGATTTCAAGAAGAAAGCTTCGTACGAATCCAATTGCAAAAACTCTAAATTTTTCACTATAGATTTCGTTTCTTGGTTTATGATTTCTTTGTCTTCTTCCCTAACACTTATAATGTCGAAATCCGATTGGGGTATATTAGGTTCAGTTAAGTTATCCCTGTAATTATCTAGCTGTATTCTGATCTCTTCAGCGTCAGTCATTTCGGTTTCATCTAAAGGGTTCGCTCTATTCTTAGCCTCTAGAGCTTGATATTCAGACCTCAAACCTTTGAATTTTCTTCTTTCATTTCTCCGAGCAGTCGTAACTTCTTCAATGGCCATAACATCACTAAAATGAGTCAAGTTGAGTCGTCGACTAGTCCTTTGAATCCATGATGGCTCAGATCTGGAGAATGCGCCCTTCCCAAAAAATCCGTTTCGCCATAATCTCTGCATGTCTAACTCATCTTTGACCATAAATATACCATCTTCATAATCAACGTTTATTTTGGTGACTTGAGACTGGGGAACATGCTGATATTGTATATGAAAGTATCTGATTGCGAACCATAGCCAAGAGATAGGATTATGAAGGAATAACGAAGGAAGAGGGCCATACCGCTCATTAGATATAGTAATTGGTAAGGGATGCGGATACAATTTTGCTAGATTAATTGACTTCCTTTTTCCCATTATTCTAAATCTGATGTTAGTATCCTGAAGGAAATATTGGGATCTTTTCCAGTGAATCATATTTCAGATACCGTTGTAGTCTATGAGAAATCTTGTGCTTACACTGATTTGAATCTTCAAGGCACTTATAATCTGGTTATCATCATTGTTTTAATACACATGGTCAAAAATCAAAAAAAAAATTGCTTACGGCTTATTATAATCTTATTTATCATGCTGGAAACTTGTTACTTGATAAATTTGAGTGAAATTTTTCGAACCTTTTAGTTGAAACTGCGATATTTCAACGCTGGGAAAGAGCAAAAAGACAAAAAAAAAATTTTCGAATATCTTCTGCCGGTCCCAGGAATCGAACCTGGGTCTCTTCGGCCACAACGAAGCGTACTGACCACTATACTAGACCGGCATTTTTCGTAAATCCACGATCTTCTGGTCTGCTCTAGTGTATAGTTCAGCCTTTCGAATGATTTTGTCTATATTTATTTGTTTGAAATCCTCAGTGAGTGCTGTACTTTTACACCTTGGAGCAATGTCTAATGATTTGTATCACTGCCAGAGATGCAATTCGCCTATAAATTTAGACAGTACATTGCTAAAAGTATCACCACAACAATTGAGGCTTTTGATAAATAGGAGTCTCCCTGGTGGCGATTTAGAATCAGACAGAAATCATGTATCAGATTGTGATCCAAGTACCTTCATCCCACAAGACAGACTAGAGCTTTACAGTACTGTAAGTAATAATAATCTGCCCATCAAGTTTACAGATCTTATTGAAGTTGCTGACAAGTCTGATTCTGCTATATTAAACTCTAATTCATACGTCTTACTACCGGAAGATGAAAATGCAGTTAAAAGTATTCCTAAAGACTCACAAGGTTTGAAGGGAACTGATCAAATAGATGATCCTTCTAATTCAATTTCTTCTAGGATTCGTACATTAGCAGTAATATTCGAAATATTATCTACTAACCAAGATGTCGATCATCCATTGTGTTCAGACTGCTCTAACATGTTGATTGATAATTACAGATCGAAATTCGATAAGAGTCAGAAGGAGAAGGAAAGTTATTTACAATTTTTGAGGAAATTGAAGGATAAAGATGCGATGACAAATATTAATAACGACGAATTGGATCTGATCATATCTAAGTCAATTGAGGAGTTCCATGATCTATCATTGAAAGAGTATGAGAATCTAGATAAACTCAAATACTTGGAGGTGAAGAAACTAGAGTTGGAATCAGAATTGCATCACTTAGGATCAGAGCTAAGGCGGTTAAATGACAGTGACCTAACGGCAGCCCTCGCCCTAAAGAATAAGCTTACTTTGAAATTGTCAGAGCAAAGGGATAAGCTTGATCAATCTAGGGCATCGTATAATAACCGTATGAACCATTTGGATATGCTTAGAAATATAAATATTTACTCCACTTTCTTTCAGATATCATTCGATAAGGATGATATTTATGGGACCATAAATGGATTTAGATTAGGATATCGAATCCCGTACCCAGAGATCAATGCAGCACTCGGACAAATAGTATTATTGTGCATATTTTTGGTAAGACGACTCAAATTTAAGTTAAAAGATTATAAGCTCATCCCTATGGGTTCACAATCTCAAATAATTAATTATTCAATCTCAAATAACCATGATCAGAGAAAAGTGAGGACAAAATCCATTTTAAACTTATATGCTTCGAACGAATTTTCGCTAGGAAAGCTCTTTAATTTCAATAAGTTAGACGTATCCATGATAGCCCTCCTTGACGTTGTATCGCAAATAGAGAACAAGTTGATAAGTATAGATCAAGATATTGAAATACCCTATCGTATTTCGTCGAGAAATGACTCGCTAGGAGGAAAAAGTATAAGGATTACCTCGAATGCAGAATGGACTCAAGGTTGCAAGTTTCTCTTGACTAAATTGAACTGGATACTTTCGTATACTAGTGCACATACTTCTCCTACATAATTTCATTTCTACAGCTATAGTAATTTATAGATTTTTTTGTAGGTTTTGGTTGATACTGGGCTGTCATTGATCTCTAATTTATGTAATTTAATTTTGAAAATTATTTTCGACCTTCTATAAATTTCATTACTTTTGCCGCCAAACAATGCTGCAAAAAAAAAAAATTATACCCAAATTTCGATTTTATGGTCATTATTAAATTAAGAAAAAAATGTATGAAAAGGGCACTGGAGATATAAATTATCCCAGAAACAAAGTTATGACTAGTCCAATTTGTCCTATCGATCTTGAACATCTCCTAGTTCCGGCAAATTCTCCGACTGGTTCACTGCAATTACATCAATTCATCGATTTCAAGTCACAAACACCGATCTCAAAAGATATATTAAGACTTTCACGTTCATCTTCTTCGAATGGGAGCGATAAAAATCTGAATATCACTTCGAAACTTCTAAACCCTTTCAATGACACCATATCATCACAATCTAGGCATCTAAATTCACTTATAAAGCAACCGGATGAGAAACCTCAGCTCGGTAGTATCCCCAAGAATAATCCTGGAGAGAGTTTGTCAAATCTGCCAATGACTCCGTTATCTTTCTTCGTCCATAATCTTGATGGATATTCAAGGAATTGTAAAATGAACAGACGACCTACAAATTTGAGTTCTTCACCAAGGGGAATATCAGAAAATACAGGTGTCTTGAAGCCACTAATTTTAGGTTCTCCATTTTCAAAGAATTTTTCTGGTGGTAGTCAGGACCCTACTCTCTTAAACAGCATATCTTCTCCTAGTAAGCTCAAAAATAATGCAACGAAGATGGTAAGCCCATTACTTTACGGGTCACCTTCTCAAAAAAAAGAGCGGCTGAGCTCAATGGAAATTGATAGAGCCTTTTTGACATCAGAACCGGAGGATTCCAACGATATTTACTCAAACCTATTTGGATCTTCACATTATCAAGGGCTCCGTCATTCAAGAGCAATTTTTGATAATACGCTAGATAACCCATGGTATAGTGACAGGCATAAAGGCAATCTTAAAGCGGAAAGATTTAAAGCTGTATCCAGCTCTAGGTCTAATTCTCATGACATGAAAGCAACGTCGAAAAATAAACCAAAAGCTGACACGAGGATGAAAAGTGGCGTGCTTCAGAAAAAGGATGGGAATCGCATTCAACTGACTTTCAAGAAGTCAGACGCTGATATCAGGAACTTCGTTCCATCAAAAATATCGAAGAAAAATAGAGAGCGCCATGGCGTTAAAAAGAGATCGGGAAAGCGACATTCAAAGATGCAAAACGAAAACTTTAAAAGAAATCGACACGATGCATACGCCGTAGGCAATCGAGACCTTAAAACACCTGAACTAGATATATCCAAATATGATGATCATGTGATAGCTTCACTGGGGTCTGATCAGACTCTGTTCTCATTAGATGAAGACATGAATGCCGAAAGGGGATCAGATGACGAGTATGTGCCAGGGAAATATAGGCAAACAAGAAGTAAAAGAAAATTATCAAAGACAAAACAAATTGATCTCGATTTAGAAAAGAAAAGAAGACTAGGACCAAGATCCAAAAGTGGATGTTGGACTTGTAGAGTTCGTCACAAAGCATGTCCTGAAGATAGGCCCGTATGCAGCCAATGTGTACGGCTTAACTTGAGATGTGATTATTCTGACGTCAGACCATCATATATGACAGATCCTCATCAACAAATGGCAAAGCTTAAGGAAATCAGAACTATAACAAGTCAGCAGAAGAAGATCAACTTTGCGAAAAAAAAAAAAGTATATTAGAGTGAATACCAATTGCTTTTATATATCGCGACAGCAGCATAATCCGGTAAACACACGCTTTCACTTTGTCCGACAATAGATTTGAATGTTCAATATTGTTTTGACAAACTGAATCTCTGTTAAGACCTGTAATAGCCTTCGACAGTTTGAATACGAAACCGGAGTTCATTTAGCAGTACAAGTAACTTATCTACTATTTCATTAGGATAATTTCGGTATGATGGGTTTTCATAGATACCTCGCTGCATTGATTTTTTTGGTTGGTTTGTCAAGTGGTTTCTATTTACCAGGAGTCGCTCCCACTAACTACAAGAAGGGTGATAGGATTCCATTACTAGTCAACCATTTAACGCCATCACTCCATCATCAATCTGCATCACATAGTAAGATAAATTCGAAAACTTACGTGTATTCCTATGATTATTATTATCCCAAGTTTAAATTCTGCACCCCTAAAAATGGCCCAAAAAAGCAACTGGAGTCACTTGGTTCTATTATCTTTGGTGATCGAATTTTCGACTCTCCGTTTGTGATAAATATGTTAGAAGACAAATCGTGTGAGAGACTATGCCAATCCACGTATTCTAGTTCTGATTCGATATTTGTGAACAGAAATATAAGAGCTGGTTATAATTACAATTGGCTCATTGATGGCTTGCCAGCTGCTAGACATGTTAGTGATAGAAGAACAGGAACTGAATTCTATGGCTCAGGTTTTAATATTGGAGAAGTCGACGAAAAGAACGTTGCTCATCTTTCGAATCACTTCGTCATCAAAATTGAATATCACAAAAGAGATGAAAATAATTATAGAGTAGTTGGAGTCACAGTTGATACTCAGTCATTGGAAAGAAGCGGCTTGTCAAATGATGCACCCGCAGATCAGTATTGTTCTGCGGAGCTCAAACCTTTGATTTTGGCCAAAGACAGTGAAACACCTGTAACTTTCACTTACTCTGTAACTTTCACCGAGTCTGTTACAGCCTGGGCAACTAGGTGGGATAAATACTTGCATGTTTATGATCCTAAAATACAATGGTTCTCGTTGATAAATTTTTCGTTGATAGTTTTGATCTTAGGTATTATCATTGCTCATATTTTGATGAAAACCTTGAGAAATGACATTATGAAATACAATGAAATCAATTTAGATGACGACATTTCAGATGAAAGTGGCTGGAAATTGGTACATAGTGATGTGTTCAGACCACCTCAATATAGACTCTTGTTGTCTGTTTTGGTTGGCAGTGGAGTGCAGATATTTGTCATGGCTCTAATCACAATCGTGTTTGCTCTTTTTGGTTTGTTGTCCCCCTCGAATAGAGGAGCATTGTCGACTTTCATGTTTATTATTTTCATCGCTTTGAGTTTTTTGGCAGCATTTGTCTCAGGTTATATATATAAGTTTTTCGGGGGAGATAATTGGAAATTAAACATGATTTTAACTCCACTTTTGGTCCCTGGATGTTTATTTGCAGTTTTCATACTCCTAAACTTTTTTTTGATTTTTGTTAATTCATCTGGTGCTATCCCCATTGGGACGATGTTTGCGATTGTTGCTATATGGTTCACAATCTCTATTCCATTGTCTGTGTTTGGATCAATATTTGCATCAAAAACAAAAGTATTATCAGTCCCAGTACGGACAAATCAGATCCCTCGGCAAATTCCAGAGCAGCCTTGGTACTTGAGACTTATCCCTGGCATGGTAATATCCGGTATTTTTCCATTTGGCTCTATTGCAGTTGAAATGTACTTTATCTACACGTCATTGTGGTTTAACAGGATCTTTTATATGTTCGGTTTCTTATTTTTCTGCTTCCTTTTGATGGTCTTGACTACAGCTTTGATTTCAGTTTTGATGGTATATTATACGTTATGTGCTGAAAACTATAAATGGCAATGGAAGTCTGTTTTTATTGGTGGTGGATGTTCAATCTATGTGTTAGTTCACTCAATATTTTTAACAGGAGGTGAAAGTCTAGGTGGATTACCATCGCTAGTATTGTATATTGGTTATTCGGCTGTTATTTCATCATTGGTTTTTCTCTGCTGTGGATCCATTGGGTTCTTAAGCAGTCTTTTCTTCGTACGGAGAATCTACGCTCAAATTAAAATTGATTAAACTTCAATGGGTAATGTCTATTTATTCAATTGCTTTTTTGGAACTACCTACGAAAAAGTCAAGACAAGGATGTCGATTTGTATATGAATTTATTCTAAATACATCGTACTCTCATTAAAAGATGAAACGTAGTTTTCACCACCCATTTAAACTTTCTTTTCTTGCAAATGGGACAATATTGATCAAAAATTCAGACTTCCACAACACAAAGCTATTTTCGTCACTGGAGTTGATCAACAATGAAGAATTTTTAAGTGGTTCATTGTAGGACGATTCAAAATTGAAGTTGAACGAATCAATCCTATTCTTGATAAAATTCACAGCTACTGTTCCCAAACCTGATTTTTCCAAGTTTATATTTAATACATTAAATGCCGTAGACAAATCATTATTAATTTTGATGCACCTGTTTAATATTTCCAAGTTCTTTTTGTCTCCATATTTGAATAAGCTATCAATTGTTAGCTTGCACAATTTGATCAACCTATATAACTGAGAAAATGAAAGGTTCATAAAGGGACTAACAAATTCGACAGAAGTAGACCCATTTCCTAAGTAATTTGAGAAATTAGTAATCGAAGTAGCCAATTTCCGGACCAATCTGAGTAATTTGAGTTGGCTATCATTCCATAATTCCCAAAAGTCATCTTGATCGTTGAATCGAGCAGAAGACAGTTTGCACAAAATATCACTAAGCTCTATTATGCAATCTACTAGTTCAAATTTTGTAGCCACAAGATTAATGAAGTAGCTTGAAATTGCAGACCTAGCCTCTATATTGGTCCAGTTTGTGGCAGTAATGCGAAATTGAGAGGGTCGCCCATTCATGACAGATAAGTCTCGAATAGATACCAAGTCGTTTAGGACAGTTCCTCTCAATAAGTCAATATTTCCAGGATTATTTGGATCAAAGGGAAGAATGTAGTCTAAATGCCGAAACATGACACTCATTAAGGGGTTGTTCGTAAATCTTTGAATTCCAAATGTAAGCGAGCAAGAATTATCAATAATGGACATCAAATAATACAATCTAGGAAACAAAAGCCTTGTATTATCAGAATCACTTACTTTGAGTCCTTGTTGAGTAAGATCAAAAAAGCTCTCCAAAATTTTAAAGTCATTGAATATTGAAAGTGTCATTGAAATTCCCAATGAGTAGAAGCTTCCATTCAAAAGAATTGAATAATTAGCTATTACCAATGAGCTGAAAAATAATATGAGATTAGATTCATCAATTTTGCTGCTATCATTAAAAGGATACATTGAAAACATTTTAATGAAACACAGGATAGCATCATTGAGATTCAAGTTTTTGTAGTTGATTAATCCTAGAAGCGCTGCATCGAAAATTTCAATTATTATCCTATTTGATTCCTCATTTAGCACACTTTGGACAATTTGATTAATGTACTGTTCACTAAAAGGTAGGATGGGGAAATTTGTATGAATTTTTGCGTAGTAGATGCGCAAGTTATTTTCAATAAGGACTTTGCTATGCAATACGTGTGTGCCGAGAAACAGCCTAGGAGCTTGGTAAGGAGGAAAAGTATACATGGGTGACATTTGTGAATTGGATGACAACGGAGACGATTGAATTGACAAATTTTTGTTCATTCGACCTTGTAAGCTGCCTAAAGAAGCAATTGAGTTCTTAGGACTCAAACTTTGAGAACTTTGTCTCCTTGAAGAACTAGCAGAATAAAAGTCGTCAATATCGCTATCAACGGAATTATTTTCAGTGGTCGTGACGGATATACTTGGTTTGATACTTGGCAATCTTGAAGATAAAGATCCAACGGTAGAATTTGACGTAGTAGAATCAAGAGAATACCTTCTCGTACTGCTATAGGAGCCACTATTTGAAGTCGAACCAGTCGGCATCTCATAAGGAACCTTCCAAAATGGTCCCTGGATAGGTTGGGGTTGACTCTTTTGGTAAACCGATAACGGAAGATGTGAACTCTGAGATTGCTCGTTATCCGGATTCAAAATACCAGTAATACTACTTCTAGGGCTCGATGGGTTAGACTTTGGAGCAATTCCTTGTGCCATTTGTGAATTTTTTGGAGGCTGCTGCACATTAATCAATGGGGGAAGTACTATTGGCGGTGAATTAGAACCAGATATGGAATTTTTTGAGGCATGCGTATTTTGAGAAAAAGAAAGCAACTGGGGTTTCCCATATATATCACAGGTAGACAGATACCTTGACTTAAACTCTGGTTTCTCATCAGAATCTTTATTGTACCCTTTTGAGGGTCCTCTTTTTAGAGGTATTCTTGAGAATGTACAAGGTTCATTACTTTTACCACAACTATCGCACACCTTGGTGACCTGCTCCAAGCTTGCACTATATTCTCCGTTACACCTTATTTTCTTCCTTCGACAACTGTCACAGGCTCTCGATACTTTTGAACGTTTGCGAGGGGGATCGCCTTTGCTCTTCTGAGATTGTAGCTCATCATTGACTATTTCTCTCTCTCTAGAAGAATGGTCCCGCGACGTACTCTCATCTGAACTTACCATGACCTCTGACTTCCAGTTAAACAGAAACAACTGTAGTGTATCCGAAAATCGACTCTATGGCTATGAAACGGTCACTCAATTCTTTACCGTGGACGCAGTATACGATTCGCTGTTTAAAGAATGTTAATCAAGTATGAGATAGTTTTCAACCCTTCCTTTAGTATAGGATTAATGTTCGAGTCTATTTACAAAATAAATTGGACTATGTATTTCTAGCGCTTTCTGCCAAAGCTTTCAATCTAAGCCTTAAAAAGAGATTCCCCAGTGAAAATTCACTCCGGAAAAACCATGGGATGCCCCCCTCCCTCCGCATTTCCTCAAAGTCGTGTAATTTCGAACTTGCCGGTACTGTGGTCCCGGAGGTTATAACAATACAGCTTCCGGCAGTAGTCGGAATAAGGAGTAAGTATAGCCACTCATGCTAAATATTATACAAATGAATCGAGCGGCTGAAGCTACTAGTCATGACGCCGGGATTTCCCCACAAATGCAGGGACGTGTTTACTACAAAGAATCTAAGTTAAACATAGAGAAACTTCCCACTCTTTCACTATATTCAACCAAATAACGTCTTCGCCCAAGTCACACCTGTTCCATACTTCGAGAATTATCTGTTTTGAACGCCAATGATTTATTTGCGAAAGTGCTGGGTGCCTCCAAAACTTCATAACTCTTTCACGAGATGATTCGTCCATTGCACAACTGCCGCAAATTAATATCGGCCAGAATGAGGGAAAAAGCTTTAATGAATATTGTGGCTCTATAAGTAGCATTGCATCCAAGCTTGCTAGACACTTTTCAATATAAGTGCGACACCTCAATGGCAGGAAATCCCTCACAATTGTATAGAAGTATACTATCAATGCACTGTGGAAATATTCTACGTGATATTGCAACCATTGGCGATATATAGAGAAAAACCTCGGCAGATCAGTAGAAGCCTGGGTGTGCAACAGCCAAAACTCTTCACACTTCCAGTTCAACAATTTGTCTTCCATTTCAGCAGTAACCCTTGGGAAGTTCCTTGGCAATACCTTATTTACTTTGAAAAGATACTTGTGATTAGTGAGATGAATTATTTCATTGAATAGATCTAAAAGATCGTGTGGCAATCCGAATATTTCGTAAATCAAATTTTTGTAGCTTTTTGTATCGCTTCCCTGACTGAGAACGGGCACAATGTGTTGTTTGGGATGGCTCATATTAGACAAGTCTTCAAGAGACAGCAAACTTGGGTGATTATTTTCGTTTTCTGAAGTTTTGATTTCTACCGAGCCGTCGTCCAAACTATTTATATTAAAAATACTATTCGTCGATGCTCTTTCTTTGATAGTTTCTCCTTCTTCGTTCTGCATTGAGCCCTCGTCACTTGAGCCCGATTCACTAAGGTCGCTTGAGTCATCATATTTTAATTTATCACCGTCTGAAAAAGAGTAATTGAATGGCGATACTGAATGGGTGCTTTCAAAAAATATGCTTAATAACTTGAATGTTTCAACAGCAAGCCGTGTCCTCTCATTTAAGGCAAGACTAGAGTTAAATCTTGTACTGATAATATGATCACCAATTGCAAAAATCAAGTCTAAGTTCTCAAATATGCTAAAATAAGAATCAAATTGAAATTGTAATATTAACCCCACTAATAGATCAGTTTCGTAATTCAAGTCTTCACCCACTAGGTCAATATTAGAATCACATTCATCCAAATGGAAATTTAATATTCCAATGCTCAATTTTCGTAGCTCTATACTGACTTCAAGACATTTGGTGGCAGGGTCAAACGACTCTCTGTGAGATTTCTTTAAATTAGATGCCATATTAAGGGCCGAAATGCCTAGCCCGCAATACACAATACATAGCCTTATACTGTTCTTTAAATATTTCGAGGTTATTTTTGTCCTTTTATTTACCTCATAATCCCACGAAGCAAAGTCCATGCATATAAATTCATATATCGTTTCCTTTATCATTGAAACCAATACTCTTTCAAATGGATTGTCATCATATAATACCTTGATAAAGCTAAACATTTGTGAATGAAGATCATTCAATAAATTTTTGAAGAGAGGTTTCAATAAAAGAGTATCGTCCTTAATTGAATAAAGTTTATCAATGATATCAGTTCTTCCATGATAATCATTGACAACGCTATTGGGAAAAAACTTGGGATACAAGATGTGCAAGATATTTTGCTCATCAATCTCAAAATCTCTTCCTTGAAGTCCCCATATTGTCAATTTAGCAGCATCAAGAAGTTGAGGATGTACCCACAAATTCTCACCTTTAGTGAGGTTAGAAAAATTCAGATCATCCTTTGTTTCCTTAGGTGCATACTCTCCTTTTACATTGGATAAATTTAAGATTTGAGTTTTCTCACTTCCAGAACCATGGTTCTCATTTCTATTTTGCAAAGGTTTTCTTTGTTGAAGTAGGTTTATTTTGTAAACTGAGAAAGGGCCACTTTGGAAATGATGTTCATCAGATGAAGATGTGTGTTTCTCAATGTCTTCAAGCTTTTGATTTAATTCTTTAAATGTCTTGTAGCTCATTTCTCTAGGAAATTTTACTAGCTCCACGTTTCTTCTTTGAAAATTTTCTATCTGTAAGTCAAATTTAACATCTTTGAAAGTCATAGATCCATCTATCGAGGATACTGTCAAAGGTGTTGACCATCCCAAAACCACAGAGTATCCCGCACAAGTTAATCCAGCTCTTTTACATCTCAGACATTGTGGTTTACCAAGATCGCATTTAACCTTTCGTGATCTGCAAGTCCAACATCCATTAAAGCTGCGACTTTTCCGTGCCATTTCTGACCTATTGGATTGGTTCTTCTTTCAAGGTTTTTTGGTCTTGATCGAACACCCATAATCGATGATTGTTATCTCGAAAATTTGATGATATGAAATATTTAGTCGAGAAAAACTGGATAGTAACATAAAATATACTTGATGGCAGCGCCACCTCCTTTCCAAGTTGCTCTTTCAGATGAGTATGACCCATCAATACCTAGAATATTGCCACATGAACATGTGTTTTCTATCCAAGTTGGCTACAAAATGTTTAAGCTAAGCGGAGCCTCGTTATCATCAGATGCTCCTTCTTATTTCACAAACTTTTTCAGTCATGAAAGAAATGACAAGGTATTGTTCATAGATAGAGATCCTAGAACGTTTGGAAAAATTTACAATCATCTTCAAGGGTATGTAGTTGAAGTTGATAACGAATATGATTTTGTTCATCTATGGTCCGATAGCTTTTATTTCGGATTAGAAAATCTTCAAAAGTATTTGCAGACTCATTTCATTTTTGCATCAGTCGGCTCTAAAACATTTAAAATTGACAGGACTTTAATCTCAGGTAAGGGTAATTTTCCTAATTTTTTTACAATCAGCAATGATTCTATCTTAGGTGATAATTTCAAATTGATCGAGGAAAAGAAACTCTTTAGACCACCTCCACAAAGGCCTATCTGTGCTCCAAATCGATCTGCCATACTCTTTGCTGATGTACTTGAGCTATTAACAGGCAACGACCTTATTATAAAGAATGATGAGCACAGAAGTCTCTTATTGAGAGAATGCAGATATTACAGGTTCTTAGAACTCGAGCAAAGGATTATTAAAAGTAGGATTTATAATAACCCATTTCAGGAAGGCATTCAAGAGATTATATTAAACCTTAATGACTTACAAAGTAAGGGGATCTTTAATGCATCAACTTCGAAGCTATCTGAGCAGCCGATACAGTACGCAAGGCCATACCTATTGAACGAGCCTAAAAGAATATTGGTTTTTCAAGTAGATACAATTGAACTGTCAAAGGGATTCTCCCTGATGAAATTGATTTTGAACAAAAAAGAGAAGATGGCTCTAGTAAAGCTTAAAGGTGACCTTTGTATTAAATTTATGCAAGTCTTCAAAGCTTATCAAGAGCATTTCAGGGTTGAAAATAGAGAATCTAAAAATCCTACTATAACTTTAATAACTGGCTTGGCAGATTGTCAGGCTATAATAAATGGATTAGAAATGAAAAAGGACTGGGTCGAAGATATTCTTTGTGGTCCCAATTTGGTTGATGTTACATCTGATGAAGGATTTAAGCGATTACATGAGGAACAGCACTTTCCTAAAAAGAGAAAATACTCCGAGGACTCACCTAGTGAGATAATTGAATTCATGTTAACTAAATCTCTTTGGAAATTAGTAATGCGAGGAAATATGTCTAGGTTGCACTGCATTTCTTTCGATGCAATTGCCGATCAAAAATCTTTTACCAAGAAAGTCAAAGATTTTTTATAACTAATATTTAATAGAACGGTGTAATAAATAAAAATGAGTTATTTCGTTATGATATATATTTGATGTCCAAATTTTAATAATTTGAAATATATTCGTCGCTAGCAAAAAAATAATCTCTAACAACAATTTTAAACTCATCTGTGTCAGCATCATATTCTTCCACTTCAAAAGAAGAGAGATTTTGGACGACAATATCTGCTCCTGAATTCCTAACCTTTTCGGGATCATAAGTGGAACAGATTCCAACGATCATAGCACCAGCGTCTTTTCCAGCTTTTATACCCGCAGGCGCATCTTCAAAAACCACTACTTTCTTGTGGGCTGCGCCATAACCAAGCTTCTCCCTTGCAGTGAGATAGCCCTGTGGATGTGGCTTTCCATGCTCAACAGATTCTGCTGTGACAAAGCATTCTGGCCGCTCTATAGTTAAGAGCTTCAACCATTTCGAAGCCAACGGTAAAGTACCCGACGTTATGACAGCCCACCTTTGATGTTTGCTGTTAGTGACATGGGATAGCTTATCAATTTTCTTGACTAACTCGACAGCTCCAGGAATTGGTTTCGCATACTTTCCAAAAGAATCTGGAATAGAACCTTCCCATTCTGAAACTTGTTTTTCATCGGCATCATCGGGCGACCACTTAGCTATCACATCAAACGTCCTACAACCATGTGAAGTTTTGATGATTTCATTAGCGTCGACGTGAGGTCTCGTCTTTGCAAACTCTTTCCAGAATTCTGAAATTGCACCCGTTGAGTTCACTAGAGTTCCATCGCAATCAAATAGTGCGGCATGTACATAGAAAACAGCAGGTGGTTTACTAAAATCGGGAGTCATCTTAAGTATTGTGTGTCCTATAGTAATTGAAAACCTTGCTTGTTTAAATATTCTGCTTATTTTACTAATTTGTGATGTACCCCATGCATTAGAAGGTCAGTTGCTGCGAACTTTTTTTTGTTCCACGATCAAAACTTTTGCTCCATAGAAAACAGAAGAACAATGCAAATTTACATCTTTATACGATTCGTGCGACTGTTAAATAATATGACCAATAAAAATATTTCTTGCTAAAGGATAAAAGAAACGGTTCAAATGTTGCTTAAAAGTACTTGCAATGTGACTTGTTCTATCTCAATCCGTGAAGCTATTTCAGAGAAGTTAGCAGGCACACTAAATATTTGGCGTGCTTATACTTCACATGAGACTATTTCAAGATCACAAGAATTGTCACATCTATGAGATACTCGACTTCATTACGTAATGATAAGGTCTATATCATTATTGCTATTATCCATAAAGAAAGACAACATGCGAAGTACTTAATTTCAAGTTTGGAAGAAACAGAGATAAAAAACACAGGTGACGGTACAATCAACCTATAGGCTCAAGTCGTTACAAGCTTGGAGTTCTTTATTGATCTGTCTGCGTCATAAACAATATCTTTTGATACACCATTAGTACCATATTACTAATGGATCAATTCATTTAGCTCTCTCGAAAATTAGTTCAATGACATTACTGCTCTGTTTATACCCACCAGAATAGTGGCATGAACATATTCAAATTCCGTTTGAAGTAAAGTACTTTGAAAAGCAGTCTCTGATTAAAGTGTAAACTCGACTTATAGTCAAAATGTAAATTTACGTAATCAGCTTCACATTTTGAAATCTCATTTACAACTAATATTGACCGACTACCTCACCAAGGATAGAAAAAACGACAGGCAATCAATTGTATTTAAGTACCTTAGGTGGAAGACAAAGACGAATTACTTCAATAATGTATGCAGCTCATATACTCGTAGCAGCTTCTTTATTGACGATAGGAGGATACATGCTCTTCAATGATTCAGGAGAATCTTTCAACGTAGGAGAATTCTTAGAGTCTACGTCTCCATACATGTGGGCTAACTTGGGTATTGTAAGCTGCATTGGGTTTTCGGTAATCGGTGCAGCTTGGGGGATTTTTATTACGGGCTCCACCATCATTGGGGCTGGAGTTAAGGTCCCAAGAATTACTACTAAAAATTTGATTTCAATTATTTTCTGTGAGGTTGTTGCCATCTATGGTTTGATCATGGCCATTGTTTTCTCCTCCAAATTGAATGATATTCAGCCCGAGCTTTTGTATACCAAGGAAAACATGTATACTGGATATTCACTCTTTTGGGCAGGCTTGACAGTTGGACTTTCAAATTTAATCTGTGGTGTTGCCGTAGGTATCACTGGTTCTACTGCAGCTATCAGCGATGCAGCTGATTCTTCTCTATTCGTGAAAATATTGGTTATTGAAATTTTTGGGTCAGTCTTAGGTCTTTTTGGTTTAATTGTTGGACTATTAATGGCGGCAAAGGCCCAGGAATTTAAGTAATTCTGTTATATGGAACAAAGAACAGATATATACGGAAGCACTGAAGTAGTGTTTTTCATTTCAGAATTGAGCTTACTCAATTCCAGCTTCTCTCTTTCATGAGGACATTTTTTGAAATTAGCTTTCTAGAAACCTCATATAATCTAGCTTATAGAAAATATAGTTGCATCATGACAGTTTTACTTTTCGAAAACTTCTTACCTCGTAATCAAATAATTATACAAAATTTTACGCTAAAGCTACACAACTCTAACTGAAACTATATTGCATATTTTTAATTCAACTACCATGAAAGAATCTAGCGCTCACCTAAACATTGTCGACTTCCATATAATCAGGATTCTTTCTCAAAATCACGACTCCCTCTAACGACGACGTCAAGCTAATCCATTCTTCAGTATTTTCTAACTCAGCCCTTTCACCAAAGTTTAATAAAACGGGAGTTGATTGTGTCACCCAACCTGTTATAGTTTTAGGTTTACCCGCTTGTCCCACAACGTCGACTGCTTGTCCAACTCTCACATTAACTTTGATAGGATTAAGCGATTCATCTAGCGTTACCAACATGCGAGGTTTTACAGCAGGAGTTAAATAGTACAACAATTGATGAGTACATTCGGTGGTAGAATCACTTAAAATAAATGATTTTGGATCCAATAAGGCCACTGATACAGTTAGAAGTGAGGCCAACGACACTTTGGACAAAATACTTCTCTCTGAATTGAAAGGAGATAAACTCAATGTACCCTTACCAAGGTGTAAAATACCTTGAGCAATTCTGACCATAAATAAGGTATCGGCTGACTTGATGTAATATGAGGCTAACTGCCTGAGTAATTGAGCTAATCTAGCATTATTCGTACCAGCACCCACTAGTCCCATAGCATAAATTGAATTTTGAGAGACTTCTAAGTCAGGGTCATGTGAATAACGAGACAATGTGTCGAACACTTTCATTTGAGGATTCGAAGCAGAGACCAAACCCATTGCAAGTGGTACAGCTCTACGTATCAAAGAATTTCCATAGTGCATTAAATGTGAAAAGTGACGTAAAGACAAATCTTGTCCAATTTCTTCACCCATTGCAATGCAAGCCAATCCCAAAACAGCAAACCCTTGGTGTAACTCTTCCCCTTCTTCTTCATCTGTACTTTCAGTTTCTTCGATTTCCTTCTCAGTTTGTTCCTCCTCCTTTTCTCCGTCTGTAGCCGACTCAGCCTGAGCCATTTCAACATCGTTATCATTATTACCTTCGTCGGCTTCTCTCTTCAACTGGTCTTCTTCACTCTCAGCCAACTTTTTCTCTTCGGAGACCTTATCAGTAGGCTTCGCAGTGCACATTTGTAACAAAGACTGAATCTGCAAAACGTTCCCCGTCCCAGCATAGGCACAGATGTTGACCAATACTTTCAAAGTTTTATTAATGGGATGCTCTATAGCATCTATTGTCTCTAGTACGTCCTCAACTTGTTCCGTCTTCCCCATGTATAATAAGCCGAGACCCAAAGACATAAATTTTATGAATTTATTAGCTAGTTGGCTGAAGTCTCTTTCCAATAGAGTTTGCAATATTGTTGAAGTAATTTCGCCATGACATGTCCCCACAAATACATGTCCCAAAGCAAGGGCTGCTAAGCTCGAAACCTCTAAAGAAAGATCTAAGTCAGAAATTAGAGGAAGTAATAAATTCAAAACTTCTTCGTTAGAAGACCCCGCGAATGCAATCCCCAAGCCGATAATTGAAGATGATTGAAAAAGCTTCTTTGGGTCTGTAACATATTCTTGAAGTAAAGCAAAAGCAGCATCAACGTCATCATGCACATTAGTCGATACGACACCAGTCCCCAACAAAGCACCTGCCTTTACATCATCTTCTAGAGAATAGGTATATTTATCTAATACCTGTAATCCTTCGTTGATGTTCCATTCATGAATAAGACCTAGTGATGCTGTCGTTGAAATCATCCCCAGACCCTTAGTTTTATAAATCCATGATTTATTATCTTCCTCAGTTTGAACTAATTTATCGGTTCCGTATCCAAAATTTATAAATGCATTGACAAAAGCAGCTGCTAAGTTTTGTTTAGCTGAGTCAATAGACCCAGAGTTACCTAAGCCAAATTTTGCATTCTCTAAATGCGATTTGTATATATCTTCAGGAACTTTAGGATCCAATAAATTCAATTCCTTCACAAGATATGCATAGTATTCATATAAATTCACATTCGAGATAGCATTTTGAACTTCTTGATTGTCACCAGGATATTTGAATGAGCTGTTTTGTTGTGATAAAATAAAGCCCAATTGTTTATGAACTAAGTCATCGTCAGTGGATTCAAAAACTTGCTTAATTAACTCCTCATTATCTAGCTTTATAGCCAATGTTAAGGCTTGCGATAACTGTCTATGCTCCAAGGAAATAGAGTAAGCAGTATATAAAAAGGAGTTGTCATCAGGTGGAGCCAACAAGGGAACACAGCTGATCATGTATAGGCAAACCCTTGCGTAAGTATTTTCGTCAACGAATTGTGGAAGTTTGTCAATACTTTCAATCTCTAAGAGTAAGTCTACTGCATCGGCCTCTGCATTATGTTTCAAAAAGAATGGAACAATTTTCAAGGATAAGTCTATTAATTGCTTAATTAAATGGTCATCAGATCCAAGATTCTCCTGGTACGATTCACCAATTTCAAGAGCCAAATGACGAAGATATTCATGTCCCCAGTCATAAATATTAGAGTCACTAGACAATAACCTGTATTTCAAGGATTCCCTCTTTCCATCGTCCGAATAAGTCATTGCTAAAATTGACAATATGTCGGCTAATTTAAGTACTATATCGTCATTCTTACCAAATTTTTCGACCCACTTCTCATAAAGTTCAGTTAGTGAATGGTAATGTGGTCTCAAGAATTTTAAAGGTTTCGGGACAGCGGTCATCGAGGTAGTAGAATCTTTAATGAAAGTTTTGAGAGAAGTTAAGTATTTCTCGTACATTTCCTTAGAGGAACCGGTTTCTAGTAGCCTCTCGACTAATAGTTCCAATTCATCTTTCAAGTGTAGATCCTCCTCCGACAATTCTTCCTCCTTTGGAGGTTGCTTCTTTCCTTTGAGAGACTGTTTGGTTGTCATCGACTGTTCTTTCTTTGCTTGATCCTTAGCAGGAGACATGGTATAATCAGCACAAAGAGACTACAACAACTTTCCAGCTATAATGAAATTTCCGTTTCGATTCAATCAATAGCTTAGTGGCCAAGTATTTTGTAGCTTTTCGTGTTTGGTAGACGCTCTCTAATTAGGATGGCAAATAATTAAAATTCTCGAAGTGAACACTACTGCATATACAGGATAAAGCACTTTATCGAATTATGGCATAGAATGTCTCAAAAAACCAACCAAATTTCAGCTTATATTTATTTAACAGCTTGGTTTCAAGTGTGATTCATTTATAGAGGGCAGAAGAAATGAGATAAGTGTCTTAGTGCTATCAAAAAATCAAAGAAAGTAATTGACAGATTAGAAGTTTTGAAAAATAATTACGGATCATTGTTGCAGGAACTCTTTCTTCAGCATCACCGTACGGTGTTTAGATTTTAATTGGAATCTTAAGAGAGTGAGTGGACCAAATCTGCCGCCTGAAGAAATTTAATTCATAACAGAATTTATTTGGACAGTTACCTAACGCAACAACTTCAGTTTAACTGAGAGTTTATCAGACGCAAAATGTTAATGTCGTACAATGTCGTTTTTTTGCACACTTTGTATGTCTTTGTTTACTATTACCGAAGTCTAAGAATCTGGTACATTAAAAGTTAATATAGGTCAAAAATCGTATTGCTACTGGTAAAAATTTTTGACCCTAACAACTTCTTGTCCATCAAGAAGTAACCATAGAATACTTTTTGGTAAGAGGTGGGACTAATTACATTTAAAACGCGTTGATTCGGCGGAATATGGAGAGGATATTTTACCGATCTGATCTTAAAGATCCTGAAACTCAGCTACCAATATATGTGTTCGATACTACATATTTGCCACAGCCAGATGATATTGATTATGAGAAGTTTATTCTGGTTTTGATGCAGATTTTGCCAAAATTTCCCTACGCGTTGATAATGTTTAGCAGTGGCCTTAATAAGATTAATTGGATTTGGGGTGTCAAATTCTTAAAAAAATTCTTATCTGATAACCTGACGAATAATGCAAGTAATTTGAAAAAGATAATTACAGTACATGATAGTTGGTTTGTCAAAACGTTAACTCAAGTTTTCACAAACTTGAATTTCACGAAAAAGAGTTTTGCACAATTGAATGCCTTTGTCGAGTCCTTTAGCATCGCAGGAAAAGACAACATGAGTAATGACTCTAGCAGTGTTAGAATTAATTGCAGCTCGTTGAGTTCTTTGAATGAATATGTAAATATTACGAAATTGAAAATATCGTTGAACATCTATAAATATGATTATCAATTAGACCATCCCGAGGATCTGTTAAAAAGTATTTATCCGCCATTGATTACTGCTGTGACTAAAATAAATCCCACAACCGATCCAATTTTTCATCACCACTTTTATCAAATTTTCAATATCATTAATATTAATGGTGATCAAGTGGAACTTCTTTTCCATAGACCTGGTAACAAGCTAAAATCAGAAATCTTGTTCGATTGCGTCAACCGTAACCAATTGATATGGGTCAATGACTGGGATATATATTCCATTGCGATTACGTTTAAGAAGTTTTTGATGGAATTACCACGGCCATTAATACCTGTTGAACAAATACTATTGCCAATGAAAGACGAATATGAATATACTGTTAAGATTTTTGACCACATCATAAATGGATTCGAAGATGATGAGGGATATCGTGTCGTACTCCTACAGTTTCTTGACTTATGTCACAAGATTTTAATTAATGAACAAGTAACTAAGCATACTACTCTGTCGTTATCAAAGTGTCTAAGTCATTGTTTGAGTCATCAAGTAATATCATCACAAAACAAAGATGAAATTCTTATTGTGAATAGATTCATCAAAAACTTGCTATCCTACTGGGTTGACATTAAAGACCGTTACTCATTTAGTTATTCGATAAGTGAAATCATTCTTGGTGACCTTACTCAGGATGACAAGGTCGACGAATCTTACGATCTAGGCTACGAGATGATGGATCAAGGCATCTCAGATGGAGATGAAGTGGAATTTAGGAGCGATTATATAAGTGTTCTGCCAACGTCCAACTTTAAGTTTAATAAGAACTCACTTACATGCAACTCGTCTGAATCGGAATTTGAATCAAAGAACCTACAGATGCAAAACTTGAAGACACAGGACAAGCTATCTGATATTTCCAACGTCATCAAGCTCCGGCCAGCAGGTACATACAAATTACCTTATATATTTGATGCGAACCACATTATCGAGAACAATAAGGATGTGTCCCTAAACAATGCCACTAACATGAAGAAGCCCGTTATAAGGGGTAGAAAAGTTGGCGAACTAGCAAAATTATTTGAAGAAAGAGCCCATGGAATAGAGATCTTAAAAGGAATGTAAGAAAAATAGGAACGATAGAAAGATATAAATATACATATGATAGACGATTATATTTTCGTAAATTGTTACATAAAGCTAGTAAAACTGTTAGAATTTAAAAAAAAAATTTTTGAAACTATGTTAGAGGAGTTTTGACGTCAAAGGCTTCACTCACCAACCAATCTGCTGTCTATGTTATCCATTGATAATTCACTACCATCATTGCGATGATGAGTAGCATTTGCAACTGCTGCTATGGCTGCCGCTGCCGTATTATCATTATCGCTATGTATCCCATGCTCTTGGAGTTGCTGTTGATATTGTTGATACTGGTGTTCATCCAATTGATGATGGTGGTGCGCTGCTTCAGCTGCGGCAGCTTGGTGCAATTGACGTTGCAATTCCGCATCCTGCTGTTGTTGATGTTGCTGCTGAAGCTCGTACTCCAATACCTGTTCGTTAGTTGGATGATCGTCATCATCGTCGTCCAATACTTGATGAAAAGAACTTGCATTACGTTTCTTATGTGGGAGCCTTTGAGAATTGTTGTTTAAGAATCTATTTTGTTTTTTTAACTTTCTTTTGTAGCCTCTTATTTCATTATAGATATCTTCACGCTTAATTAAAACATCAGGATATTGGTCCTTAATTTTAGATTCAATATGAGACGGTTTCGTACCAACCTTATATAAGTCCAAAATTAGTAAATTCAACTCATCTGACCTCTTTCTCAACATAGGATGATTCGACAATGGGTCTAATTGAGGATGATTGTGCTCATTACAGGTCGTCTTTAGAGTCCAAACACCAGTCGACTTCTTATAGCTAGCAGTCATCGCAAAAGGGCATCTCAACTTTTTGGTTTTCGTACTTGGATCTAGCAAATACCCATTACCAACATCAACTTGCCTAGCAGCTTCCATATCCTTTTTAGACTTCTTGTGTCTGTAACGACCACCTAACTCACAAGTATAATAGATAGCCTTTTTATTTGAATGGGCTATCACAACGCCAAACCCATTGTCTCTCGCAAATTCTTGAATGAAATCATTCAAGTCGTCTCGATTTTGAAAAACTTGTTCTGGGTAGGGCCTTGTTATTAAATTGCCTTCTGCTGTTATGGTGTTCTCAGTGACGGGGTAAATCTTAGATTTTGCATCTATGATTGGTTCGGGAATCTGGATGTTATATTCTGATTCATCGACATCTTGCTGATTATATTGATGATGTAACTGGCCATCGCCATGAAGATCGTACCCTTTGGGGGTTTGTTGTTGTAAGTGCTGAAATTGGTTATGCTGAGGGTGACCATGTTGGTGCAGCGGCTGATGGTGAGAGTGATGCAGCTGTTGTAAGTGTTGCTTTTGTTGTTGATCTCTCTCCGAGAGAGCTGCAGCATGTGCAATTTGTTCCAACTTCTCTCTAGTGGCCTCCAAGTCATGATGGTGGGCAGACGTTGGCTCAACGACTACACCTTCAGCTTGTTTCGCCACGCTCAACAACTGATCGTCGATATTGTTTGAATACTCTTCCGAATGTGACATTCTAGTTGCAAATATGTTCCCAGGTCGTGTTATTTGGTAGTAGTGTAATTTTGTTAAATTTGATGTGTTTTGGTAAATGAACAACTCAGCGTGTAAGGGTGACCGGGAAGAGTAGTAGTTAAGAAAATTTAATTTTTGATGATAATTGTTTTGCCACTAGTACACGACTAAAAGAAATGCGACTATCACTGGCTCTGTAGGTATTCCGGTTCCACCTTATTCATTATATTACAAGAGAGCAGAAGCAAATTCTTTAAACAGCGAGAGCGATCTATTATTTTACGTAATATAGCTTCCAATGTAGGAGCAAAAGATCTCTACAAGAATTACAATACTCTTACGTGGTACTCAAACTCCTTATACCACATGGAATATATTGTGCCTCTAATGAAAATTTTAGGAATTAGCGAGTTTATTTGCTGCCCAAGTGGGAATCACAAAAGAAGCTGAATGGACAGTACTGTTGTAATATTTAAATAACGAGTCCTCGGTTGAGGGTGCAAATTTCCTCAATGGGCGTTTTAAGTCTTTCGATGAATCATTCGTGGCAATGAAAAGTCCTAATTGTCCAGAAGTATATGAAGGCATGTAGCACTGACAATATTCGACTGTTGAGAAAACAGAGCGAGCCTTACCAAAAAGCTCTTTAAGATAATCCAAATTAAGCCAAATGTTTTCACTGCTCTGCATAATCACTATTCCATCGGGTTGGAGAGCATTAAGTAAGAGCTTGAAGTAGTTGGTTTGAAAGAACTCTTCTGCAGGGCCCTCGGGATCCGAAGAGTCTGTGATTATAACATCGAACTTCTCCCCTACACGAGATTCGAGAGATTTAAGGTACTTGAAACCATCATCGATTACAATACTAACCTTAGGGTGGTTGCGGTATTTCGCCATGTTTGGTAAGTATTTTGCAGAAAGCTGAATAACCATATCATCTATTTCAACCATGGTTATATCTTCAACTCCGTGATCCAAGTGTTTGACTAATTCTCTAACAACTCCGCAGTCCCCTCCACCTATTACGAGAACCCTTTTAGGGTTTGGGTGAGACATTATTGGTAAATGGGTTATAAGTTCTTGATAGGCAAACTCATCCCTCTCCGTGCATTGAACTATTCCATTCAATACAAGAACATTTCCGAACGTTCGAGACTTGAATATTAAGATATCCTGGAATGGTGATTTCGTGTGATATAATATCGCATCAATTTCTAAGCCAAAAGCTTGACCCGGAAACGATTCTTCAGACTTTTCATGAAACCAGAACTTGCCATCAATATTAACTATATTAGGATGTTGGAACGTCAACAAATCAAACGTCAGCATATTATTACTCATCAAAACATGTTTATCCTTTGAAAAGCCATTTTGTTCCGTCAACAGGAAAAAATTTTTCCCAGGGCGCGCATGCAAGATATTCGCCAACTACAGTTAAATTACATTACAAAATTTGGCACCCCACAGACTGTACCCTAACTCAGATATGAGGTATTTTCGAATCAGCATATAAAATCCGGATCTTGATCTCATTTGTCATACTTGCTCGTAATTGTTGGAAGCTTAAAGTGCTAATTAACGCAAGCCACCTCGCCCTGCATTATATTGTTCCGTATCCCTTTATTGACTCCCATTCCCCCCTCTACTCCGCAATTACGTTCATTCGATTGCCATTTCGCTTCAGCCAAAGTTCCGTTCATTAAGTTAAAATCATCTTAGAAGGTTTCCCCATTCGATGTTTTGTCTTTTCTTTTTTGAGAGCGGACTTCTTCCGACCATCGTACTTTTATCAGTATAATAGGATCAACTCTTTCCGAATATAAACCTCAACTGGATTTTCTGATATATATGACTCATGCTTAATTCCTTGAAACCTTAAGAGCATTTTGCAATCGTCACTTGGTTTTCAAATAGTCAAAAGACATAGTTACACAAACTTGTGAAAGTTACACAAATCCGAGGCGGGTACCGCATTTGGGAATCCGAATCACTTTTCTTTTTTTTTTCTTTTTTTATTGGACCTTGAGAAAAAGGATTTATTCGAAAGCAAGTCATTTCACAATATTGTGATTAAAACCTTACAAATTTTCGGCATCCTAGATTTGCAAACATATTTGATAAAGTATCTCACTGATACTGTAAGACTGAGGTACTGATTTTCACTTACGTTCCATAAATTTATTACTAATAACTAATCTTGTTATTGAATATTATTCTCAAGCGATAGCTTTTCCACGGAATTAAATTAAAATGAATGGAGCAAAAGGGCTTCCTCCAGGGGTCAAAATGCTTGAAATGAGCAAATCTGTGAGAAATGTATTTGAAGGGGGACTCATTAGTAATACTCAGAAGAGTAATAAAATTTTAACGGCATTGCAATTTGCTTACGTGGTTTTTGTTTCTGTCTTTGGAGGATTGGCTTCTCTTTTCAGTAGCTACCTTATGTTTCCGGCAGATGACGACTTTGTCAAGGAAGAAAAAGTTTTAGACATCGAAACGGTTGCAGAAAACTGTAATGGATTATTCCCAACAATTTCAAACTCCTCAATAAACAACTCAGCAGACTCTAACAATCCTCAGCTTTGTTCTACTCGAGAAAGCACAAAGTTTTCCGTCTACCAAAATGAGAATGGTGAAATCGAATGGCAAGTAACGGATGATTCTGGAATTAGAGAACGAGTCACCAATGTTAACGAGTCCAGTAACTTATCTCCGACACTCTCAAACTCTTCAAATAGCGATTCCATTATATCTAATGAATTTGGAAAGAGGGAAGACAAGGGTGAAACGCCTACAAACTACAGCTTGTCTCTGTTTTCTTACGACGAATGTGATAGAAGGAATATTTCTAGTCAAGAAGACCTGGATGATAAGGTGCATCAGTGTCCTCATTGTGATACCGTTTTCAAAATCAGGGGCTATTTAACTCGTCACATGAAAAAGCATGCTGTAAAGAAGGCTTACTCGTGTCCATTTCACAAATTCAGCACTTACGTTGATGAGAACAATGTCACGCATAGATGTCATCCGACTGGAGGCTTTTCCAGAAGAGACACATACAAGACTCATTTAAAAACGAGACATTTTGAGTATCCAAAAGGTACCAAAACTAAGGAAAGGTCTCAAACTGCGGGAAATTGTTCCATGTGTGGAGCATTCTTTCAAAATGCTGAAATATGGGTAGAGATTCATATTGAAGGGGGAGAATGTAAGTATTTACCGCCAGGATTCAAAGGTAAATCACGGATTAAGAACAGACTTAAAAGAGAGATGAGTAGAAGGCAAAAGGAGTTGAGCTCTTCAACTCATGACGTTGTTGATTTTACTACTCCAATCATTGATACTCCGTATTCATACAGTTCTTCTACACCAGGTCAAGTTAATGCCAACAACATTTCTTATAATATTCAACCACTATCTAATTCACCAACCTTGTCAACAAGCTCCTCCCTGAATGGCCAGTGCAACCCCAGCAGTACAACACCATATTCAAACGACTCTCCTTTAAATCAAAATCAATTTAATTCTCATCAGACTCATTCAAATTACTTGGTCTCGAATTTTATACGACCGTCAGAACATACAGTTTCTAACGGTAAACAAATTGTTCATGGCGGTGAAGATTACGATGATGACTTTTGTTTGGACATTGACCAATTGCATAATCCCGGTTTCAATTTTACTAACGAATTAATGAATTATATGGCCCCTATGCATCCGAATTCCTTAGTTGAACAACGCCATGAGTATCAGCAAATGAATGCACAAAGGATCAACAGCAAACCTTTTTAACAACTTTGTTGTGAATTAATGTAATTTAGGATATATATATGTATGGGGTGATGTATTATAATGGGATAGGGATATGTGCTACGGCAAACTTTTTCTTTAGGTTTAATAGAATTGTTATCTACTATTTGCCTCTTTCTATATCATTGTGAGTAAGAAATACTAATCTTGATGTAATTTAACCAAATATTTCATCTATTTCGCTTTTCTTCTTTCTCTTCTTTCGTGAACGACGTCCGCTCACTGGTGAGTTATCAAGTAAAGTCGAACTATTTCTTTTAATAGATTGTTCCCAGTCGTCAAACTTTTCATTGTTCTGCTCCTTTGCTATTTCAGTTTCTTTAACAGGAATGGGAACGACAGCCTGTTTTGAGATATGTGGGTAATTATTAACATCGTACTCCAAAATCTCCCCTACGTCATCTTCTGGGTGTTCATAATTTTTCACTAAGTGACTTATAGAGGAGTTATCTTCTATCAATTCTTTAGTTCCTTTGTATTGTTGAAACAAAGAGTGAATTCTGCTCAAACTACCAATTAAAGTTAAGCCAAGATTGACGAACTGTCCCAAAGTAATAATGTTATTGAATTCGTAGTAACATTTTTTTAATATATTCTTTTTAACAAGATATTTCACGACTTCCCGTATCTCTTTGTTTTTACTTTGAATCTTTGAATCGATTGAAATTCTATTCACATCTATTAGTAGCTTAATTACTTTCCGCAATTTGCGATGCAAAATGTTCAAGTAGTTCCACCAAGTCAGTAACCTATGCTGGTTACGATTCCTATGATATATCAAGTGGAGTATATAAAACTCGTTTGTCAATTGATCTGATAGTGTTGAACTATCTAAATCTATCATTGTGATTCTATTTACAAGCTTCTATTAATGAGAATCATCTCATCTTTAAGCGCGCTACTAAAAAAAAAAAAAAAATTACACTGGATGTACAAAGCTCATCAGTCATTCAAAAGATTATTAAACATGAACTTAGAAGACGATGTACTTCTCAGTGCCAGAGTATTATTGCAAAACTCTCAGCCTACTGCTGCTTTGGAACTCCTTGGCCCGAAATTGAGGGAGAACGAACACAACGTAGATTTTCTTCAAACGTTCGGTGAAGTCTTATTGGAGAATAATGAGATGGAAGAAGCATATAATATATTAATGAAAGCATGTGAGATGGATATGGAGGCTGAAAGAGGCTCTGAAAAGTTTTTTAATTTAGGTCAGATTATAGGTGGTGAAGATGGTCTAAAACTTTTAGACGTTGGCTTGAACAGATTACAACAGCAGTTAAAATTGGCTCAACGAGACATGATACAGCAAGACTCACTATTGGTAGACATGCCGAAGAATTATGCTGCTAAAGAGCTGCTTCTCAAACATTTAATAAAAAAAATTAATCAAGGAATTTTTGCGAAGATTGAAATCTGGATGACCGACTTATGTATGGAACTCGAAGCTGAGTCACAGTGTGACAGTCTTATAGAAAATTCTATATCTCTCGATTCGAGAAACCCTGAAGCTTTTTCATTATTAGCATCGATAAGGATATCTCAACAAAGAACTTTTGAAGCAAAGGAGGCTTTGGAGAAGTCTTGGGATTTATTCCAGCATAAAAAAACTGCTTTGGAAGAAACTGTAAGTAAGCATCAAGAAGATGAGATGAATGAAGAATTATTAGAGTCAAGCATGGAATATGGCGAGCTTATACAGGCTCTTTTAAATTTATCCAGACTTGCAATTGAGCTAGAACTTTACGAATTGGTATCATCTGTCACCTCTCGTATCCAGGATATGAATGAAAATATTTTGGAGTGTTATTACTATGGAGCGTTGGCTAGTTTGCTTCAAGCAAAAAAATTATTTACAATCCTGATTCCTAAAATCGCAGACTACAGGGAAGTTTCAAATGCATCCCTCAAAAGTTCTTCTGATCAAGAAATCCAAGCTTTAATCCATGAGGCTAAGGTTTCTCTTACAATTGGTTATAAGATAATTAATAGTGAATCCATTGACGCTGATACTGATTTAATAGAGCAAATGTCAGACTTGTTAGACGAATTCGGGGGCCCTGTGATGAGTGAGTTGATGCCGCAAAAAATTAATGAAACAGAGGAAGCAGCTTTAGAAAATGAGCTTAATTTATTAGAAGATGTTTAAGTTGTCATCGTGTATTTTATTGTATTTTTTGTACATTATTCAAATATTTTCATAAATTTATAAAAACTTTCAGAAAAGAAACTTTGAGTAATCTGAGAGAAATTAGGATAATTGAAGCTTCTCTATACTTTTAGAAGGTATCAGGCTTTTGATTACTAATTCTTCTTAGTTAAACAACTGTTCTGACCCGCAAGAGAATACATTAAAAGAGGTACTTGGATACTGCATATATTTCATATAGAAGCGTATACTTATTATAACCGTTTTAGTTCTCATTCATTACTTCCCGAAGACTAGAAGGTGAAGCAATGACAACAAATCACAGGCCGACTCTAGAAAGTAAGAAGGGAAAAAATATACTGATCACTGATACTATTGTCCATTCAAGATCGCTACCACAGCAAACGCAACTTAAATATCGAAATGACTACAAAAAGATTGACACGAAACTAAGCAGAGCAGCTGTTCTAGAGTTGAATAAAGAACTTAGTCAGGGTAGATCTGACAGTACAAACTCGACTAAAGACGTCAATGAGAACTTAGTTATACCTGATGACGAAGACGAAAAAGGAGCTGATGGAGAAAGTCAACTTTATGGGAGTGAAGATAACGAAAATGATTCGGAATATTCTAGCGAAGATTCTGAAGACTCTGAGTATGAAACTGTTGCCTTAATGGCAGAACTAGAAAAGGTGAAGGAAGAAAAAAGACTAAAAAAAAATCAGGAGGAACAAAGAGTTAAAGTAGAGAATGCGAAGGTGTCTAATCCACTAGTGCCACTATCTAAAACGAAATTACCTGATGATTTTAAAGTTAAAAAGGATTGGAGAAATTCAACTGCTTTTAAAAAAACTAACTCACCTAAAAAAGGAGACGACGATTCATACACTAATGATACATTAAATTCAGATTTTCATCAAAAATTTTTATCTAAATATGTCAGATAACATTGAAAGTTATGAAATATATAATAATACGTTAAGATGGGAATATATATTCTGAACCTAATTTAATGTCTTGAGTTTAAAGATTTCCAATTTTTAGGAAAGACGGTATTTATGAAGAGTTCGAACAGTTTAAGTCAAATCATCTTGATGGTTTAATCTAGCATCGAGGTGCGCAATGTCTTCCTTAATACTAGCCTCCTCAACAGTTTTTACAAGCTCCTTGGTGCACTTGGCTATATCAAAAGATATACCGGCTAGTCTTTGCTTGAAATTCTTATCAGCAAAGTCTGTATCATTCTTTTGAGAATTTGGCTTACACAAAATATTCATTCTGTGGTTGCAGTCTTCCAAGCTTTTGACAACCCAGCTTCCATGTTCTTTCAACTGAGAATTACGAGTTTGATTCATTGATGTGTTTGTTGCCTCAGTCATTTGAGAAATAACTACAGTTATAGCTTGTGACTTGTCGCGAAGATCACCTCTGGTTGCATTTGGCTTTTTAATAGCAGATAACAACGATTGAATGGTTGTGATGACCTGGACTGTTTGGTGTTCAAGATATAATAGAACCTGGGTTAAGGTGTTATCTGGATCATCAATATCGAACAAATCAATATTGAAAGTAGCCGCTGCGACAGACTTCCTTTGCTCTTGCCTGTGTCTTGCTTTCTTCTCTTCGGAATTATTTTCATCTTCAGAATAAATTTCACCAGTGCTATCACTTAAATTCTCCTCTTCTATCTTCTCTGTCTCAATTTTATTATAGCTACCAATGGGCTCTGATTCACCAGTTGGAGCTTTGTTACTAGAATCCCTATTTATAAAAGAAACTTCGTCAATAGAATCTTGGTCATTGACATCGAGCCTACTTCCATTAGTCTCTTTAGCTTCAACATTTCTACTTTGTTCAGTCAGTCCTGTTGGTTCTTCTTGTTCCGTTGACATTACTGAATTCAGGCCCTTATGTGATACATTTTGCTCATCATTGTCTGTACTAAGCTTATCTCTTAATGATTGGAAAAAACTTTTATTTCTTACGGGCAATGACCCTGAATTCAGAATGTTTTCATTTACTATCTTTGACCCATCGACTTTATCATTGTCTGGGCTCTCAAATTGCTTCACTCGATCAAGTATATTCTTCGACAGCGTTGATCTACCCGGTGAACTGTCCTTAGGGGAGGCCAGTTTAGATTCTGTCTTAGAAATAGATTTCTTCTCTGGAGTTCCACTTGTAGACAGTAAACCATCATCACTACCCGTGATATCTTTGGAACTAATTGCTGCAATACTAGAGGAAGCTGGTGTTTGGCCAAGAGTGCCACTTCTGTTAGGATTCTCAGGAATTGATCTATCAAATGACAAGTTATCAGCATTAGTGCTTTTCAAAGATCCGGCCGTGTTCCCACGATCATCTATCACGGGGGCTAAATCTCTCTCTTTCTTTATATCTTCTTCATTAATATTAAAGCGAGAAGAGTCATCATTTAACTTTAGATTACTTTGTCCTCCAGCAATAGTCTCAGAATTTAAAGGAGGGGCAGTGTTTCCGTTTCCATTTTCCTTGGGGGAACTAAATCCGACAAGATCATCCTGAGATTGAGTTTGTTGCTGTCTAAGCCTATTTGCCATTCTCAAGGGTCTTGCATCGAAGTTATCGGCAACACTTGTTGCTGGCTTTGATAATTTTACCTCATCACTTTCAACCCTTCTTGAATTATAAGAATTTTCATTTAACTTTGAAGCGCTTATTAACTCGCACAAGCTAAAGCATATTTCACCAATCGATCGTTCTACCACCACTTTAGGTAAAATAACATCAAATGATGCGAAATATCTCACTGCAGTAAGAGCATATGTCGTTGACTCACGAAGATTTACTGAGTGCTCATTACTATTCAAAATTTTATTGTCTCCCTGCTCAGCTATCTCATTTATAAGAACCGATAGTTTTGCAATCTTTTCAAAAAGTAAATCACAGTTAATTAACGTTGCATCAAGATTAATCATAAAACTTTCTACCAAAGAATGAAAGTCAGATATCAACCTAATAGAAATTAGACCTGACAGTGATATATATTCTCCTAACTTTCCAGGACGCACCATCTCAGTAGAAAATGCTCTCGAAATTTGATTTGAACGCGCTTCCTCGTACTTGCTCTGCCATTTCGTAATTTCATGTTTGAGGTCAAGAATGCTATTCTCTTCTACCGGTTGTCTGCTAATATTTAAGTCTGAGAGTTTCTCAAGAACTAACTCCATTTCCTTTCTAACATCATGTGCTGGTGCTGTCAGACCTAAATTCTTGGCTTGATTATTGGGTGTATTGTTATAGTGGATACTTCCGGAACTTGAATTTAACTCACGCAAACTGGTGTTTCTCCTTGACGTTGAGTTCTTCAATGATTGTATTTCTAACCGCAATGCCGCATTAGCTGCCTTTTGGGCTTCAAAATCCTCTAATAATTTGTTATTACTCACCATCGAATCTGATTTTTTAATTTGGTATTTCTGCTTTTCATCACTTAGAACGTCAAGCTCTTCACTTAGTGCTCTATTTTGTTTAACCAAATTTTGGTAATCATCTTGAAGAGAAGACGTTTTTCTCTCCAACTCCTCTTTTTCGGACCTCAATGTATCCAATTGCACTTTTAAGTCAGCAATCACTTTATCATTCTCGTCTGAATCTAGTGAATAAGGCAAAGAGTTCTTAGCTTTATTCTTAGAGTCTGCTCCTTTACCATTTTCTTCATCCTCCTCCTCTTCCTCATCGTCGTCGTCGCTTGACCAGGTCAAATTAGCTTTTTCTGGAACAACTGTCTTTGATTGAACTCCAATCGTTTGATTTTTGAAGTCAGTGTTCTGCTCATTAGGATTTCGACTGTGAGACCCATTCACTTTTTTGTCAGGGCTGGAATGATTTTTATCATTCAATTCAAGTCGATCTGACTCATGATCAGTCGCAGGACCAGCATGCTCTCCATCTAATCTTCTCGTATTCGAGTCCTCTAAATATTCAGTGTGCAAATTTCTTCGTTCAATTTCATAAGAGATATCAGATACCAAGTCTTTAAATCTCAGTTGGGGTAATGAAGATAACTTTTGCCTTGCTTGGTTCCTTTTTGGGTGAAACGAAGACTTTGGTAGTAAATAATCAGGCTCTCCTCTTGACTCATCTATTCTTCTTCTTAGCTCATCATACACATCAGTGCTCAACTCCTTAAATTGAGCTTCAGAAAGCTTCAAAAGTTTTTCTCTAGCTCTAGCTGCTCTGGTTGAATTTGTTTTGCTTCTCAGTGCCAGGTCATCTGATATATCCAAGAATTGTTTCAACACTTTATAGTGATGTACTAAATCCTTTTCAGTCATTGCTTATGCTTAGCAATTCTCTGCGTAACTCGGCAATGGGTCTTATGCCTTGTGTGAATAACGTAAGGAATCAAAACACTTGGAACGAATGGTGCCGAAATCAAAGGGGAAATCTTGAACTGTTGATTTTAAAATTTCTTCCAATTTTACACTACGCGTTGCGTTGCATTTCATTTAATTTTTGTGTATCTTTGCATCTTTTTTCTTATTGACCACAAAGGATAGCAGTTTATTTATACAATGATAATTTATTAGTCTATTTACATGCTGACTGCAACAGGATATAGATATACCGATGTAGTGAATTCACGAGCTTACTGAGATTGACAGGTGTAGTTCGCATTGAACTTGATAGATAGCCCCTTATTTCTTCATAACCCCTTGAACTATATGACATCTATATCATCAGTTTTTTCGACAATATTTGCGGTTATATCTTCAATAGAGGGCTTGGCATCGAGTAATTTTTCTTTTATAAAAGCTTCGGCAGTTTCTTTACCATGCACAAAAGTAACAGCGCCGACCAAAGCATACATCATCTGGGCACTTACTTTCATCTCACCGCTAGCCTCGAAGCTCAAACCATAATTATATGACTTCCAAAACATTATACGATTAACGTTGTTGTTCCTGGCGAACATCGCCAATGCTAAGCGGCCACCGAGTTCCCGAGCGGCTGGAGATCCCAAACTGTCGAGATTTTTACCATTAATTGCTAGTTCATTGCTTGTGCTCTTACTGGTAACATATTTGGCAAAGTACAAGTTCATGAGCTTCGATCCCATCGCACTTAACTTCTCATTATATGGTTTTGCTCCATTTCCAAATGATTTATGTGTGATTACTTGTAATGCTAGTTCATCTGAGATAGCAAATTTATCTTGTAAAAAATCCTTTATGTATCTTATGTTATCCTCTGAACCGCTATATTTAATGCCGTTGTTTTCAACAAACACCTCGTCGGGATCTTTCTTGAGTCCTGGAACCCTTGATCCCTTGTGCAAATATACGTATCTCCTACTATAGATCCTTCTAGTGAGGCATGAGATTATCCTTTTGTTGGGAATGAAAAGGTTTCGAATAAACATATCTCAATCCCAATATAGCTATTAAGGAAATGGAAACACAAGTTTAAAGCTTCTCAAGCTTTCAGGTTGGGCAGTGAAAATTTAGTGCGACGAAATTTTATGAACCAACGATTACATAATACAATTTTTTAGTATAGTGTGAATTTAAGCGACTAGGTATGTAACAAAACAGATGATGAGATGAGAATAAATTTTCTAACTATTGATTTTTTATTTCAAATTGAATTAACATATTTGAATGATGGATGTTTTCAAAATATTATCTAGGGGCGCATCCATCAACAGAAACAAGAACAGTTCTGTAGATCATTCGACTCTTGTCCGAAAGGAAAATGAGACTCAACATCACAGAGCAGAACATTTGAAGCATCAAGTTGATAGGGAAACAGATTTTTTTCATACGAAGAAACATGCTGTACTTGCCACTGAAGATACCAATGAGATAAATCAAGACTCAGAATTGAATTTTCCGCCTTTGACAATCTCGTGTGAGGAAGATGCTAAGAAACTACGTAAAATTAATAATTCAAAGGTTACGGGAGATGATATTCCTTTCCCAATTGGCTCATTTGATGACTTGATTGGTAGGTTCCAGATAGATCGAAAATTATTAGCTAATCTTATAGAAGCTGAGTTTACAGAGCCTACAGCAATTCAGTGTGAAGCAATTCCATTAACTCTAAAACAAAGAGACATAATAGCCTGCGCTCCTACAGGATCGGGAAAAACCTTAGCATTTTTGATACCATTAATTCAAACATTGATAGAGGAGGAAAAGTCGGGACAGAAGTTTCTCAGGGGCCTAATAATATCGCCTACGAATGAATTAGCTGCCCAAACTTTTCAACAAACTCAAATTTTGGGAAGAGGAAAAGGATTAAATTGTGCACTATTAACTAAAAAATTAGCCGGAAAATTAAGCAATGATGCGCTTAATTCTCTGAAAATTGATCTACTTGTCTCTACTCCTCTTCGTTTGATTGAAATGGTTAAGCGTGGATGTATCGATTTATCACATGTTCGAGAGCTAGTAATCGACGAAGCTGATAAACTTTTTGATAGAGGGTTTGTGGGCCAAATAGATGAGCTATTATCAAGTTGTACTTATCCGAAGCTAAGGAAATCTATGTATTCTGCCACGATTCCATCTGGTATTGAAACAATGGCTCAATCAATTATGAAGGATCCCATAAGAGTTATAATTGGTCTTAAGGAAGCCGCTAGTAGTAATATTGAACAAAAACTAGTATTTGCAGGTAATGAGGAAGGTAAGTTATTAGAGATACGACAAATGATCCAAAATGGCGAGTTTCGGCCACCAATAATAATTTTCATGCAATCTATAACTAGGGCAAAAGCTTTATTTCATGAGTTAATTTATGACAAGCTCAATGTCGATGTTATTCATGCCGAGAGAACACCCAAACAAAGAGATGAAGTCATACGAAGATTTAAAAGTGGTAATATATGGGTTTTAATTACGACAGATGTTATTTCTCGAGGAGTGGATTTCAAAGGTGTGAATTTGGTTATAAATTACGACGTTCCTCAAAGTGCTCAGGCATATGTCCATCGAATTGGCAGAACAGGTAGAGGTAATAGAAAGGGAAAAGCTGTCACTTTTTTCACCAAAGAAGATATAATGCTAATAAAACCAATTATAAATGTAATGAAGGCATCCGGGTGCCAAGCTGGGTATAGTGAATGGATGGAAAATATGGAGAAGCTTTCCAAGTCAAACAAAAAAAGTATTAAGACAAATCAAGTTGAGAGAAAGCAAATTAGTACTGTTCCTAACGTGGTCAGACATAAGAGAAGGCAAAAACAGGAGATGATAGAAGCGTCCAAGAAAAGAAAGTCAGAAAGTAGTATAGTTAATAAATAATGACTTATACACAATAATAATTTTGGGACAAGAAATTGACACATATATATATAGTTAGACCTGTAAATAATCAATTTAAAAGAAATCTAAATAAGTGCTGTTTTAGTTTCCCTAGAAGCTATGGCACGGCCGGTTTCGCTCAATGTTCATGACCAAGTGATGGATACCCAAAGATATGTCTCCTGCCAATTATTTCACCTACGGAGAAAAATGCTAATAATTGAATACCATAGACCCCTGCTTTAGCTGCACTTTCCTTTGTGGGTCTAATCTTAGCGGCTTTCTGGAGGAGTTCTCTCTGTTGCTGTGGAGATTTGATAAACTTAAATGCGTTCTCATAAACCAGTTGGAATTGCTGAGCAGATGGCGGAGCTAAACCTTCACTCTTGTAGATTGTCTTGCCGAGTTCGGCACCAACCTTTCCCCAGTAAACGGTAGAGTTGGTAGCTTGAGTGACTTTGCCAACAAACGAGTCGACAACTTTACTTGCCTTGCTGATAATGGCCGACATTGTGAGATTATTTAGTTGGAAAACTAGATATGGATCTTCGTTATGTTCAACCTTTCTCAGAAATTTCAATCCCATCAACAAGAAGTAGTACAAAGATGTGTTTCAACCAATTACATGCTCAATAAGAAATACTGCCGTTTTGGGAACGGTTTCGCATTCAATAAAAAATCATTACTTACTAGACTACCTACAATTGAACCCCAAACCTCTCTGGCCAAAGAGTAGGTGCAATAAGGCTCCAGCCATAAAGAATGAAGCACACCCAAGAACTTATTATCTTAATCCAGCTCGCGAAATATGTTCTACCAACAGGAACAAAGTCACCGAGATCATCTTGCTGAACGTTAATAGTAAGCAATGTTGCAACATACTGTGTAGCCAAAAAGAAGATTATATGGAATAAAGAGTAGTTGTATTTCACTTTTTGTGTTTCTTCATCACGTTCAGTGCCTTCACCGTCTTCTTCGAACAAACTAGGCTGCGATAGAGCACTTTCTGGCAATGAACCTTCATCAACAGCTTGTCTAATTGCCTGATATCTCATCTCATTTCTAACAGCTGGCTGAGTAGAAATAAGTGATTCATCATCTGCCATACTGAATGCAGAATGTGCAGCTGCTCTAGTCGTAGTATAAGCAATTGCGATAAAGGTAAAGAACGCTCCCAATACGACACTCGCAGTTCTTGTGCCCTTCGATCTGACTAGAGGGTTACAAAACTTGTCATCGGGTTCTGATGATACCGCACTCATTATTAGATAAGTGCAGTAAAAGACTACCATTGATGCCTGCGCTAATCCAGCATGGGGATTAGATTCTTGAATAGTTTGATTCACCGATATGCCAGATATGATAATAGAAAATACCAAATTTAGTGATATAGCTGTTTTATTCATGCTGCAGCTTTTACCAGCAAAAAAGCAGTACATAAGTATTGTTAAGGCGAAACTTGAAATATACATTGCCAACGTTCCACCTACGAGTAATTTCTTCCAAAATCCCGCATCTCCCTCACCAGTAAGTTCTTCCATTTCTATTTTTTCAAGACAAGTTTCTGCCCAACTGTGGGCAAAATCAACTAGTATTATAAGACCTATACCAATAAAAATCGTGGAGAAAATCATCGCGATGTGATTGCCATAGAAGATGAAAAAATTATCCGGAATTAAAAGGAAGTTTATTACTATGAAAACGACCCATAGAGCTAATTTCCCTTGCCAGATACCATTTTGTATCACAGCCCTAGGATTTCTAGTAGACTTAACATTTACCAAGAACGCAGCCAACAATAAATGAAGTACTCCTAAGGCGCAACATATTCTGTAAACAGATGTGAAGCTTATGCACTGGCCACCTTCTGGACCGCATTTGTTATTAATAAATCCAAATGTAGCCTTCTCTAACTTGTGAGCGATAAAAGGCGAGAGAGCAGCCCATGCGAGTAAGGAATCTAACAACAAAATAAAAGCGTATGTGATTCTCGTTAGTATTGAGGACAGATAAGTTCCCCCAATCATAGAACAAAAAGAAGAACAAGCACAAGCACCTAAGAAAGGCACAGTTGAGCTCGCAATCCCAATAGGGAGCGAAATTAGTGCACCCATAGTTTATCTGCTCGATATCCAACCTACGGAGTATTTAGAAATGTTTAAGCATCATTTAATTTGATATATACAGGATGTAAGAGAAACGACTGACTGTATGAAGAAATGGTCAACATGCAACGGCTAGGAGATCATATAACAGCACCTTTGTTTTATTCAAGTTGGGCCATATTCTCCTACTTTTCAGTGGCTAGCCAATATATTTAGTTGAAAGAGAAAGAAGAAATGAGTTCAAAAATTGCAAATGTAAAACTTAGATACTACCTCTATCAATTCAAGGAACTCTAGATGTTCAACATGGTAGCAATCAAAGAGAATTATTCTAATATAGCCATGAGCTATTCTATCTTGAATAAACAAACTCACTTAAATAGTACTGAAGTGAACTCTATAATTTAGATTGAAGTGATGTCTTCACTTTCGCACTAATTGATTGCAAGTAAATCTCATCGGAAAACTAAGTGACTTCAGCAACCTGGGTACTCACTATGTCCTTCAGAAAGAGGAATGAGCGAATAAATATCTCTTCAGCCGTTAAAAGAAACCCAATCAGCACATCGAGTATTTCTTTGGGGAGGGAGCCGCCCCATATTTCTTCTAGAAGGACAGTAGATGATCATAATGTTAGATCTTCAGTCAATCAGAAAACCCAAGAGTCCGATAATCCAGGTGTCAAGCCTTCAATAATAACTTCGGGCCCTACAATATCCACAGGAGTATCAGACCTAGACAAAATATTACTTCACCAGGGGTTGCCAGTTGGATGTTCACTTCTAGTTGAAGAGACTGGAACGTCGGATTATAGTTCAATAATACTAAAATCTTTCGCATCCCAAGGTGTTATGCATAACAGGATCCAAGGTAATGAAAGAAACTGCCACGTCATAGTGGTTGGTGCTAGCTCAAACTGGCTGAAAGAGTTGTTTGGTATTTATAAAGGTTCTACAAAAGAACAAAAGAAAGCGAAGATACAAGAAAATGAAAATAAAGTAAGTGTTTCTAATTTAGCAGTTGATAGCAACAGGAGGGATGAAAACAATATGAAGATTGCTTGGAGATATGGATTGAACAGAAAAGTCCAATTAGAGGACCCTGAAATTGAAAAAAAGTATGAATTTTATAATCATCAATTTGATATTACACAGAAGCTTTTACCAGGACCTAGCACTCATGATATCAGCTCAGTACCAGTTAACACTAATTTTAAGAAAATTATTGAGTCGATTGAAGGGATCATTAAAATGAATCTCAGATCTAATCCTTCAAAAATCATTCGCTTGGTAGTTCCCAGTTTTCTTCATCCATTAATATATCCACCCGGCTGCAGTCAGGCTACTTTCGTGATTCCATTTATGCATTCTTTGAGACAACTATTGAGGAAGTACTCGAAAAATCTAGTATTCGTTTCTTCCATTGCTCTCAGTTTCTATCCAAGAGACTCAATCATTACGGCATCTTTGGAAAATTTGATGGATTCCGTCATATGCCTACAGCCATTCAATCAGGAAATGGCTGAGCTAATTAATAGAGCTTATAGGAATGAGCCTTCAAAGGCTCAGCAGGGTTTAGTTAACATTTTCAAAATACCCATTTTATCCGAAAAAGGGTTGATGTTGATTCAAGAAGGTGAATATGCTTTCAAAAATGGTCGAAAGAAATTTGAAATAGAAGAATGGGGTATTCCTGTTGATGATGTTGACGACGTAAAAAGAGAGGATTTAGAGAATCATTCGCAAACTACCAAAAATATAGATTTCTAAAGTCTTGTCTTCTCTTTTATCAGCTATCTGGTCGTTTTGATCGAGTCTTTTAATTGTTGAATGATTTCATTCATCTCAACTATTTGTTTATTTAGATGATGTTCATTAGAGTTTTCAACCTTGGAAATAATATCTCTTTGTGTGGCTTCCACCTTAGTTAATCTATCCAAAATTTGAAATATAAAATTCTTCATATCATCGATACTATCTATTTCTTCGACAGTAGTTTGGCGTTGTGCAGTTGGGGTCATTTGTTTTAGAGAAGGCACTTCGTTGGGCCCTTCGAATAATGCATGGTCGTTAAAACTTACCGTCTTCATTCTTTTGGTTGTTGCTTTAGTAGGTGAGCTAGATGTAGTATTTCTCTTCTTTGAACTTTCTTGTTCGATTTCATGTATATGCTGTCTTCTGATAGGTGAGCCACTTCTTCGTATTGGGGATAATCTTCCGTTCTTATCTAAAATCTTCAAATCATTCTTAGGTTCACTCAATGATGCATTCATACCATCGGGTAATATCTTAGCAGCAGCTTTTACCTCAGAAGTATGCTTAGATCGAATTTCTTCCAGCGATGCAGAGTCACTAGAACCGACCCTGCGAGGAGCTATAGCAAATTGCATGTAGTTACTGTTTAAGTCTTCTGATGATTTAATAATTGGAATCTTCGTATTGAGTGAATACTTTTCCTTAGATGACGAAGATTTCAGAAGCAGATTTCTATCCATTTTTTATTTTGTTATTTCCATATCCAACCTTATCTGATTTCGGTGTGTTTTTTAAATATCAACTTATATGTCGCATTTTAGTTTTCTATTTGTTGCAAATAATACTATCTATATATTTTAAAGATGACGTTCGAAGTTGAAGCACAGGGAGCAGGAATAATCATTGGGGTAGATGAGCTACAGACTAATGGGATCAATGTTGGTGATATTGCGAAGTTGAAGACAGCTGGCATTTCTTCAATTGCAGTAAGTCTCAGTATCTAGCTAATGAGCTATGAAAGGTATTAACAAACTTCTAGTCAGTACTTGCAATTACCAAGAGAAATATGTGTAAGATTAAAGGCTTAAGTGAAGTTAAAGTAGAAAAAATTAAAGAAGCAGCAAGCAAAATAATGGTAAGTTTTTGCTTTTTTACAATTTCTTTCAGATACTAACGATTCGTAGCACGTAGGTTTTATTCCTGCCACAATTCAAGCAGAGCTCAGAAATAGAGTTTTCACCGTTAGTACAGGATCTAAGCAACTTGACGACATTTTGGGAGGTGGTATTCTGTCCATGAGTTTGACTGAAGTGTTCGGTGAATTTAGGTGTGGGAAAACTCAACTTTGTCATACTCTATGTGTCACAGCTCAACTTCCCAAAGAGATGGGTGGAGCCGAGGGAAAGGTTGCTTATATCGATACCGAAGGTACTTTCAGACCCGACAGAATTAGAGCTATTGCGGAACGATTCAATGTTGATCCTGAGGCATGCCTTGAGAACATATCCTATGCGAGGGCTTTGAATAGCGAACATCAAACGGAATTAGCAGAACAATTAGGAATTCAGTTGGCTGAGGGGTCATTTAGGTTACTAATAGTGGATTCTATTATGGCATGTTTTAGAGTTGATTATTCAGGAAGAGGAGAATTGAATGAGAGACAACAAAGGCTCAATCAACACCTAGCAAGCTTAACCAGGCTTGCTGAAGATTACAATGTGGCAGTATTTCTAACGAACCAGGTTCAATCTGATCCTGGTGCAAGTGCGCTTTTTGCATCTGCTGATGGAAGGAAACCTGTTGGCGGCCACATTCTCGCGCATGCTTCAGCAACCAGACTCTTACTACGAAAAGGTAGAGGAGAAGAAAGAGTTGCCAAATTGCAGGACAGTCCCGATATGCCAGAAAAAGAATGTGTTTATGTCATTGGTGAAGGAGGAATCAAGGATAGCGACTAATTTAAATGCTTTTAAAAAAAAAAAAATAAAAAAGCAAAAAAAAATCAATTATTCCTAAAACGGAAATTATTTGAAGAAAAAGTACGCGTCTGTAGCTAAATCATATTTGGCGGTGCAATCTATCACATTTTTAAATCTTACCTCTTCTCAATTGCTAGCTAGAATCTATTAAAACAAACACAATACAATGCCATCTTCTCCAGTTCGTGATTCCCACGAGACTCAAGACGAAAACTTGAGGGAGAGTGAGTCTCAATCGCAATCTCAGCCAAATGTGCCATCATCACCACTTTTTTTTGCTACATCTTCATCCAATCCAGCTTCTGAGACAAATAGAAATGAAAGTCAATCACAAAGAAGAGATATCTCCTCACCATTACACTATACTTCTTCCGTTCATCATACTTCAGATGCGGGATCTGGTGCGTTTCAAAGCTCTACTAGAAGATCAGATAGAATTACAAGTGATGTCGACAGAATTGTAAGGAGATATACGAGAAGTGATTTAAATGATTCAACTTCATCACCAATGAGAAGAAGGCTTTTTAACGAAAGCACAATCAATCAAAATTCAGATAATACCAATCCCTTGTCTAATCCTTCAGAGGGCACCGAGGCCTTAGGTGTCAGCGATGAGCCTGTTAGGGTTATTTGGGGAACAAATGTTTCAATTCAGGACTGCTCAAATTCTTTTAGAGAATTCTTAATGTCGTTTAAATACAAATATCGTAAGGTAATGGATGAACAGGAAGTCACTGATCAAGATAACGAACTTTACTACGTCAATCAAATGAACAATTTACGTGAACTTGGGCTCACAAACTTAAATCTTGACGCAAAAAATCTTTTGTCATACCCTCCTACTAAGAAACTCTACTACCAATTGATCAATTATCCGCAAGAAGTAATCCCGATCATGGATCAAACTATTAAAGATTGCATGGTATCACTTGTTATTGATGATAACGATGGCGCAGCAGGAAGTTATAATATTGACGAAATTGAGACCAACATATATACTGCGCGTCCTTTTAATATTAATACTGTTGAGAAGGGGATGAGAGAACTTAATCCAAATGATATAGATAAATTGGTTAGTGTGAAAGGCTTGGTACTAAGATCAACGGCCATTATTCCCGATATGAAAGTCGCTTTCTTCAAATGTAATGCTTGTGATCATACGATCGCTGTCGAAATTGACAGAGGAGTCATATCAGAACCAACGAAATGTCCGAGAGAAGTCTGCGGTCAAATGAATTCCATGATGATTATACATAACAGATCTTCTTTTGCCGACAAGCAGGTGATAAAATTGCAAGAAACTCCTGATTTAGTGCCGGATGGGCAGACCCCTCATTCCATAAATCTCTGTGTTTATGATGAGTTGGTTGACAGTTGTCGTGCTGGTGATCGTATCGAAGTATGTGGTATTTTCAGATCATTGCCAATAAGAGCTAATTCTAGACAAAGGGCTTTAAAGAGCTTGTATAAGACTTATTTGGATGTTGTGCATGTCAAAAAAATTGATAAGAAGAGAATGGGAGCAGATACCTCTACATTGCAGAGCCACACTCCTGGTCAAGAACAGGAAGTAGAGCAAGTCAGAAAACTCTCACAAGACGAAGTCGATAGAATAAAAGTGGCTTCTGAGCGGGATGATTTGTATGAAGTTTTAGCTCGTTCTTTAGCTCCATCCATATATGAAATGGATGATGTGAAAAAAGGTGTTTTGCTACAATTATTTGGAGGAACGAATAAGACAATCAAAAAGGGAGGAAGATATAGAGGTGACATCAATGTTTTACTCTGTGGTGACCCTTCCACGTCAAAGTCTCAATTATTGCAATATGTCCATAAAATTGCTCCTCGTGGTGTTTACACTTCAGGAAAAGGCTCTTCTGCTGTAGGATTAACGGCATATATAACAAGGGACATAGATACTAAGCAATTGGTTCTTGAAAGTGGTGCTTTAGTGTTGTCTGATGGGGGTGTTTGTTGTATAGATGAGTTCGATAAAATGAGCGATTCAACACGATCAGTTTTACACGAGGTGATGGAACAACAAACTATATCTATTGCAAAAGCAGGGATAATTACCACATTGAATGCTAGAACATCAATTTTAGCGTCTGCAAATCCAATTAATTCGAGGTATGACCCTAATTTACCGGTGACTGCAAATATTGATCTCCCTCCTCCACTTGTTTCAAGATTTGACTTAGTGTATCTAATTCTAGATAAAGTCGACGAAAAGATTGATCGTCAATTAGCAAGACATTTGACTGATATGTATCTTGAGGATGTACCAGACAAGGTAACTGACAATTTCGTCTTTCCTGTGGAATTCTTGACTTCTTACATTCAGTACGCCAAAGAAAACTATCACCCTGTGATGACCGAAGCGGGAAAACAAGAACTTGTTAGAGCATATGTGGAAATGAGAAAGCTAGGTGATGATAGTAGATCTTCTCAAAAAAGAATTACTGCAACAACCAGACAGCTTGAGTCGATGATCAGGTTATCAGAAGCTCATGCGAAAATGAGACTTAGTCATTTAGTGGAGTTGACTGATGTAAAGGAAGCTGTAAGGCTAATTAAGGCTGCAATCAAAGAATATGCAACAGACCCAGTTACAGGAAGAATCGACATGGATATGGTTCAGACAGGAACCACCTCTGCACAAAGACGGATGCAGGAAGATCTCACTAAAGAAATAATGTCTTTGATTGAAGAGAACAACAATGCAATGAGGTTCGTAGACTTAGCCGTTAAACTAAATGAAAAAGTTTCCTTCAAGGTTGAAAACCATGATATAAACGAAGGTGTTAAAAGATTGCAACAAGAGGGTAAAATTATCGAGACAGGTGATAGTCATAGGCGGACGATTAGGAAGGTTTCAGTTTTATGATGAAAACCAGGAAGGATTTTTATTTATGAGTGTATTATAATAATTAGTGCCTATAAAAATTTTTGTTCATTATCAGATCTCTCATTGTCATACCTTAAATCACGGTCGCCAACTGAATGGAAATCATCTGAGTCGTTTGCTCCCGAGCTAGCAAGAAAAGCATTTAGGCTTTCATCAAACTCAACGTCGGTTACCGTATTATATTTATACTTAGTTAGTGTGTTAGCGATATTTAATTCTTTGCTAATGTCAAGTTTGCGGCCACTTTTCAAATCATTAATAATATCTTTCAAAAGAGTAAACTTTGTTTCGTAAATCTGATTCATCGCCTCGTATTCTTTCCTTGTTCTCATAAAGTCAACCACTGCAGACCCGAAAACTATTGTTAAAAATATCGATTTAAAAATTGGTTGCCTAAACAAGCTTCTCACAGTTTGTTTTTTTGACTCGTTAACTCCCATCTGAGAAACTCTAGTAGAATAATACTTGGAAGTGATAGTGAATCTCTCAGCTCGTGTACATTTTATAAAAAAATGGAACATAGTGTTTGGACAATATATGTAGAATGAATTTGAGATTTCATACTTCTGACTGCACAGTAATACTTGAGACACGATTTCATACCCTTGGATCATAGTGAATGCAGTTGCTTATACCAATAGAATACTAAAAGACTTTGACCAATGTTTATATCACAATGAAAGTACCTAAAGTAACTGGAATCTTTCTAGTTGTTTTGTTATCCCTTACAATTCTCAACTTTTTGTTGATGTACTATACATATTTTGTTCTAGTGGTGTCGTCAGTACGTAAGACAGCGGATGGGATAGATGCGGAAACACAAGGAAATGGGAAAATACCTCATCCACATGAGCTATTTGTCCCACTTCTTACATTTATTCCCACAAGGTCCCCCGTTTTAACACGGCCATGGGTTTTATTGACGTGCAGCTTCATAGAAATAGATTTCATCAGTTTAAGCGTCAGTTTCTTACTTCTATTTTACCTTGGAAAATACCTTGAAAATATGTGGGGCTCTAGGGAATTTACAAAATTTGTTATGATTAATATAATTGTGCCCAATTTATGCATTTACTTTTACTATACTTTGAAATCTAACCTTCTAGGTACTGATGAGTATCCTCCAGTTGTTTTATCGAGTATGGGTGTCAACATGGGATTTTTCATGGCAATCAAGCAACGAATAAGTAATCATTACTTCTTATTTTTCAAAGGAAATTTAAGAATTAAAGTGACATACGTGCCTTTCATAGCGTTATCATTTTTTTTCATTCTCAGCTTAATTAGTGAAGAGTGTAAAATAACGTTCTTGCTTGGAATTTGTGGGTTTTTTACAAGTTGGGTATACTTAAGGCTCTTTAAGTTTGGAACCAATGACAGAAAATCCTACCTACTACCATTTAGCCTTCATCGTAAAAAATCAGATAATAAGTTCAAAGTGATGCCTACAGGAAAGAGAATAGAAAGATCACAATCTACCACTTTGCACATAGATAATGCACCTTTAAAAGGAGATAGATCAGAGCAGTTTTCATTTTATACCCTATTTCCTTATCCATTGTCAATTATTGTCAAAGTAATGTCCAATTCAATTTTTCTATTATTAACACGATTTAAGATTTTAAATAAAGAAGACTTTGCAGAGTTTGATATAGATGGCGAGGATCCATTTGCATTTGAAGATATGGATAATTTGCAATCTAATCTATTCGGACTATCTTCGCTACGTGGGGCCGAAGGTGTCTCGGCAATTCCAAGTGCTTTGCCAACACTGAAAAGAATTTGGGATTGGCTCACAAGCAGGGAAATAACAGCTAAAACCTTCAATATTAACACAAATATGGACAAACGAAGAAAATTGGCCTTAAAAGAGCTTGAGTGAAGACATCTAGAAATTTTAATGATAAATTATGCCTGAAATAAAGAGGGTAAAAAGACCTAAGATGAGTATTCTAAAAACGTAATGGCCAAATTACAAAAGCTCATCCTTTGAATTAGGGAACAAAAAATATGCAAGGAATTAATTGGTTTTTGTAGTGATGCGAGAATCATGCTCTTCTATAGTTCTCTTAATGAAACCTAACAATAAATCGCTTCTATCGTACCATTTATCAGTAAGATGCGAAGTTATGAAATTATACCTCACATTAGAAATGAGCCTTACAGCTTGCTCGTAATTTTTTAAAATTAGCCATTCCTTAATTGATAACAAATACCATATTGACGATTTTCTGAACCTAGTAAGCCCAAGAATGCTATTATTTTCAGGAACCTTTAGTTTCTTAACATTATGATAAAACCCATCATCAGGTGGTTCATTTTTCTCCTCCTGAAAGTCAATTCGAAGTAAATATCGATATTTATCTGTGAGAAAAACTAACTTACCACTGCAGTACCCCAATCTTTCATAAAGCAAAGCTCTGATAACTTGCAGATCTTGATTTCTTGACGCCAAATGTGTATCAAACTCGTTAATACATTTACAAAGATATTTTTCGATCAAATCATTCCACCACCAAGATATGTTGAAGGTCAAACTCATACTCAATAACAATTCAACTATTATTAGTATCGTTTTAATGCTATAAGTCTTCAAATTTAGTCTTGATTTGAAAGTATAAGAAAGGTTGTCAACAAATGGCTCCACAATATCATGCCTTATTTTCCGTAACGTCGCTCTATCCGGCGCAGTCACATTTGTTATTTGTTGAGTTTGAGCTAATAAGAGTGATACAATACACATTTCTTGCGTAGAAGCAACATATGCCCATGCTTTGTCATTAGTGAAGTCTCTCTTAATCAAGTCATAAGTAGAATAAGCATACTTAAAATCATTTAAAATTAAAGACCAGTCTGCCAATTTTCTAATTATTTGCTCAGGAGAGGACTTGTGGTAATAGTTACCTTGATATTCGAATGTAGAGGAAGCAATATTATCATTATTGAATAGCCTTTTCGACGCAGAAAAAAACTTATTCGTAATGGATCTTCTAGGTTGTAGAAACTGATCATCCCATTGTCTTGTTTTCTCTTGCATATGAGGTACTAAACATTTGCTTACGAATTCAAACACTTTACTTCTAATAATCAGGTCTAATGAAGTGGGAATTTTAATGGTGTTTAACTGATCATTTAATGAAATTCGCTGCAAGTCTTCTTCGATTGTCGAATTTTCATTCAAGGGCAAGTTAATTAAATCGTCCTTACTTAGGTCGTCAACTGGTAAGGCAGTTGAAAGTATATTCAAATGATTTTTAATTTTAATTTGAAATTCGGATATTTCGCTGTGTGATATCTTAGTAGAATCAAAGAATACAAATGCATGAACAAGCAAGTCATCAATTTGGAAATATTTAGGGAATGGAAAATTTCTGAAATTTACAATAAGCTTTCTTAATTCTTCAATTGAATCATTTTCGTAGTCAATAACGAATATCTGCGCAACTGGATGATTAAATGTTTCAAAAGGCACAATTTTGTTTGAAGATATTATTTTGGAGAAAAAGTCAAGATATAAATCGTTACCTCTCAGCCCACTTTGTGAAATGGATGTCATAAGTAACTCCAATGAACTAATACTGAACAATTGATTCAACTGGTTGCCGCTCTTATTATTCGAAGCCTGATCAATAGAAATAAGTTCAGGTAGTGTTGGTTCAAATCGGACAGGAAAACTTGGGTAATTCTTTGTTATTAACTGGCTGTTCACAATCTTGAACAATTGATTTGGGATACCATATTTTGCATTATTTCCGTACGGTTGAAGAATCTGCAACAAAGAAACATCTTTCACATTAAGTATAGATCGTATTAAAATGTCGCTGTTCACTGAAGACTCTATCGATATCAAAGGCGAATAGGTATGATGTAAGAGGTGTTGCCTCGCCGCGTACGGATCCATCCCTTCAGGGTATTCCTTTACCGCTGACATCGTACACTCCTTCAACAAGCACTTTACTTTCGAAGATAAATCGGTGGATCAAGAGTCAAAACTAGTACTTTCTACTTGGTGTCTCAACTCCACAGAATTCTCAATATAAGATAAATATGAATTTATCGCTACAATTTTAAGTTTTAGCGGTTCCAATTAGGTAACCTGCAATCAGCATTCTTTCTAATCTGCTATTGTACCACCCATACTGGCGAGGGTACAACTCTTGCCGTACACCTTAAGAATTGGCCGGCATATACACAGCGAAATGCTAAACTGTAAAACATGTCCTATAAAGTAGTGCCAAGTAGGAATGTTTCAGCTATGATTTTGCGCGATCATCTTAACTTGTAAAATGCTGTTAATGCTTTCCTATTTCGGCTGTAAACTAAACAAAACGTTCCGATCTCTGAACGGTGGTGCAATTGGCATCAATCAAAAGCGAGCATTACGTTACACTAAGACATAGACGACCTCATGTCTCTTAGACGACACTGTCCAAATGGAAAGTTCAATGTATGATCTACGGTGAGTAGTAAAGAAGGTCAAGGCATTTTCAATTAGTACAGAAATACAGCTCTTCTTGCAACGGATATTCATTCATTGCAGTGTTTCAGGTGTAGCCTTAGTTGTATGAAAAGCTTGATCTCATAGCAGATCTTTTTCGTGAATTAGACACACGATTATTCATAGAAATTTTACTTCCCAAAAAAAAAAACACAACACATTTTATTGCTAAGAAAGAAAAAGAAAGTGGATTACTAGAGAGAACATCGTAGCTCTAATCACGAATGGATGGGATCTCTCGACTAAATGTGTCTCCGGTGCGGAAATTTGAGCATAAGAAATGGAATGTAGTGGTGGTGCTATGGGTTTTCTTTGCACTGATGATGATCACGTCAGGATCCACACTAGGGACACCTTTGAAACAACCTCTGTTGGACTACAGTGATCTCGGAGGAAGGTTAGGGTTGTTCGGTCAATTTGAATCTTTATCGATCTATAAGTATAACACTTCAGCTTCACTATTAACTAGTGCAAGGGCATCAAATGGCGACAGTAATTTTTACGTGAAGACAAAGCTGGGGGATTTCTTCACAGTTGGTTCCGTGAATGGTCAAATATATCAAATAACTGAGTTATCAGAGAACAGTGTGGTAATTTCTGGAAATTTCACTGAGCTTAACGATAAAAAAACATCGAGTCCCATAATATATAATTTTGATGATAATAAATTTTCAGAGATTTTCCCGAGCTCTTCCAATAAACAGAGGGATGAGACAAATCAAAAGGGCATATCTGATGGAGAAGTGAAAACGATGTTTGTGGATGGTGATCTTGTATATTTGGGGGGAGATTTCAAGTATAATAATACGTACGGGTTGGCAATTTATAACAAAACGTCTGAGACATTGTCAACTCCATTATTCAAAGGATTTGGTAAAAATTCTTCAATAAATGCCATCACCAAGATATTCGATGAAGGGGATGAAGAGAATGGCTCGATTATATTTGGGGGCAGTTTTAACACATTAGGCTTGAAAGAGCTATTAACACATACATCACACTCCAACAAAACTAAGAAGAAGAATTCGACTAATTCCTCCCTAATTACTGCTGAACAGATGATTTCACTTAAGCATGCAACTTTTACGAGTGTAAACGAAGAAGGGAGTGACTTGAGCTCCTTGATATGTCCTTCAAAAAACGATGAGTGGTCTGTCGAGCCTGGGTCTGGAGGAGAATGGGCAGCAGAATTACCAGACGAAGCTAAGGGTGTTACCCCTACCAAATCTCGATTATACATTCCTCAAGGATCCAATGGTGTCAAACTCTTTAGAATTTACTCTTATCCAAACAATGGTATCATGAATCTTACCTATATTGACCCAGTCACTAATGTTCTCAGTTATTGTGATGCATGGTGTCCTTTAATGACTTTATCGAACTTGACGGACGCAACAAAGCAAAATAAAAGAGATAGTGAAAAAATTGCTGATTCGTCGAAGTTCGTTGATGAAGACGGTAGTTTTACGACTTATTATGATCCAGCAACAAAAACAAAAACTCTCGGTTATGGTAATAATTATCAAGAGTTTGCTTTCAATGATCAAGTTGCCATTGATAAGATAGGAGTCACGGTTCTTGACTGGTATGGTGAAAAGGGTGCTTTAGCAGGATTTGAATTATATCTGAATACTATCATTGTTTACGGTAATAATACATTAAATGATCCAAACTGTGACAATGACGTCGAAGCTAGCTCATCGGAAAGCAGTGGTGATTTTCAATCAATCAGAAACTTGGATTCGGATATCACAGATACAAATTATTTAGTGTCTACTGACTCTAGTGCAGAAATCACGTTGTACCCAAATATTTCATATTCAGGTAATTATTCAATCATAATGACTACCCCAGGATGCATTGCAGACGGATCTTGTGATTATAGGTCCATCCTCAATGTTTCAGTTATTGATAACGAAGATCAAGTATTAACTTCAAAGTTAATTTATCAAAATAATGAGTATGATAAGTTTGACTATTTGTATTATGGGCATTTGAAAGGTGCTGCCTCAAACGATGGAGAGAACAAAATTCACATCTCTTATGATAGCTCTTTGGTTGATTCAAATCAAAAATGGATCGTTGTGGATAAAATTTTGGCAAATATTGTCTCTTTAGACAAATATTATAGCAACCACACTAATCATACAGATAGCTCGAAAAACAAATCTGTTGTTACTAATATGAAGTTGAACGGCTTATTTGAATATTCGTTGTCTAATTTCTCTTCTTTTGATGAGCATAACGTTTTCAAAAAGGTTAATAATAAAACACTGATTAGTGAGAAAAACAGCTACGTTGGGAACTCAACGGTCAACTGGTTAAGTTCTCTTCTATCAAAGGACTCCAGCGTAGATGAGTTGAACGTTTATAAGAATTCTGATAAAGAATCCTTATTAATTTTGGGTCGTCTCAACAGCAGCTCGAAGTACTTGGATTTAAAAGACAATAACTTAATGAAAGTAGATGTGAAAGAATTTAATACAACCTCCAATGAGACTGTGCTCTCAAATATTCAAAAGAGAGATGCGTCGAGTTTCCAGTCTTTTGAAAATGTCTTGATAAATAACACCATCTCGAAGATATTCAATTATGGTAACAGTTCAATATTGACTGGAGAATTTCAGCTCAAAGAAGAAAATAGCTCAACAGTTTTAAGTGACTTGTCGAAGAAAAATAGTTCTACTTCTGCTATTAACAATTTTGCCATCTGGTCCCAAAATAAATGGTTTGGATTTGGAAATGATTATATCGAGGAAGAATTTGATTCCTTTTGCAACCTAACCGTGAATGGCACAGAATATTTTATATTTTCCTCAGAGTCAACATTTTTGACCTGGGACAACACGAATCATGTATGGTTGAAAGATGGCGACTATACCCTTGATGTTACTCAAGCAGTAGGGCTGAATGGATCAAGACAATTTTTTGCAGGTGTATCTTTGAATGTCATGGACATCTACTCTAGAGATCAAGCTCTCCTAAATGATGAAGGAGATATTACGAGCTTCAACGCTTCAATTGAAGAGGGAAATGGCTTTATTAGAGAATCATTCTATGTTAATGAGTCCCTTAGTGTAGTAGGTGGTACCTTCAAATCTGCAAGTACGGCGAATATCGGCTTCATAAATGATCATTCAAAAAATGGTGGTTTTGAACTGTTAAAAGACAAGGTGAAATGGGAATCTAATACAAGTGTTCTGGCATTATATGCGGACTCCTCTGGTAAATATTTATTTATTGGCACTAACGGCTCTTTGACTATTAGGGATTCTACAACGGTTTTGGGTGTCGTTATTTACAATATGAAGGATAATGCATTCTTAGATACCCAGCCAGCGGCATTATCCCTGAGTAAAGGTGACAACTCTGAAGTTAACGCCATTGTTTTACACGAGGAGAGCCATGAGTTACTTGTGGGGGGCAATTTTGACTCCGCTGGATCACTCAGCTGTCCTGGATTATGCATTTATGATTTGAAAAATACAAGGTGGAATAATCCACAACAAGATCAAGTTCTTGATGGAACCGTCACTGATATCAAATTTTACAGCTCTAGTGATGTCTTGATTAGTGGAAACTTGACGTATAATGGTAAAAGTGTCAATTTTGCTACATACAACTTTGAAAAATCCTCCTTCAAAACAGCTTCAACTTTAAATGCTCTTGGTTCCGAGAAAATAGTGTCCAGGTTTATTATGACAGATAAGAATAATGGACTTGGTGGGAGAATTATTGCGTATGGAAAGAATTTTTTAAGTGCATTTGATGGAAAGAAATGGCACAGCATAGATGACGATATAATATTTGATCTGCATAGCTCTTATGGTGATCTATTACTTCTACAGTTATCTGAATCCAACAAACACAGCAGCGAGGCCTATTTTGACCTGGATAAAATCCTTGCGGTGTGTGGAAACTTTTCTATCAAAGGGTTCGGGCCTAGCAATGTAGCGTTGTTTAATGGTTCTCATTGGCAGCCTTATCTTTTTACTGCTGACTCAGGATCTGGGATAGGTAATGTTTATTCTATGCTATTTAAAGACTCATATGGCTTCCAGTCATCTAAGGACTTTAAAGTAGGACATTTATCTAAGGGAAAGGTTGTCGGGATATCACTAGCGTGTGCTTTAGGATCGACAACCTTTTTGGGGTTATTGTATTTAATCCCTTATTTTGCATTATTTAGAAAACGGCACCGTGACAGTGATACGGACCAACGAATTCAAGAAAAGGACATGATGAATGCAGTGAGTCCCCACGACTTATTGCATGAAATAGATCTACAAAGATGAAGTAAGAGAAAGTTTATATTGCTAGAGAGAAAATCACAATATTTGCTTTTGTTCAATAAACTTCATGTTAAAAAAAAGTAAATATATTCCTGTGTTATGCTTCAACTTTTTGATCCAATAGACGAAACAGGGAAGCTTGAATAGTATATACTAATGACGCATTTTATTAACTTTATCATAATTAAAAGTACTTGAGCTAATTGTAGTCGCATAACTGAATCGAGAAATCCGCTACTATAGTTATTTCTTGAACCCAGTCAGTTTTGAACGTTGAAAACTAAGCCTCTGGACGTGAAGACTCTTCGTCAGACTGATCATCTATATCGAATAGACGTGAGTCTGTATTACCCTGCTCTAAATTGTTAGGATAATCATCCCCCGCAGTTTCAGGTTCTTGTGAGTCAAAATTCACTTGATCGTCGTTAATTCCATCTTCGTGATCATCGCGAAAGTCGCCAAAAAGTTCCTCCTCTTCGTCAAAGCTTGGAACTTGTACATATCTCCTCTCACCAGGGTGACGGCGAAAGACAGTTGAGACAATTTTGTTCAATATAACGCGATCAAATTTCTGTAAAGTTTTAAAACCTGCAATTCCCACAGCGGCAACAAAAATACCACCTCTGACTATTTTATTAACAGCTTTATCCACTTCATTGTCTTCAATAGGTTGAAAGTCATCATCTTCAGTATCTAATCGAATCTGTCCGAATCTTTTGAAGCCTCCATTACGGCGAATACCTCTATCATAAACAAACCAAGTTGCAAATATAAAAACAAAGAGCGGGATTGCAATTAAAAAAAATAGCTTATATCCTTTAACTTCTTTTCCATAATGCTTGTTAAATTCCTTTTCCTTCCCGGGACAAGGGCGAGCATTCCAAGTATCGAAGTTCTTACCGCCAACACAAGTTGACAACGGAACTTTTCTATACCCAGTAGGTTCAAAGTACTCGAATGCGTTTGGCTTCTTGCATTCTTCATTCTTGCGATTGGAAGGTGAAAGGCCCTTAACGAGTTTACATGTACCATCAGAGTCTCTGAAGTAGTTGTAGTCACATTCAAAATCGCTTCTAGTACAACTACAGTTTCTGATGACCTTAAATCCTTCTTTCAGAGGCGCACTTCCAATAAAGCAGTCATAGTGACCTTTTGCACGGCGCAAATATTTAGCTTCATGACCAAAAAGACAATTGTCAGGAAGTAATGGGTGCTTAGGTGACCAAAATTCATAATCATCATTATCAGGATTGTCTAGGTCGATTTGGCATTGCCTGTTATGAACTTGAGTGAAATCAAGGGAGAAAGAAACTGTTATAGAGGGCTCATTTTGGTCTTTCCCAAACACCAAAAATTTCCTTGAAGTATCTGATGGAACCGTTGCCAAATCTAAAACTTCAACTGGAGTTTTAGAAAATTCGTACTTATTCCATGAGTGACCATCGTCCAAAGAAAACAAAACGTTATTAGTAGGCTCCTTAGCATTTACTAAAACCAATATGGTTCCACGATCTCCAAACTCCCACATATAAACACCTTCGACTACTTCCTTCCATGTGATACCCCCATCAGTTGTCATAAATGTTGAACTTTTCTCGTCGCCTTCTAGGGAAGATCCGACGCTTCCAACTCCAAACATTAAACCAGTGGCAGATGCTGAAGAAAATGTATCTCGATAGTCTGGCCTCTCCGTATAGCCACGAACATTCAAAGAGCATTTCTCTAAAGGCTGCCCGGAGCACGAATATTTCTTTCCTTTGGAATTCACAATAGGCGGATTGATGTAAGCCCATTCTGCACCATCATTATAACTAATTTGAGTCCTGAGAATCTTGGGGTCGTTAGAGTTATGATTTTGTACTCTATTAACTACTATGATACCTTCTATGCCCTCAATTCTGTCATAGTCAACATATCCAACTCGATTTCTATTAACATAATCGAGAGACAAAACATATGAAGTACCATTAGAATTCGACTTTAATATAGACCCATATTCATGCCCTTCTTTTGGATTTGTGGTGACATGCATGAAGATTGCCTCAGAAGCCGAATCAAGAATCGTGTAAGCTTGTTGATAATCAACGTGCAAATCAGAAGGGAAATCAGCATCAGCAAATGTCACGCCATCAACAGTAACCTTTGCCTTTAACGACTGTTCCTTTTCACCTATTAAAGCAACGACACAAAACTTTCCGGTAAAAGCATAACCCACTGCTGATTCAAATAATACTTTAGAGCTCTTGAAGAAGTCGTTAGACGACAATATCTCTAATTTGGGATTCAGTTTTTCTTTAGCTAAGCAATAAATCAAATTCTTGTTTTCTTCCGTTTGTGGGTCAAATACTGGCCCAGCAAAGTCACAAGTAAGAACATCCTTCTTTAATGGTTGAAAGGTTTGACCTCCATCCTTTGTTACATAAGCAATCAGGGGACAATTGAAACCCATATTGTTATCACAATCACCAGAACCTAGCCATATAAACATGTTAGGATCTGTTTTGTGAGGAGAGAAAACTTTTGATTCGCGTGAAGGCGTAGACGGGGCAGTCATTTTCAGAAACAGATTACCGCCATCAAAAGAGATATAAAATGTTGTAGACTCTGTGATGAGAATAACCTGAGACTTGTATGCAAATACACCTACGATCGATTCGACATTGAGCTGACTGAAACTTATTCCACCATCATTTGATATAAACACCTTGTCATTTTTGCTTTTCACGATAACATTCTCGCCTGCTGATGCATTATCTTCAATGTAAATATATTCGGCAAGCTCTCCATCAAATTTGTGCGAACTCGACTTGATCGCCTTTGTCGTATCTTGCTTAAGATAATCTGCACACTTAATGTCGACTGTGTCGACGAATTCACTAGGCTTCTTCTTTCCAAAAGAGCATGTATTACCTTCAATATGTACTTTTGCGGGCAACTTTAATACCTTTGACTTCTTACTCTGACAAAGTTCACTAACCCTGGCATCGACAAGATCGCACGTATTGGTACCAGTATTTAATTTAAACCCATCAGCGCACTCAAAATCGGCGTCAGTACAAGGACAAGGGTCATCATACACCTTGATATCCTCGAATAAGCTATTAACAAAACATTTCGCGTCCTGCTTTCGTCTTATGAACTTCTCCTTATGACCGTCAATACAGATAGGTTTCTGATCCTCCGAAACCCGAGCGTATATTTCTTCGAAATCTTTCTTCTGACATTTAGCGCCACCATATACTTCACCAAAGTCAATAGTGTAAATTGCTTCCGAAAATTTGAGATCAGAATTATCGTCCGGAGTTTCGTCGTATATTGCCGAGAGAATAAATTTAGTCGACGTTCCATCCACTGTGGTAGACAATATTTCGGGAAAGACTGATTCTCCTAGTTCTTCTGTTGTCCACGATTTACCCTGATCCAATGAGTAAATTAATTTTTTGGTATCAAATGTTTTTGAATCGCGTTCATGAATGGGGCTCGCTAAAATGACATTTCCTAAATCACCGAAAGAGAACAAACACGGCTCTTCAAGAGAAAACTTCCAAGTCAAACCACCATCTCTGGACACCCACGTATTCATATCGTTTATATCTCTGCTCAAGTGCTTTCCCTTGCTACCAATGCCTACCAAAATAGCAGGTGTTGGTCCTGTTACAAATTTTCCTCTACCGTCTCTCTCAACAGGACTGATCAAGTGTAGAGAGCAGCCATCTTCAACTTTACACGAATCATCATCGATGATCTTTAAGGGGGACCAATCCTTTCCATTGTTGTATGTGATCTTGGAAGAAATTAATTTAGAAGAACCACCTAAGAACAAATCAAGTAGATTCTTATCAGATTTCTTACCATCTTTATCTTCTGCCACATTAGCCAACCAAACTCCATCAATAGTTTGAACTTTCTCGATTGCGCCACCTTCTATACTAGAAAGGATTTTAGTAAACTTCAAGCCAGAGGAATCAGATGCATATACTGTCGACAATGACACCATAGAGCTCGAAAAATCCATAACAGATAAGAATAATGACAGAGGGGATGATTCCAAATAAGCCATTATCCCATATGAGACATTAACCTTAAGATCGGCTTCCCTAAAATTCTTGCCATCTTTAGAAACCAATAATGACACCACAGACTTCTTGTTAAATTTATCGTTCTGCACAATTATCACCATGAAGGTTTGCTCAAATTTTATATCAATTATGAAAGCCGACTTCACTAAACCATGATCTATGTCTTCAGATGTTTTGAAAAAATCATTTGAAAATGAGAGATATGATTCCACAACATGTCCAAAGGAGTTTAGCTTATTTACAGTGCAATAAACTGTTTCATCATTACCACCTTCAAAATTAGAGGAAGATTTAGCAAAACGACAATGATTAAGCTCTGACTTTAACTTCATTGGATTTGTCTTGAATCCATTATCGGTATAAAAATGTATCTTTTTACACTTCGAGTTAAAGCCCTCATTTGGAGGACAGTCATATACTTCTATGAGAGCATATTCTCTCTTCTTCGAGTTAAAATGGACTTTCGGAATAGAATCAATGGACAACGGTTTATCATCGTCACCTAGAAGCTTAAAGGTTGTCCATGACTTTCCCTGATCGTTAGTGACATACTGTTTCTCGTTAGCCGTAAATACAAACGCCCTATCTTTGAAATTCGGGTCTATTTCAAAATGTATAACCGATTCATCTTTCGTTTCTTTTACATCACTCCAGCTATTTCCATCATCGTGAGACACCGAAAGCTTATGGCTCCTCAAAATTAAAACAGTCGAAGAATCATCAAAGTAAATAATCTGCTTAGCAGGGTCATTTCCTTTCAGTGTCCTTTCTATTTTAGGTCCCAGTTCTCCAAGTACTATGCTAATCAATACCAGAAGCACAAGACAGCACCACAGAATTGAGAAGGTGATCCTCATCCTTTCTTGACTTAGATGAACACTCCTTTGAAAATAAAGCTTTACTACTGGTTAAGAAACGGCTCTTCTTTACGAATTGATTCTTAAGATCCTTTAGTAGACCTCTAATGCTGATTGATAAATTTAACAGTTACAGCCTTGATATGAGTTCTTGCATTTGTCGCCTCGCGATAATCTGTACACGTGATGTTAAATGGGTGCTTGACATGAGTAGGCCATAACACCGCTGGATAAATGAGAAGAATGTGATCACTCAAACTACATATTTAGTCCACTCATCCCATTGATTAACAGAAGATGTTTAAGGTAGCTAAATTATTAAAATAGATAATTTAATGTTATTCTATGGAATTTTCAACAACTATATAAATTTAACGCATATATATGGTCATCAAATCGTGGTCACTATCTTGCTCTTATGGCTTCTTGATTCATCTAATGGTCGTAATAGTCATCATCTATGACCAATCCTAAGAAATTAGCGCGTTTAATCACCTTAATGTAGCATATCATATCTAAATCCGATCTCCCCAAGTAGTCTGATAATTTAAATGTGAATGATAGAAAACTATTTTGAAACATCTCTTGGTCCTGAGAATAGACACGTATCAACAGTTTCAACTTTGTACTCATTAGCACATCAAAATGCGAGGCCTCTCCTAGTAGTCCATATAGTTTCTTCAAACAGACGGAGATAATTAATTTCCAGGTTATTCTATCCACCTCCAAGTCTATTATTTTATCATCTGTCTTATCATTTATCTTGTCTTCTTGATTGCCTAGTTGTCTTGCAATTGGTCTTAGTAAGGGATTCTTGAAACAAATAAGAAATTTGTCTTTTAACTTACATTTGAACGTTGAAATAGCACCATTCGGGACTCCTGAGAGTGTATTTTATGCATTCATCTAACTCAATACCGTTAAGTTTATTCAAAGCCATTATCTGGCATCATAATCTGGTGTTCGTAGTTTGTTTCTGAGGAAGTCTCAATTTTGAAGTGAAAAATTAAATGCAAGATACATGCGATGCGAACTTAGTAAACCAAATCATATTTTGATCTACACAATAAAGAGTAGAGTCAAATTCAGCTCAGTATTGGTATTTGAATCTGGATATTGTAGCTATCGCAAGAGGATCCGGTGATACTGTGGCTCTCGTTGTCATATGTGCTTTCTCTAGAGCTATTTTGCAGTTTCTGAGTTGTCTGTCTAGTATTACTATTTGTTACACCTTGAGAAAATAAATTCGAGGGAAAGAAACCAGTCAAGGAATATGGATTGCTGCTGTTGGGCTCTCTGTTAGGGTCGCATGAAAATTTTGTCTTTCTACGTGCCTTAGGGGCGTTAACTTCAAAGTATTGATTGTGTAGTTTTCCCTCGATTCCCATACCCACCCCATCTCCGTTTGTTGTTTCTTGGTGCAGTCTTTCCCGATCTGTAAAATTCGATGCTGGTTGATGGCGCTTCTTATCTTCGTGGCTCATTTTCTTCAATTCTCTACCTTCTTCAGACGCTCGAGCGTTTTTTGGATAGTTATAACTCCCTGAATCTCGGTTTTCATCGTGATGGAAGTTCATCGCGCCTATCACATATGGAATTGGAACAAATCTGATAGGGATCTGATTCTCTTGCGCTATCAGGTAGGAGTAAGAAACTGGAACTATATAAACATTAAACGAACTAACAGAGTTCAGTCGTCTCACAGTCTCGGGGATGCCATGAGTACCTAGAAGTGGTACATTTGTTTTTTCATTTCTGTATTCAGGAACTTGTGGGAGAATTTGGGACCTTGCACTTGAGGAGAATTCTTTTTTTGGTCGAAAGGTCTTAGAATTTCTCTCTTTCATCTCTAATTTTACTCTTGATGAAGTACTGTAATCTTTTGCATCTTTTAGTCCATTATTAACCTCCCGATAATGAAATTTTTTCGACCTACTTACATGGTATGAGCGATACAGCTGAGATGGTGGCTGCCGCAACAATTGACTAAGATCAAGTTTTAGTATGCTTGAGTGCCTCATTGCAATCAATTCTTCAATTGAATACAAAATTTTACTCATCTTGGCTCAATAATCTTCTCTTGAGCTCTCGATAATAACTTCAGTTTCTTATATCAATTTATTACTCTTTTGTGGATTCACATAGGTGCAAAAAGGTCAAAATATTTAATCTCGAAAATGATCTCATTGGAAATTCGACTTCAAATCCAATATTTCCGGCAGCCATATTCATCATCTAAGCACGATTAATTTCAGTATAAGTACAGCCATGGAACAGTGGAAGGAATTCAAAGATGATCTGGGCAGAGTATACTACTACAATGAAAAGACTCAGGAGACGAGCTGGTCCAAGCCAAGCGAAACCGCATTGAAATTAACATGGCAGATATTCAAAACAGATGAGGGAACTGAATATTATTATAATGAGGAGACAGGTGAAACGACATGGGATAAGCCAGCTGAGTTACAAGAGAACAGTCATCAGGAGAAAGATGAAAAAGATGCGCCAAGTGAATCGTCTTTAAAGAAGACAGATCTTGAGCTCGAGCTTGAATCAAAGCCTTTGAAAACTGACGAATTGATCAACCCTTCTGGCATTGGCTCTTTTCAAGATGCAGAGGAATCATTTATCAAACTTCTTAAAGATAATGGAGTAGATTCAACGTGGTCCTTCCAAGCAGTCATATCCAAGTTCATTAAGAACCCAGTATACTGGGCCATTCCAGACTCTTTGCATAAAAGAAAATTATTTGAAGGATATCTAGTTTCAAAGATAAAGGAGGAGCACTTGAATAAAGCACAGGTTGTCAAGGATTTTGAAAATAACTTTCTCGATGTTCTAAATAATTATTATAAACTGAACAAAATGAGCCTGACTACTCGTTGGAGAACATTTAAACAAAAGCTCATTGAAGACGACAACCCAATTTTCAATCATGCTATTGTACCTGATAGCGAAATATATAAAATTTATGATCAGTTCGTCTCAGGTTTAGAAAGGAAACATAATGAATCAATTAGTCGACAGAAGGAGCAAGCATTAAGTGAGTTGGAAACATATTTAATTAGCATTAATCCAAGCATCGTTTCTGATAGTTCAGCTTGGCAAGAGCTTTATAATAAACTTCAAGATGATCCAAGATTCACCGCAAATAAACACTTCACAATACTTGACAAACTTGATATTCTAGAATTATATGAGGATAAAATATATTCCAAAGGTGTTGATGATATTAAAGAGAAAATTCGTGCTCAAGAAAAAATAAATTACAGGTCTGATCGGAAAGCAAGAGAGAATTTTAAAAACACGTTGAATGAATTGAATATTACAGCAAACTCAAGTTTCAAAGAGTTTTTTCCTATATTGGAGCAAAAGGACAGTTTTATAGAAATTTGTGGGAGAAATGGCTCTACCCCAAGTGAATTATTTTGGGACATTGTTGACGAGAAGAAGCAGACTTTACAATTGAAATCAGACTTGGTGGAAGGCGTTCTCGTGGACTTAAGGAAAATCGACAGCACTAAGTATCATTCTGATGTTGTATTTAGTTCGAAGGAAAGTTTCATCGATGTTCTCAGAGAGGCAAAAGATGAACGATTGTCAATATTGGACCTAACCCTAGATCATCCAAAAGATAACGATGTTGAGTTCGTATTTGAGAAATTGAAAAGTGATTCTAAGGCTAGAAGAGAACTTGAAAAAGAGAGATACTTGGCTGACGTTGATTTTGGAGTTAGAGAAATAGCGCAATGGCTTTACAAACACTACAAAGATTGCGACTTTATTCATGTAGTAGCTGATAACTCCACCGATGACTCAAAGGGTTATTTGGTTAAAATAATCCTGGAGTCCAAGGGTAGATCAGTGCACTATACGATGAAAGATGTTCTCAATATTACTGAGATTAAAAAAAGAATATCACATCTTGACCGATTTCGAGAACTAGAAAGAACAATTAATAACTTCTATGACTCTCATTCCGAAGAGTCTTCGAATATACTTGACGATGTCTTGAGAAAGACATTTGATCAATTCATAGATATTTTGAATCAGCCCGAAATACCGAGAGACACGAAGAGGACACTTGAGCTTGCAGATCAATCTGAAACTAAGCGTAGACGTCGTGACGATGATCATGAGAATGGAAGTAAGCGTTCTAAGCAGAAACTTGTCTTACTTAATTATTAGTTAGCCTCTCTCTATATATACATAATGTCGTGCAATGCACAACAAAACTATTTGAGGGTTCGGTACCGAACCAGTCCATTCAGGATTATTGATAGTCTCAAGGTATTTATCTAGAAATTCCATTCATCAAGGCTTTATCATGGTAAGTTTTGTCATCGTTTAGTGATTTCCCTAAATAGTCGAAATTCAAAGCAATGCTTTACAAATGTATAATTTTAGTGAATAAAAATATTAACATGTATCCAGTCTCAATCATTGAAGCCATATTTGACAGCCGTAAGGTCATCATTAACCGCAGCAATATGCCTAGAAGACTTCTCATCTCAACTTGTTGAAAGACATAATAGGCCAGAAATTGAAGTGGATAATACGCATAATCCAGAACTAATATTAAATCCCATGTTGATAGCCAGAAATGAAAATGAGAAAATTCTTATCGAACCCTCGATCAATTCGATCAGAGTTTCTATTAAGATTAAACAAGCGGATGAAATAGAACAAATCTTAGTACACAAGTTCACCAGATTCTTGACTTCACGAGCAGAAAACTTTTTTATATTGCGTAGGGTTCCAATTAAAGGTTACGACATCTCATTTTTGATCACTAATTTCCATACTGAACAAATGTTGAAAGATAAGCTTGTTGATTTCATTATAGAGTTCATGGAAGATGTTGACAAGGAGATAAGTGAAATGAAACTATTTTTGAATGCAAGAGCCAGAGTCATCGCAGAAGCATATTTGACTCCTTTTGATTGATAGATATGTCTACAATAAGCACATTAGTCTACAAATATTTGAACTGAACTGTAAACAGAAAAGGCAATTCGCCTTGGCTATATTTAGTTATATATATCATGGAAAAGTAACCCATTATGTTCGAACTGTATGCGAACTCTACCTAAAGAAAGATGTAGTCTAATCAGAATGTGCCGCATTTACTGAAGCTTTGTCGGTCGAATTTATATTTCTTCTTTGATCATTTGGGGATCTCGTAATTATGGGACTATTAGGTTTTGAGTTTAATCTTGATCTTGGTTTATCTGATTCTATTCTTGAGGACACTTGTCCTGATCTTTGTTTTAAAGATTCCTTTGGTGATAAACTTTGGGAGGACAGAGGTGACACGAACAGCCCACCAATATTCATACTTTGATGAGACACAGGTGGTGTGGGATGCAGAGGAGGTGCCATTTGTGGACCATTCATTCGATATTGAGGCTGTTGTAACGTATTATGTTGTCGACCTTGTTCATTTATCTCTGAATATTCATTTCCTTGGTAGTGATAGATACTAGATGATACAGGTTGGTTCTGATTGTATCCATTTGCTCTGGAGTCTTCTGAAGCTATAACTGTTGGAACAACCATTGGAAGCTCGGCACTCTCATTAAGAAGTCCAGGTATATGACTTAGTATGAGATCAAGTTTAAGAAGAGCGTCACCTACTTGATGAAATCCTTTAGATGATATCTTCAAAATCCATCTGTAGTTGAAGATCTGATCTTTGTAAAATTCTGCCTCTTCTTTGCTAGAAGAAGAAATGAATAAAATCGCCGCAAAAGTACCAATTAATGCGAAATTTGAGGATGAGGAAGAATGCCAAAAGGAATGAATGTGTTCGGGTTTCAAATCTCTGACAAATTCAACAGAGGCTAGCAATCGAGTCTCAGCAGCTGATCGACACACGCTGACTAATTGGTCCGGGAGGTTATTTCCCATCATCTTTTGTTGGTATATGGTTGTAATGATACGCCTATGAAGGGTAAGTTCCGTTGCAAAGTAGGCTAATTGTAAATACCCATTGGAACACAATTTTCTTTGTTTCACCGAGCTCATTTGAAGCTCGATGGGTAAAGAATGGTACCATGTTCTCAATCTTAATTGTAGGGGTTTTGCGATTTTCAACACATCGTTGATATCCGTCAATTCATTCATTGCCCTCATAGAATAAAATTCATTCAATATATCAGATAATATAGTCGATAACTGAATAAGATTCATGAACAATTTCTTACCATTGTCAATATCAGAAGAACCTTCCTTTAAATCACCATCACCATGTTTTTCGGGAAAATCTTCTTCCACTAACAGAACAACCACCCAGTTATTTTCATTAATGTGGGAAGGACGAGAATTTTTCAACGCTAGCCACTTATCTTCCATATATGTTGCCCAAGCAAGTCGCTTTCTAAGACCTCGCTCCCATTTCGGAAGCTTCCAGTTATTGCAGTCTAATCCTAAGCCTAGTTCTTCTGCCAATGACACTACCTGGGAACATAATACCCATTCACTGTAATCAGTATCACAGAAGGTCGATGTAGCAGCATTCACAGGAGATGAATTACTACTATTAGAATTATTGATAGCAGAATTTCTCAAGATATGTTTGCACTGTAGCAATAGCAAGCCTGCTTGAACTGCACTTAGTTTTGGCCTTTTTAAAATCTCTAACAAATAGTTATTTAGACCTATTTTCAATATCGATTCCACTTCAGGTTTTGGATACCTATTTAGCTGCGGATCATAGTCCCACCATTGAATCGCCAAAACATATACAGCTGCTAGTAAAGGTGCACTAAACTCTCTATGCGTTCTAGAATATTTTTCTAAAAAAACTTTCTTGTGGAGTATTGGATACGAGGGATGCACTATCCTGAAGTAAAGATCTATCAATATTTGACCATGAGGCGCTATAAATTTCTCTACTTTATCCACGTCGTTGGATATTGTCTGGTAGGATTCAGGGGATTGATCGTCCTTTAAAACAAATTGAACACGATCACTAACTTTTCTTAAAGAAATGGTGTCATTTATATTCACTTGCTCTATTTTTCCTAGATTACCTTTGCCATTATTGCTTCGATTATCTTGATCATTATTTTTCGAATCAATGATCAAATTTAGTAGATTTATGTCGTAAAGATAAGATGTTGGTCCCACATAGAAACTTGACCTAGGAAATTGTAACGAGAGAGTTTTTCGTAACAAAGAATTATTCATCATTGAGTAATCCTGAACAGGAGGAACATCTCGAATTGGCACATTTGGTGGAATAATCTTATTCTTGTCATCAATTGGAGTGCCCAGATTTGAATGCTGATTCGGCCCTTCGCCTCTCCTCTTGAGACTTTGAAAAGAATCTGTGTCCACGGCCTTCCGCTTCATTGCCAGGCCAACATAAGTACAAGTGAGCGATTTAGACTCACATTGAACACAGTTGTTAGTATTGGGTATTATTACACATTTCGTCTTCCTTCTTCTGCAATGGTCACAAGGCCTTCGTTGCTTGGTATATGATTTGTTATTTTGATTGACATTGGAGGCAGAAATTGATCCTTCCGCTGGTACAGATGAAACTGACTGCTCAAGCTGATTGTTCGTATGATCGCTAGCCTTTGTTACATCAAAACTCTGATGGTTATCCTGAGAAGGTTGCTTACTGTCGGGTACATGAACATCGTTTTGATACGAAATATTATGCACAATGGGGTTCGTCAGAGTTGCAGAATTCAAATCCCCATGTCCCTCGAAACCCATATTGTAGAATATCTCATTTCCAGAGTCCATAAGTAAATTAGAGGTCCAATTATCATCGAGGTACTCCCCAGATAGACGATCTCCAGCGTCGTGAGAGCGAGAATCTAGCCTATGATTATCATGACCTTCGCTGTTACTGTTTTTTCCTTCTCCTCTATCTTTATTATCAAAGTCGATGCCTTCAGCAAGGTTCAGTGCACCTCGGTGACTTCCACCACTCTGGTTCATATCTTATGACTTTCTGTCTTGAAATATTAGAGATACCAATCAATGTTCGCCCTGCCGTAAAAGTTCTTTCTCCTTAGATAATCGCACTCTCTTAATAATATGTTGATGTCACGAAGAAAATAAACGTTATTTTCACACGACATCGACAAGGAATACTCATGCAAATATTCTTGTTTAACAATTGAAACGTGGGCAGAGAGTTCAGATTAAACGAGATGGTCCGTTTGCTCCCTATCATTGCTTTTCGCTCTCAGTCTTTACTCAGGATTCAAATTTAGCTTAATAACTAGAAAGATACATAATCTTTGTTCAAGGCAGATGAACTTCGTCCTATGGTTCCATACCTTTTCTACATAAGAAAGTCTACATGTAAGTAATGTAAGATTTGAATTGAGATCTTCAAAAAACTCTTCCATTGAGCACTAGAAGTTAGAAAGTTAGTTTTGTTCAACCTTCTCCGTGTTTAAGCGGGTCCAATACCCAAAATACTGTATAAATAGGGTGGGACCCTTTTTTATTGAGAAAATGCAAGCGAGAAGACAAGTTGTCTTACTGAACTGAAATAGTATGAACGGAAATCGAGTCTTATGATATCATCGTAAGGTAAAGGGAAAGAGTACTGAGATATTCTTTGATACTCTCCTCTTGACCTCTTTATACATGTCGGTAGTGTAGTTAGTCGTAACGTCTAATGGGTGATAAACATTTAATACAAAATGTGCGAACTTCCTTATCATGAGCTTATTTCCTCTCTTGAAAGCACAACAGGGCATGAATTTGACGTTGAAGGATATTGAGGATGAGGAGGATATATATAATAGAATTGAGATTAACCAGTTAAAGAAAACAAGAGCCAAAAAGAAAAAGAAGAAAAAATCAAGCTATGGAGATGATGAGAGTAAAGACTGGAGTGGTACAACTTCCTTAAATGAAAAAGTCAGTATTATTGAAAACAATCTCAAGCCAGCGAATAAGTTATCATTTTTAACACCTGATAGTGAATATCAAATTAATGTTCGAGATGGCGAAAGATCAGTAGCTTGCAATTGGATTTTACATAAGTTCGATATTCAGAGCTTGTCCCTGTACTTTCCTCAAAGTGCTACTCTATATGACATGCATATGTTTCGATTATTCGTATATTCTGTGTTATATAACCAAGAAAACTTCTTTGACCATAAATTAAAGTCCGTTTATTTTAAAGTGTTCAATGATATGTTACGATCAAAGGCGAAAAATAAGCAGCTTCGACAGAGATTCACGGTTACATCTAGTGCATCGGAAGTGAATGCTGCCGAATCGCTGGATTTTACGAAAAGGAGAAAGATTGAAAAAATACAAATCCCACCCATAATACTTCGAAGACTAAACATTCAAGAACCCTCGACTGCATAGCTTGGAAACATCCTTTCTTTGATATTGTTCCATAATCCTCTATCATAAATATTGATTAAGTCATCTTCCACTGACTTTATTGCCCTTATATTATGATCATGCAAGTCATCCTCCGTGAAAAGTACTTTTTCATCTTTTAAACTTATGAAAACAACTTTGCTAGAAGTTTCATCCTCCAAAACGCATTTTTCAACAAATCTCTCTTGATTGATTGGTGAATTTAAAATTTCATACAAGACGCCTAGCTTCACTAAGTGCTCAATGTCTTTCCACTTTTCTAGCTCATTTGTAGTGATTCCCAAATATATATATCTCAAATGCATACCGGTGAATACGGTTACTACAACACTAAAAATTAGCCCAAGAAACATCAAGATTCCAGTAATCTTATTTGTTTCATTCGTTCGAGCAATAATATTCCAGTAACTCATCTCCGATGTTTTGACATTTTGCAATGCTTTAAAACATATATAACCGCCGTAAAGCAAAAAGTTAATATTTGTTAGTAGAAAACTCATAAAGAAGCCGTAGTTACGGTAGCCAACACAATTATTGATAAAAACACAGTGGTGATCAAAAAGAGCCACGCAATTGTCGCACGTAGAACAATGTTTAGACCTCGCTGGCTTTATGAATTTGCAAGTAGAACAAACTTGATCTTGGAAGAAAATCAAGTCGTTGCTTTTGAACATAGATCCATACTTCAGTATATTATTATACCTTATTACTCCAGGGTCAGTAAATGTTGCCATAAAATATGTAAAATAGACGGCTATAATAGAAAATGCAATGTATATCTGATGCAAAGGATTGGTTATAATATTTTGAGGCAATATGTACCAAGTATATTGGAAGAACTTCAAGAGGCAAAATGACACAATCGAAAGATATAATATTGGTACTATCCACTTGATAAGGATGCTTAACTTTCTATCAAAGTACTTTTCATTTATAATTATGCAACCTTCAATGATTAAATTGATGTAATTTAGAATTTTTTCTTTTAGTCTTGTAACCCAAGTTTCTCTTAAAAGTTTAACATTTCCTAAAAGTATAATGAGCGATATTACTGTGCTACATGCAAACAACCATAGTATCACGGTAACTAGTATTATCATGGCTCACGAGCTAAGTTCATAAGTTTATCCCTATCTCGCTTTTGAAATTTGATTACGATATAAAAAAAAAAATTGTTACTCATATAAACAAAGTATCGTCTAATAAGTAGCTTATTTTAGTTGTGTTTTCTATTTGACATAGAGAGGTAATTGCAATGGCACAATATATTGAGATAGTTCGTAATGAAATATCTTATGTTGATCAACTCTTAGAATCTGTGCCTTTTACACCAGGATATACTCCGAGCCAAGATTTTTTAAATATCTATACATTAAATTATGAGAAGATGAATAAACTAAGTCAAAACACTTCAAAATTTCCGATTGATGCTAATAGGTTACTTAAACTTGGGATATCTTTGGGAAACCTCATCAAATCCCTCCAACAAGATGAGCAATTTGTTCAACAAAAACAAACACAACAACTGAATATCATGAATAGCATGGCTTCTCCAAGAAACAAACCCATGATAAGACCCGATGACAGTAATCCATTTACCGAAAGGTCAAAGCCGGTGCCAAGCCTTCCTCAACAACCTGCCTACCAAATCAAATTCATGAAAAACCTCTTGATAATTTTAAAAAATTTTAATATTGGCTACTCACGATATCCTTCAACTGGTAGTTTAAGGTTCAAAGGTCTGGATGGCTCTTTGAATCAATCAAGCTCTACTTTGAATTCAAATAAATCTCCTATAAAGCTAAGTTCTAGGCAACTCCTAATCGAGAAGTTGGAAATAAACATTGAATTAGATAATTTATTCATTTACAAGATTTTATTTCAAATAATATCAAGAATATTCAAAATAATTCAAGACCAACTTATTAGTAATGGGAATTATGAAATAACTCCACCAATTGGAAGCCCAGTGACAGACGAATCGTCTTCTATCTTTTCAGGATCGTCAAGTAATTCGTCGGAATCTGCAGCACTGGATGGATATTTGAGGCTAGTAAAAGAAACTCTAAGTAGAATGATACTTGGGATAATTGAGCCTTTTGTACAATTAATTTTATCTGAAATAGTTAACGGAAGTGTGGAAAATGAGTTCTATAATTTGATTAAAAGCCTATAATAAACAACGAACTACTTCAAAGCTTGAATTTTAAGTCGAGGTAGAAGTAAATAATGCATTTCATCTCTATATAGAGCGCATTCAAACGTACCACCAGTTTGCAAACTTTCTCCATACAATATGGCTAAATCTTCTTCCCAATAACTTTCCAATCAATGGAAATAAAATCATATTTATCAAGCCAGTTATTTCTCTCATGCTAGTATCCCATTGCTCTTGTGCTGTCATGAAATAAGCGCTATCATAGTCCGATTCGTAGTCTTCATCAGAGTCAACAACGGACTCAAAGTTGCTTGAAGTATCGTCGGAAGCTGCCGGCCTCACAAAGGGACGATCCCTAAGCTCTGGCAAGTCTGACATTTTGTAATAATTAAGAAATTGCCTCAATCGAGTACTTTATGCCGCAGATAAATTCGAGCGACTTCGAGTATAGTAATTTGCTTACACTAAATCACCACGATGAGCACATAGTATTAAAATTTTTCAGACAAAGAATACGGCGTAGACATACGAATGCTTTTACTGTCTCAGCATTGTTTGAAAAGGTCAGTGAAGGTAACTATGAATCAAGCGAAGTATCTGAAGGCGACTTTCGACGTGAATGACTACAATACGATAAACGAAGGAAAAGCTAGAATCTTAACTCCAAAGGAAGACAAAGTTTTTTATAACCCAATACAACAATTCAATAGAGATTTGTCTATAACTTGCATAAGGGCATGGAGCGAGCTATTTCAAAAACCTGATAGAGGGTTGGATGATAACAAAAAGAGAAGAGTAGAGCCTTTTATTACAATCTTAGAAGCCTTGAGTGCTACGGGTCTAAGAGCAATTAGATATGGGCATGAGATACCACTAGTGAAAAATGTTGTTGCGAATGATTTACTTGCCGACGCGGTGAAGTCTATTGATAGGAACATTATTTATAATGATTTGGATCTGAAGGTAACTTCAAACGAAGGTGATGCCATAAAATTTATGTCACAAAGCAATGAGAAATTTAATGTGATTGATTTAGATCCATATGGTACTGCAGCGCCATTTATAGATAGTGCTATTCAGGCAATAAAGGATAACGGAATTTTGCTTGTTACCTGTACGGATGCTGGAGTCCTTGCTGGGTCTGGTTATCCCGAAAAATGCTTCGCATTATATGGGGGGAATAACTTTGGAAATACATTTATGGGTGGTGAAGCTAACCACGAGGTAGGCTTGAGGCTCATTCTCAACATGATAGCATCTACTGCTGCGAAATACAAAAAAACGATTGAACCTTTGTTATCGTTAAGTATTGACTTTTACTTCAGGCTCATTATTCGTGTTAAGACCAGCCCATTAGAAGTCAAGAAGTTAGCTTCTAAAACCATGATATCATATCATTGCATTGGTTGTGGTCAAAAGTTGATTCAACCTCTCGGAAGAATTAACGGCAAAAAGTTTCAGACACCCAAGCTTGTGTCCAACATCAGTGGCCAATGTGGCTTCTGTGAATCTAACTTCAACATAGGAGGACCGATGTGGCTTGGCAATTTGCATGACAAAGATTTTATCAATGATGTCTTGAGGATAAATGAAACTAATGATGTAGTAACGTATGGCACTAAGGAAAGAATAAAAGGAATGTTGACTGTAGCAAAGAATGAACTACAGGAACCGTTTTACTTCAACTTGAATCAATTGTCTTCGTTTTTCAAAGCTCCCCCAATCCCAATTAATGACTTTGTTAGGGCTTTGGGTAATTTAAACTATGAAGTATCATTAACTCATGCAAAGAAAAACTGTATAAAAACCAATGCGCCGTGGATAGATATCTTTCAAATTAACAAGCAGTGGCTAATTAATAATAATCAAAAGACCTTGGAATCTTTAAAAAACAGAGACGATAGATATGACGACCAAAAAGTTGAAACAAAAATAAAACAGTTGGAGAAAGATATCGACCTTAGTCCTAACTTAACTCCAAATATGATTGGCTATAAAATATTGATGAAATTACGGGAGATTAAAGATCCTATTACTGTCAACTTCACTAACGATAATGAGGCTAGTAAAAATGTCGAATCGTTGCGTAAATTGAAAATCGTCAGATACCAGGAAAACCCTACCAAAAACTGGGGCCCGAAATCTCGTCCTTCCGAGTCATAGCTTCTGCTAATACTTTAAAATTTAAGAAAGTTGCATCCACCTTTAATTTACAGGGAGATAATAGATTTATATAGGTCACATGACTACAATACTAAAATTTTTAATCCTGACTCATTCCGAATTTACAGTTCAAATTGAATATTTTTAAAAATAGTGAATTATGTTTATTCAGAATAATACACTAAAAAGTACATAGTAATAATGTCGAAAGAATAAAGTGAACGTAGAATTTATTAAATTCACTCTTCTTCTGTGTAAGTAGGATTAAAGACAAAATTAAAGAGGGCAAGAGTTTACCCAAAAAGGGCACCGCCCTCTAAAGAACAAAATTGAACTTTTTTCTTAGAAACTTTTCAAACTAGTCCAAAGGACTCCAGCTAGATAAAGTTGCCCACTTACAACAACATGGCAACAGCACCGGCAGCAGCAGCACCTAACAAACCTGCGGAAGCAACATTAGCAACAGCAGCACCCTCAGAAGAGGTGCTGTTACTAGAGTTAGCAGCAGAAGCAGCAGTAGCAGCAGTCAAAGCGATAATAACGTTCTTGAATTGCATTGTATCTCGTCTATAGTCTATGAATTAAGTTATAAGAAATAAAATAAAGGAGCTCAAAATTATAAGGGGGATGCTTAGTATTTATATCGTGCGTACTGGATGGATTTTGCCTCATTCGGGTGAACTAAATGGCTGGCTCCGGAAGTAGATGGAAACAAAAAGAAAAAACGGAAGCATAGCCACTCAGGGGAGGCGGTCCGACTTTTATCTTTACCTATATGCAGAATCACAATCGCGACAGAGTATGAAAATAGTATAAATCATTGCGCATTGGGGTAGGTCGTGAACAAGAAAAGCAACCACCGTCGCGAATAAATTAGGTCAGGCGGCGCGACAGCGCGACACGGTAGTTAGGTGCACGATTGTAGCCGAGAGTTACTATTTTGGGTCACGACCTGACCCCCATTAACTTATTTTTGCCGACTTCCGGATAATTCCAGTTACACAATAGCAATGACTTGTCGGCTGTTCTGCACATAAAGGTGGCAAATGCAGTTCTCAATAAAAAAGAAAATTTAGTACAGATACTTATTGCCAAGATGAGATGAATTTGAGCTTGTCGCGTTTTCGACACAGTTTGAAACTACATACATACAGGATGGGAATGATGCTGTGGCTCTTTCAATTATATGGTCCTACAGGGTTTCTGTTCTTAATACACAGTTAAATTTTGTACTGTTGCATTCTAATATTGTTCCGAATTAAGAGATACACGAGATTACTAAAGATTTCATGAGACGAGGGCTCTATGTGCACGCGATATGCACGGGATTAATCGATCATAAACGCGAATTACACGAGCCGAGGACAATTTCTAGTCTAGAGATGATAAGCTCCAGGATCTGATGGTAATAGTTCATGGGGGGATTGTCTAAGTGCAAGTCTTCAACGCTTAGTCAGTTAGCTACGCTATGTGGGATACCCAATCAGCCAACAAAAGAGGGTAGGCAAAAAGCTATCCTTAGATATCTTGATCTCTTTTCTAGATTGAATGTACCCACTAGCGCTATGGCTCAAGGAAACTTGTCTGTCTTGCTGATGGATATTGGAATAAAGAATTTCGCATATTGCAAAGTAGACGGAATTGATATTAAGCAATCAGATATCAAAAGCATAGTCACAAAATCTCAATGGGATAAGTGGGACCTCCACAAAGAATTCGGATGTGAAGGTCTGGAGCCATTGTTAGGAAATAGCAATGGGGGTGTTCTTGACAGCAAGCGGTATTTAAGCCATTTGAGTTATCTGGTAGTTAATCGATTAGCGGTATCTTCACTGCCCAGGCCTAACGTAATTGTTGTAGAGACTCAAAGAACCCGATCAAATTCAAATTCGGTGACGCTTCCGAATGTACTTTTGAATTACACTTTTGAAAATATGCTTTACTCGAGTCTTTATACCCTATCACGTTTAGGTATTGTAGATCATGAGTGCTTAATTGTCCCAATGAATGCTAATAGTATGGCAAATTTCTGGATTAACCGATACGTGAAAAAACTGTCTCTTGCAAAAAATTCAAAGAAATACAGATTAAGTCTTTTATTACACTGGTTAAATAATCCAAGTTTATCACCAGTAAGGTTCAAAGACATTGAATTACCTCAAGGATTTGAGAATCTTAGTATTAGTAAGAAACGCCAAGTTGTATTAGGTTACTTAGGAAAAGAAAAAAACGAAAAGCTCGACGACTTGGTAGATTGTTTACTATATAATATTACAATTAAATTCCAATTGTCCAACCTATATACTCTTGCAGATAATTTAAGACTGAATATGGACATTTCACCGTTGGTGGAGGAGTTGAATTTGAAGCATTACTCGTTCATTAGGCCATTGATCGATGAACTTGATCTCGAATTGAATGACGATTTCAAGTACTTAAAGCCAACCTAGTTGCCATTAAATCACACTAAGCTTAAAAGGATGGTGTCAAACACGACGTGGATCAATAAGAATATTTGTTCCTTGATTTGCATTTAATAATTATACAGATTTTAAACAAACTAATAATATTTTTAGTAAACTTACGCTTATAATCATGAATATTAGAGCACGAGAGCAAATTTACATGATATTTGTCCTTTTTTAATCTCCATTCCTTTCATTCATACCATCAGTGATTTCAAATATCATTTCATCGCTATCTTTGGTCCTATGATTTCCTCTGGCAGAACCAAGTTCACTATCTTCACCTTCAATACTTCTTCCTCTTCCATAATCAACTATCCCATTTAGAGACTTCGATTCTTCACTTTGAAATTTATTTTTTTCCCTTCCCTCAGTCTCCTTTCCTTCTCCTTGTTCATCGTTATCGTCATCTTCTTCTTCGTCGTCTTCTTCGTCTTCTTCGTCTTCATCATCGTAGTCATCCTCATCGTCATCATCTTCTTCTTCCCCTCCTTCTTCTTCTTCTTCATCTTCATATTCCTCTTCTTGTTTTTCTTCCTCTTCCTCCTCCTCTTCAACTTCTTTCATAATTGTATTCTTATCCACATTACCATCTTCTCCACGAGCCCTTTCTATTTTTAAAAAGTTTACCTTCCTTCTTAGTATATCAACTATATCTGACCATTCTCTCATGCCACCCATACCAATATCCCCACAAACAAGGACCTTTTCCACAGGTTTAAGAATTTCAATGCCAAATCCTTCTTCTTGAGAGGATATTATTGCAAGCTGCTTTGCAGTGATTGGATGCGTGTACATTAATGTATTCATTGCAGGAGCGACGAGTATAGGCTTCTTCACAGTCAGAGTGGGCGCCTGACCCCAAGACCTCACTATCGAGGTAAGCAAGTTATCTGCCAATCCATTGGATATCTTTGCTAGGGTATTTGCAGAGAGTGGAGCGATTAGCATTATATCAGCCCACTTTCGGAGCTCGTTATGCAAGATCATTTTTTCGTAAGGATTTTTGGGCTTCTTATTAACAGAAAGATTATTCTGATTTACATTAGAGCAAGCTAATGAGTTCTTCATAACGTGATTATAGTTAGCCCATTCATCTTCATCTCTCCAGATCTTCACTTCATTGTGTAATTTCAATCCTTTGAGAAAATGTCCAGATGCTCTCGTCACGACCAACTGAATAGATATTTTAGAAGTCCCGAATAATTGAAAGAGTTTGTCGATTATTTGAGGGACTTTGATGGTGGCTACAGAGCCTGTACAAGCCAAGAGGATGTGAAATTTACCATCATCTTCCCTAGAAAGATATTCCTGAAATGGAACAGGCGGGCCACTTGGTGATGCCACAACAGTTTTGTTAGATCTTTTCATAGATCCTCTTCTAGACGGACCACTTGACGAGATATTTATAGGCTGCGTAGGCTGAGAATCGGAAGGTGAGGGCGACGACGTATGAACTGTTCTTCTAGGAGAAGTCTCACCCGAAGTTATTTTTTCTTGAAAGTTGACGTTTTCCACTGAACTTCTTACTACTGGACTTTTTTCGGAATCCGTTGCCTGGTGCTCATTCGTAGACCCAACTCCATTTGCCAACGACGAATGTAGAAAGTCAGAAATTGTTTTTCCTGTAGATGATGACTTCCTTGATTGCCCCATAGCATCCAGAGGCTGTGTTGGTATATTCTGAGTTGAAGGATGTGCTGAAATAGTAAAGCGCCTTGCTCTTTCTTGGCCATCTAAGTCCCCAAAAGAGACCGTCTGAGAGGGTTTTGCCACTTGATTTCCCACATCTGTCTGATTATCTGACAATTCAGACATATCATAAGTATTCAAATCGTTATTTTGGGGGTAACAATAAAACAAACTTTGATTTATTCACGCTGGTGAAAAGATTTTTAAGTTTTATTGCTTCGGTTCTAAGTCTTTTTGCAGGTCTAAAAGTTTAAAACTAGCTTCGTGATCAAACCTGATACTACGACATTCTCTACGACATGATTATTCGAAATTCAAGATATGCGACATATCAGTATGGCCAAGTTTCAATGTCAAAGCAAATAACATATAAAGTAACATGAAGCTTCGTCAGCAGTTAACTCAGTTTCTTTCACTCGCATATGTCTTTTCTTCTGCATTCATACTTTGGAAGTCTCTTTCAGTAGTATGCAATTCACATTCTCCAATTGTTGTTGTTTTGTCTGGTTCAATGGAGCCAGCTTTTCAAAGAGGCGATATTCTATTCCTTTGGAATCGTGATTCAAGAGCTAAGGTCGGTGATGTCGTTGTATATGAGATTCTGGGTAAGACTATTCCCATTGTTCACAGAGTGTTAAGGGAGCACCATAACGAAAAGAAACAATTCATACTTACAAAAGGTGACAATAATGCTCTAGACGATTTAGCCCTTTATGCTAAAGGTCAGCACTATTTGAATTATGATACGGATCTCATTGGTACTGTTAAAGGATATTTGCCAAAGCTTGGATATATTACAATCTTGATTACTGAAAACAAATACTTTAAGTTTGGCTTATTAGGACTTATAGGCATATCTAGTTTATTAACTAACGAGTGAGAACTTAATAAATATTACATCAAATCATTACTCTTGTATCACTGGAGACTAATCTTTATGAACGAATATTCCAAGGTTTAGGACCAATGAAAGTGTATTCAGACTACTTGGTTAGCAAAATTTCAGATATAAAAAAAATATGCTGAATGCCGACAACTGCAGGATTCGAACCTGCGCGGGCAAAGCCCAAAAGATTTCTAATCTTTCTCCTTAACCACTCGGACAAGTTGCCTATATATTATTTGCTTGTGGTTCACACTTTTTTGTTACTGTTCCATTCCTTCAAATGATTACATATTAAATAATGCGTAGATTAAAATACAAACTAAGAATCGATAAATAAAAGACAAATTTTCAAAGCACAACTGCACCAGCTAATTTCTTCTTGTAGTCCAAAATTGATCCGTTCCACTTGGTGGCGGTCTTGTTTTCAATGACAAAGATATCTTTCGCGATCTTATCTAACAATCTAAAATCGTGTGATACGACAACGACACCACCATTGAAAGCATTAATAGCATCTGCCAAGGAGTCAATGGTGGCTAAATCTAAACCGTTTGTAGGCTCATCCAACAATATCAAATTTGGAGCTTCTAAGGCTAACAATGCAAAAACGACACGCGATCTTTGTCCCTCAGATAAGGTAGCCATTTGGGAAGTTTGACCTTCTCCAGTTAATCCATAACGCCCTAACTGCTGTCTCCAATACTGGAAATCCTGAGAGACGTTGGAGAACTTATCACGAACAAACTCTAATGGAGTTTTTGTTAAATCCAACTGATCTGCTGAATGCTGAGAATAGACTCCCAACTTAATGTGAGTGTGTTGAATAACTCTTCCCTTCTGGGGCTGTAACTTTCCTTGGAATAACTTCAATAAAGTTGATTTACCCACACCATTGGGACCCACTAAAGCAACTCTTGAATCCATATCAATACCAATATCCAAGTTTTCATATAGATTATCCTCTGGTTTTTCACTATATGAGAAAGACATGTCGTCAAAGGCTAAAACAGGAGGTGGTAACTTCTCGACATCTGGAAATCTGAAGGAGAATACTTTATCCGGAACAACGGCTTGAATTAACCCATCGGCTTCCATCTTATCCAAAATCTTCTGTCTTGACTTTGCCTGTCTAACTAAGTTAGCATATGTACCAGCAGAAGCAATGAACTTCTTGATATGTGCAATTTCTTCCTGTTGCTTACTGTATTGTTTCATTTGATTGGTCTCCAACTCCGATCTTGTCTTCACATAAGAATCATAATTACCACCATACAATTGCAATTTCTTCAATCTCATATCGATCATATTCGTACAAACTCCATTCAAAAAATCTTGAGAGTGAGAAACCAATATTAACATTCTGTCAAACCTCTTCAAGTATTCCTCCAACCAGACACAGGCAGCTAAATCCAAATGAGCAGTTGGGTCATCGAGTAACAATAAAGTTGGCTTCACAAACAAAGCCTTTGCAAGAGCCACACGCATTCTCCAACCACCAGACATATCTTCAGTCTTCTTTTTGATAGTAACAGAATTGAATCCCAAACCATGTAAAATGACTGCAGCCCTAGCTTCAAATGTAGATGGGTCCATGCCATCAATTTTTTCGTACAAACCTTCAAGGGCTGGAGTCTCGGGACCATCCTTAACTATGATATCTTCGACTAAATCCTCCAACCTTTTCATTTCATGTTCAGCTTCTCTCACAACATACTCCAAAGCAGAGAATTCAGTGGCTTCTGCGGGTTCATTCAACAAGTAAACATCTATATGTTCAGGGATTGGAAATTCCCTTGCAGCAAGTGATTTAAGTAATGTTGATTTACCACATCCATTCTCTCCTAATAAACCATATCGACGACCATAGTTTAGTTCCAAAGTTGAATCTTGAATCAATACTTTACCGTGGAATAATAATGAGACCGAAGATAATTTGATATCTCTTGAAGTTGGCAATGATTCCAAAACACCAGTGGTAACTCTATCAGACAATCCAGATTCATCAGTCTGTGTCTTCAACTTTGCAATTTGTGCTGCTGCATCGTCTACATCTTTGTCTTCAGCGTCTTTAGCAGCTTGCTTCTTCGTTTTCTTAGTAGATTTTCCCTCAGCTGCCTTTTTGGCCTCCCTTTCCATACGCTTTTGCTCTCTCTTAGCCTTAGATGACGAAACTGACATTTTTAAGTTACTTTAACGTTATAAAACTTATATTTTAGATGGAAAGAGGTTTATCGCACCCTATATACTTCTCGAACACTGAGAATTTTTTTTTGATGATATGCTAAGGGCACAAAACCTATATGATATAACTATGAGGGAAAGAGTCGTTTACATGTTTACATTATACAAGACCAATTTACAAAACTGTATCATTCAATTGGGGGAGACATAATACTCCCCTTAAGAACGCATTGAAAAGATACCTATAATTTTAGTTTCAATAACACTTTGTTATGTCTTCGGAAATAGCAACAACTCATCTCGCGCTTGATTCTTGGTAGGTAATTTATTTGGTCACATAAATTAACAGACTTGAAGAACAATCGCACATATGACACCTTGTAGTAATATCCTTCGAAAAATGACTTTGCATTGAAGATCAGCCAAGATGTTTGTGAACTAACAGCGAGAGACTTTTCGATACTAATATTCACATTCCGGGAATTCGCATGAGTTATATACCTATAGAGTCGCTGGCGCCAGGTATTGTTACGGAAACTTTTTCAGATCAATAAGAGACACCATTCTTATGCTCAGGTTTTCCCAGCCTCCTATGGATGCCATTTCATCTTTTTTGAGGTATTTTTCATTTGCCTTCATCTTCATAATGGCGAATTTTTGCATCCAACATATATCACCCGACTTTGTGATACCTCGAAACATTAATGATGGCAATATCTCTTTAGTGGAGTTGGAAGGAAGGCTAGTGCTATTTTAATGATAATTCTAAGGATCTGAAAGTGTACAGGGTTTAATTATGTCAAAGAAAAGATCTGAGCTCTCTCAGTCCAGTGGTAGTCTCAATGCGCCAATCCCAATTAAGAGGTCAGGGGTCTCAATTCCACGAGTGAGGTCGCTGTTACAGCTCGATTACGAATCAAGAAAGCAGCATACCGATGGGATTTACAGGACATTCACACCAATGGGCTACAGGGAGTCTGATACTCAAGATAAGGAATATCTGTACAGCTGTCTTGAGTTTTCCAGACAGGAGGGTTACAACTTAGACTACCCAGAAGGGTGGGATGAAATCGAAAGATGTCAATTGGATCCCAAGTCGAGGTTTTTTGCAAGAGAAAGGCCACGAACCTTGAATCTTCCGGGATTACTTCCCTATGAGATTGAAACTCCAAAGGATCAAGCAAAGTTTTTAAGCCATATTGTGTCTCATCTTTATATAGCCATCAAAACGTTAGATATCCAAGGTTCTTTACCTGTTACAGCGAAAGACTTGGCTGCTCTCAAAGATGGTAATGGGTTTTCAGATATTGATTTAGCATTGGGTACTAATCTATTCGAAATGGCGAGTGAATTTAGTCAAGGAATTTCTCATGAAATAGATGAAGAAAATGACATTTATGACGATATACCCGATCACTACTCTGATGATGATATGGAGTACGATGAAGATGACTCTATGGATGATGATTTTGATGATGATCGTGAAACTGTGAATCAGCATAAAAAATCTCCCAAATCTGCTGCAGTAGTGAGTGTTCGCATTTGGACACACGAGCTCCTAGTGTGGCTTAAGATGAAGTATGAGATGCCTCTTAGCTTGAGGATGGCCCTAGCCAAAGTTTATTATTCTATATGCTTGTCAAGAGGTCAACAGTTGAGTCTTAAAATCTATGTGAAGACTTTCGAAATCTTGACAAAAGACATCGTTTTATTAAAGAGACATAGGTTCAAATTACCTTGGGAAGGTTTATATAATGAACTTGAAAACCTGTTTCCTCCAGTTTATTCATCCCATGAGCAATTTGAAAAAAAAGACCACAAGCTATTACATAGACTAGCAGAGCGAGCTTCGAACTTCTTTGATGACGATTCTTTACCAACCATATACTCTAAGCTTGGAAGCAATTTTTCGATACCGAATGCTTCCATAGTATTATCATCGATGGCAATTTTGCCTCACAGATTTAACAAAGGAGGAAGAGACAGTCCTACTGATATCCGTCATTATATTTCCTCGTTGTTTCATCTTTGGTTGAAGTTAAATAGGATTTCAGGAATTGAAACACATTTAACCTCCAGATTAGGCACAATTGCAATGGACACCTTACTTGAATTACATCGTACTTCTGATTCTCATAAATATTTGATTCTTGACGATTTTGGTGTTTTTTCGGCTGAACAAATGGATTTTCTTTTCAATACATTGATCAATAGTTTGAGTATTATGAATGATAAGTATTCTTCCATGAAATCGAAATTTTTTCATGGATTTTCTTCTACGATAGTTTTTTCAATGGTTGGAGAAAAGTGCTTAGGTCCAGATGGAATTTTGGAAAAATTTGAATCATTAATGAAAGATTTAGAAAGCTATATTCATCCATCTAATAGCGGTGATTGGTCTCGTCCTATTTCAAAATTAATATCTAGTTTGATCTACCAATTTCATAAGAGATATAATATGGAACGACTGGACACCTTGTGTAACTTACCTAATTTATACAAATTAAATGATGAAACTACGTATAACTTTGTCAAGATTTTTCTACCGGCTGTGAAAACAGGACTTCAGTCGAAAAAGAGCAATTGTGTCGATGATTATTTGACTTGCTTGCATATGTTGGCTCATTTGAACCCACCTTTGGTCCTAGAAAATGTTTTATCCGATATATATGAATCCCTCGAGGGCGTTATTTCGACCCATAGAGTTTCCATTGCTATTCGGTCCATGGAAACTTTGGCAAGGTATTTTGCTTCAACCCCTGTTTTTAGAGTTCACATCACTAGAATTATTCTGCTGGCTATTTTGGGAATTGACTCTAATGATTTAGGAAAGACCATTCATACGTTGGATATGCTTGCTACGATTGCCAATTTTGTTCCGTTTTATGATCTAACTGATGGTAACTCTGACCCATTATTAGCATACCAAATCACCCAGGAACATATAGCATTTCTTCAGAGTAAAATATATTCGGACAATGATTCCAATACATTCCAAATTGACAATACAATAGAAATTGATGCACTTAAGTCGTCAACTAGCTCTTTCAAGGATATAATAAAGAGTTTATGTGATAGAATATGCATAATATTGGAGAACTTGCCAGATCCTTCTAAGAGTGTTGGTATTGAAAAAGATTTGGCTGAATCTTTGCCAAGGTTCTTGTTTGTTATTTTTGAATCCATGTCAGACGAATTGTTAAAGCTTTTTAGAGAATCGTTCTTTGAATTTGTTTTTGATAAAACAATACTAGCAACGGCTGAAATTGCAGCTGAAATCTGCGGTGGTATCATAAAGGCAGATCCCAAATCTTTCAAAGGTATCTGTTTCGCATTGATCGATAGGATCAAAGAAAACATCTATAAACATGAAGCAGGCTCTTCTAGGACGGGCGTCGATATACTTCCCCGTGATCAACCTTTATTCTGGAATCTACTCATTTTAAATGAGTGTGTCGGAAATGCAGGTGGTTATGTCAAAGAATGCGCCAAGGAACTTAAAGACTTATCGTTTTCTTTGATGGAAGTCAAGGGTCCTACAATATTTGCCAGCTCTTACTTGTTGAACCAAATTTTACAATCTTTGACCAAGATTAAGCTAGCAGAAGCAAAACTAATTTCTCCTTTATACATAAAGACAGTTGGAATAAATGAAAAATGCTGGGGTGGGTTTCAGTTTGATGAATTGAGATTCAGTAAAGAGAACATGACCTTTGAATGGTTCATTCCTGATGAAACCGACATCGACATTGCTATATCTTGCTTTAATGATCATGTTCATAAAACTTTGAGCAATATTCTGCTTTTAATGAAGAGACATTCAGTCGAAAATCGAAAAGACCCAAATATTATTCTTCAGCTTTCAGACGAGCTTCGGGTAAATTTATTGTACTTGGGATACTCACTTAGCGGAATATCATATTTGATTGATCCTTCTTTCAATGACGACATCCCGAAGCTAAGTCTGGACAATGTCGGGTCAATTAAGCAGCGCCTACTACTTTTAAAAACATTGAGGGATATGGATTATACTTCCTTTGCTGATAATGATGAACTGCGGATTGAAACTTTCCATGAAAACTTAGACAACATTGTACGAAATATGAATACTGAGGAGGGTGATGATGAATCTTCTATAGAAAATTTGGAAAGATTGTATGCATTGGATAATTCAGAGCCAAAGAAGAGAGAAGAGATCTACGACTCTGTGTCTTCTGAGGCTGATGTGATGTCTGCTGAGATCCCTCAAACAGAGTCAGCTCTGCCTTCGGTTGAGCCTTCATCAAGAGCAACACCACGTATCGAAGATTTTGACATGTCAGCTATGGATCCAGCTATCACATTCAGAGAAAGAAAGCTTTACACCTCTCATTATGTCTTTGGAGATGATATAGAAACTCGAAGATCCAATCCCAGTTACATAAGATTGCATAGTATAAGAGAATTGGTAGGTAAGAGCTTGCACGTTATTTGCAAATTCCTTATAACTCACTTTCATGATAATGTGAAACTCATGAAGCACTACCTTTATACTCTCAATATCTGGTTCGCTGACGTGGGTCGTGAAAGGCTCCTAGATTCTAACCATTCCAGTATTAATTACGGCTATATCAGTAGCATTCAGAGAATTAATCGTGTACGTAAACCATTCACAAGAATGGCGCTTGGGGCCAGAATTGATGCTTATCACCAGCTAAGAGTTTCATTGCATGCTACTGCTCGGACTCAGACATATCTTGACAAACTCCTCTTGGATGATATCGTTAAATTATCCTCCTCTAATTACCTTGCAATTTCAAGACCTGCTCAATCGACATTGCTGGATGCTATGAAAAGGCTCAATGGTTCTTACAATGTCATAATAAAATCTTCATTGCAGCAATTGCAGAAATCTTTCAAAACTACAAATTATAAAATGATGGAGAGTGTCTTGCACATTTTTGAGTTGAAGAGACTTAGAAACAAACTTCAGAGCGACTATTTCAATGTTCTGAACTTTGTTGATTTATTATGTAAGTGCCTTCATGTTGACAACATCGAAGTGAATGAATTAGCCGGAAGTCTACTCAAGTCTGTTGATAATGGATTGACTCTTCCAAGTAGTGTTTGCTTGATTGATAATAACGAAATCGACAGCATACGTCCATCTGATAAGTATATTGATCTTGAAATTTCTGTTGTGAAGCTAGCCAAGGAACGCAAAAGAAAAACCTATCTTGATCATTTGGCAAAGTTTCAAAATCATCTCATTTTCATTGAGCATTCGAATAACTATTGGAAAGCTACCACCCTTCTCCTTCCTATATTGATCGATTTGCTGGCTGATTTTGAGATGCCTTCGAGTGTTGAGGTCTTGAAGCTTGTTGCCAAAAAGTGCTCGACCGATCACCCCGTCCTAGCACGTTTGGCATTGAAAGGCCTCACCAGATTAATCAACAAGGTTTACTTACTACTGATTTTTGAGCATGACGTTCAGAACCTTTACGATCTTGAGTATTTGCCTAAAGATGTTTCAATTGTAAAGACCTCCCATGTGGACGGTAAGTCATATCTTGATAAGTGGGAAAGTGAAATAAAAAATAAAGAAGCTCCAAAATACTTTATTGATCATCGTGCAAATACAGGGTGGCTTTTTTGGGGTGACGAGATGAAGGTTGTCCTGAACCAGTCTTCTTTTAAATTGGACTTGAATGAGGATGATAAGGCTTCTCTAAGTGCTCTAGGTGAATGTATTTCTGTCGAGTGGTTTAGGGATATTGTGCGCCTTTGGGTCACAGATAACGAAGTCAACACGGCATTTCAGGGCACGGACGTCTACGCTACTGCAAGTATTGTACTTTTAATTTCAAATGGCTTTGTCTCAGATTTGACATTCGATAAATTTTTGCAGACGATAAAGGAAATTTATGTGGGAGACGACAAAAGCACTCACATCGTATCTTGTGAATTGATTGGAGGCATTTTGATCGGTTCGAAGTATATCGACCCAAAATTGGAAAATGAGAGAGATAATTTCATAGTACCATTTTTAAAGGATTTATTTGAAAAGGATTTATCCCCAGATAACAGAGGAATTTGGAATATATTTTCATGGTGGGTTCCTGCTCATATAGATTGCCGGAGGTTTTCTCGGATTACGGATTTATTTCTTGATTTTAGTATTGGTGATTCTGATTCTCCTATAAGAGACTCTACTCGTTTGAGCTACATAAGATCATTTGTAGCTTCTTTAACTTGGAGTTTTTCGCGACCGGATGAAATAACTGACTTATGTATAAATAATATTAGCAATCCCTATCAAACGATAAGAGATCAGATTGGGTCGTTACTTGCTATGTTAACATTCACCTTTTACAATGAATCTATAAGTGATAGTGAGACCTTTTTACTGGAGTGCAATTGTGATACTAGTTTATCTTTGCATGAGAAGAGTTCCAACAAGTTGTTGAGATGCATCCCAGAAATATTTGAAAGTATTGAGAAATGTAGGAGAGAGGTAGAGCTTCAATCTCCTCAAGAGATTTTGAAATCAAGTTATGTGTTCCAAACTACGGCAGTTCTTACTTGGCTAAAGCAAATTTTAAGTACAAGTGCTGCTATTGTCTATCAAAGGTTCACATATAGCTATATTGTACCTTTTTTACTCAAATTGATAAACATGAAAGATGTGTGTCTATTAGGAAACATTGAGCCTATCAGTGTATTCAAGAAAGTTTCACAAATTCCATTCAGCTTGGTGACTTTGGAACAAATCGTAGTTATGCTTGAGAAGTATTCTTCAGGAACTCTAAGTCTGATTCAATTATTTATAATGGGAGAGTTCACTGAAACTCTTTATTTCAAAAACATCTTTAAGTTTACAAAAACTCAAAGGCATCGCATTATAAATTTAACAAATAAGTTAGTTTACCACAAGAATGCTGAAGTAAGAGACTCTGCTGCCTCGACTTTATCTGGTCTCATGCACTTATCGCCACCTAGAGACATTGAGGAACTAGTTCCAAAATTCTCAGATTATTATACAAGAGATCTAAAACGTCTAAGGAAAAAATACAAGAAAACGGGTTACAAAAAAATTTCGGCGGATGATACTGTCACGCTTCATGGGGCAACCTTGGGCTTGGGTGCTTTGGTGAATGCATTTCCATTTGCATCCCCACCTCCAAAATGGGTGCCAGAGATATTAACAACCTTAGCGAATAAATCTTCTGGCATAAATGGTTTGGTTGGTAAAACGGCGAAAGAGATATTAGGTAAGTTCCGTAAAAGCAGACAAGACACCTGGCACGTCGATAGCCAACTATTTAACGAGGAACAAATGGAAGACCTTGAAGGAGTTCTCTGGAAGAGTTATTTTATTTAGAAATAATGTCTATAAAGTCTGTGGCGCTGTTCCTATTCTTGACACGTTTTTTAGAATAATGAGGAGTAGCCTATCACTAAACTATGTTACAAATTGAAAGATATAGCTCTCAAGCTATGATAAATTACTCACCTCGAAAAGAAAATCCAGAAAGTTGATTGTTGCAACTCCTGACAAATCCTTATCATACTTTTTAAACACATCAGTTAATTTTCTCAAATATACCAACAACTCAATAAAAGCATCGAATTTCAACTTTCCGACATTTATTCCATTATCAAAACCAGAGTCTGCATCCTTGTACGAAAAACGCAGGAATAAATGTAAAACTAAATCAACATTTAATTTATAACCAATCTGTTCCAAAATCTTTTGAAATTCGCCAAATGAGATATCTCCAGATTTGTTCGTGTCAGCTTGTATAAAAAGTTTTTTGTAGGCGGAGAGGTATTTCCAAAGAGAAACAAATTGGTCAAAATTGATGTATTTCAGATTTTGAGGTGACCCATTTGAGCTACTAAAAAGCTTGATCATTAGTATTACTGTAGAATCTTGGAATCTGCTATGATCAAAATTCAATAATGCCAAAGATAATTCTTTTGCAGATATTTTACCATTTCTGGAAGTATCAACTTTCTCAAATACAGATCTCAATTCGTTCTCTAATTTCTGCTTTGAATTAACTTTTTCCGGAAGCGAGTCCTTCGATTTATTATTTGAGTTATATTGGCCATTCATAGGCGGCGGCTTTTTATGATGGCTGGGTTGAGTGGCCTGTGGAGAATTGTAACTTTGTCCGCTAGGAGCCCTCTGAGACAGTGGTGATTCTTGCAGTGGATACCTGGCTTGAGGAACTTGTGGCTGAGGCGGTACAGGTGGGCGATGCTGAGATGACAGATTATGGTTCAGTTGTTGCTGATGTTGATGTACCTGTTGAGGAGGATTCTGGTACAGCAGGTAATATTGTTGACTGGGATGCAGTGGGGGTGCTGGTAGTGCTGTTGGGGCCGGTGCTGGTGCAACTGCAACTGGCTGCTGCGGATAGTATTGTTGCTGTGTTGGAGGATAGTATTGTTGTGTATGTGCTTGGACTTGTGGTGGAGGAGGAGCTTGATAATGTTGTTGATGACTTTGAGATGTGTAATTGCCTTGCACAACAGGCATCAGAGGCTGACCATACTGTGGATTTGAGTACTTAGCATTATTCAGTGGACGGTACAGCATATTTTGACCACCCGTTGGATTCGAATTGTAACTTCTGCTTGATTGAGGAGTATTTCCAACAACATAGGCCGCCTGCTGAGGCGTAGGATACATGGGTAATTCGTCCCCAGGCATTACTGAAGCACTTATTTATTGTAAGTAACTTAACTAAATTGACTGATTCCTTTAAAAGTACCAAATTAGAGCGTCGTATTGTATCTTTGTAGTTGACGTCAAAAACGCCAATATCTAAATTTAAATGTCTAGTTTTAAAAGTCTCACGTGATAATAGATTTTTATATACTAAGAAGCACTCTGGTACAAAGTATGATATGTTTATTAATATAGATATAAAAGTTTACCTTTACAAATCAATATCTAAAGAGCATAGAAACGTTCCGTGCACTAGTCGAAATTCAAAAAGTGTTTAATCACGGGCTCTTCTTCTGTAATTATCGAAGTTTCTTCTTGGTCCCCTCGAGACTCTTTGCTGCCTTTCAGCTGGAGCTCCCTTCAATCTGGTCAAAGGTAAAATTCCCTCTGGAATGTTTAATTCTTGTCTCAAGAATTCAACACCTTCATCAGTCAAGGTGTAATAGTAGTATTGCCACGAAAACTGGGTCTTAACCAAACCCTTCGATGTCAATGATTGCAAAGCCTTAATGACGTATAAGTTCTTGGTGTCAATTTCTTCGTGCTTTGGCAAGTTGAAGTCCTTTTTGGCAACAACAACACCCTCTAAAAAAAGTTAGTAACTTGTATAGTAAAATTTTCCGCATGATAAAGAAGTTGCTGGGAGACCAGCCTAAATAATCGCCTATCACAACATATAATTCTTATAAATATTTAGGTATGCCTGTCAGATGGAACTTCTAGTCCAGATATACAGCCATTAAAGGTATCTGAGCTAAATATTGTTCCCTTTAGCCTTTTTCCATTGAGTTATTGTCACTCCTCTCAAATAACAACTTAGTCTTTTATCGTCTCGCTCTGATATAATCTCTCTCCCAATATTAAAACTTTCTTCGCTTCGCCAAATATGAATTTCCTAAACTTCTCATACACGGAATCAACTTTCTCCTTTAAACGTTACATACCTTGAAAGAGGTATTGGTGGATCTTCTTTCTATCTTCCTTTGGAATAAGCATAATGATACTATCTTATGAAATCAGCAAATAATTGAACTATTCCCTTGGTTTATTCAACACTCGACCAAAAAGAGAATCTGAGTGAAAATTCTGACTATAGTGTACGCAGTATCGATTCAGTGACAGGGTAACGTTATGAGTTGAGTAAGGCAAGAGGTTGTGTATAGGAAAAATGAAAAAGATTCGTTAACAAAGGTCGTGGATATGTTAGCAATTACACAAAACAAGAAAGTGTGACCATATGTTATCTAGGGGTGTAGCCCTGTTTGATTGATCGCTAGAATGTCGCAAATTAGCTTAGGCCTATATGCGTTAAATATGATGCTACCTTATGAAAGCACCACTTTCCAGCTGCATATTATTACTTAGCCATTTCATAATCGTCACATAGTCTAATTGTTACTTAATTTGTTCAAATTGCAATTTTTCTTTTAAATTACTAAATATATTGAATATAATATTTGGTGTATCGATACCTACGCAAGCACTAATATCTAACTTGCTACTATGTGTCTACAGGCATTACTCATGTTAATCATGAAATATTAAACTATAGAATATTCCTAATTTTGGGCCCAATAAAAAAATATTTTGCAATAATTCCCAAAAAAACGTAAATAGTTTCGATTGACTTGAAATCTTCTTTCGCTCAATGTAAGGCAAAAGTTGAACATAGTTCTTATTTTACATAATCTCCTATGTAAATTTAGACTGCTTGTATTCTATTTTATGACGCGATCTGTGTTGCCTAGCCTTTTTCTATTTTTGCGGCTGCTTATTTTGACTACTGATACCAAATAATCGCGACTCAAAGCCATGTTAGATACGAAACATTAAGATAGACAATAAAATAAAAAGTATTCGAGACCACTACAGAGGGACTTTATCGATGCAATGCGATCATTCATTAAGTCTCATAGGAAGAATGAGTCCACAGGATCTGAATCTCAAATTTGGGAACTTGACAGACCACCTGTGCTTGACCATTCCCAAAGTACCCCAGTTTCATCGCCAAATGTTAGACAAAGTAATCAATTCACTCCTCCAGCCATACTGAACGGCAACAGCACAAGCTTGAGCTCACCCAAGAAACTACTAACGCCCATACGGAATCTATTTTCTGCGTCCAACAATCGTTTGAAGCTGTCTAAAAATATATCGAACACAAATGAAGCATTTAATATAGGAATAACAAGAGATATTCCAACAACTCAGGGGATTTATGAAAATGGCTCTCCCAGAAGATTTAATGGAAGAGATCATATAAGAGGCGATATGCCTTTATCAGAAAGCCATGATGATACACCAGTTCTGCGTTTGCATAGATCTACAGGAATGATTTCGATGTCAAGTTCCAGTGCAGTAAATGATAATTCCGAGCCAAAGGGGCTAAAGAGCTCTCCGTTCATCAAGAATTCCTCAAAGAAGCTATTAGGATCAAGTTTTAATGGCATTTCAGCAGAATTAGAACCGTCAAGCAGCTCTCTCAGGAAGACTACAAACAGACAGGTTTCTTTCTCTCAAGAATCACCTCGAGCGTTGAATGATACAAAGCATCGCGACGACTTTGATCAATGGGATGATATTACGAGTGACTCTTCTTCTCAATTTTCGTTCGTTGAGGATAGAAAAGGAGGAAGAAACACTTCAGTCAAGTATTATAAAACAATAAGTCAAAACAAAAGACGTCTCGAAGACGGAGTGTCTAAGCTGAACTTATTTAATGAGCAAGATTTAGGCTATGAAATTGATGAGTTCTCAGATTATGATTATGAAAACAACGGCATAGGCGATGATATAACTGATGGGGAAGAGGAAGTTGATGAAGAAATCCAATATAATATTATATTTGGAAATGAAGAACTAGAAAGAAATAATGACTCTCAGATGGACTCCGAGATGTTGGGTGTGCTGCTAGATATTTCTTCATCAGGGTCTTCTAGTGTGAAACCTCGACGGGAATGTAATAGGGCAAGAAAAAGCCACGACATAAAAGTATTCAATAATTCTTTTCACTTGTCAATGGAGAACTTTAACTTTAAAGGAACTAGTGCACAGAATGAGATCAAAGAAGAATCAAAATCTGATGATGCTTTGGAAAATTATTTTGTCAGCAGTGACCTGTCATCTTTTATTTCTGTTAATAGTACTCAGACAGAACCCAAAGATTTCAAGTCGCCCGGGGCCAATTCCGAATGCTTGAATCTTTATGATATTAGTTCACCGATTATAAATGGGCTAACATTTGGATCCAATTTGAGACATAGATTAGGACACGTTCAAAGTGATGCAAAGAACTCTCATTTATTCATACATCGTCCTAACTCTTCGATTCAAGACTTCAAGGCTACTTCTTGTGAAAATAATAGTTTTAAACATAATGAAAGGAATATTTCTAAACTAAGATGTTTAAAGAGCTTTCATAGTTCTATAAGTGATGAGTTTGACTCCAAAATTTCTGACAAAGTTTTAGAATTTCAAAATTTCAATGATAAATATAATGAAGATGTAAATGAATGGAAATTAGGATTAGGAATAGATATGAATAAAGACACATATGGGGTCTCTGAGAGACCGTTGCCTCTTTCACCAATGGCCACGGGACAAGATGCTTCAATCGAATCCACTTTCCAGAATACAGACGAATCGGAATCAAATGCTACGAGGAAATCTAAGATCGAACAGCAAGCCAAAAATACAGACAAAAGTCATAGGCTTTCAGTCCTAGAGATGATGAACACTTTGAGCGCTCTAGAGAAAGAAGACTCATTTCTGGAAGCTAAATCATCGTCTGGTCAAAGCAAAGAGAATAGAAAATCAATAATTGATATGATGGCTACTCTTCAGACCTTGGAGTCTGGAAGTAATTCAGTAATAACTCAGAAGCATTGTGCGAAAGACAGTAATGAAAACAACTCGTCGGCTTACGGGGTAACACCCAACGTTGGTGGTCAAAGGGTTTCATCGAAGCAGCGATCGAAAGATCCTCGTCAAAGACTCATAAATGATGAACGTAAAAGGTATTCTTGGTTCAGTAATGATGAAGCCGACAATTTTAAAGTCGGCGCCAATACGTCGAATGATTATCTCGGGCTTATTGAAGATTCAGCCACAAGTGATATCGGCGCTAATATGAAATCATCTCTTGAGGTCAGTACTCTGGGTAATGCCATTAGTAATTCTACGATTGAAGATGATTTAATCGATGAAATTAACCAATTACCTGAAGATTTTAATTTTGAAGAGCATGAATATGAAAACCGATTTTTGAAGTCTAATAATGTCAATGGATTTATGAGGTCAAATTCATATAATAAAAAGCCAGCAAAGACTATAGTTGATAATACAGCTTATCAGACCAACAAGATCGAGATCTCAAACAAGACCGTTACATTTTATCGGACAAATAGTTCAGGCAAGTCATCAGATACTAGCAGAAGTCGCAGTTTAAGCAGAGGACCTTCAAATCGTTCTATTAATTCATTTACATCGGTCAATGAAGAAGAGCAGGAGACTGATACTTTGGAGCTTGATACAAATACCACATTATCTCCAAAGCTCATAAATATGTACGACAGAACTGGAGATCCATTTTTTAAAAGCTCCTACAATCTAACTACAATTTCAGAATCTGATAGTCCTGGATTTAAATAGTATATAAGAACTTCTAAATGCCATATTTGTGGTATTGATCAAAGTAAAAATATCGCACTGAAAGAATAATTATCAATCATTTTGTCTTTGCTCCATAAAAGAACTAAAGTCATAGTTAGATTTTGAAAAATCAAAATATTTTGTCTCTTCGGCAACCAAATTCAGCTCTTTTCTTTCATGCTTCATAATCTCCAGTGAGACCTTTCTGCCATTAGGAGTATGCGCCAATTTTTTAGCTGCCGAGCTAACTAGGGAACTGCTCGTGACATTTGAAGTTCTATTTGAATTATTTTTTTTCAAACTCGATGCACCATAATTTGCTCGGAGATCTTGAAGACTCTTTTTATATTTTGCAACCAATTCATCTCTGTCTTTTAATTTTAGTTGCGAAGTTGAGTCAGCTTTGCTTTCAAAAGAAACAGAACTAGCTACTGAGGATTGAGATACCATAGATTCTGCTCTTTTTAACCACGAACTTTTGAGGTATTTAGAATAAATGCTTTCCAATTCATCTCTATCCTCCTCATCTACTAGAACAACTTCAATATGTTTTCCATCCTTCGTTTTTTCAGTAACAGATTTGTAAGATTGAGTAGAATTATTCCTTTGGATTGTACATATGTCATATTTCTCTTTAGTTAAATCAATAACGACGCTATTATTATCGGAGAGAGAAGTTAAAGAACTTGCCATAAGACTTCTACTTGACTGGTAGCTGGAATATGACGTTGAAGATTGATTTCCTCCTGAGGATTTTCTTTTGGCTTTATTCAAGTCTTTTCTAAAGTGATCAAATTTCCCAAAACTACTAGGATTATGTGATTTGGTCTTTGTACGTAATTTGATATCATTAGATCTTTCACTCATATTATCGGCCGATCTTTGTGTGAGATCTTCCGCTTCATTAAAATCAATTGCATAATCAACCTTAGATGGGGGCTCTGCAATATTAATTTTTAAGGGATATATCTCATTATCAACTGGCTTCTGATCATTAGACATGCTCCTACTAGGTTTTGAATCACATTTGAGCAGACTTAACTCTTCATTCAACAAAGCGAAGTCGACAGATTTTGATTTCACATGAGCACTTGTCGCCGATGCTGTTAAATCATCGTTTCTGTTGTCGTTTTCCGGAAAAAAGTCAATACTATACATCGATTTGCGTCGTCTGTGTTTTGAGCAAGCTGGTGAATAATTTTTATCTCTAGCAACTGAATTTTCAAATGATTTGGCGGCAGGCTTGTGCTTATTATCGTCTAGTAGCAAATTTGGAGTTGATCTCGAAATTAACACATCGGAATACAATGATACCTTTGCCGGCTCTGAGTCAGTGTCAGACTCCGCATTTGTAACCAACTTAAATTGGTCTTGTATAACGCTTTTTGCGGCACTAGTAGGTACTCCAATAGGCTCCAATTCGCTTTCACAATCTGAAGAGCCACTACTCTCTTCTGTTTTTGAGGATTCTGAAGGTATATCATCGAATGCAATCCCATTATGCGAACAGCTAGGACCTAAGCTTTTATGAGATGATAACCTTATCTCTTCCAAATCAGGTATCACTATTACACCTCCGGGTTTGAAACAGCGAGGAGCCTTCCCCGATGACGTTGAATCCTTTGTAAGCAGTTTCCTTGCCTCGTCGCTATTCGTGGCATTTGAGCTATTATTGGGAAAGGAAAACATTTTTCCGGCTCCGTTGTTTAAACTGTCATCACAGATATTAGATTCTATTAAAGGCTCTCCAGAAGATTGGTAGAGCTTGGAAACCGTTCTTGTTATGCATTCATTTTCTGAATCCGAATCTGAAGCTGAATTTGAGTTTGAATATGAATTCGATGCCTTTATGGGCGAAGATTCACACGTATCAGAACCAGTTCGTTCAATGGAAAAGAGATTCGTAATATTTTTTATGGAATTTGGAGAATGTAACAGCTGAGGACGAGGAGGCAATTCTTTTTGCGCAGGATCAAAATGAGCTGATTCATCATGTGTAGAATCCAATTCCGAATTTCGATTGTCAAGATTAATTGATTTTTTAGTAGAGTCCCATGACTTTTCAGTACATTCACTATCATCAGTTGTGAAGGATGTTTCAGATTCATCACAACTAGGGATGGAGGACTGTATTCTGTTTGAAGGATAGGATGAGGCAAAAATCTTAGGATTTCTTGAGATATAATCGCTTTGCGCATCTATGTTACCATAAGACTGATTAGATAAGTTGTAGCTCATTGATTCGCATCCTGAGGTGAAAGACACTGCAGAGGATACGTAAGACTCATCGCTGAAGCTTCTTTTGTGAATTTTTAAGTAATGGTCTCGGTTCTCAACAGGTACATTATCAGAGAGAAAAAAACTCAAGTTATCTTGTGTTCTCGACCTCGGGAGCAAGCTAGTAACTAGATTTGAGATCGGCCGGAGGGGTTTCTCTTCTTCCAAATTAGGGTCAGTTATCAAACGACTGCTTGTGTTTTCGTTCTGCTCTACCGTTGGTGTATGCGCAAAAACTATCCTCCCAGATGGTCTCCTGTTAAGCAGCAAACTAGGCAACGTATAATTAGTAGGAATTTTAGTTGATTTGATCGCATCACCCAATCCAGCTATCGATGGGAGTTGTTTATTTTCCAGCGGCCTTGCTGGCAATGCAGGTAACAGCTTGCTCTTTATTGACTTTACGCTCGACCTTCGTGAGCTCTTTTCATTCAAGGAAGCCTCTTCAATGACACTCAAGACATCCAGAGAAGACAAGCAGCTCTTATGTATATATTTCAGAGCTTTAGACTTGTTCTGCGAGACTGGAGGTGGTCGGCGACTAATTTCATTTAGTTTAATATTGATTTCTTCTTCCTCTAGCTCACTTTCAGACAGTGAACCTATCTTCTCATATTTTAGACCCGTATATATTAGTTTTGTTTGCTTCATGCGACTTGTGCCTCCACGTCTTGGAGGCAGTCTCAGCGGAGAAGGAGACCTTGAACGCTCTTTCTCGATGTTTTTTTGACTCAACTTGGGAGGTAATTGCAAAGTGAAGGGAATCGGAATTACATACTTGCTTGAGTCTGAATTAATGTGTAATCTTCGAGAAATTGGTGAATTTGAAAGCAGCTTTAGTTGCTCATACGATAGGTTAGAACCACCCGAGCACACAGACCGAAGGTCCTCTAAGCTTCGTGAAAATTCACCCTGTGAATTGCTGGGAAGAAAGCGACGGTTTTTGACTGGAGATGACGATCTTGCTCTTCTTCGATCTATGTTCCTTCGCTGACCCAACCCGTGAAGGTCTTCTGTTGATCGATTTACCTTAAACATCTAGTGATCCTAAGCTAGCTAGCCCTCGATAAGAAGTTTTGAACGGATCAAAAAACACACAGTCCCTTTAATTTGAAGTAACTTTTGGTTCTATTCTTCATATTATTTCTATGCTCAGACCGAAGGCAGTCGTATCTATTGATTTCGTTCAAAAAAGGCTATTTTGAGGGCCCATGTTTATACATCGACCCGATTAGGAAATGTAATAGTTCAGCTGGGGACATCGTGTAACGATATGAATAGACTTACGACGCAAAGTTGCTCGGTTCATCCCGTACTTTGTATTACTGAAACAAAGAGCACTCTCTTGGTCTGCATCAAGAAACTCTTCAAGTGCCACCCTTTCGCAAACAAGAAAGCACTTCAGAAATTAGAGGCAACAAAAATAAGCAATGTTTATGCAGGAAAACTTGCAACAATTACAAATGATTTTGCAACTCTGTGTTTGTGGCTAGTTGGTCAATTACATTATGAAGATGAAAACAGTTACAAGAATATTCAGTAGTCAAACTGAAAAGTGATAAAATGTATCCACAACACACAAGCTGCGAAATTGAAAGACCAAATCTTCTTTCTAGTGCGGAGTCTGTTTTCAATGTTTTCCCTCGATCATCTGTCCTCTCTGATGCCGGTAATGTTCAAAATAGACTGGATCTCAGAAAAGGCAGTGCAGGAACGTTTGTGGAAAAGGATCCGGGTATTCAACAGCTGTCTAAATGGTTAGGGAAGTCGCCAATATTAGATGGGATGGGGCTCGAGGTTGCTTCTCTTAATTCGACGCCTTCTGTTAACGCCATACCCTATCATAAAGAACGATTGGCGGGATTAAGTTACCTTCCAGAGCAGTATACTCTTATGTCTTATAAGAAAGGCAGCAATTTTACTTTAATGGTTGCAGGGATGGTTGGTACAGGTAAAACAACTTTTATCAATACCTTGTTTCGTTCAAACTTGATAAATACTTCGACAGAAATTCCGAAAGCAACCAGTAATATCACTTTGCACAAATATGAATTGGTAGAAGAAGGTTTCAAGCTTCGATTAACTCTAGTTGATACACCTGGTATTGGAAATCTAATCGATAATAACTTTGCCTGGTATCCTGCCACTAAATTTATCGATGATCAGTTTACAAGTTACATGTTTCAGTCGAAAGAGCCCGATAGAAGCAAAATTAAGGACAACAGGGTGCATTGTTGTCTCTATTTTCTCAACCCCAGTGGAAGTAAATTGAAGCCTTTAGATATTGATACAATGAGGGCCTTATCTAAAAGGGTAAATTTAATACCTGTCATTGGCAAAAGTGATACGTTTTCATCAGAAGAATTGATCAAATTTAAAAATGAAGTCAGAAGAACAATGAAATTCAATTCGATTCCGATTTGCGATTTTCTTTTAGATGAAGGCTTGTCTGATAGAATTGAATCCGTAGCGCCTTTCGCAGTTGTAGGCTCAAACACATACTACAGAAATGGAAACAATAAGTACGTTAGAGGTAGAAAGTATAAATGGGGGCTTGTGGAGGTAGATAATAGGAGCCATTGCGACTTCGCTGATCTCAGAAATGTCTTAATGGGAGAGAACTTATTAGATTTGATTTTCTCTACGGAAACACATTACGAAAATTATCGTGAACATCTTTTAGCTCATCGCTTGAAATTAACATATGAATATGAACGGAGATGCTTGGAAAAATTACCCAATGATGGTATTGATCAATATTTCGCTTATCACAAAATAGGATTCAAAGAAATAATGGATTCTCTGGAGTGCTATGACCCCGAAGTAAAACGAAGTGAGCTTCGTTCTAAAGAAGCTTTTAACCAAGTCATAGCTCTCCAAGAAAGAAGGTTCAAAGAATGGAAAATGGCCTTAGTTGATAAACAGAACTTTTTTAACGATGATATTGAGAAATATCACAAAAAGGTGCTTGAGCTTCAAAAAGCTGTCAATACCTTAGAAAAAGATAAGATCACAAATGAATCTGAATCCCCAAGCAGCATAGAAAAAGATCTTACAATCTTTACTCCAATTGAGCCCCAAAGCTCGCAAAACTCGGTGCTTGAATTCAATTAGTATGTTTTTGTGAATCTTAGATAAAGAATGGGATACATGTAACTACGATTAAGTCGACTTTGTTGATTACGGGTTCCTTGATTTAGTAGTCTCTCGGTAATTGCAATTTTTAGATTTGTGACACCAATTTTTTCTTTTTTTTTTTCATTTTTATGCTCTTTTTTTTTTTCATTTACTTTCGCTCATAGTTCTTTAATTTTTGTTAAAAAAAATATCTGTTCTAAAACTATTGGTGTTTGAAGTAAGTTTTTCATTTATTATGTAAGTGGCACAGCAGAGCTCATTTGAAATGAAATTTGAAGGATGAACCTTTTTCGTTATATGTTTTTTCTGGCATCTCTAATGTTAGAGCTTTAGCTCGATGAATACAACCATTGACTATTATCTGATCGACTTGTCTTTCAAAGACAAGATTTGTTTCAATCTCATGAGCTTGCTGCTACTGATTAATTCACAGGATATATCTAACAAAGTTAAAAAGTAGGAATAATGTGTGTATAACTCCTAAAAAATATATATTCGCCGTTCTACCAAGATGATTTCAATTGTAGTTGTTTCTCATTCATAATCAGCTATGGTTCTATACCACGACTGATCAACTAATATTTCCTCTTTCTGTTCTTTCTTTTTCGTAACCAATAAGTAACATGTAGTGTCAACCTTCATATTGCTCTGAAAAAAATAAAAATCTGTACGAACAAACCTAACGAAGTAATATAGAGTGTTTGGCATGAAACCAACAATGGGGGAAGAGGATGACTCAATAGGTCCTGATAATGATGAGCTAGTTTTCTTCGAGAGAGCTAGAACACGGGCGGCTGAAAAGTCTGAGAAGGCTATTAGAAGGGAAATAAATTTAATTCTTGATCATACAGCTTTTGTTCGAGGAATTGGAAACATCAAACGCTGGTTCAGTAAAGAATATTTAGCCCATAACGTCGATTTTCAGGAAAATGAATTAGTACACTTGAACTTATATGTTCCAACCTATACATTGCACGAGTTTGAACACGTCAAGAAAGGATTCTTGATGTCTGCAGTAAATGCAAGAGAGTCGATAAGATTTATCAACAAATTCCTTGAGGAGAAGGACACTTATTCAAATGATGCTGACGAAAAGGGGCCAATAGTTACTGAAATCCAACTCGAATCTCCCAACCAAAGGATACCAAGCTGGAATGAATGTTTGAGCTACCAAATCCATTCTCCAAAGGTCACAGAATTTCCTCACAACAAAACTAATTTCGAACTTCCCTTCTCATCTGCTAGACCTAGAGAGTGTGACGACAAAACTGACTCATTAGAGCATCTAAATGTTAAGAATTCATTTAATACCGATGTGACTAACGCTGCACTCAAAAGTGATGTTTCCATCGAGGGAAGCAATGCTGATGCTGAGATACCCAGACGGTTAAAGTATTTGGTAAGATCATGCATATTTAAAAAGTTTTTTGAAGCAAAAGATACTGGAAAGATTTGGCACCTTGTTACAGAAGACGCGATCACAAGGATATGGATGAGAAGTTTTAATATAGGTTGCTTAAATTTGAACGAAGCAGATTTGTTAATCTATAAGGACTATGATGTTAATCAGTTTAGACGCTACGACCCTAATGTATGTGCCTCCTTAAATGAAGATGCTAATCTTATTTCGAGCGCGATTCTCCAGCACAAGGTCGATACAACAAAATACGCATACACCACACCAAAAAGTTCAAAGCGAAACACGAAACACAACGATGCTGTTAAAGAGACTCCGAAATCTACTGGTGTGAAAGGAATTACTTCAAGCTCAAAAGGTATCGTTGGTAAAAATGTTAAAAAGGAAAAGTTTGAGGCTATTAATTATGCACCACGAACCAAGGGCGTTTTATGGATGCCATAATGTTATAGGTATTATATATCACTTAAAGTCATCTATTGGTCTAGTGTTACTAATCAAAGCTCTATCTCTATTTGAAGAAGCAGTTGAAACTGGTATATGGATTTAGATCCTACTATCGTTATTGATATTGTATACATTTATATACAGGAATGATATTACACGACTTAAATAACAGAACCCGAATTTTCTTTTTTATATCAGTATCAACAGATTGAAGTAATACAATCAATTAGAGAGAATACGGTAATTTCTTCAAAAGAGCCATGAATCGGCAATTGCTGAGAGAAGAAATTCAGAAAATTCTTCAACGTTGGCACCAACTACGAAATCAGTTTGGTGAACATGCGGTAAATGTTCCTGAGTTTGCACATTTAAGCAAGATAATTAAATTTCTTCAACAGCAAAATCAGCAAGCTCTTCAAAGACAACAGCAGCAACAACGTCAGGGGGGACAATATGGCGCGCAAGAAGCTCAGCAAATCCCTCACAATGGTCAGGTAAGCAATGTTCCTAATCCAGGTATACAACATAACCCAAGCATCAATGGTATGCCTCCCAATAAGAGTGTCAGTCCAAATATGCAAGTGAATATTCCTAAGGGCCAGGGGATCGGTGGTACTCCTCTGAATCAACCTCAAGGGTTTCCAAATAATTCCAATAGTGCCGCGGCACCGCTGTTTCTTAATAATTCACAAGATGGTTCAGCTTTTACTCCTCAACAGTTTCAACTAGTGAAGGCCCAGTATCAAGCACTTAAGTTTTTAGTAAAAAATCCAAATTCCAGTGGACAACCGATACCGCAAAATCTCATAGATTTTATTACAAATGACAGATCTGCTTTTCCCGATGGTTCTTACTTACCCTCTGTTAATGGACAATTTCAACAATTACACGCGTCACCAGATATTGCTCCCAACAAACCAGGTTCTCCAAATTTTCCCATGAATAATCAATCCCCTGCTACTTTTCAATCGATTCCTCAAGGGCCTCCACTCCAAAGTGACCCTTCTTTCATTGCGAAGGGCATAAGACAACAAAAGAACTTAAAGAATGAAAGTCCTAACCTACCATATCGCAACCTGCCGTCTGTGAGGGCTCCTTCAGTCTCAAGTTATCAGGCTAGCAAAGGTAAGGCAAATACATTGGAGCCGGTATATATGACCCCTGAACCCCCTGTGAATATAAAAGACCTAATCCCTAATAAGGAAAAAAATGATAAGGTGATCCTTCCAATTAATAAGCCAAATGTTCAAGTTGATTGTTTCGAGGTACCGAGCATCTCTGATGATGTTGACGTTGCATTTAGTGCATTGTATGCTCCTCAGAGCCGATTTCAATTTCCATTTGTTTTACCAGAAACCTTTCATATGGAAAATATAAGATATAACAGAGAAATAACGATTCTCCTACAGATTGATCAGAGGCTATCATCATTGAAGGAACGATTGGCAGAAATTACGGATGATGAACTGGAGAAGGAGGAACTTAAATCGGAAATCGTTAAATTAGAACTTCTCCCGTTTCAAAAGACATTGAGAGGCAAACTTTTGTCGCATGTTTGGTTTGGCCAATCTTTACTTCCTAACTCACATCCAAATTTCTTAGCAAAGTTCAATAATCTTTCTCTTGATGGAGTCCATGCTACTCGTGAATTATATCGGCATCAATTGGATTCATTAGTTCAGGAACAGAACCAAAAGCACCATAGTTCAATTCGCCAGATTCTATCAAGCTCAGAGAAGCGATCCTTCAAGTTTCAACGGAAGAAGGAAAAGAGTGAGAGGTTCTTTTCTAAGATAGCTAGTTTTCACAACCATGCTGCCAAGGAAGAACAAAGGAAGATTGAAAGAATGGCAAAGCAGCGTTTGCAAGCCTTGAAGCTGAATGACGAGGAGGAGTATTTGAAATTATTAGATCACACGAAAGATACTAGAATTACACATTTGCTTAAACAAACTAATCAGTTTTTGGATTCTTTAGCGAGGGCTGTTCAAAACCAGCAGAAAGAGGGCAGGGTTGAAAAAGACGGTAATCAGCTCGAACCTGTAATTAGTGAAGATGAAAAGAGGGAAAAGCTTGATTATTATCATATCGCTCATAGAATAAAAGAAGAAGTTACGAAGCAACCATCTATTTTAGTTGGAGGCACCCTTAAAGAATATCAAATAAAAGGTTTACAGTGGATGGTGTCATTATTCAACAATCATTTGAACGGTATATTAGCAGACGAAATGGGTCTTGGTAAAACAATTCAAACGATTTCTTTGGTCACGTATCTTATTGAGGCAAAGCATATACCGGGTCCTTTTTTGGTCATAGTACCTCTTTCAACTTTAACTAACTGGAACTTAGAATTTGAAAAATGGGCACCAAGTGTTAAGAAAATTACCTACAAAGGTACACCAAACCAGCGTAAGGTGTTACAATACGACATTAAACAAGGAAACTTTCAAATACTTTTAACTACATTCGAATATGTCATTAAGGACAGAAATCTACTTTCTAAAATCAAGTGGGTCCATATGATAATCGATGAGGGTCACAGAATGAAAAATGCCAATTCAAAGTTGTCAGAGACTTTGACTCATCATTATCATAGCGATTATCGTTTAATTTTGACTGGAACTCCTTTACAAAACAACTTACCAGAGCTTTGGGCTCTTTTGAACTTTGTCTTGCCAAAGATTTTCAACTCTGTTAAATCTTTTGATGAGTGGTTTAATACTCCTTTTGCAAATACTGGAGGACAAGACAAGATTGAGTTGAGTGAAGAAGAGACGCTATTGGTTATTAGGAGATTGCATAAAGTTTTAAGACCATTTTTATTAAGAAGACTTAAAAAAGATGTCGAAAAGGATTTGCCGAGCAAGGTCGAAAAAGTCGTGAAATGCAAAATGTCTGCTTTACAGTCAAAGCTTTATCAACAAATGCTTAAGTATAATGTTTTATTCGCTTCAGATCCTAATAATGAAGATGTTCCGGTGATGATCAAAAATGCAAATAACCAAATCATGCAATTACGTAAAATTTGCAATCATCCTTTTGTTTATGAAGAAGTTGAAAACTTGATCAATCCCACGGTCGAAACAAATGATCAGATATGGAGAGTTGCTGGTAAGTTTGAATTATTAGATAGGGTTTTACCGAAATTTAAAGCAACAGGTCATCGGGTTTTAATCTTTTTTCAGATGACTCAGATTATGGACATAATGGAAGATTTCTTAAGATTGAGAGGGCTTAAGTACATGAGACTAGATGGTGCCACTAAAGCTGATGACAGAACGGGATTATTGAAATTATTCAATGCTGAGAACTCTGAGTATTTTTGTTTTCTATTGTCTACTAGAGCTGGTGGCTTAGGTTTAAATTTGCAAACCGCGGATACCGTCATTATATTTGACACTGATTGGAATCCACATCAGGATTTACAAGCACAAGATAGAGCTCATCGAATCGGTCAAAAAAATGAAGTCAGAATTTTGAGGCTCATCACAGAGGACTCTGTTGAGGAAATGATTTTGGAAAGAGCTTATGCTAAACTAGAGATCGACGGAAAAGTCATTCAGGCAGGTAAGTTCGATAACAAATCTACAGCGGAGGAGCAAGAGGCTCTCTTGAGAGCATTAATTGAAAAGGAGGATGAAAGGAAACAGAAAGGAGGCTACGAAAATGATGATGATTTGGATGATGACGAGCTTAATCAAGTTATTGCAAGAAACGACGGTGAAATAGAGATTTTCAGGAATCTAGATGAAGCCAGAGCAAAGGAGACTAGGGATGCATCATACCCCACAAGATTATTTCTGGAGCAAGAACTTCCCTCTATATACAAGAGAAATCCTGATGACTTTTTGAAAAGGGATGAAATTCTTCAAGAGTATGGTAGAGGGTCGAGGGAGAGAAAAGTAGCAATGTATGATGACAACTTGACGGAAGAGCAATGGTTAAAAAAAATTGATGGAATGCTCTCTGACGATAGCGATGATGACAGCTCAAGACAGAAACGTTCTAGAGGTCTGCGTGGTAAAAAGGCGAAAATCTCTGAGTATAATAGTGATGACGAAAGTACTACTCAAACTGAGCCTGGCTCCAGAAATTCTTCTAAGAGGAAACTAATGGGAGATGATTATCAGTCTGATTCGAGTTCATCTAAGAAACAGAAATCTACAACTCCTGCAATAAGGAACAGATCTCAAGGACGTTCAAGGGCATCTAAACCCTTTAACAGAACGACGCCTTCTGTTGACCCATTGACTTCAGGTGAACGGTCGAGTCTACAGGATATTGCAGAAGCAATATATGAATCAGTGATGACTTATCATGATGAGGATGGTCGCTCATTGAGTGATATATTCCTAGTGAAGCCTTCCAAGAAGCTTTATCCCGATTATTATGTTTTGATAAAGCATCCAATTGCGCTAGACGTTGTAAAGAAGAGGATTAATACTAATTGCTATGTTCATGCGAAAGAACTCTTGGAAGACTTCCATTTGATGTTTAGTAACGCTAAGGTCTATAATGAAGAAGGATCGATCGTATATCAAGATGCTGTGACTCTTGAAAATTTGGTAAAAGAAAAATTTCAAGAATTGTCTAGTTTGGATCGGGAACAAGTTGAAGAAGCTCTTGATTTCACTGAGTTTGATGAAAAACTAGGGCTTAATCCTGTGGTGTCTAATAATGCCATCAAGCAGCCACTCCGGACGCAGACGGAAGATATCGATTTAAGCGATTCTAAAAGTCCACTGGTTGGAATCTAAGAACTGTCGATTAAACACTTTGTATCCATATAAATACTGAAGCCCTCACAAGCGAGTGATTGGCGTATTTAGTTAGAGAGTTATTTAAATTAATTTAATGTATATTATTGAATCGTGGGTGTATATCTAGGAAGCTCTTCGTCAACATTTTGATTATTTATTGAATCGTGGAGTACTTCATCGAACTTTTGAATGAAATTGAATATTCCAGAATCATTGAATTTTATCTGGCCCTTGAACCATTGATCCTTTGGTGACATATTACTGGGACCTCCAGCAGAACTGAAAAACACAAATTCCCAATAATTTGCCCCGAGCAAGGGCGACTTGAGTTCGTGAGAAAATCGCAACGAAGAAGCGTCTTTTAAGATAATCTGAAAATTGTTTATATCGCCTTGTGAGCCAGTCATATATATGAGCCTTTTGTTTGTCAAAAATAAAGTGCCATTTTTTGCTGTTATGTTTACTTGACCAATTTTACAGTCCATCAGGCTAAGGCATAAAGATTGTCTTGCAGTAGGAGAAGAAAATATTACTCTTTCCGATTGATCGAGAAATACAAATGGAATGTTACTGGCAAGGTTGCTTTTCTCTGCTTCAACTTGATTTATAGACATGACTTCCCTTTCTCTTCTAAGTACATTTTAAGAAATGATACTTATCACCATTACATATATATCTATCACGTGATTTATAATCATGAGCATAACTTTCTGATCTCTTTAATGTTAGATAAATCAAGTTGATGATCAATAGTATATGACTAAGGCGCTGTTCATCAAGCCAGCGTTGGCTGAGCATTTCAAAAAGATGGGAATACCCAAATTTCAATACGGACACAAGCATGTCATTCGTCCAGCCATTTGTCATGAAATTTTGAAGAAACTCGAACTAAAATCGAAGTATTCAAATTCCAAACGATTGGATATCATTGATGTGTTTCCAGGATACGGCTTATTTTCATCGATTTTGAACCAAGAACTTAAACCAAACAAGCATATAATCGTAGAAGATTCGAAAGAGAATGTTGAAATATGGAAAGATAGGATCGAGTATTTGCAAAAAGAAACAGGGAATGAAGAAAATTTTATACTTTTCCCTAAAAACGGCTTCAAGTGGGAAACTTTCGATGAAATTCTTCAAAAAAAGATTATTGAGCCAAAATATGAATCCAGAGAAAAAGTTCATGACGAGTTACTCATAGTGGGGAATCTCACGACACAGAAGTTTGGTGAATCTCTATTAGCACAATGGATAATGTGCTCTGTATATCAAAATTGGTTACAAAAGTACGGAAGAGTACGAATGATATGTTTCATACCCGACGTTACTGCCCAAAAATTTTGGTCGGGGGCCCACTTCAACAAGAGAAATAAATCTGCTATTAAGAGAGAACTATTCACTGACTCTCATTTAATCGCAGTCTCTGAAGTTTCCGATAATCTGGTTCCAAATGGAAATGACTATGATCCTAACCTTATCATGAAGGATCAGCCATATTTGATACCCTTGAAATCCATCCTTCCTGTTGGAGCTAGCTTAGCAGTTGTTGAAATCGTTCCTACGAATAGACCTGATTTGGATTTTGATATGCTTGAATACATTCTTCAAATTTTAATGTACAGATCCACTGGTAAGCTTTCGGATGCATTATCACAGTTAGCTCCTGGCGCTGATATAGATTTGATTCCAAAAATTCCCAAAGAAATTTTAAATAAATGCCCAAGAGATCTTCTGACTGAAGAATTCTTATTGGTTTACGACGTGTTTAATAATTGGGCCTTCAAACCTTCATTCACAGATACTATAGGTATATTTCAGGAAGATACAAGAACATTTTAAAGAGCACCTGCATTATACATTATACTTTCTTCAATTGTTCTCTATCCACCATGTTGTCTATTAAAAGCAAGGAAAACAAATAGCTAGTTATAGAAAATGTATTTATTAATATTATTGATCTCCAGATCCATTCAAAAGCACATGAACACATACTCAGGTATCTTCAATCTTTCTCTGAACACATTCTTTCAAAATGTGTTTTGTACATCATCAACTTTGAGTCATCAACCCTCTTCATTGGATCCAAGCTATTTATGACGAGACTTGGATTTTCAGATCGTGAATCATCTTTCTTAGGGTTAAAGCTTGATAAGTTGGAATATATGCTAGATTTATCTGTCCCTTGATCTGGGGATGGCGAAGGTGAAAATGAAGCAATAAGTATTTTCTCCTTCCTTTCAGCTTCCTTTCTTTTAAATTCTATGCCAAGTAAGGAAGTGAATAGTAAATAAATGATAAGCTGAAAAAGCAAAATGGAAATAGAACGGTGGCTCGTTCTATTGGCGTATCTTAAATCGATAAGTACAGTTACAATTAAATTGCAGATAGTGAAAGTGATCATAGCACACCCAAGAAAGATGGAAGCTATGGCCGTCAAATAAAGAGAGAGCATAGTATGGCATCCACAAAGGACAAAAAGTGCCACTGTAAGGCTCAAAAGAACAGTAGCGCAGAGGATGCCAAAGTTACCAAACCTTATGAACAAAAGAAGTTGCAGAATCTTGTCTACGTCATAGTCCGAAAAAGCATTTTCATTCTGAAGAGACGTGAAGATTCGCTGTCTAATAAAATTTTTAACTTTTGTTCTAAGTTCCAACTCCTTTGTATCTGAGAAGGTAAGTGGAAATGGTTTTTGCTTTAAGGTTTTAGTCCACATAGTGGTGATAGATGTTTCGGGAACTAGTATTCTTCCTTCCTTGAAATTAAATTGTCTTTCTTGTAGCTTAAAAGATATTGAAAAAGGACTCCAGTATAAGGATGGTTGAATGATTATCTCAGTTTCATTCTCAAGTCTAAAAGAGCTATAGTCGTCTCGTAGATTTTTATTTAATAAATGGTTCACAAATGCAATATCGGAGTGTCTTGTTTGGTTTCCAAGAGAAATGGAAGGGTTACTGATAGCATTTAAATCTATCTGGCTCAACTTAACAAATGGGAACGTATATGATAGGCTCAGACAGTACAAGAAGTTCACCAAAGTGAACTTCAAACAAAACAACACTGGAACGATGACTAAAAGTGTTTTACGCTGCCAAAGTACTATTTTATTCGAATAATACTTAGAACATCCATTGAAAGCTCCTTGTTCTGTCTTCTTGATAAAACCAAACATTTCAGTAAGTTCTTTGAAATTAATATAAATTATTTTGTGTTTGTTTGCAAAATTCCTTCAAGCTGGAGCAAGGTGTACAAATTCGCAGCCAATTTTTTGATTTCAACATTTAGTACTACAACCACAATACAGCTCTATATTGTGATTTTCAATAAAAGTTGTGTATTCATACATAAGAGCTACTTTAAATTACGTAGGAATATAAATCTGGTAATGACTATCGAACCTTAATCCACAGTAGTATTCGGAAGATTTGTAAATAGTTCTATTAACTTACCTGCATCGAAAACATGATCTGAAGATGTACCAAAATACGAAGCATTAGGTAAGACCCTAAGAAGGTTGTATATGTTGCTGCCAACGAAGCCATGTTGAGTAGTCTGGGTTCCGGGAATAGGAGGTAGGCTGAAATTATTGTTATTAGTCTGAGTGCTACCTGAAGACTCAAATGCTACATTTTCCGAGTTCTGAACTTTTCTTCTCTTGGGCACTGGCTCATCGTCCGAAATCTCACTTTCAGTTGAGGCTAACTCTAAACGCTTGATCAAATTCATGTTGTCAATACGATATCTATCACTAAATAGGTCTATTGGATCGTCCTCTGGAAATAGTTGCTGATATCTATTAGCAAAGCTATTAGCAACATCCAAAGAAAGATAGCAAAAGGCATATGAAATGTATGCCTTGTATAACTTTCTTAAATAGACTTTCTTACTATTGATTTCATGCTGCTTCAATTGCTTATAAAATGAGTTCAAATCAGGAGATGCAATTTGTTCCTTTAGTTGAGTCACATCTTTCGAGATATTCGCATCTGCGGTTTGAATTAATTTTCTTGCATTATCGACATCATTGGCATTGATTAAATAAGTCAAATAAGACATCAAAAATTCTCCGTTTGTCCCGAAATACTTCAACGCTAACTCAAAGATTTTGAGTGCGGATTTTTTATTATCACTATAATGTTCTCTCAATGCACTTTGCACATATATTTCATGTCCAATTGGCTTAAAATGTTCACGAGCCTGTTTGAAAATTCCTCTAGCCTCTTTCATTCCCTGGGATCTCTTGGAAGCCATCATTAATTTTGAATAAACCAATGTAATGGACCTAATGGTTACCTTCTCTTCCTCATATAATGAGATTAACGTTTTGGCATCATCTTCCGAGAATTGGAAAACTGGCTCATTAGATTCTATTTCAGCATCTTGGTCCTCATCATCATCATCATCATCAGCATCTTGATCATCTCCGGTTCCATTGCTAATTACCTTTTTTGTTTTACCCTCAAGTTCTTTGATTTGCTCATTGCATAGATCGTAATCTTTCACTAGGACACGTGCGAGCGTCTCATAGGCTTCCTTAGACTTTTCAAAGTCGTTGTCTTTTTCGTAAAGCTCAGCTAACTGAAATGTTAATAGTAAGCTTTTTGGATTTATTGTAAGGCTATCCGTGAGTAAACTCGTGCATTTATTAAGATTCGCATCTTCATTATCTAACAACCAAAAGTTGCTAAACTTAAACCATACTTCGGGCACAAAAACTAGAGACATAGTTGATTGTCTGTATACATATTCTAGTCTTTGTTTTAGCAAAGACTCATCTTTGATCTGTAAACTGTTTCTTCGCTCGAGGTCCAACCACTGATGCCATAATGTTAATTGGTTTTGAGTTAAGGTATTTTCAATCCCGTGAGGTACGATTGTCCTAATCAATTGACTTTTTGTCACATTATGCCATTCAGTATTCCATGATCTGGCAAGCATAAACTCTGCAGACTTTTCCGAAATAAATTTGCTAGCAGTTGAAGAATTAACTTCATTCTCCCATTTAGTATATTGAGACCACAGCGATTCGATATTCTCGGTAGGTATCACTAAATATCTCTTGTATACTTTTCTAATCAAGTCAATTTTTTGCTGTTGTTCCCAGGTCGCCGCAGGAGTCCACGATTTCAAGAAATCTAAATAATCTTTCCAAAGAGGACTGCTCGTAATGTCTATTCCAACTTTGCTTACGGCAAATTCGAAAGCTTGAATAACGATTCCTCTAGCCATTTCACCACCCGTAATCACATCGTTTACACGACGAACATATGAAACATACAAGCGATAAAGTTCCACACTTTGGGTAATCAGAAAACATTTTTGAAATAAAGATTCAACCTTCTTAAATTCACCTCTATTTAGCTCATAGTTGATATAATTACACCACTGCTGGCCATCAAACTTAAAGATGGTCAAGTATTTCGTGAAAATATTTCTTACCTGCTCTTCTTTATCTTTTACAAGAGCAAGTTTTATCAATTTACTCCACTTGTCGTAATTCAACTCATCAGCTTCTAAATCATCTTCTAACAGACCAATCACATCAAGAGTTAACCTTTTCTTTTTCTCAGATTGTATAAACATGATTATCGAATAATTATTAGATGATACCGAATAAAATTCACGTATCTGGTCACTAGGAATACAACTTGGCTTAAGTATAGTTCATATCTCAATGCTTAAAGTCAAATTTTGTCTTTCATAATAATGCGACATATTCAAATGTCGCGAGAAAAGAATTAGACTTTCCTTCATCTGCAACGAGGGCGAAATCTTCGATGAACAATATCATACTTTGTCATACACAAATGATATCTAAAAATGTACCAACTACATGTTTGGGGCAATAATCGAAAACTATCTGTAATATCGCCGGAATGTCTTGCTAGTAGTTGGCTTTTGACGATGTTATCGACTGTGAAGCTGATTGAATTTGAAATAGTGACGTCGTCAAATACAAACATCTCAGATATCGGGAAATTACCGGTGTTGCTTGTAAATAAGGAAAAATATAATGGATTCGCAGAAATCACCTCTTGGGTAGTAGAAGAAATGGGAAGTTCGGGGAGTGACGAGTTTACGATCATCAAAAACGACACGAAGAGATTGATAGACAAGAGTCTTGTGTCCTTAATTGAAAACCATCTTGAGCGAATTCATCTTTACAATTTGTATATATGTACAGAGAATTATGAAAATTTTACTCGAAAACTATTTCAAAATTTCTTTCCCTTCCCCATGATGTATAACCAGCCGCTTAAGTTTTATCATAATGCCCAATTGCAAGTTCAATTATCGGGATTGTCGGCGGGCACTAGCGGGTTCTTCAGCCTAAGCAATGCGGACATAATCCAATCCGAATATTTAGATCAGGAAATCTATGAAAGTGATGAGGATAAGACGGTGGCACTCAGCGCTTTGCATGAGAAACACATATTAGCGAAGTCGAGGCAAAAGGCAAAACTACGAGAGAGTAGAAGCCACTTGAAATGCTTGAACCTTATAGAACGGTCTATTGGATTGCTATTGCAATTGTCTAAGCAAGAAAATGAGGAATCTCAACATGGGTATATTTTTGAAAGCGGAAAATTACAGCCATCTGAAATTTTACTATATGCCTACTTATATTGTTTAACGTTTGAAAACTTACCTGACAGATTCATTTCCAAGTACATTGAAATTCAATTTCCTGAGTTTTCCAAATTCGGGACAAAAATAATAGCAAGGTTGAACAAATTGCTCTACGAGAAATCTATCTTAATAAGGGATCCTTGTGAACAAGAAATTCCAAATTTGTGGAACGAAGTTCAGTACCAATGCGGCTACATCAAATATTAGTAACATGTATTTAAGAATGGTAGACTTAGAATAATTTACCCGGATAATAAAAAAAGACTATAAATTCATTTGAAAGTCATCTTGGTATTACGCTCAGAATTGATATTTCATTGACTTCCAGAAATAGGATAATCTAATAAACAACACTGCAAATTTTGAACATGTAGGGGATTTCAGGTACACTGGAATCATTAGGTTTGATACTAGAAACTCTTAACATTTGGCATACTCAGCATAGTTTCATTTAATACTATTACCTTACCGTGTATTTAATGATGGAATTTCTTGCCATAGAACACTGAATTATCAGAAGAAAACTTCAAAAGTCTTGATTAACCTGACGGCTAGGGTAATCAGTTTACGACTTTATGGTTCTCTTACATTTTCGTAGCATTCTCCATTTTAAGCCCATCAAGATATTCGTATTTTTCTCTATGCCGGTTATGTCGGTTTGAGATACTAGGAAAATTTAAGGACGCGGATTTAAATATACATTGATCTTTCTAATTTTTCATTAGTTTTTTTACTCCTAGTCATCATGAAGGTTGCAAATTTAGTATCGGCAGCATTTATATTAGCCAATGTAAATGCAGTAGTGGTGGACGCTAAGCAGACTGACTCTCCTCTATTAGAAAAGAGATATAAGGATAAAATTATAAACAAGGATTATAAGAAGTTGATGGAGGAGAAAAATGGTAATGTTGAAGAGGAAGAGTTGCCGCAAGCTTGGGTTAGAGTTTATTCGTCGACTATCACAGAGATTGTTACACCCACGGTAATTGCTAGCGTTACGTTTAGTGCCAAACCACCGGCTCAAACCAACGGATTGGAGCCATGGGTCTCCTTAGATAAGCAAGGTGCACCTAAAACTATATTGCCAAAGATGAAGGGAGGCCATATCAAGAACGCTTCACCGACTTACGGTACGTGGTTTGCTACGGCGACCACAGTGACCTATAATAAAGAGCAATTGAAAGCACATAACATGAAGGATTCCTTTACTGAGAGGAAAATGATTCCTGAAAACCCAGAAGATCATGAACTTGACCCATTAATCAGATGTACTCCAGAGGGTTATTCGAAAAAGGGATTGGCAAAGGATGTACTGACCGAGCCGTTTTGTTTTCCCAGAGACAACGTACAATGGAAAAAAGATAAGACCTATTTCGTTACTTGGTACTCAAAATTCTTCGAGAAAGATGTTAAAAACGTGAAGCTTAATTTATTTTATGTTAAAGAAGGTATAAAGCAGAAGGGTACCAAGAGGGATTTATCTGACCTTGGTAAGAGGTCCGTAGTGGTAGAGAAGGGCGGTAAAGTACTGAATAAACCATTTTTCAGTAGTGGCTGGATAGACAAGGAGAAAGGATATTTTCCTATTACAGTTGATGAAGAATGGATAGGAGAGAATGAGTTTTATCGCAAAGTATTATTATCTATTGAACCAGATAATGTTGTAAATGAGGAAGAAAGCTACTTGAAGTCATACGTGGTTGTTGAAATTCAGAAGGGAGCCAGGGTTTCAAAAGAGCATCTTCAAGACTTAAAGAAGTTGGAGGAAAAGTGGAGAAACCAGCACTTAGATTATGATATTGAAGAAGGCATTGATTACGAAAAATATATAGTCATGTTAACAATGCCCCTGCTTGTTGTAGTTGCGGGTTTGGGAATGTATTTGTTTGTGCATTTCAACAAAAGATATATTGACTTGAGTCATTTAAAGAAAAGAAAGTTTGCAGGAAAGAACACCACACATGCTCGTATTCCATTTAGAAGAAAGAAGGTAAATGACACTCAATTGCCTCAGTATAATTTAACAAATAATGAAATTAAAAATGACTGAAGCCACTTAATTCAGAAAACTGCAAGATTTAAAGGATAGAGTATTTTGGCCATTAAATATGTATAAACTGTGATTAAATATAAATAATACGGCTTTACAAAATTTACTTTCTTCTGTAGAAGTATCTAGATATATATCTTTGCGACACTTTGTCATAACCACTACCGTAAAAACACATCATGTGAGGGAATATTTATTCTTACAAAAATAATTAAAGGTTATTATCTGGTCTCGATTGACAGCTCTTCAAAGACTAACATCTGTGTGTACTAGATATTCTATTGACATACTGGTGCCTATTTGTTTTGTCTGATTTAATCTTCCGTTGATACTTGGTTCTCGAGGCGTTCTTATCTTGCTATGAAGGAACTATTTACTGTCTGGGATCAAGGATGGATGTTGACCACATTATCTTCCTGTTTGTGTGTCTTTGGATGCTTTGTGATTTTCATTGATGACATATACTATGCTGTATTTCCCAAGTCAATTACTGGTAAATATAAATTTGAAATCAAAGAGAACTATACCTTTTTATGTGGATCCTTGGCGTTTAGCTCCGGGTGTCTTTTATTCACATCTTTATTCAGGCTCCTTCCTGAAGCTATTCAGTATCTTTTGAATTCAGCCAAGGAGAGCGGGGATGTGAGCCCACATATGGAGAGAAAGTTGAATTTTATTTTGGTGGCTTCATATATAGGCGGCATGCTTCTTACAATTTTATCTAATACGATTCTCCATTTGATTACGAGCGAATCGGTTGTCCATTGCAGCCATAGTTCGCATGAACACAGCCAAGAACCTGAAAGTGGAGACTCTAATAGTCTGAGTCATCACAATTGCTCCCAGATTCATCACCACAGTGACGACGAAACTGACAATCACTCATATAACGGTACCCACGGCCATTCAAATGAATATTCGCATGCAAGGGGCCATTCCGAGGGACATGAGCATAGACACCAAGATTATTTCGATGGAAGCTTTGCTAACGAGCAGCACCGAACTGCACTTGAAACTATTCCATCCAACGCAAGTCTCACCGAACACGCTCCCTTGACTGAAAGTCATAGACCATCTAAAATAAAGCGAAGTTCGTCGTTACTTCATTTTCTTTCTCATGATAAAGAGAACAAGGAAATGTTAGGAGAATGTAGAGGGTATTCTTCCGCAGAACTCTGCTTATACCATAACCAGATGCATAACAACGAGTCTACACCTCCTAAGAATCTTCACTTTTGTGAACTTCCTACATTGACGAGTAATGCTTCAAATGAAATGGGTGACTATGGAAGTACTAGTGATAATGACGACATTCGAAAGCCGTCAAGTCTTCAAACAGCAGATGTTCATGATGAATTGTCCGAAGGAGAAACGAAGCATCATCATCACGTAACTTCTCCATTCGGAAGGTTATTTTTGATTGGGATACAAACCTCTTTGGCAATCACTTTGCATAAGCTTCCAGAAGGTTTTATAACGTACATAACATCAGAGACTAATCCAAAGTTGGGAATGTCAATATTTCTCAGTCTTTTATTACATAACCTAACTGAAGGGTTTTCGATGTGCTTACCCTTATATTATCTGTTTGCTTCAACGTCACGTCGCTTTGCAAAATTACGAGCTATAACAATAAGCGCTTTTTTGGGTGGATTATCGCAACCTCTTGGTGCATTTTTTGGCTATATATTTATGCATACTTATGCCCCTGGAGGAAACATTGATTTATCAAAATTGAATCTTGTGTTTGGGTCAACATTGGCTGTCACCGGAGGATTCTTGACAGTAATTGGTCTTTCCATGTATGGCTCAGCAGTTTCCTTTGGAGGATCCTTAAACTTTGTAATGATTTGGTGTATCGTCGGTATTTCAACAATTGCTCTTTCATTCATGATTACTAGTGGTTAATAGATAGCATACCCCCCACTGCTTCTTCACTTTTGCAACCTTTAGAACCAAATACATGTCACTTTTATGTACAGGAAGAAAGCACCGCGAGATGAAATTTACGCTTTAGATATCGGCTCTGTAAGAGTGGTCACGCAAGAGCATGTGTTCGGAAACTAACTTGTAGAGGATATGACAAGTATTTGCTAGCTTCTTTTCAGTATTCAACTATTCATGTCAAAGAATAATAAATATCGTCTAGTTATTTAATAGATTAAGTCTTTATTTTTGAAAGAATAAACTACGTCCGAGTTTCCATTACAAGAGTATGATGACACATGAGGTAGCAATACCTATTCATGGACAGTCAAGCTTAGATTCGAAAACAATGTCGGCTCTGAAAAGCAATGCTGGCGAGTCTTTAAAAGTTTCAAATGATGATAGAAGGCTACCGAATGGTCAAAAGGTAGACTTTGGCGGGAAAAGTTCCAGAAAAACAAAGAAAACGCATCTGAGTAAAAAATCTCAGAAGGATAAGGATTTCGAAAAGAAAACAATCAAGAACAATAAAGCTAGTTCTGACTGTGAATCTTCCGATGAAAAGAAGGCTTCCAAGAAGTCTAACAAGAGAGCTTCAGGACAGCATCTGAGTAATGAAAAAATTGATGGGTCATCTGGGCTGAAAGAGGCGGGCAGGAATAAGAAAAAATTACAACAGCCTTCTCTTCCTAACGGCGATAAACCGAACTTTCATGGAGAAGCTCCTAAAGCAAATGTTGATGGAAATAATTCTTTGGAACAATCCTTGCCTAACGGAGAAAAGCCAAATTTTAATAGGGATGCTAATCGTAATAAGAAGCTGTCGAAAACAAATGGAAAGTCTTCTGCTTTAGAAGACACTTATGCGGGATCATCATTTCATTCTTCGCCGGCTGCTTTGAACTTACCGAAACCTACATTTAAGGCTTCACCAAAGCAGCTGACTTTGCAACCTGAAATTGGCCCTTCAAATGGTCAGCTTCGTGGCCCTCCTCAGCATTCTGCTGTATCACCATTCGTAGTGCCTGCCACAGTTCCTCATTCAGCTCCTCTTATAGATGGTACAAATGGTTATCCACTTTATCAACCATTTCCAAATCATTCCCCTGGTTATAATTACTCCTATCCAACAAATGGAGGATATATCGGGCAGCCTATTGGAATTCATCCAATGATGAGTAATCCATATCAGCAAGCATGCCCAATGCCGCAATCCCTTTTACATCCTACGCAACATCCTATTACTTATGGCTCGGAGGTAAATGGAGGTGCGCAGAAAATAAGTTTTAATGACTTATTAAAATTATCGAAAGATTAATGTTATTGTTATGAGAGCATTCGTAATGTGTATTTATCATCTTGTATGTGATATTTTTTTTTTTTACAAGGGTTTTGGTTTCATATTTGGGATTTGTTCGTTACGGTATTGGTAGCATATTCCACAAATAATTTTTGTACAATAGTGTTTTGGAATTTATGCTGTTATATGTTATCGTTGCTTTCATTATTTGCCTTTTTTTTTGCCGATATGTTTGGTTTTTCGATTGCAATTATATATTTGACCGATGAGACGCTAAGAGTATATCTGGTGATAAACATTTTTTTAGGTTTAGTTTTTTTTTTTTTTTTTTGTGATGGTACTTGACTTTTACCTTTACTCAGATATAAGCAGCTGTACTGGTAGGTGTGGAGCTCTTCTCTGTAAATATTTTTTGTCTACATGAAATGCTATTGTCTTCATAATCCACACATGGTACATGGTATGGCGTGTATTTTCTCTTTATAGAGTCGTGCGTGTGCGGTTAAGTAGCACCCGTCTTGTGTCATTTTGTTCCTCGTTTACAATAAAATCTTTTAATCATGTAAGCAAAAGAACATTCACAACACCAACCAAGCAAAATGAAGGGTAAAGAAGTGAGAATCATAACTTTGCTTGTATTGGACGTTTTGTTCTTCCTTGTTGAAGCAATTATTGGCTACTCTGTCCATTCGCTAGCATTAATTGCGGATTCATTTCATATGTTAAATGATATTATATCGTTGATTATTGCTCTTTTAGCAGTCAGAGTCAAGAACAGTAAACCAGCTGATGGTAAATATACATATGGATGGCAGAGAGCTGAAATTTTGGGTGCTTTGATGAACGCGGTTTTCTTGCTTGCATTATGCTTCACAATTTTGATTGAAGCTATTCAACGATTTTTTGAAGTTCAAGAAATCTCCCAGCCCAAGTTGATCTTAGTTGTTGGATGTGCCGGCTTAGTCAGTAATTTTATTGGCTTAGCTTTGTTCCATGAACATGGACATTCGCACTCTCACGGTGGTGGAAATACAGACTTGGAGCAGGATGGTGAACATGGACATAGTCACGGTTCAAACGGACATCTGATTCCTCATTCCGAGTCTAACACAGATGTATCCACTTACATGCCAGATAATGTTGTTCGCCGGTACAGTGAGAGTAGCCCTTTGATACGCCAGAATAAGGAGACGAAAAAGAAGCGTTCATTGAATCTTGAAGGTGTTTTCTTGCATGTTTTAGGGGATGCCTTGGGGAATGTTGGAGTCATTATCACTGCACTTTTTATATGGAAAACTAATTATTCTTGGAGGTATTACACGGATCCTTTTATATCTTTGGTCATTACAACAATTATTTTCTCCTCAGCTTTGCCGTTGTGCAGAAAATCCTCAAAGATTTTATTACAGGCTACGCCACCTAGCGTGAACTCTAACGAAGTCGTTAAAGAAATATTGAAACTACCAACTGTGAAATCTGTCCATGACTTTCATGTTTGGAATTTGAACGAAGATATCCTTATAGCTTCGTTACACTTAGAGCTTCAAGAAAAGGCTGGTGGTAACTCAGATGATCAGCTGATTGACAAAAAAGCTTTCGTGGAAGCCGTTTCTCAAGTGAGGGAAATATTGCATGATTTTGACATTCATAGTGCAACAATCCAGCCTGAGTTTAGCAGTAATGTTAGAGGCGTGTTACAAAAGAAAGGAAGCGCTTATGGACTGACAACTAAATTCAATTGCCTTTACGATGGTGTCTCAAATTGTGATAATGTTCAATGTCTGAAATAAACTATGCTGAATTTAGGTTTAATTAGATTATCTACACCTGTGACACTCGGACGCTGGTAAATTAGAATTAGCCATTTGCATAATGAAATATTTATCTATGAGACAAAGAGGGAACCAAACGAGTAGAACTTCTTCTCTCCACGTTATTTCTCAATTTATAATTTTTTAATCTAGCAATGTACCTTTCTTTCTTAGGTTTGGATATCACATCCGGCATTTTGAATATGTTTAAATCGTCACTAGAATCATTTGAAGAGTCTTCTGCGATATTCTCCTCTTCTTCATTTATATCCTCGATATCTACAACATTATTTTCCAAGACCGAATCGTTGGACCTCAAGGTCGACTCTAGTCCAGTATGGTCGCTAGAAAAGATTGATACTTCATCTTGTTGATAGTTTGAAGATGCACGAGATGATTTATAAGATGCGGCGCTTGAAGTAGACACGAATGTTCCTGACAAAGGGACATCAACAATAGGATCGGGAACTTGAGCAGAAAGAAAAGTAGTCAATTTTGTATAAAACCGTATGAAGACCTGCTCACTTTCTACTGTAAATAAGCTTTTAGATAAGACGTCGGAAATTGATGCCAATAGACTTTCTCCGAACACATTATATTTTTTCTGTTCAAAATCCCATATCCTTGAGTTTCTTTTGCCCCACGTAGTCAAAAGTGACATTGGAACGACTTTGTTGACACTGTAAAAGTATATAACAGCAGTCAAAAGTTGAATAATAGCAGTGACTTGGTAATCAACACTAATATTCTCTAGCATTTCAGGCATCGAATAAGAAGCTTGCGAATACTGAATTTGCTCTCGTTCCATAATATGAGAACAAAGTCGAAGATGAAAAGCTTGCAAATTGTGGACATGGTACTCAGTCACAGGTACATCGAAATAGTCTCCAAGTGCATTGGCTATTCTTTGCCCTTCATAGGTATCATCCTCTTTTACAGAAGGGTCATAATTGTTAGCGCGTTTTCCTATGTGTTTCACTAACCCTAATAAATCCCATATCCTTTTCAATTCCTCTATTTCTCTTCCCATTAGCAGGAGGTCTTTCCGTGCAGCCTGCGACACATTTGTACTAGTTCTATAAATGGACGACGCTGAAACAGACATCGATCTATGAATATTATTGTTACCCAGGTGGTCTTATGTTATCTCTAATTATTAAGCTTCCTTGGATATGTAACTGGCTCCAGTCCTGTTCACGTTCTCCCAAAAGCTGTCAAGATAATATTTCGAATTTAACAAATGTCAATTAGTTGCTCCCCTCTTTAAAAAAAAGTAGAGGAAATGTCAAACGTTTATAAGGAATGTTGTTGCGCAGCATTTCCCTCACAATCCTGCCTTTCCCTGTATCTGTGCTGATATTGAGGTGGTGTCAATGCACGTATCAATCCTCATAGAAGCTCACTGCTCTCAGCAAGTGCATCTTGTCACTGCAGCTTATAAAGAATAGACCTGTACTTCATAGCTCAATTGGGGTGTCTATTATTCCTTGCATAATAGATATTAAGATCAAATTTACAATTTCAACCTTTACTATTAAATTTGTTCAAAAATATCACCCCAACAATAGGATTTTAAAATATTTCCCGATATAGAAGTTTTGTTCTTAAGATGAATGCTACTTTTAGTGAATTTAAAAATGCGGACAACGTACGCCCCCGAAGGAGGTGGTCGCAACTACAATTTAGTGAGTGTCAACCCCAAGCTACAGGCAGGAACTATTGTTTAATAGTCCCAATCTTGAAGAAGGAAGCGGCAGATAGAGACGGTAGGATGTAACCAAGTGAGAAAACCCCGGACCAAAGCTGAGGCTATTTCTAAGAAAACTCCTTAATCGCGCTCGAAATCGTACCGCGGTAGCAACCTGGAGTTAGGTAGTAAATTACAGTTAAGACTGGTGAAAAAAGTTGGATGACTTGTTCGCCCGATATGCGACTGTGAAGGACTTTAGTTTCAATTCTTTCGAACTAATGCCAAGAGAGAATTTTATGGTGAGAATATTACTAATCTATTGTCCTAGTTTGTCCAAAATTGGCACTGTACATTGTTAGATCTAAAACAAGCTAAGTGGTATATACTATTAACATATGAAATAAGCAGAGTTTGGTCTTAGATAAGAAGTCCATTGATGGGTATTAATTTGATGTAGCATTTGCGCCCACAATCCTTCAACAATGCACTTCATCGTCATGACGTCTTTAGAATCGCACTTATTATGTAATCTGGATTGCAAAAGTTTCGTAATTCATCAACCGAGGTTATTCAAGCAACCTTAGTGAAAAGCACCTTGTGTGCTGATGATTTTATTGCGTACTTTCCCTTCTTTGCGTCCCGTTGTGACCTGCTATCAACCAGAGACTTCCTTCTAGACAAGAAGGAGAATCCTGAGATTAAGGACCTTCCACTCAGTACTGATGCGACGGATGTCACATCACTTACTGATTGTGAAGCCAAAGACGATCTCGATGGCTTTTTCAGTGAATGAGATGTCCTTGTAGCGGCTTTTGAGGAAGATGAGGAAGAGGATGACGAGAACAAGGAAGAGAAACTGAATCTTCTCTTTATTGGTTCCCTGACGCTTGTCGACAGTTCTGCGACAGATGGTGGGTAACCCTTCTTTGATGAACTAGTGGTTGTTCTGAAAAGAAACGACTTCCTACTCTTTGGCATTTGGTCGATATTTTTTCTCCCATTTGTAGGCGTGTATGAATTGAACGAATTGAGTAAATCGAAACATCCATCGTCGCTAGAGTTGTAAGCCAATGAAGTAATGCTTTCCTTAGAAGGACACTTCGAGGTCTCTGCTACAGCTGCAGGTATAGTGGGAGGTTTGGCAAGCACATTTTCTGGGAGATTATAGCCGTAACTTTCCATTTCTTTTTTCAACACAAAACTGCTTCTCATGAAGCCTAAGGATGCTCTTTGACCCATTTGAGAATTCGTCGATAACAAAGAAGTGTATGACCTAGATGAAGAAAGTCTTGACATAGGTGCTTCACCCAAAGGTCTCATGTAGCTTATTTCACTAGATTGAGAAAGTTGTTTAGCACGATGAACTGGTAATTTACCACCAAGCGTTGGAGACAGTGCTGAAGATACCTCATTGCCTGAGCTAATGGAGGATCTATAATCACTATTATGCAATGACAAGGTGGAGACGCCAGAACTCATTTCATCTGCATCACTAGAGGACTTCTCTTCTGTCTCTGTAAGACTATTGTCTTCATCACTTTCATATCTGGATGAAGCTGAATCATCCTCAGTTTCGGCAATGGGATCTAATCCCTTCAAACCAAAGCTTGTCGCTTCAAACACGGGTGCTCTACTTTGTCTTTTTGTTGAGGCCAAATCATTGTCACTATTCTTAAATTCATTTTCCAAGTATTCTGACCGTGCATTTGAAGAGAATGATATTTCTTCATTATCTGCGTTCTTGAAATCGTTTTTCTCAAGATTTTGTAGATTATTCTCTTCAAGATCAGAATCCTCTGTGAACACTCCTGGGAATGAATATTTTTTCATTGACTTTCTGCGGGGATCGAAACCGAAACCTTTTTCCTTGTCATCATCAAATTCGTCATCTGAAGTATCGATAATCAACCTGGATGGCTTATCAAACTTCTTTTTCCTAACACCAATTGGGGAGTTGATATGAGATTCACCCTCATCATGCAATGATATTTGAGAAAGGCTAGAATTTCTCTTGTGTGAACGGGGTGTAAGTACTGGTTCAACATCATTCACAGGCACAGAAGGTGTTCTGCTTCTCAGCCTCTCTGGAATTACTTGATCATCGTCACTAGGAGGAGAAATGCTTCTTCTCAGCTTTCTGGGATCGAACTTAGCATCTTTGCTTATTACGGATGGCAGATTTTCTAACGCATCTGCGCCAATAGGGCTATGAACTTTCTGGAAACCAGTCGATTTAGGAACCTTTACAGAAATTGGTTCTGGATTTGGGACATCGAATTGTACACTTCTTCTAAAGCCACGATATTTCTCGTTCTGTGACAATTGAAACTGAATGACATTTGAATTTTCTATTGAGCTTAACTGCCCGCATTTAGGCTCATGAACAACCACAGATTGTTCAACTTCTGGCACCTCTTGGACCTCTTGGTTTACCTTTGGTATTCCAATGTTCAATGGCTTAATTTCGTCAAGGGGCCCTTCCTGAGCTTCGTGAGATTCAACCTTACTGAATGTAGAATTAGCGTCACTTGATTCATCATCCGTGTCATATTTCAACATCGTATTAGCGATAAAAAGATAAAGTTTTATCCAGGAGTTTTCCAATTCGAGGTTAAATTTAGCATTACCAAGCCATTGCTTGAACGTTTGTACCAAAGCATTTCCCATCGGCTCAAGATAGCGAACTGCGTTGCTTACAAATTGAAGGTGGCTCTGAAAAAACTGAGATAAAAATTCATTCAATGATTTTGGATCGTGCAAATAAATTACTGAGTAACTTAACAAGTCCCCGAACAAAGAAGACTCTTCAATGACATTTTCTTCTTGTAAAAAATCTTTGACTTGTGGGTTTGCTGCCATCAAATTGGAATATAACCTTGTGATAAAGTCATCCTTATGGTACCTATTGTTGCTTTGGATTTCAATCCAGGAGTTTCTAATGCGACTTAACTCGCTTCCAGTCAACTTAATGAGATCAGTCATCTTTGAAGAAATGTATTTGCCAATAGCAAGATTCTTTCAAACGAACACTGAAAATTCTCTGTATTCAATAAAAAGGAGATTGAGCTTCAGGAAACAAGATTTTGAAACCTGAAGAAGAATTCAAATTCTTTTATATTTTGGAACTACCCCTACTGGCAAACTATCAATTTCCATGCTCCTGTCAGTAATAATTCTTGCCCACAAATTCCCTGTAAGAGAAATGAGAGTGATAATCTCCATCTTCAAATTACTTAATTCGGTAATTAATATGTTCATATCGCTGTCAATTTTATGTGAAATTGTCCCTCCTAACTGCCTATATCATAATATCTTCATATAGGTGCTAATCAAGTTTCCGAATAAGGAAATTTTAATTTATCGTAGCAGATATTTCCTATTTTGGAAGTGATATATACTTTGTTACTGCTTAAAGTAAAACGGTGACACATGATTAGTCCACAACAAAATACTTAATAGACTCGCTGCTTAAGGGGCTGTAATATTTAGGGTTTCGTATTACTCCAATTTTCGGCAAGTAGCATATGTTATGCTTAACTACAATACTGTCATAGAATAAGAATTGCTCAATAAATTATGTGCTGAGAAAGATCCTGTGTGCGGCGCGATGTAATATAGTCTGTTATCAATGAGCATCGAAAAGAAAAAGCCTGCCAATAACTAAAGAGCATCTGTAGAGATCTGAAATGTAGCGTATTTTTTGATATTCAAATCAGTATTAAGTACATTGCTTATATTCTACTCTTATGGAATACATAGTCAGTACATTGAGACTTACTTGGATGTTTATTCATTCATTATCTACTGACATTGCTTATCGTCGGCGACTTGATTTGGAGAAAACTCCCTGTCTGAAGTTTGTAGCTTATGGTCCTCTGTCGCAGAAGATGGTTCCCATTCTGATCCTGCGACCCATACCTCCGCTCTCTCTAACTGATCATTAAACACAGTGGTAAGTCTTCCAATCATATCTAGAGACTCTTTGGCGAGAACAATAATTTTATCATTAGTTTGCTGGCAAGGCGTCTCAGAGTGAGCCGAATTTTGTTGTATCGCTCTCGGAAGTTTCAATATTATGTCTCGTATCGTTGATTTGAATTCGGTGTTTTCAGCACTATCTTCACTATTGGAGGTTGGTGACGTTTGTTCTGGGCTTAATGAGGATGGTCTGAAGTTTGAAATAAGTCGTATTATCTTTTTCACTGTTGTGACGATCTCTGTCTCTGTCTCACGAGTTGCGTCATTAGATAATTTGGGCTCCACATACAGATTGCGTTCTTGGCTCAGAGGTTGTTGGGAAGACTCCAAAACTCCACGACCGTCTTGCAGTTGGTGCGACTTCCTTTGTTTTACCTCCTTTTCCTTCTCTATTACTTTTTGCTGTAAAACACTAACTTTGCTATTAATATTATCGTTAGCTAACCTTAATATCTGCAAACAAAATTGAAGACGTCTTTTTCTCTCAACAGAATGATCTTTAAGCTTTGATTGTGGTATCTTTTCATTAAAGGAACTTAATCTTCTTTTCTTGTTTTTAAAATCCTTAGACGAAGTACCAGCTTGTGAAGCAACCTCTTCCTTCCTCAACTGCCTAGCGATGTGTCTGTTGTTGAGATTAAGTTCAATTTTGCTTACAACAGGAAATGCAACATTCTCCACAATTTCGGCTGCGTAATTGAAGGGGGCATAATTACGTTTCGAATTTTCGTAGTATTTCACAGCATTTGTCACCAAAGGATGTTTGGTGACTTTATTAACCTTTGACACCAACGGGTGCTGAGTTGAAGGATTTGTTGTCATTGAGTTTTGATTGTCAACAACAAAACCACAAGCACTAGAATTTATCATATCGCCGCTTGGAGGCGTACATGTTCGACTTGTGAGCAGTGTCAACACTTCAGCCGCTGAAACTAAATCTTCATCATTTTTCGGGCTAATATTGGTAGTTTCCGTCTTGTCAACGCTTTCATAAGGCGGTGGAGGTGAAACAGTGCGCTCAGAGTTCTTGGGTCTCCTTGAGTCAGACGAGCACTTACGCTTGAAATTATTAGCGTCAAGCTCCGTCATTCGCGGACCTAAAGATTTCCTTTATGTTCTCCTTAAATATTTTATTGACTATAACTGCTCTCCTTTTTAAAATAAGATCTTACATCCATCTAAAATTTGGAGGGCATCATTCTTCGCGCATGTGAAAAATACATATTGGCCGTGTCAAATGTTACATCATCTGATCTAATAGCTCGAACTGTATTATCAATTAGAGGAAAAGATATACAGTCAGGCATCGTTAAGATTGCTAAGATTGCTAAGCTTGCTCTGGCTACAAATTAGTTTGATTAACTTCTTAAAAATATCATATCTTATAAAAAGCGTAATGCTGCAAATACTATCAGCAGCTGAAGAAATAGTCATCGATTGGTCTCTTCATAGGGACTGAAATACGAATCGTATTAATTGACTTCTTTTGATAGATTCAAACCTCTACTTTTTGTTCAGGCTGGTTATTCACAAAGCTCATCGATCCATATTTCTTCTCTTCTTCTTCAAGCTTTCTGAGAGATATCCAACCACGACCAGGTACAAATAATCGTTTAAACGGTTTATTATTACAGTCTGATTTGACTAAATCTCTATATCTGATTTGAGGATTTTCTGAAATGCTACAGTCTGCTTGATTTTGATCCACTGGTTTTAGGATCTGGGAGCCATCTTTTGTTTCCTCCTTTTTTATGCAGCCCAAATAAGAATTAACCGAGCTGTTTAAATTCTCTTTAACATATGACTTCCAAGCTTGTCTTCCTATTGTAGTAGAGATGTCAAACGATGATTTTGCATTATTTTTCTGCTTAAGTTTGCAATTTTTTTTGTAAGACTGTGTGATCTCATTTTTGGAGTTGATCCAATTCTCTGTTTCTCTATTTTCGTTAAAAAATCTTGAATCAACCGACTTGGACACTTGGGGAAGTCTCAGAGAAAGTTCTTGTTGATTTCGGTCTATTGGAAAGTTGTACTCAAGGGCATCTTGTGTACCTGATGATCCCGAAAATATTCCTATAGGTGCCAAAGGAACTAGAGTGAAATTATGTTGCATGTCTTCAAAAGCATTTTTTACACTTAAAATAGAGTCATTCAATATCCCTAATTCTTCACATACATAATCTTTTGCTGAAGAATTTTCGACATCTATATTCTCTTCGTGTTTTTGAATGAAGGATGTTGCTGCATCACAAACTTGCTTCTGTTTCTCAACCAATGTCATCACCATATTAAATAATTTATCAGTGGTCGTACTAAGGACTTCAATCCTACAGGAAGCATTCGCAAGTATCCTTTGATTTCTAGCAACAAAAAGAATGTGCAAAGCAATCATTAGTGCCATTAATAAAGACAAAAGTAGCATACTGAACTTTCCTAATAAATTGCCTGAGCTCGAAGGAGATGCAGTCTTACTTGCTTTATATAGGCATGATTGAATGTTCAAGATCAATGACATATCGTTTGAGCTATTGCTTAGTGACGAGAGGCATCTAGTGAGGATGAAAGTTAGTAATTGAATCTCTATTTCGTTTCAAAAAAGAGGCTTACCTTTCAAAATTTGTATATGATTCTGTACTTAATACCCTTTTAGATTGCTTCACAAGCTCTGGTCGATATCTTCTGAAACACTCAATTCCATCAGTCGTATCAAAACACTGTGGAAGTTTTTCATAGACAGGCAATTTGTTTAAAGGTATCCATTCTTCTTTGAGAAATGGAGCAGGAAAAACATATATGTAAAGAAACCATATTAAAATGGCAACAACCACATAAATCCTGACATTATGAGTATATAATCTTAAGTCCCAAAAGCTCATTTTTTGGATTGAATCTTTTTATCTAGGAAGCTATTATCATTCACTTTCAATAATAAACGCTGAAGTACAATATATATATATTTTCGCAGCCACAAATTAAAATTATACCAAATGTCAAAATATTATATATATACAAGGATATATTATTATACAAGCTAAATATACTTAA